TAGAGTAAGAGCTAGGGCGTACTATAGCGCGGAACTACCCTAGAAAGCCCCTACCCCCTCCCCCCCGCGGGGGGGGGGGGGGGGAAGATTTATTCCTTAACTAGGAAATACTAAGCTTATAAGAGAGGAAGAGAGGAATAGTAGAAGCTATACGCCCTAAATATCAAGAAAACCGCGCGTAGCGCGGGAACCCCCCCGGAGGGGCCCCCCCCGGGTAGGGGGGTATAATTTAAATTCCCTAACTAGGAAATACTAAGCTTATAAGAGAGGAAGAGAGGAAGATATATAAAGGAGAGTAGTTTAATTTATATTTCATCTATATAACCTCGGACCTAGTCGCTTCGCTCCGTAACTATTATCCGACGGGCGTAGGCCGTCGGGATCGCTAGTATAAGTAGAAGTACTAAAATTAAGTATCTAATAAGTAGGATTATTTCTATTAGAAGTATATTAATCATCTTAAGAAATAGTTAAACTAATAGTATTAGAAAAAAGGTTAGAGACCGACTACGGGCACACTGTTTTTACTACCGGCACACTATTGACTAAACTCTTTTTGGATATTTCCCGCTGGCTATAATTTATTCATAGGCTATCGTATTTAATATGTTACTCCCTTAGTATTTTGGACAGTACCCGAATCTTATCTAGGTACCCTATCGCGAATGTAGAATCTTGCACGCCATCTACACTATTATGCAAAAATGAGGCTATTCCCAGATGCTGATTTAATCGAGTTTTTTTCTACTGAAAAAGGGGGCTTTATGATCACGTGATTAGTCAACCCCTATATCACCAAGCCCCCTTTTTCGGTAGGAAAAAACTCCATTTTTGCACTAGAACTCGATTAAATCAGTATCTGGGAATAGCCTCATTTTCGCACCAAACCCCTTTTCGGTAGAAAAAAACTCGATTAAATCAGCATCTGGGAATAGCCTCATTTTTGCATGATAGTGTAGATGGCGTATAAGATTCTACATTCGCGATAGGGTACCTAGATAAGATTCGGGTACTATCCGAAATACTAAGGGAGTACCATATTAAATACGATAGCCTATGAATAAATTATAGCCAGCGGGAAATATCCAAAAAGAGTTTAGTCAATAGTGTGCCGGTAGTAAAAACAGTGTGCCCGTAGTCGGTCTCAAAAGGTTATTATACTTCAAAATAGGATTACTAAGTAGTATAGAAAATCTAAGTAGTACCGAAAGTCTAGATTATATAAATATAGTATTTATCTAAGATCTCCACTATTATTAAGGAGGAATTATAACTATCTAATCCTAGCTATTAACTATACTAATTATCTAACTAGATATAGATATAGGTACTTATTATGTCTACTATAATTACGTAGATTACTATATTTATATAGTATTTAATAAGATAGATCTTAAAGGATATCTCTTAGTAAAATAATTACCTATAGTTTTATAATATTTATAATAAATAATATTCTTATACTTATATTATTATTAATCTTACTATTTTTTATTCTTTTTCTTATCTTTATTATTATTCCTAGAACCCTATATACTCTTATCTTTATTACTAGTCTTATTATCCTACTTCTTACTATTATTAGAGTTACTAGATAAGGACTTATTATCTTTTAAAGTAGAATTAGCTAAGTACGAAGCTTTAATACTAATCTTATAAGCCCTAATAGTATTCTTAGACTATATAAACTCTCGATAAATCCGATCTATTAAGCTATTAGAGATAATTATATTCTAGATGAAAGCACTATAATAAAGGTTCTCTAAAATTATAGAAAGGAAGAAGTAAAACTTATATTATTTATAGGGGAATACTACTACCACCCCCCCCTCGGATAAGGCTACCCCCCCTTAGATCCAACCACCCCCCTCTAACCCGATTTAGTAGAAATCCTAACCGCCTTTCTTACCGCCTTTATCTTTAATTAACCGCTTTCGCTAGTCATTTATAATAACACTAACGGTACCTCTATTACTATATAAAACTACTACTAAATATAAGTACCCCTTATATAACTATATAAAAATTAATTTCGATATCAATTTTATATCTTCTAACCTTAGAACCTACCTCTCTCTTTATTAACTTCTACCTCTTCTCTCCTTTATATCTCCTCTACTCACTATAGAGATTTAATATATAATAAGCACTTATATACGAATAGAACTTTAGTTATATAAGAATTAGTATCTTTTTCTAATATTAAAGGTATATTTTTTACTATATAAATTAACATTTAAAGAAATAGATATTTAGGTAGTAGAAAACGCGGTAGAAAAAAAAGGTTTCTACCAGAATGTTTAGTTAGACACCCAAAAAATTAGGTAAGAGGGGTAGTCAGATCTAAGGGGGGGTGGTAGTAGTATTCCCCTATATTAAATGCCCACTTTCTAAGGTATTAATAATATCGACCTTAGGGAAAAAAATTAAAGAATCTAAGGGCTCCGTTATAGTAATTTAGGTATTTATATTTTTTACTAGCGAAGATTAAGGTATCTTAAGGCATCTTTAGGCACTAATATTATAAATATTAGTTTCCGATCCCTAGCCGCTATATACCTACGTATAGGTATATATTAACCCTAATTTTCTATGATCTTTTTCTCTTATAGACTGTAGGCCGGCCTTAAAGAATCTGCACTACCCTCTGATAGACAGGACCAGACTCTACGCTACGAAGAGAGAGATAGAGACTGGAAATCCTGTATTCGTCTGCAGAAGAGAAGAAGGGAAGGAAACTATCTAGGAGAAGGAGCTTCTTATAGCACGGCGAGGAAGGAGGAGTCACCTGACTCCAAACACCCTCTTAGTTTTTAACCTTAATTTTAACTATAAAATAGTGGTTTTAAGTTTATTTAAAAATATAGATACTATACTAAACGAGAAGGGCTATCTAATAATATAATTTTTATAATTGAATAATATTTACGGTAATACGGAGTATATAGCTAGGAATAACTTTAGAAAATTAAGCGACTATAGGATTATATAATATTTCTAGGGTAGGAGCGTGTAATTTAATTATATAATAAAAATAGGTGATACTAGAGCGAAACTAGATTAGTAGTACGGAGGGTAGTAGGCGTAGTGGCTAGCGGGAAGTTAGTTATAAAGGGCTTAGCGGGAAGGGTAGGTGCCTATAGTAACTCTTATAGTTATATACTTAATACTTACTTAATTTATAGTTAATCTAAATAAATGTTATAAAATATAAGCTATAGAAGCTATAGCTTATATATACACTATTAGCTATTATTAGATCCCTTATTTATCTAATCTTAATACAAGACTCTACGGTTATATAAATATCTTATACGTATTAGATAATTAATAAAAAAAGCTGTATAGGTTATATCTTCTATTATAAAAGTAAACCTATCTCCTAAAAGTTAACTAGTTAATAATATATACCCTAAGCTATTATTATTACTATTATTGTTATTATTATTATTATTGTTGTTATTGTCGTTGTTGTTATTATTGTTATTGTTATTGTTATTGTTATTATTGTTGTCGTTGTTGTTGTTGTTATTATTATTATTATTATTATACTCTTTTAATTACTAGACTTAGTTTAAATTAATATCTATTTTTATTTTAGGTAACTTTTATATCTAGGAATTTAGTGTGATTTTAGGAAAAGGGCGGTAACAAAAGCGGTCGGAAGGCGGTTAGGAAGGATTTAAATAGGGGATTAATAATAAAATACCCCTCCCTTACTAATTAAATATCCGCCTATCTGATTCCTACCTAATTACTGCCTGAAGATACCTAAAGATACCTAATAAAATAACTCCCCTTAAATATTATATAACTGATAGAGATGATCCTGTACGACTAATCATAAAAGAAAGGAGTGGACTGGAAAATCTTGTATTATGCGTAGAGAGAGAAAAGGAAGAAGAAGGAAAGCTAGCTAGACTAATGTACTAGGAGATCACGTGTTCGTAACAATAACCTTCTTTCTACTAGTTTAATTTCTATATATTTTGATAGTGGTTTATATAGTAAATAGAGGTACCGCGTATTTTAGTGGGTTTTAGTGATTTTAAGAGGAAGGCGGTGAAAATAGTAGCAAGGGAAGCGGTTATAGACGTTCTTATTTTTTTAAGGGGGGTTATTTTATTAGTATTTTTTAAGGGGGGTCATTTTATTAGGTATCTTTAGGTAGAAAGGGTCATATAATATTAAAGGGGGGGGGGGGGGTGTTATTTTATTAGGCATCTTTAGGCAGTAATTAGGTAGAAATTAGGTAGGGGGATATTTAATTAGCGAAAGGGATGTTTAATTAGTAGGGGAGGGATGTTTTATTATTAATCCCCTTTAAATATTCTTAGAAAATTAGGTACTATTAGATCTTAATACCTAAAAATTTAGGTAAGGGCAGTTAAATTAAGAGTAAGGATGGTTCGATTAAGGGAATTGTTAATCTGACTATCCCTACTCCTAATCTGACTACCCCTGCCTGAATTTTTAGGCTGGGTCCCTAGTTGATGCCTGATTGATGACTGATTTTCTAGGGTCCTTTAAACTCTCCCTAACCGCCTTTCTCACCGCCTTTGTACTAAAATCATAGAACTATACGCTTGATACCTAAGAGTTTTGGGCACCTAACTTCCTAAAAGGGAAGTAAAGAAGCGAGGTTAATAACTTAATAGGTATTATTAGTTTAGAAATCAGCGGGTTTTTCTAATACAAAAGGTATATTTTTCACTATATAAACTCGAATTCTATGATCTAGGAATTTAGGTGGCAGAAAATGAGGGGTCATATAATATTTAAGTGGCAGAAAAAAATATATTTAGAAGTCATATGATTGTTTAGGCACTATTAGGCATTAATGCCTAAAAATTTAGGTAGGGGTAGTCAGATTAGGAGTAGGGATAGTCAGATCAACAATCCCCTAAAACCAGGCCAAAGCATCTCGATAAAGAAATACAGAGTGAAGTATATCATGTAGGATACTGGTAATACAGATAGTATACTCTCACAGAAATCCATTAGACTCGTGTGAAGAAGTAGAGATATGCCGTCCGTTTCATCGCTTCGATATCCTCAAACTTAACCACCTTCTCATCATTGAACATCACCCACGATAAGCCAATTTGCCCAGGGAGTGTCTTGCGAACCAAAGCAACATAATGTCTGGGATCCGTTAATCTAACTGAGTATAGAATAAAGGCATATCAAGGAACTCACCCTGCATGAACAGATGTGCCTTTATGGCATACAATTGACCGTAACTCGTACCGACAAGGCGACTCGCTGGATCCAACTGTATTCTCGTGAGGCTGGACTTCAGGTTCGTCAATTCTTGGTCTTTCCTCGTCCACCACACCGTCTGGATGGCTGAATACCCAATCTAGTGCCCTGTTGACATCGCCATCAGTCGCAGCCAAGGCTCGATGAGCATGAGATGCCTCAATTCCCATATCTCCCAAAAGTGAAACCTTTGCTGGGTCCTGCTCAACACAACCAGAGCTTTTGACTCCATCAGCAAGGAGCAAAGGTTCATCGATGTCTGGATCTTCCATGTGGGCAAAAAGCCAATTCATGGCAGCCTCTAGATCCATGTTGCCAGTGGCATGTAATGCCTTCTCACACCTCACAGTGGGGAATCCCATGCCCAAGAGCTGATCAAGAGCTTCTGGATTCGGAGCAAATACCGTGGACTCCCCAGTCTCTGGAAGGTATTCCTCCCCTGCCTCATGTTCGCCAGCAAGGTAGGAGCTGAAATCTAGCGGCGTATCGTCAACTAGTACGGGGATATCAAGTTTTGTGGGTACCCAATTGATCAGCTCAAACCGACGAGCATTGACTACCAATTCACGAGGCAATGTTTTGAATGATGATCGTTTCGAAAAGCCGTCTTGGCTGCCACAAGCAGGACACGTAAGTTCAACCATCTCCGTCGAAGTAAAGATGTCCAGACACTCCGACAAATTGACAGTTTCATATACTCTTTCTGTTTCCCCAGAAGTGGTGATGAGACGTGCGGGAACAGCAACTGAGATATTATCTTGCTCATCCACTTTATACCGGACTTTCTTGCAGCTTAAGCATTGAAGGCGCTGCTCGACTTGGAAACGGAAGTGCTGTACCGGATTTCCCTGCACACTGGAGTGTTTCGATAGGCTAACAGATTTGAACAAATGGAGAAGAAACTCGAACGCATCCTGCTGTCTCATGGTTGCAAATTCCTCATGACCCTGCCCAATAAGATACTTGAACATTGCTGGTGCCAAGCCCTTTTGATGGGCGACTTCTGGCATATCTGCGGAAGTCACAACCCGTGAATCAGGTCGAGAGTACCGGCCTGAAAGTACACCATCTGCAAGTTTCTGCAACTGCGTCTCAAGATCCTGCGCTGGTGCTTCGCAGTGTGGTGGCTCTTTAGACGGATGATAGTATCGCTCACTAAACCCGGTTACTGAAAAGATGCATTGCATGATACTGGAGAGGTAACAGCTGTTTCCGAGATTAGCTAAACCTGTAAAGGCAGGCCCAAAGACTGGAGCGAGTTCCCGGCCGTCCTCAGTTGTCATGGAAAATTCCCATTGTAGGTTATGCTCAACCTGCATCTCCATCAGACTCTTCTCTGTCTTCTCACGTCCGGCCAGGTAGATCCCCCAGTGCGCAAGGTGCGTGGCCAGGTCTGGGTCTACTCTCTCCTCGTTGCACTTATAACAGTAGACATCGGCAGAGCCCTCTGCTGTAATGGAGCCAAGTTTGACAGCCACAGCGTGTGATGTTGAGTTTGCGTGAGTAAGCCCATGTGAGTTTCCTTTGCTTCCACCAAATTGGCTTCGCCCACAACCCTTATTTCCACATTCTAAGCATAGCCAGAGGTTTTCACCCAGGTCGCACTCCGAGCAATGGTTTGACTCTGTATCCTCCTGTTAGCACCAGCCCAGTTAAGTAATACAAGGAACCAATACCGGTGGACGTTGTTTGATTGGTGTCCTGCTGAGCCAGGCATAGCGTGTGATTGCAAGGAACAAACTCTTGCTCCCAGGCTTTGACTTCTTCCTTTTTCGAGAAAGTCATTGCGTTCATAACACCATCGATGACCATAGGTAGTTTGCCAGTGGTTTTGTTAACATTCTGCTGAGAGCATGAATAACATACTACCGACGTAGTAATGTCATATCTATCTTCTTCTTTTTCAGCTGCAATAGCAAGTTTAGAAATCTTCGGCGGAGGCTCGTCGCGCTAGTTTGATCGGAGGTGTGAGCATGATGGGCCACAAGCTCAAAAGATATGAGGGCAGTACCTGTACATTCTTGGGGGTTCTTCGAATGTTCAAAGCCAGAGGGTGACCGAATCGTTTATAGTGAAGCAACGCATGATCCCTATTTCCCGAACATCCACCATTGAAGCAATGGAGGCAAACATTCAGACCGGCAACGTCATCCTTGTAAGTATAGAGTCAGACCTAGTGTATAGCAGTGTGGGGACCAGGATGGCTGGCGTACAATGGAATCGAAGCACTGTGTGCAATCTTCTCTATAGACAGCCTGGGAAGATACCGGTGGTTTCAGATCTTTGATGAGGATTTCTCATTAGCTTGCTTTATCCGCGATTATCAGGGTAGTGATGTCACACACCTGCAGCATTAGTATGGATACAAGAGGCCATATTGAGAAAGGAGGTCTCGTGAACGCAATAAACTGCTGAGAGAATTGCCCGGTTTAAAACCGACACGTCGAAAAGATGAAGTATCCGCTGGAGGCAAAGGTGACAAGGAAGAACATGAGATACAACAGACCAAGCCGAACAGGAATGCGTGGGGCTACTGTTCGCATTGATCCTCACCGCCTACACGGGTTTTTTTTATCATTATATACATTCCTATGTAGTGTCCTGAGGCAGAAAGTCATGTGGTGGGGTTAAGCCACTTAACGCGTTATTTTCCTCAACACGCGTCCCCTCGCAGTCCTTTTGACTTGCTACCTTGCAATCTGGACTTGTTTCGTCACGTTCCATTTTTTTCTACATCAAAAATTTCCTAGTATTTTTCTTCCTTGCATTTTCAATCAACAATCCACTCTCTTCCCCAATTCCCAGTTTCATATTCCACTGAAATTGGCACATCATGGCTTCCGAGGCAGCGTCCCAAGTCACTGTTGGCGCTCTGAGGTTTGTTTTTAAAAGAAAGATGATGTCTTAAAGTATGTGCATTGATTGTGTACCCAACAGTGCGATCTTCGATGAAACAAAACCCCAAGTGCGGGAGCCGATTGTTCAATGCGTCCAGATCAAGGCATTGCCAGCTCAGCCGAACCAACCAGAACGCTATCGGGCTGTCTTCAGTGATATCGCAAACTATGTTCAAACTATGCTTGCTACTCGTATGTGATGTTCCTTATTTTATATCCTCTAAAATATGACAGGCTCACTGACTGCTACTAGAAGCCAACTCTGTGGTGACAGATGGTTCTCTTCGGAAGGGATCTTTTGTGCGACTTAAGTCATTCCAATCGAACTCTGTTAAGGGCAAGAAGTATGTGAGGTAGTTGTGTGCCAAATTCGCATTATGCTAATCATCATAGAATTCTCATCATCTTGGATCTTGAGGTCTTAAAGGAACTAGGCGAGGCTGACAAGATTGGCGAGCCCAAAGCACTTGAGGTCAAAGCCGAGGAAGAGGAAGTGAGTCAACCCACAACAATTTCCAGCAATGGATTTTATGGTTCCAAGATGGAGGGTGCACAAGTTCAGCCAAATCGCCGAGCCCAACAAATGTCCGCCCCTGCGCCTACCTCGGCCCATGCCACAATTTACCCCATTGAGGCTATTTCCCCATACTCAAATAAATGGACCATGAAAGCGCGATGCACAAGCAAGTCCAATATCAAAACATGGCACAACAAAAATGGCGAGGGCAAACTATTCAGTGTCAATTTACTGGATGACAGCGGTGAAATTCGGGCGACTGGCTTCAATGACCAGTGTGACATGCTCTATGAACTCTTCCAGGAAGGAAGTGTCTATTATATTTCGAGCCCCTGTCGTGTCCAAATCGCCAAGAAACAATTCACGAATCTCAACAACGATTATGAGCTTACATTTGAGAGAGATACAATTGTTGAGAAGGTAATAAAAGTTTCTCCTTCTCTTGTCATGGTTTTTAGGTGCATAGCTCATATTATTTGACAGGCGGAGGAGCAAAATGATGTTCCCCAGATCCGATTCAATTTCACCACCGTTGCCGATTTGCAGACGGTCGAGAAAGACACAACCACTGATGTCATTGGCGTGTTAAAGGATGTTGGCGAGACATCTCAGATAATCTCAAAAAGCACTGGTAAACCCTACGACAAACGTGAGCTCACACTGGTCGATAATACAGGATTCTCTGTCCGCTTGACAATCTGGGGTGCATCTGCCAACAATTTCAATGCGCCACCCGAGTCTATTGTTGCCTTCAAAGGAGTCAAGGTTTCTGACTTCGGTGGAAGAAGTCTGAGTCTTCTGAGCTCGGGCTCAATGACGGTTGACCCTGACATAGGCGAGGCTCACCGACTGAGAGGCTGGTATGATGCCCAAGGCAGGTCGGAGAACTTCACATCGCATGCTTCATTGTCAAACGCAACCAACTCCACAACTAAAATGGACCGGTTCAAAACTGTTGCACAAGTCCGTGAAGAACAACTGGGCATGTCTGAAACACCCGATTACTTCTCTCTGAAAGCAACCGTCATCTACATCAAGCAAGACTCCACTTGGTGCTATCCTGCTTGTCTTTCTGAGAACTGCAACAAAAAGGTAACAGAACTTGATCCTGGTCAGTGGCGGTGTGAATCATGCGATAAAACCCACCCTAAGCCAGAGTATCGTTTCATCATGCCTATCAGTGTCAGTGACCATACTGGCCAGCTCTGGCTCAGCTGCTTTGATGACACTGGCAGAAACATCATGGGCACATCCGCTGATCAATTGATGCAACTTCGTGAAGACGACCCAAGTGCTTTTGGTGAAGTTTTCCAGGCAGCCAATTGCCAGACCTGGAACTTCAGGTGCCGGGCCAAGATTGACAACTTTGGCGACCAGCAGCGGTAGGAATGAGAATAATTCTATTGGTGTGACTACAGTGCTAATAGCCCTCTCTAGTGTGCGATATCAGGTCTCATCCTCTCAGGCAATCAATTACTCGGAAGAAGCCTCGCGCCTTGCCGATATTATCAACTCCTACAACATTGAGTAGGTATAGATGAGATGAGCAGAAAGAGTGAGCAGAGAGGGGTGGGTTTCTTCTTAGAAGGTTGCCATGTTTATGTGCACTAAGAGATAAGATGCATGCTTAAGTGCAGTTTATGCTGTGACAGAGTGTCTATGGTTATCTCATTCCCAGTTTCTTATGTCACATTTGGTTTCCTCTTGTGTTCCCATATGTTAGTTTACAAAAAACGAGTCACTCCTTATTATACATACATTGGATATAAATACGGAGTACATAATATAACATCCATAGATACATACCTACATAGGTAGGTAGTTAATATGTACTCCGTACGTACATGTAGGATATTGAAATTATTGGGCGGTAAGCTACCAGGGGGCGGAAGTACATGGCAGTATCGCATTCTTTTCCTAATTTTTTCTTTTTTTTTTTCCTACTGGGAAAATCTAGGTGAAGCATTTACATCTAGACTCCAACTTGAGTTTAGAGGTGTGTTGTGCTTTCCTCATCGCATCGCTTCTAATCTCTCGCCATATTCCTTTTTTCCAAGTACACCAGTCATGGGTAAACGAAGCCACCACGAGGCAACTGAGCAGCAGCCAAAGAAAAAATCGAAATCTGAGAAATCCGACAAGCCCGCAAAAATCCCCAAAGATACACAGGAGAATGGGAGTGAAAAACTAGCATCCTATTCAGAAGCACCTGCTCTCTCCGAGCTCCCTCAGTCAGAGATCGACAGTTACCTGACCGACAAGGTGATCAAGATCACCGATCCCTCACCCGATGCTCCGCAGTTCCGTCCAATCCTTTCATTTGATCATTTGCCTCAATGTGATACTTCATTGTACTCCCAACTGAAGTCTTTCCCTGCCCCGACGCCGATTCAATCTACTACCTGGCCCCTTCTTTTTGCTGGCCGTGATGTGATTGGTATCGCGGAGACTGGTAGTGGCAAGACACTGGGTTTTGGCCTGCCATGTCTGAAGAAATTGATAGATTCTAAGCCAAGCAAGAAGCCTTGCCAACCCCGTGCAGTGATCATCTCACCAACTCGAGAGCTTGCTATGCAGATTTATGACCAACTCGCGAAATTCGGCAGCACGGAGAAGACCCAGGTGACATGCATTTACGGAGGTGTGGGTAAGGATGAGCAGCGCCGTGCCCTTCAAAAGGCCTCTATTGTGGTCGCCACTCCTGGTCGCCTCAAGGATCTCCAGAATGATGGGTCGGTCGACCTTGGAAAGGTCAATTACCTCGTCTTGGACGAGGCAGATCGCATGCTCGACAAGGGATTTGAGCAGGATATCAAGGATATCGTCAAGCCAATGCCTGTCTCCAGGAGACAGACTGTCATGTTCACGGCAACATGGCCCCGGTCTGTGCGAGATCTCGCAGCAACCTTCATGAAAACCCCGGTAACCGTTACCATCGGTGGAGATCCATCTGCGGACCCCCGTGCCAACACAAGGATCAAGCAAGTAGTCGAGGTTATGGATGGCCGTGAGAAGGAAGGCCGACTTGTGCAACTGCTCACTAAATCCCAGCGGGGTCATCAATCCCCTGAAAAAGTCCTGGTATTCTGTCTCTACAAAAAGGAGGCTATGCGCGTTGAGAACCTTATCAGGAACAAGGGCTTCAAAGTTGCGGGCATTCATGGCGATTTGAATCAGTCAGATAGATTCCGAAATCTGGATGCTTTCAAGAAAGGCACTGCTACCGTTCTTGTCGCAACCGATGTGGCGGCTCGTGGTCTTGATATCCCGAACGTGAAGTTGGTGATCAATGTTACCTTCCCGCTTACCGTCGAGGACTACGTACACCGAATTGGAAGAACTGGACGTGCTGGGGCTGACGGTCATGCCATTACTATGTTCACTGAAACTGACAAGGGACTATCCGGCGGGTGCGTCACTCATATTCCTAACATTTGGAAACAAAATTGCAGGCTAATGCTTATAATGAATAGGTTGATCAATGTCCTTAAGGCGGCTAAGCAAGACGTGCCGGAGGCTTTGTTGAAATTTGGCACCACAGTCAAGAAGAAGCAGCATGATGTATACGGTGCATTCTACAAGGACGTTGATATGGATAAAACAGCGACAAAGATCACATTTGATGACTAAATCGAGTCGACTATGTTGATTTGGCGCCTTCGGTGCTGGGGGATAGGATGTGACCCAGCCTTGTCAATTGATCTATCACATATCGCTTTTCTATGTAGACTCTATTATTTTGGTTAGGCGTTAGGCGGGAATAAATGTGACCATATCAGAAGACCGATTACTCACATTAGAAACACATAGCTGGCACTCAAGGAGCATGCTTTGATGAATTCCAATCGCGGGTTACCAAATCCGTGCCTGCCTATGAACATGCTCGCCAGAGCACAAAGGACGAAGCTAGCGGGTCGGATGGCCACTTCACTTGTGTAAAGGCTATATCCGTTTTGATGGAGGTACGATCTAATGAATCTGTAACTCCAGACAGTTCGAACGGCCATATTCACAATATTGGCCAGCACCAATCCACAGGCGCCCATCTGCCCTACTTCGAGGAACATCCAGGCTGCCAGGGCATAACAGCCGGAAAAAATGCCCATCCATCCTGTTTGCTTCCGTATCTGCCGCGAGTTTGCTGCGGATGACACGAAAGCTTCGGTGATTCCATTGAATGCCAGAAACGGGATGTAATAACAATAGACAGAGAGCAGGTCTCCAACTTTGGGGGAAGCCCACTGGCGACCTCCCAAAATACGCAGCACTTGCGGTACCATCATGGGACCCAATGGAAAAATGAGGATTGACAGTAGCTGATACGCGCGTAATATATCTATAAGATGGTTTCTGGTAGTGCGGACATGGATATCCTTCAGCTTTCCATTTTCATCGGGGCTCAGCAGGGTTGAGAATAGGTTCCGGCTGCTCTCTTCCAGGGGTTGGAAGATTATCCGTGCCACAAGACCGCCGTAATTTGACGCTAGCGAGTATATACCTTGGTCTTCGAGCCCAGAAAGGGCTGCGAGAATCATAGTATCGCCCTGCGTCAGCAAATGCTTCACTGTAGATTGGAGAAAGACGTTGGCAGCAATAGACATTAATTGGCATGAAAAGCGTCCCAGCAAGTAGCGAGATGGGTCTCTGTTAATGGTTATCGTGGCGTCCTTGGTGCGCTGGAGATGACACGATGGGATCCAGCTTACCTGGATTGTATGCGTGTCAATAAGAAAGAGAATCGGTTTGTTTTGGGCCCTTTGAGCAACGCCAGCGAGTAGCCAAATATAAGCGCAAGCGAATAAATGAGATGACCAAGGGCAAATGGCAGCACACCAAGATCATAGTCGAATCGAGAAGCATATATAAATGCCGAACATGTCACTGCACTCCTCAGAAATGTTGCTGGCAGCTCAACGGCCGCGCGTTTTTCGTAAAGCATATGTTGCTGTACCACTGAGAAAAAGGGCTCGATACTGAGCTCCATGAGTGATGCAGCCCCAATCATGATCACACTATGATAGAAGAACGCGACATTTGATGCTTCCACAGAGACAAAGTGACGGTAAAGCATGGTAAACATGAGACTTGCAGGGATCCCAAGGGCAAGACTCAGATAAGACACGTTCACCACTGTTTGGGAAGCCACGGACAGTGTATCTGTTGATGCGGCATCTGATTCATGGGATAGCTTTTTGCTGTCAGACGAAGAGGGGATAGGCTGCTTTTGAATGGCCATCCGGATGCTTTCTCTCGAAAAATACAGTATCGAAACCTGGAAAAGCTCCAGCTGGGTTGCTACACCCAGCACGACCGGTGAAAGGGTGCGTAGAATTAGTTGATTCGAGGCAAATGTGAAGATTCTGGACGCCAATTGAATCAATATCAAAAAGCTCGTGCCCATGGTTGATGACGCCAGAATTTTGCCCATACGGGCATTGTCAGGCCTGGCCCTATCCATGGTCGAACACAACTACACAGGTAGTGGAAGTGATATTTTCAAACGACTTGCACAGATCAGGCTTCAATGTAAGATATACTGTTCACGTTCTCCGTACAAAACGTAGTGAAAGGGGTGTGGACAGGTTAGGAATACGAGTGGGGCGACTTGACATTATTGCTCCGTAGTCCTGGAGACATTCGGGGAAGAGATTTGTCACCCGATAGGTTCAATGGATATGAACAAGGCCTTCATATGAGACCTAGAAAAAGTAGAGATGCCAAAAACATTTACGGGAGATTCACCTACATGGTTGGCGCGAGCCGCAGGCAAGGATTACGTGTACTTTTAATTGGCTTCTAAGGCTTCTTCTACTAGACCTCAGATCAGTAGAATCAGTTACACATACTCCGTACAACTATGTACATATACACATGTGTGTAGCTACCTTTCATTCAACCCTGATTGTTCTGGAAATGAGCACATTTGATAGCAAAGGGAAGACTATCACTCAAACTTTCCAATAAGTCCTTCTGACCAACAGGTTGTATTCTGTTTCTCATCATATACTAACCAGAGATTGAGCATACACTGGGGGGGTCAACGGTACCTGCAGTAATGGTATGTTGGCTGGCGTTACCATGCTAAAGCTGTGAATAAAGTTGGCTCTAGAATGGAGGCAGATAAAATGGATAACCACCATTCTTCACCTTGAAGACACTGAGAAGGAAGCTATATGTCGCAAACAGAACAGTCGCCCATATCAAGACGGCCAGCTGTTGACCCTTGACATCTTCCATTCGGGGGACTTTCAGTGCGAGTGCGATCGTAGCAAAAGACAGGATAGCGTCTACGCAAAGCAAATGTTAGTCCAAGACTCAGCTTAAAATCACAACGCAGTAAACTGAACGTTGCAGTTATCACTTACATATCGCAGCAATGATTTGAGTTTCCATCCCAAACTGGTTCTGGAATCCACCTGCAAAATAGCTAATGCCACCTCGGCCATCACCAGCAACATATGGGACCTTTCGGATGTGGTTGAACATTTGACCACTTGTGAACAGAAGGATGGCGATCAGGCTGATTGCAGCCCAGAGGTTTCGATTTTGAACAATTGGCAGCAGGTAGGGAGAAAGCACTGTAAACACAGTTACAACGGCCATCAGAATAGTGATCGCTGATACAATGCGCATGTAGTTGATGGGTCGGACTAGTTGTGGCTTGGGCCCTTCAGGTAGATGACGTCCAATCCAAGAATAGACCTGGTCGGCTGAGACTGGGCTGTTTGGGATTGGCATGTTAGTGGGAGTGACAGAACATATAGCCCTTGGCTGGAAACGTACCCTGTAAAATCAAACCGGGAGGGATTCCCATCTACCTTGGCAAACGGACCAACGGTAGGAGGAAAGACAAGGAGCACCGGCGCGGTTTGAAGCATAAGCTGCTCAAGTTAGTCAATTTGTTACATAACTCAGTTCTGAGTGACAGAGCTCACCTTTTGGAAGACAGCTTTGCCATCGTCGAAGTCAAGTGTCCCAAAGACTACCTTGAGGTCGTCCGGTTTGGTGCCCTTGTTCCAACTTTGGGCGATTAGGTCCCATTCTGGTTCAAACTCACGACATAGGAGGCAGCCAAAACGGGTATCCGTGGCAGTTAAAATAACCACAGCGAAGTAATCGCGAGGCGCTGAGGTGAGATCTTCATATGATATGCTGTCTAGATCCACAGCGCCTGAGCGAGATAGCGATTGATATCTCGCAAACTTATCCGTTGTTGAGCTCCCAGACACGACACCAGACACGACCGAGAGGAGGAGAAAAATTGCTGTCCAGAGCTTCATGTTGGCACAACAAAGAGCTGGACAGCTTTCACAATGTTGGACCTAAAATGCAATTGACCGAAAAATTATCGATCGGTTGCAATTGAAGATAGTTGAACAGGTTGAGCTCTTTAATTAAGTCCAGGTGTCCATTATCAACGTAATCGCGGGCCCCGGCCCCGGAGGCCCACCTGAAAGCTTACCTAATATATTCGGAGCCCAAATCACCCGCAGACGCGTCTTCCTCTTGGAGTGATTTACATCAACATACTTCTGTACAAGTTTTGCATACACCACATATCTTAACCGAGTAGCTCTTTTCAGCAAGGCTTGCATCTTTCGATTTATATAGCCATTCGTTTCTTATACCTCAGGACTCCTGCGCTATTGTGGACACTGCCATAATGGCGATGGCCGGAGAAGCATCCGCTATGGATGTATGTGGTCTCCCAAAACCTATGAAGACATGTTTTAAAGAAATCTAATTTGATCTTGCAGGTTGAAATGCCCATGAGGACTATGCACTTGGAGAGGGAGTATGAGAAGACCCTTTTGGATTCTGTGCGTCTTCTAGATACCGAGAAGGATCGTGTGCGGCGCATGGAGCTTTTGTTCCTAAGATTTGAAAATGAAGCTCTTCGATCGCAACTAGAAGAAGCAAATGGGCACCTCTTGGGCTTTAGCAATTCCGATTCCGAAGCATGTGCCCAGCTGCAGGAGGCTTGCCAGGAAATCGATCGTTTAGAGCTTGAAGCACAGACCTCCTCGGGTGAGATTGACCGACTCAAAGTAAGCCTCAATGACTAGATGTATTAGCAGCCAGGTTGACAGAATCAGGAAGAACTCTCAACCCGAGAGCATAACTCGACTATCTACAATACTGTTCTTGCGGAGAAAGCCCAGCTCTCCAGGAATATTTCGGCTCTACAGTCAGAGCTTGAGCGGCTTAGCGTACAAGCTGCATCAACTCAAACCATCATTGCGGAGAAACATGAGATGGAACGGCTAATAAGCTCCCTGGAAGTTCAATTTGCCAATGAAAGACATGCGCACGAACGTACTCAGGCTAGGGCATCACAGCAAACGACGGAGATTTCCAAGCTGGCTGCCCAAGTTGAAGGGTTGCGGAATGAGCTAGCGGGAGAATCGCGAGCAAAACAGCAGCAGGAGCGTGAATATCACCATCAGAACTCAGCATGGGAGACCCAACGGGCGACGCTTGAAGGAAAAATTGATTCGCTCAAACAACAATTGCGGTCAACTAAAGACAAGTTCCAAGAAGTCCAAAATGAACTTCTGGAGCGACGTTCCCTCAAACAATACCCAGGGAATGATTATGAATCCAGTTCACGAACAGTTCCACTTCAGCGCCCTGGCCCGAGTGGTCACGCCAATGTGACAATTGCAACTCCTGGGGCTGTTCGTATACAAGACAATTCGAAGAAGGACTCAGCGGTGCCTGGTGATAAATCGGTGTTTTCTATCACCCCCTTCTTAAACCGCACAGGTGCACCTGTGGATTCTCCATTGAGTTCAGTCGGATACGAAGACGAGAATCTGGGGGATACTGACGATACCTATGAATTATTGGGCAATCGGGCTACTCTTGGCGAATCGAAACGTATCGGCTCTGCCCTACGGCGCCAAATCTCTCTGTCAGATGATCGCAATCCCATCAAAAAAGCTCCCAAACCAAGAGCAGGGGCACGTGAGGGTGCAATGGCTGTTTCGGTATCAGCAAATGAGGTGAAGAAACCAAACAATCGGCTAGATCGCAAGGGGCAGCCCACCGAAACCGACAAGTCACAGTGGCAGTTGGAGAGCGAGCAGACTAAGCCAAAAAAGCGCAAACTTGGTGGTCAGCGAGATCGAAGTTTGTTTGAGGAGGAGGAGGAAGAAGAGCCTCAGCTTAATGTGAAATTCGGGCGAAAACATGCAATATCCAGTGGGCGGGCTCCAAACATGGGCAGTAAACAACAACCTAGTAGCTCGACTACTCTACCACGGACTCTTGGGTTTGGCGCACCTATGGGGTTTTCTCCCTTAAAAAAGGATCGCAAACGAATCCAATGAGAGAAAATACATACATCCTCATGACATTCATATATATTGTCCAATCTCTACCCGATATAGCTCTTCATAGGCTCTGAAATGGAGTCTCGTATGTACATGTATATATACATAGTCATATGCCAATACTAAATGTCAACATCCAATATATGTACATATGTACCGTACGGACTTATATGGGGGTCCACGTCATGTTGTCATGTAATGCAACTATACATACCCGTGAACATGTACGGAGCACATGGCAGACGTTTGTTGATAAGAACTGTCCGACTTGGAGGACCAACGGTCTTCTATGTTTTGCCGGCAGAAAATGTTAGAAGCTCAGCTCCTCAGCTTTTATGTTTCGGATTCCAGTCCCTTTTCACATAATCTTCACCCTGTACTATGTTTTTCTTGTGTACAATTCGATGCTGGCGGAATACATACTCATCACAGGGAATCAGTCAGGTAAGGCGGGCATCATCCAAGCGTTGGCAAGCTCGACAACAAAAAGATCAGTTTACGAGAGAGGCAGCTGTCCAAGGGCTGAAAAGCCGAGCTGCCTTCAAATTGCTGCAGGTAATCAACATCGATTCAAGTCCATAGCCATGGATATTACCTGATACATTCTCTTTGTGGGTAGATTGATGAGAAATATCGAATTTTCAAGAGTGGACAGACCGTGGTTGATTTGGTATGCTAGTTGTTCAACCTGGGCTCGGAACTTTTTATTCTAAATTGTTATCAGGGATATGCTCCGGGGTCATGGTCGCAGGTATGTCAACTATCCCCTTCACTCTTCTCTTAGCTCCTGTGCTGTTAATGAGGTCTTAATTAACCGCCGAAAAAGGTTGCTGCAAGCCGTACCCAGCCGCATGGTCGAGTCCTCGGGGTTGATATTATTCCAGCACAGCCACCAAGAGGAGTTTCTACGATCCAGGGAAACTTTCTCGCGCCCGAAATCCAGACATACATCCGAGACTTTCTCCGCAATCCAGACAGAGGCAGGCCGCGCCAACCCGGCTCTTTGAACGACTCCACCATCAGTCCATTGGAACCGGATTCGGATTCTAAACGCACCATCGAGACCAAGAGAACAGATGTGGAGGTCGATAAGATACTTGAAAGGACGGTGGATGTGGTTCTCAGTGATATGTCTGCTCCCTGGTACCAGACCTCAGGTTTTTGGAAACGAAGTCTAAGTGCTCCTTATAACAGGATGATGAACACCAGCGGTGTCAGCTTCAGAGACCATGCTGGGAGTATGGTATGATTCTAATTGCTCAATGATATATACGTGGAACGCTTCTGACTGTACACAGGATCTCTGCCATGCCGCTTTGCGCTTCAGCTCGGATGTCTTGAAGGCAGGCGGTCATCTTGTCTGCAAATTTTACCAGGGGGCCGAGGACAAAGAGCTAGAGCTGCAGCTGAAAGAATTGTTCAAAAGGGTTCATCGGCTAAAACCAGAATCATCTCGCAGTGTATGATCTTCCTGTTCCAATTTCTCGGGTTACAACGGCCCAGCGACTAAAGCAAGAAACAGGAATCCAAGGAGGCCTTTTTCGTTGGCCTTGAGCGAAAATCATGAGCTAAGGGCTATGGCTATGTATTAGAGTCACCCAGTCGGCAAATCACAGGATATCTGCGCGATCAAAACTACCTGGACTAAAGGATCTCGATCTCTTCATTGTCAGATGCCACATCCCACTCAATATCAGCTAGTGCAGCTTCTGCCTTCTCGTGAACCTTGCTATGTGTCAGTTTCGGAGTGGGTTTTTTTGTAGACATTGTACTGACCTCTCTTAGTCCACTTAACTCTTCCACATAGCCCCGTTCATTCAAGGCTTTTCGCACGAAGTCCCAACCCTGCTCGCGGTATGCACTGACAACCTTTTCCGAGCATGCACTGCAGCTCGGGTAACTTTTGCCAGTTACAGATAAGTTTTCGAATGTGGAGAGAAACCCACGAATTTGATGAGGAACAACACCCAGGGGATGGTCATCACGATCGATATCGCGGGACATAGGGGCCGGTGCGGCAGCGCCGTGCGAGTGTTGGAGAAGCGATACAAAGAGCTCAACCAAAAGTGCAGAGGCTATAGGGGCCACTCCAGGGCGTGTCACTGTACATTGCTGGTCGAGAGTCTGGTCCTTCATAGACTATTTCGCAGTCAGTTCCGTACAAATCAAATATTTCTTTCAGAGAACCTTACATTAGCCGGCGCTACAACATCGTTGCAGAAATAGCATCCAAGCTCAGAATCCGTGATACCATGTCGCATCACCACGAATGAATCAAAACCTAAGGCTGCGTTCATCACAATTTTCCCTGCTGCTTTCCCCATCACTGTAGGCAGCCATCGTGATTCTCGGGTATCCATAAGCAGAAAGATAGCGTCATGTTCATCAATCAAGGCGCTGAGAGTATCGAAGTCTGCCTTGGTCATACCTTCGTCCACAATGGGATGACCTGCCATAGGCACTGACAGCGCATGACCCGATGTCTCTACACCCGGGTAAATTTGAGCCAGTGCCTCGGATGCTCGATGTGCCTTTTGAGAGCCGCCGTTCAAACAGTCTTCGAAATTGAAAAGTGGCTGCCTAACTGGATTAGAAAATGAAACGGTTCCATTGTCGATAAATGTAATTTTCTTCACGCCCCAGCCCTAGAGAATCGGCGATTAGGACAGATATCCATGAGGCCAGGTCTTGTACATCACGCGCATACCAACAGATTCCGGGAAACATAGCTACCCAATGTACCAGCTCCTAACAAGAGACATTTGGTGTGCTTGATTTTCTCAAGATCGAGCATTGGGCTGATCCGCCATTTTATGAGTTTGAGATTGAGATCAACTGACTGATCTGCCAATCTTCGGGTTGAGTTAGCTCCCCTGATCAAGTGTAAACAATTCCATATCGTCATCTTACCTCTTGGGATCCATATACTCGGTGAGGTTGACAATTCTTCCTGACAATTTTCCAGTCGGATTACGTTCCCAGCCAGTCACCTTTGGCAGAGGCAACGTCTCTTTATTTTGCAATGACATCGGGCCCCGGGATCCTTGTCTTGGAATCGATTCCAGTCGAATAACTGTACTCCGACCCTGATCACGTTTCGCAGGCACATCACGATAGCGTAAAATCTGCACTCGCTCAAGATTCCATCGCTGTTTAATCAGAATGAGCAGGTTTCTTAGCATCCACCCAGGGTTCTGTTCATAATTTGATGGATCAGAGAAACAGATATAGCGGTCTTCAGCGGCAACGTTGTCGAAGAACCCATTCTCGTATTCGGAGAGCGGCGCTATCTGCCAGTTGCTATCCGATCTATCGTTTTGAGCGCCCTTGGTCTGAGAATCGCGTGGAGATGTGTTGCTGAAAGTATGTTTTGCTCTACGAGCTAAGAAAAAGCCACGTTGTCGAGGATCCACGAGATATGACCACGTCTGCACCGCATCCACTAGTTCAGTGCTCTCTCGTGGGGATAAATGCGTTCCCTTGAGGGGATCGAAGTCTTGACTTTGATGGGAGTAAGATACTTGATCGGTTGGTTGCACGGCAACCCATTGAAGGTCCGAATGAATTGCCGGGAAAGCAAACCAATAATGGAACTTGTATTTTTTGAGGTCGGCAAAGGATACAATAAAAAAACTGGAGAGCAAGGAGGGGCATGAGAATATCGACCCATCGTGGATTGCATCCCATATCTTGGGATATTCATTAGTATGATGTAGGTAAGTGGTGTTGACTTATATTTACCATTTGTCCAGCTCGATGCAGGATTTGGGCTCTGTCCATGCTGCGATATTCTTCAATGGTATTCACATTTTTTATCATGCCCTCAGCTCTGTAGTATCCGGTGGGTGCACTGAGTCGCTTGTTAGAGTGAGCGTCTTTGAAGGAGAGCCCGTTTTATCTTACTCGCCACCGGTGAGAGCGTTCCCATGGATTTGGATCCGACATGATGCAGCCTCGGAATCCGAGGGGCGAATCTCATAAAGGCCCAGGACCGCTCGGGCAGAGTCGTCTAGTTTGTCATGGTTGATCTTATGGGAAGCCAGTGAAGTATAGAAGGGCAGTTCAATATCGGAAGCAAAGGGTGTGTATTGCATCGTGCAGGCAGTGACAGACATAAGATAGGAAAAGAAAGAAAATGGGAAAAGAACACAATACAGACAAGCGATCTGCTGATTTCTAGGGGTGATATAGTCTGGAGAGGACGAGAAGATCAAAGGGATAGCTCTGATGTCACGAAAGGGCGGGGATCCGGACAAAGGCTTATTATTTATCACGGGTTGCGGGTCTTCTGAGGTTGCGTCTTGTGAGTTTAGCAGATGACTTGTGTGAAGTTCCTAGGTCCATGACTAGATATACATATATCATCTAGACTCAGATATACTGTATCTCGGATAGGTATCACTCTGTGGCACTATATTTACGACGGTAATTTTCGATGTAGATGGGATGTTTTCCAATCATGTATACATATAGGTATGTATGTTTCTTCAGCCCAATGTCCCTATCAGGCACGATAAGACGCTTGTCGCGACACGACTTCGACATTGCCCCACTGCTTCTTTCTTCACTTTTCTCCCAATATTTCTCACCTTGCAACCATCAGTGATCGCGACTGAAAAATGCTTATCGGCCTATGTGGAGGTTGGTAGATAAAACTGTGAAGTTACAGCCTATATCGATAAGACGAGCTAATAATATACACCTAGGGATTTGCGCTGGCAAACATGCGATTGCTGAGTACTTGATCCGGCATCAAGGGTTTCAACTTCTTGAACTTACTGGAAAATGCTATTCTCAATCTGAATTGGGAGATGACTTGCGGCTGCAAGCATCGGAGATTAGAAAGAAAGACGACGCTCAGTCGCCAGAGCTCACATTTCAGGATGCCGATTCTCTACTTGATTTTGCGACAAAACGATGGCAAGAACGCTGGGTCACCACAGATATTGCAGATGCTAGTACTCTAGATCGATTCCTCTTGCGCCCCTTCTTCCTTCTTGTGAGCGTTGATGCACCTGTAAGCCTCCGCTGGAAACGGTTTGCCGACAGGTTCGTGATGATATGCTATTGGACTGAGGATTGAGGACTAACTGTCTTCGACAGATGCTGGAGAAGACAGCTAGATCCTCCAGATTTAGAAAAGTTTGTGATGTGGAACGACCATAACTTATACGACAAGGATGTCGGACGTGTATACCTGACCGATAAAGCTCAGGTCCGCCTCTTCAACTCCTCGTCGTCCCTAGAAGAACTACATTCAGCTCTGCAAGCCCTTGACCTAGCGGACGAACAACGACTGAGGCCAAACTGGGACCAGTATTTCATGCAGTTGGCCTCGCTTGCCGCTCAGAGAAGCAACTGCATGAAAAGAAGGGTGGGCTGTGTACTAGTTCGAGAGAGTCGTGTCATTAGCACAGGTTATAACGGAACACCACGGCATCTCAAAAACTGCAACCAAGGTGGATGTACGATGCAGACATTTTAAATAATTTAGATGGCACATTGTTCAAGGCACTGACTACAAAACATCATAGGTCCACGGTGCAATCGCGGAGATGGAGGAGGCGTTGGTCTTTCAACCTGTCTCTGCCTTCACGCCGAAGAGAACGCGTTATTGGAGGCAGGCCGAGAGCGAATCCGCGAGGGAGCAATCCTATATTGTGATACGTAAGTCCAATCCATAACAGCTGGATTATGCTACAGGCGAAATCTCACATATTGCTTCAAGATGTCCTTGCTTGACGTGCACGGTCAAGATAGCGCAAGTTGGAATCTCCGAGGTCGTTTACTCGCAGGGCTACAATATGGATAACGACGTAAGCTACTGCACTCCCCAGGGGCATGCTTGTGGGTTACAACAATCTAATCTGACTACACAGAGCGCAGCTATCTTGCAAGAAGCAGGCGTCCGGCTACGGCAGTTCCATCCGGTAGCTAAGATTCCTTTCGCGGCCCCCCTTCCAGCAAAACTAACTGTAAGCTCGCAGCCTTCGAACGGACTGATATATCTCCAGGCATTCGAGAGGTCAACTGCGGCTGAAGATTAAAGCCAACGATGCATTTACAAAGGATGACAGGCGGTGCATTTTTCTAGGAATGCTATATGTATTTTCATCAAATTCTTAGATTGAAATTATATATGGACGGAATGAAGCGGCTTGTTTAAGAAAAAGACAAGAAATTAAAACTAGACCCAAGGGATGATACTTAATGGGGGGAAATATACGGAGTATACTCCTCATACCTTTTTCATCATCAACATAGAAGTGACTCGGAGGTATGTACTTCTAAGGTTGCCAAGGACCGCAAAAAGAATATAGTGAAGTACATAGTTACGAAGTCGCGAAGGCGTATAGTCCTCAGGGGTCAGTTTCCATCTAAATCGAACTTGCTGCCTAAACATGCCTGTGTTGGGACTGCTATTGACACTGCCCAGGTGCTCATTACTTACTGTATTGTAAATTATGGCCCGTAATTGAAGCTATTCCTACCATCTAAAGCTTGAGAAGGGAAGACGATATCTAGGAAGAAGACCATTAGAAAGACCACTAAAAAGACATTCCAAGGTCGTAAACGCGGCCGAGTATATGAGAAGCTTCGTTTTGCCTGCTTTCCAAGGTTGGACCTACATAAGTACCCCAATTAGGCCCCCGTTAAGGTCTCTGTCATGGGAATTCAGGTATTTCCGTTTTCTGCCAGCTTAAACCCAGGCAGATTCAGGCAGAAAATTCGATTTGAATTGAAAGCGACTCATGATGACTATAGACATTCTCACTGAGTACATACTCCGTGGGTACGGAGTAAACAATGCGGAGAAAGAACTCGGTGTACATTCCAAGGTTCTTTTGTCCGGCAGAAAAAAAAAAAAAAGGAGGGGGTATGACTCAGCGCGCGAATTTTGGCGGGCCCTCACCTGGGCAAGGAATCCCTCGAAGGTCTTCAATATCCGGGCTTTTTTTCCTTTCCTTTTCGGTGTTGGTAGCTTGTCCTTGATAATCCAATACTCTCTTAGCGGCTATTGCAATTGCCTTTCTGGCCTACACCCCTTTAGCCATGCCCACCGTACACTTGCTGGACTACGTTGCGGGGAACATCCGTTCCCTGGTCAACGCGATCAACCAAGTCGGATATGATGTCGAATGGGTTAGATCTCCGGAGGATGTGAAAAATGCTGATGTTAGTCGAGCACTTAGGGCCAATTCCTCTATCACTGGTTCACGAGCATGTTTTTGCTAACAATCCCACTTTAGAAACTGATTCTACCCGGCGTTGGCCATTTTGGCCATTGTCTCTCTCAATTGGACAAAGGTGGCTTTTTAGAGCCTATTCGGCAGCATATCGAGGCGGGGAAGCCTTTCATGGGTATCTGTGTTGGTTTGCAAGCTCTTTTCCAGGGCTCGGAGGAGGATAACGACGTCCCAGGACTTGGCGTGATTCCCATGCGCATTCAAAAGTTCGATGACACGTCGAAGAGTGTACCGCACATTGGATGGAATTCCGCGATCAACACTGGATCTGATGGCGTCAAGGATAAAAGCTTTTATGGTCTGAGACCGACCAGCAAGTATTATTACGTCCATTCCTATGCTGCCCCCTACAAGCCAGGTGTTTTAGAAAGTGAAGGTTGGTCTGTGGCGACTGCAACTTATGGCGACGAAGAGTTCATTGGTGCTATCAGCCGGGGTAACATTTTTGGCGCACAATTCCACCCAGAGAAGAGTGGCGTGGCTGGTCTGCGGGCTATCCGCGCATTCCTAAATGGCGATCAATTCCAATCACTCCCACGGGACATTGCCACCGGCAAAGAAAATGGGCTTACTCGTCGAGTTATTGCTTGCCTTGATGTCCGGACAAATGACTCTGGAGATCTGGTTGTCACCAAGGGTGATCAATACGATGTCCGGGAGAAGAGTGACGCAGATGCCGGTGGCAACGTTCGCAACCTCGGAAAGCCGGTTGATATGGCCAAACGGTATTACGAGCAAGGCGCGGATGAAGTGACCTTCTTAAACATCACTTCATTCCGAAACTGCCCCATCGCTGATACGCCTATGCTTGAAATTCTACGACAAACATCAGAGACGGTCTTTGTGCCTTTGACCATTGGCGGAGGTATCAAAGACACCGTCGACACCGATGGCACGCCCGTCCCTGCCCTAGAAGTGGCAACAATGTATTTCAAGTCTGGGGCCGACAAAGTCAGCGTTGGCTCCGATTCTGTCTTTGCCGCCGAGGATTATTACAATGCTGGCGAGAAGTTGAGTGGCCAAACTGCAATCGAGACAATATCAAAGGCCTATGGCAAGCAGGCTGTTGTGGTGAGCGTCGATCCAAAGCGGGTTTATGTGGATAAGCCAGAAGATACCCCCCACCACACAATCAAGACCCAGTTCCCCAATGCAGACGGGCAAAACTTTTGCTGGTATCAATGCACTGTCAAAGGCGGCCGAGAGACTCGCGATATCGATGTGCGGCAACTTGTGCGAGCTGTCGAGGCTATGGGAGCTGGCGAAATTCTTCTGAATTGCATTGACAAAGATGGAAGCAACAGTGGATTTGATCTGGAATTGATCAACGATGTCAAAGCTGCGATCAAGATTCCAGTCATCGCCTCAAGCGGGGCTGGCATCCCCGCGCACTTTGCCGAGGTTTTCAACGAGACCACCACTGATGCAGCATTGGGAGCAGGAATGGTAAGTTTAAAATTATCTTCTGAACATGAGTTTCGTTTTTCTCTCTCTGACAATTCCCTAGTTCCACCGCGGTGAATATACCGTGACCCAAGTGAAAGACCACCTCCAAAGCGAGGGATTCCTCGTCCGCCAATTTGAGGCTGAGATTTAAATGCTTGGCTGTGTTGTAGTTTTGATGTTTGATGAGCACCATTTTCAATTTTGATGTTTTTATACAAATATAGAGACAATGAGGGATAAGCCCATCAACTTAGACATACGGGCCATATGAAAGAAGCAATCGCCTGACATATAAGATGCTTGACACGGTGAATTTCTAATCATCTACCATCGAACGCCTGTGTTCTCTATCCTAGTTGTCTATGTGTACTACCCCCATGTTGATGCCTTTATATTGGACAAAAGTCCCAATGAAATGATTTGAAGATTGAGGATTCGGAAAGCCGAAATCAAAAGATGATCCTATCTAGAGCCTAAAGCCCTAGAACCCCCAGCCCTGGAGAGCTCGGGCACCTGCACCTGGGCAGTAGGCAGGTAGGTGGGTACATAGTAGTCAAAAAGCGGTATCTAATTTTGGAAGGCGGTGGCCACCTCATCAAATCATCTGACTTTTCTTCACTTGCCACTTCACCTTCTCCTCTCCCCGTCGACCTGTGGTACTCTAAGCTCTCATCCTCGTTGCATCAACTTCTCTTCTAACTCGTTACATTCTCTCCCGGAAAAAGCCAACAAGCCGGTCCACAGTTTCTCCGCCTCCTAACTTATCAGTCCTCAGTTTCACCCTTTGATGACATTGTGCCTTGCCACTATCATCCAACCATAATCGCCAACGGTTGCGAGACTTCAATCTCGGTCATTCGATAGTGAAATCGCTCATCCATCACAGGTCTCTTTTTAACTGGGAGCAGAAAACTTCCAAGCAGTTCCGATCACAGGCCGGAGTGTAAGGCTGGCTCTGCAAACCACTTGAAGGACGGGGCAGACCATTGAATCTCTTGAATACACCTTGTTTTCCTCTCTCTTTTGGGCGCTGTGTTCCTGCGACCATCGTATTCATCTTTTTATCTTTTTTGCCTTTTTTTTGATTTACATTTGTATGCAGTGACTTGAACACTCAGCATTCAGCATTCAAAAAGACTCATTCACACAATTCATTGTCTCACCATCCCCAATCGATAGACTGGTCTATCGATTCACTGCTTTCGCTTCCTAAATATCCCTTGACTTGCTGTCGTTTGCACAGATAACATCTGTTCTCCGCCTTTTCTTGGTCGTCACTGGTGATATACCGGATACCCTTCATCTCGAAAACATTTCCTCTCTATTACCCCTACTGCTCACTGTACATGCCGGCAGTGCCCCTAAATCCCGGTCTTAATACACTTACGACCATCTTTGTTGCACCCCCAATTGAATACAATGTCATCGTCTGTTCATTTCAAATTCAAGTCCCAGAAAGAACCATCAAGGGTCACCTTTGATGGCACTGGTATCTCAGTCTTTGAACTCAAAAGAGAGATTATCAGTCAAAGTAGATTGGGCGATGGGAGTGACTTTGAGCTATCAATCTACAACGAGGACACTAGAGAGGGTAAGTTCCTCCATTTCAGCATGCTCTTTATGTCCTTGGTTAATATGAACTCTTCTAATATTTCCCACTAGAATATGACGATGATACTACTATCATTCCTCGATCAACCTCGGTCATTGCTCGCAGATTGCCCGCAGCACGCCCTGGTAAGGGTGGTGCCGCTCGTTATGTCTCTGGCAAGATGCCAGTGAACGCCCGTGGACCCTCTCGCACCGAACCTTCAATGAGCCGCGTGAGACCTGGAATAGGACAATCTGTGAATAGCAATGTTCTTGAACTCAACAATGCGCAAACAGAAGAGGAGAAGATCAATGCCCTGTTCAATCTGCAGGCTAGTCAATGGCAGGAACAACAGCAGGAAATGGCAAAGTACGAGCAATCTATCCGCACTTTCGTTTATGGGGGATACTGACTTTGACCAGCGCGACACCCGTCTCCTTCGGGCGTGGCAGGGGAAAACCTGTCAATGTACCCGATCATCCTCCGCCTCCCGGCTATCTTTGCTATCGTTGCCGGGAAAAAGGTATGCATGTTAGCTAGACACAACCTCATAGACTGCTAACTTTGGGCATAGGCCACTGGATTCAAGCATGCCCGACGAATGATGATCCTAAGTTCGATGGTAAATACCGAGTTAAGCGATCAACTGGCATACCACGTTCGCTCCAAACCAAAGTCGACAAACCAGAATCCTTAGCCCCCGATGGCTCCACCGAAGATTCAAGAAATACAGGGGTTATGGTAAACGCGGATGGTGACTTTGTCATTGCAAAGCCAGACAAGGCAGCTTGGGAACTGTACCAGGAAAAGGCCAAGGCGTCGGCAGCAGCGGCAGCCGAAGCAATAGCAGCAGAGGAGAGCAAAGCGTTACAAGCTCGAGGTCTGGAATGCCCAATTGACAAAAGGATGTTTTTAGAGCCAACTAAGACACCATGTTGCCAAAGGACATATTGCAATGATTGTATTTCAAATGCTCTGATTGAAAGTGACTTTGTTTGCCCTGGATGTGCCACAGAGGGTGTCTTACTTGATAACCTCACTCTCGATGAGGAAGCTGCGTCCAAAATTAAGGTTTATGAAGCTGATAAGGCCGAGGCCAAGAAAGAGAAGGAGAAGAATCTTGCCGGCCCAGATGATACACCTGTTCCCGAAGTCTCCGAAACCGAGCCCAGCGACCTTTCCACCAACAGAGAACCGGGCCCGTCCGATCAAGTTCCAGAAACTACGCTCACACAGTCCAAGAAAAGACCTGCCGAAGATGAGCCTGCCAGTCGGGATGAGACTGGAAGCTCCGACCTAGGTAACGTGGCTAAGAAACCGAAGGCCGATTCGAATGGTCAGTGCGACGCCCCAGCCCACAATAACAGCGCTCAAGATGGCGCGCCAGTTATCCCACCGGCAGAGTTCAATAATCAGGATATGCCCTTCAATGGGTTTGGGCCAATGCCTGGCATGCCTATGATGCCTTTCTCGGCGCCTGGATTTGGCAACGAAGCCATGAGCTTCATGAATCCTATGGCGATGGCGTCCGCTGGTGGCTTCCCCCATGCCATGGGCCCAGGATGGAATCCCATGAGCATGCCATTCAATCCCCTCCAAGCTGGATTGTTTGACCAGAACAATGGAGGCATGTCCAACGGATTTCCTAATATGTTTAACGGAGATCCTTCGATGATGTTTCCCATGTCCCAAAACGGGTTTCAAGGACCAGGCCCTGGGATGAACAATTTCTCAAATCAGCAACGGACAACTTTCAGCACACCATACTCCCGGGAGGAAGATTCACCGTATTTCCGCCAGCCTGTGAATCCGCAGCGTCACCAGGCTCGAAACCGACGAGTTCGGCCTAGTGATTACCGGGAGCTTTGAATAGTGCTGACCTTGACTTCTTCGTCCATGAGGATCATAGTTCGCACACAGCACACTGTGTACATGCATATTATCTAGAGCAGCCTTCTTTCCTTCTCCCCTTTCTCGTTTCTGTGTCATGCTCGGGGGCTTTTTACTAGAAAGTGTACTATTATCATAGCTGCAATAACAATTTTTCAAACTGTGATTATTTTATGCTTTTTGCTTACTACCTATTTGTTTATATAACTATTCCAACCAATTTGGGCAGTGATTGGGCACCGATATCAAGCACGACAGGTTAGCCTCAATGATACATCCTAACAGCTCCATGATTTGTTGGATCCTACTCCGTACGTATGAGATCAAGCATTTGTATGGAGTACATACAGTAATACAATGCGTCAAACAATCCATATAACATAGATCCGACATTACCTATCTAGCGTATGGTAACCGAAAGGCAAATTCTGGAATAAGCACCGAGATAAGAAGAACATCACGAGTTTGTTTGTTTTTTTTTTAACAAAAAAGAGAAAGGATATCAAGAATCATAAATCACTCCACCTAAAGCGAGAAAGAGTATGTAAATGGAGAGAGGGTCAGGTGACTAAGAAAAAGAAGGCGCTCGTCTCATCCACACCGTTTGCTTTGTCCACTTTGTCCACACCGTTCATGATCAATCAGACCATCTCGATTTCTTTTCATCAAAACAGTAACCATCTTCACCGTGTCTTCTATACTTACTTTAAATACCAACTCTCAGCCTATATCGATACCTTGACCTACACTTCTTTCATCGAACCCCACTCAGAACAATCATCCGAAAGATCAACTATTATGGCGAAATACATGAATAACCAAAGTAGTAATTGCAAACAAATGCAGCGGTTTCTTGATCAAGAATCGCAAAGCACTATTCTTGCCACCTGCTACAGTGTTGAGCCGTCGACCACCAAGGTCCATGGCTTCCACTACTGCACTACCCTGGGCGCCGGTGAATACCTCCTAATCCGAGATAGTAAACTTTTCGCGATCTGACTTTCCCAATCCAGGAGTACAGTGGTATCCCTGAGGTCCCTTCGGGGGCTAAATCATCTCTTTTAAGTCCTCCCCACGACATGCTCGATTCCAGCGCGGAACGAACTTGGCCTGAAAACAATTGGCCAGAGTACAAGGGGGAGGCGACACATACCATCCCGGAAGAGTGTGAGAGACTCTTCTGTGACAAACTGTCTGCGACATTCCTGGGTGAGAGGAGTTTCGTGCGACAGGAGTCGCTGGGGATGGATGCGTTCAATAACATGCAGCCAAATCGAATCGGGCATCGGCATGACCGAATCCATCAATGGATTGAAGTGTGGGATTACTCCGGAGACGCCATTTACCGCGGATTTGTGGCGGAACATAATAAGGAGCGGACCTTGTTTGTGTTCTTTGAGGAACATGCACTTGACCACGGCCTCAAATCAAGGTATGTGTCTAGTCATGCCCTTGCGTTCCCTTGCACAGATGGACGTCTCTGCATCTACTCAGCTTCAGTCCGTTTCTTTTCATGTCTCTTTTCCTTCACTTTCTTTGCGTGTTTTCGACCCACTTGCTGACTTTCATTTCTTAGTCTAATTGCTCTGTTTGAACTTGCCGATATCGCCACCTTTGGATGCTCCCAGATAGTCGCCTGTGTCAGCCGGTCCCAGCGTACCGATGAAATGGAGCTTGTTCGAAGCCTAGGATGGTGTGGATTTAGCCTCACTACCTTGGCGCCCTGGGTCCTAAATGGTGATCAAGAGCCATGTCTTAGTAACAAATGGCTCTTCTTGGTAGCTGAAATTTAGTGACGACGCATGACTCATTTGTTCTGGATTAACGTTGAGGATCTTGAGTCTTGATACTTCTTTGGGCAGCTGCACGAAACACGGTGTCTTCTAGCTTCTAATTGTTCTAGTAGTGATTCAGATTGACATGATTATTATCATATTCTTCTTCTCTTTACAACAACTACTACAATATACATACCTATATACATCTTCCCCCTGTTTTAGAGGAAAAAAGGAAAGCTGGAACACAGATAAGATAAGATAAGCAATGGCCATGACCTCACCGGCACTCATGTAACTATTCCTTCTACATCCCTTCTATAAAAGAGCCGTTCGAAGGCCATTTTAGAAGCCTTTGCTTGTTCAAACCTGCCTAATATGTCCAAAGAGCGTATCAAGTCTCTTAAATTTCCTAAATTTCTCCTTCCCGAATCCGTATCTTCTGGACATAGGGCGGGGCTTTCCTCTCCAACGGACCCAAGGACCCAAACCACGCAGATAGAAAAGTATCTTGATGGTCATGTCTCCTATCTGCGTTGTGCAGGCTGTGCATCGCATCTTTGCCTGACTTCCCAGATCATCAGCAAAGGGTTTACGGGTCGCCATGGCCGTGCCTACCTTGTGTCAGGGGAACCAGTAGCCACAGCTATATCAGTCAGCGCGTCGTCTTCACCTACCGTGTCACTACCCAATACAATGCTGCAGCGTCCGGTTCCTCGTCAACTTGTCACAGGTGCACACACGGTCAGTGATATTACCTGCACATTTTGCGATAGTGTCCTAGGCTGGAAGTACGTCGCGGCGGAGGAAGAGTCACAGCGATACAAGGTTGGCAAGTTCATCCTGGAAACCAAGAAAATAGCCGTCTCTTCATGCTGGGAGTCTCCGCCCAGTGTTGACTTGTTCAACCAAGCCGATCACCAATCGGAAATTGAGCCTGGCCTCGCAAATACACAGTTCGACAGCCAAGACGAAGATGAGTGTGAGGACCTGTTTGCTGGCATCTGGAGTCCGGGACTTGCTGCTCGCCGGAAAACACGCGAGCTTAAACGTCGACCTGCCATGTTTGGAATCTCATGAGCGGTGGGAAACCCTCGGGGCCGGAACTTGTGAGACAAGGCGCAGTGGATAATACGACATGATACCCTTAAGATCTTGCTGTGTCTATATTACATAAGTTTACTACGGTACCCAAGAACAATAAATCGGTATTAGGTGTCGTTTGGAATCTGGAGCCCAGCACGAAACTTGATTCATCGAAATCATTAATACCCTGCTCGATCGAAGCGATTTCTAAGATGTATAAGAGAGAATGGAACTTCAAGACACCGACCAAAGGACAAGTCCATACTTTCACGAGGAAGCATCGTCGATACGAGACCGCTTGGAGCCATCCGCCACGGGTGATTCCTCAGCAGGTCTTTTTGAGGAAGTTTCGGCTTGCTGTGTTGGCTGCTTTGCAGACTTCCGTTTGACAAAGGCAGAAAGATCTGTTGCTCCCTTGCTAGCTGCATCAAGCTGGGCTTTCTGGTCTGTTGCTGATTGCCCAATAATTTGACCTAGAACTCCCTTCAGCATAGCCTCGTTGGCTTGATCGTTGTGTTCAATCGAGACGGGTGGTCGGCGCAGATCAGTTAGCTGCATTGTCCATTAGTAAAGAATACACACAATAGATAGACGGCAAAATCAAGACCGGAGAGAGTTACCCTTTGCTCCATCTCTGTGACAATTTCCTTGACATTGGCGATCTTGCGCTTTGTTGCAGTTGCCTTATCCTCATCCTCTTGCTTCTCCACTTCAAATCTCTTCTCCTCCTGGAGCATCCTGACCCTGCAGCTCTCGATAGCACGTTCCATCTGGATTGCGGCTTCTTTTCTCATCCCTTCATCAATCTTCCGCTTGTCATTGCCGCCATCATCCTCGTCATTCTGTTGGACCGAAGCGAATTCCAGAGCGAGGGAGAGCTTATAATGGCACTCAGCGACGGAAGGATCTTCCAAAGGATACAGTGAGTTTCTCAATTCGAGAACGGTTCTCAGATCAGTGACTGCATCGTCGAATCTTTCCCCCTCTAAGGAGATTTCAGCTTGAAGGTCGTGCGTATCCGCGAGTCTTTCTTTGATATGTTTGGTGTCTACAGACATCACAGTTGATTTACCTTTGCCTTCGTCTTCTTCCTCTGCAATCTTCAGCTTCTTGAGGTAAAGAACACGGGCAAGATCAAGAACCTCAAAGGCATTAGCAAAATCATCGTCGTCTTCATCATCCTCCGCATGCTCTGTATTTTCATCATCAGAGTCATCAGAGTCAACGAAGTTCTCATCTCCTGTAAACTGGAAGAATGGCTTGGATTCCGTGGGTACTGTTTCTTTATCCGCATCCTTGGTGAAAGATGGGGGTTGAGCCATCGAATTGGCGATTGCATCTTGAACAAGGGAATCGCTCGTGGAGCTCGACTCTCCGAGACGTTTAGTCGTTGAAGATGCGACACCGGCCTGCGATTGTTGTTCTCCAGCGACCTTAGAGCCAAGGACATCGCTTTTGCTCACAGCCACGTTATACAGTGATTTTCCGTAGGCATATAGTAAATCGGCATTGTCGGGGGATAGTTCGCCATTGAGTTCAGCCTGAAGCTCGGTAGCTTGGGAATATAACTCAGAGGCAGAGTCATGGTCCTTAGTCGCATCTTTTGCAGCGGCACGTGCGATCAAGTCGTCGAGTTGGGCTCGTTTATCTTGATCTGAGACATCGGGAGATTGGGCTTTGGGCGGATTAGCCATGGTGATTGCGATACGAGTGAGGATGTCAGGGAAAAGAAGGATATAAGGGGGAAATCAGCGATTGAGCGAATAGGAAGAATAGGAAAATATTTTTAAAAGTAATTCAAACCAAGACTGAAGTACGAGACTCGAGTGAGGTGAATAGGTGGAGAGCATAAAATTGGAAAGGAAAGAGAGCTTAGTTCCGGCGCGGCGCGTGTCACGCGTCTCGATTTAATTGAATCCTGGGACCTTCTCTTACACTCTCCATTGCTATATGATTCACAATTAGTATACTGCCCGGAATTCTAGCCTTGATTTTCTGATTGTCATCTCGTGTTGCTTCAAAATATCAATTTACAAGGCCTTTTCTCCCGTTTCTTGAAGCCAGACGGTATGGACACCTCAACACCGCGACACCCTGATCGCTTCAAAATGGCGGTTGATCCAGTTCCTTCATCCTCCCCTGCATTTGGGACACCTGCACGTCCATTCAAATTGCCTAGAGGGAATGCGCCTTCCCCCAAAACGTCGATTTTACCGATTTTACTCCCTCCTTCAACGCTGCGCCCAGTGGCCTTTCGAACTTTCACTCGCAAACATAATCTCACAATCTCATCTTCTGCACTTCAAACACTAGCTGTGTTTGTAGGCAAGAACTGTGGTTCAGGATGGCGCGAGGAAGGCCTAGCAGAGCGAGTCCTGGATGAGGTTGCCAAGATATGGAAAAGAGCCGGCGGAGGTGTGATTGTCGAGGATGGAAAAGGAGCATCCCTGAAAACGATTCTACAAACCCTTGAGGGTAGTATGAGTGGTGGAAGGGTTGTTTCTGGAAAAAAGACTTCCCAAGATGGTTCATTGAAGATATCCAGCCTTGGTTTAGACGATGGACAAGTTGAAATGGTTGGTGATACTTCAAACCCAGGGATCGCCGAGGAAGACGATGCGCAACTGTCGCTTCACCCAAGACATTGGCTTAAGGTGATCGGCGCCTTTGATCTTCCACGTTTGACGTATAATGTCGACAAGAAATACTTCGAGGCCACGAAGTCAAAGCCATCCTTGTTTCCATCACCGTCTCACAAAACTGCACTGTTTCGAGATCGATACAATCTCGTATATCAACGATTGCTCCGCAATGAGTCATTCCAGAGCTCACTGAGTGCTGCTGGTATCCCTCCACTGCAACGTTCATCATCCAATCTTGCCCATGGACAATCCTATAAACTGACGCCTATCGCAAACTTGCTAGGCAGAAGTGGAACTTCACATCTACTCCTAGGATTGCTTTCAATTTCCCCCACCGGAGATTTGTCCTTGGTAGACTTGACCGGGAGTGTAGCATTGGATTTGAGCCATGCTAGAATGATACCAGAAGATGGCGCGTGGTTTGCACCAGGCATGATAGTACTTGTCGACGGTATCTATGAAGAGGAGGAGATGGTGCGCGGTGCTGCGTTGGGGGGGGAATACAGGAATCGGCGGTGCGATCGGAGGTCAGTTTGTTGGTATATCGATATGCGGACCTCCATGCGAGCGACGTGATATCTCACTAGGAACAAGCAACCGCCACGACAGCGGTCAATTGAGTTCCAGTGGTGGGTTTGGATGGGTCGACTTTCTCGGAATGGGCAGTGAACGTGCCCAGGGCGCACGAATGAGAAGTATACAGGAAAAATGCCTGCAAAGAGACCCGGAAGCAGTGGGAACACCAACCAGGCTCAAGATCGCCATCATGGGTGAAGTTAATCTGGACAACATGAAGACATTGGACGCTTTGAAGAAGGTCTTCATCACCTACAATGATCTCTCTCTTCCTGAGCGCCCTCAGGCATTTGTCCTGATCGGCAATTTTGCGCAAAAGGCTATCATCAGTGGAGGTGGCCGAGCCGGGAGTATTGAGTACAAAGAATATTTTGACTCGTTGGCGCTGATTTTATCCGATTTCCCAGCATTGCTACAACACTCGACTTTTGTCTTTGTGCCGGGCGATAATGATCCTTGGGCATCAGCATTCTCCGCTGGTGCAGCCTCAACAGTACCGCGGCAACCTATCCCAGACTTGTTCACCTCTCGGGTTAAACGTGCATTTGCATCAGCGAACTCGGAGCAGAGTAGATCTCAAACCCAGGAGCCTGCTGGTGATGCAATTTGGACTTCAAATCCTACACGCCTTTCATGGTTTGGGCCAATCCATGATATCGCCGTATTTCGCGATGATATCTCGGGCAGGCTGAGACGCAGTGCTGTCAACACTACCCTTGACAATGACTCTGATGTTACAATGCATGGGTCATCAAACACGGCTTTTGCCGCGGGCGAGGGCCAGATAGATGACATAGGACAGAGAGAAGGCAACAAAACTGCAGCCGTCTCGCCTGGAGCGTCAATGGCCCGCAGACTAGTCAAGACGATATTGGACCAAGGAACAATTTCTCCATTTCCGTTGCCATTACGGCCTGTCCTATGGGATCATGCCTCCGCCTTGCAACTGTACCCGCTTCCAACCGCACTGGTCCTTGCAGACCCCGAAGCTGCGCCGTTCTGCATGACCTATGAGGGTTGTCATGTCATGAATCCTGGACGCCTGCTGCCCGAGGGTGGTGCTCCGATGGTTAGATGGGTTGAATACGATGTGCTACGCAACCGAGGGAAGATCAGGGAAGAGCGTTGTTAGTTCTGGCAGCAATTCAATAATCTTGACGCATCATGAACAGAAATACATTTAGATGTTATGTCATATCGAGGTCTAGGAGTACATCGTGAAGAGAACACAGTAGTTGTTCCTGCATTAAAATGAAAACGAAAACCCAAGGAATCATTGAGCTACGTCAAAGAGGAAAGGGAGAGAATTGCAATGCCTAATCAATCGTGATGACGTCGGTATCCCCCCTGGCTTGCTGTGGAGCGGCAGATATCGAGCCCTTGATCTGCATTTGCTTCGGAACTTGCGGGGGTTTTGCTTCGGCTCTGTTATCGAGTTCAAGATGGGGAGAGCTGAGGCACGCATGAAGGTCAAATATGAGAGTTCCAACCTTGTTTATGCTTGCTACCACTCCATCTCCGAGGCCGGTCCAACCATCGCCTTTTGATTGGTAGAGTTTATCTTGTATGGCGGCTGTGATCTGGCCACGATCAGAACGATCCATTCCGTTGGCATCCCTTAACATCCAGACTAAGCGGTCCTGGTGCATCACTGCGCTCAGATGGAAACGAGACTTCAATCGAGGGTAGTGTATCAGATAAACAGTAGGTTTGCGTGCTGTGATTTGCACAATCGACAGATCCAATTGATTGGATTGGGAAGTGATTTGGTCCAATGACCGCAAGAGAGGGAACGTGGTGCCCAAGAGTTGAAGGATTGATTCAACACCGGTGTCAGTGAACTGCCGATTCAAAGCCACCGTGAGGGGCTCTTGGATGCGGCGATGAGGACTGGAACCCTCGAATTTGATTGCCAGTTTCAGTTGGAATAGTGGCTTAGTCTTCGAGAGAACACCCGCAACATCTAGATGGTCAGACAAGGAAGGCCCGTCGGTGCTGAGATCAAAGGACGCAGAGAATCTGTGCTCAGGCCCGTAGGCAAAAGAAATTCGTGACAAAGACAAAGATTGAGGTTCCATTCCCTTCCGTATGAGAGACTGCAGTATTGAAAGAACACACTCGAGTCGGTGCAAGCGTTCAAAAAGACCAGCGACAACAGAATGACCCGCGGGCGCAACTAAACGCAGTGCGAAACCAGCACCCTTGTCTTCAATGATTAACGAAGAATCGGGGTTTGAAACGAGTGGGACCAAGGATCTGATGCGAGTTTTTAAGGTGCCATGAGCTACCATGATGACGGAACGGCTCTGACTGTCGATTCCATGAAAAGATAGTCGAATCATTTCTTTAAATTGTGATTGCCTCTTTATACCAAAGGGCAAAGTGACCCGGAAAGCAGGTGGAAGAGTGGACGAACTGCAGTTGAATAAGAGCTCCGGAACAGTTAGATCTGGTTCTAACTGCAATTCTTTCAATGATGGCCAAAAGTGCATATTTGGCAAGCCTGCCAGGTAAGACGCATTGGCATGGATCGCCAGGATTCCAGTAAGACCATGCACCAGCTCCGCGCACGTTGTGTAGTCGAGTCGCATCTGCGAAGCAACAAGAATTTCACTGACTAGGTGAGCTTGTGGAAGATGTATAGTATGATCGCCAACACCATGGAATAGTGCCATTTTGGATACCTCAGTTGACCGAAGTTGCACCAGCCACCAGCGGTCACCATCCATGCTGCTGGTCGCTGCAGCGACCCAATGCCGGTTCCAAAGCCGATGGGTGAAGAAAGCGGTCCGTATTACACCGAGGGGGAATAGCTTGCGAGGGTCAAGCCCCAGTGCCCTTTGGTTCACAGGCTCGAGGCCGAGTGCTTTCGTACTGGACTCAATCTCCTCTATTGCAGTAACACATCGTAATCGGGTAATGCGAGATACGATCTCTTCTGTCGATGATTTATAGAGACCTCGATCACACTCTAGACGTTCCAGCACATTGGAAGTCCCACACATTGTAATGGAACCTGACATAGGTTCAATGGAAACCCGAAGAGAACGTGGGACTGTGAGTTGAACATCAAGGCGACAATCTCCAGGTTCTGTGGGTGATAGTTGAGCCTGTAGTGATAATGTGTGACTTGAGAAAAGAGTATGTTTTTTGAGGGTACTAAATGCGGCAAAGAGAAGATGTGATGTGTGTAATGCGATGACACTTCGTAGGATGAGCTCCATAGACAAGTCGTCCGAGTTGAATCTAATGGCATCGCTGCTGACCTGCTGACCGTCACGCATCCATCGGAAGCCAAGATGGGATGTTTCGGGCCTAAGGTCACTCGAACAGCCACCGCGATGACCACCTTTGACTCCTATTTCGAGCCAGCTCTTTGGCCCCGGTCTATGAGGCCAATATTGAACGACAAGTGTCCGGTGTAGTAGCTCGATACGCAGGGCATCTGCCCAAAGACCCCGAGAAAGTTCAACCGATTGCCTAAAGAGTATGTTGATTTTATTTGTGAGCACGAGACCATGAAGGAGTTGGAAACATCCCATCAAACCATCATCACGAAGCACATCGTTAATCTTGCCATCAAGTTCATTGAAGATCCGTCCTTTCGGAATGGGTGATGATGGTGAGAAAAGGAAGCGAATATCCACAAAGAAGAATTGTGATGTCTTTAATTCTTCAGCGACTGAAAGATCCAGTTCGAATTCGCCAGAAACAGTGAATGTGACCCGGCCATCATGGACCCGGTAGTTTTGCATTGGAGACGGCACTGAGTCGTGCAGTGCTAGTCGCACGCTGATGATTCGATTGAGTTTGAGTAGTTTTTTGAGCGTCGCCCGTGTTGAAAGCGGCGTTGGAGGTTTGTAACCAAGCTAGGATAGATGTAAGCGAAGTACAGATTGCAACCCTATTAGGATAACTCACATCTGGCAAAGAGGCCACCCCTCCCTTTGATAAAACCTCTACGGCGGTTTTTAAATCCGGATTTGCGACTTGCGCTCGAACGAGATCTCGCTTCACTTCGCCGACATACTGGAGAGCTGCATCATACGATTGGTGTCGTGTGCGAATGAATCCTTGGATGTCAATGAGTCTGCTCACATCTGCAGCTTGCCGACTCCATTGCGAAAGCACCAGAAGTTTGATGAACTCGGCCCTCTTGGCATGAGCGAAGTCCAAAATTCGCAACTTCTTGTGTATATTTTCCGACGAATGGTTGCCAGCTGGTTTTCCATGCGTCGTTATCGAACCACCTAAGGCCGGCACTTGTATCGCAGCCAATTCTGTAATCAACTCCGAGAGATCGTTCCAACATTCTTGCACTGAGCGATTGACCAGGGTTCCAAACGGAAAGAAACCTTGAGTGATGTGCGGTAGCTCAAATGGAGCCGTTGGCGCGATTTCCACTGCCTTATCTCCAAGATATTTTGAATGTTGGTTCGAGATAACAAGCCCACTCGGTGCGCCATTGACGTGAGCTGATCCATTCACAACAGTGCGTTGACCAGATTTATCGGCATTGTGAAAAGCGCTTGGCGCACTGTTTCTGGTGTCATTGAGGCCTGAGCGTCGGATAGATCCCTCGATGTTGACATTGTCCATGACGACGCCGGGCATTTCTGGAAGCACAGCCTAGCTGCTTTTTGGTTGTCCGTTGACGCTTTCCCCTCCTTGGCCTCCTGCACGGCGCAGAACAAGCGACCAAACACAGGCACTGTTCCGGGCTCGAACCAGTCGGCGCTGGGGTAGGAAGGGAAGCTGAGATCGAAGACGAGACTAGGTAAGGCCTCAATTTGTTGCCATGCGTTTCACGGGCCGTGCAGACAGAACGCCACTCTCATAATCGGAGGAGCTCGGCGCACGGCTTAGGTCTCAAATGGGCCTTTAACGGTCGGTTGAGGCTCCGGGGAGATGGCAACAGATCGGAAGCGGAATCGGTGAAAAATACCTCAGACTGCCACAGAGCTTGATTGGGAATTGCCTAGCGACTAGATATCACGAGATTTGCGATCGGGAGTCGAGATATTTCGGGTAGGATAACAGGGATGTCGCAATGCGAGATACGGGGCAAAAGGACCCGGTGGGTGAGCAGGAAATTAAGGGTAGATAAACAGCCGATATGAACGATTGAGGTAAAGTTCAAACGTCGTGGGATAACTGAGAAATAGGCTTCTGGGGAGAAAATGAGTGCTTAGAGTGGATTGGGTCAACAATCTTAAGTCGGAGATGTGATTTGACTGATGAAAGCGCGATGCGCTGCATGCATTACCGCCTTCAGTTGAATGCCTTGATGCCTGGTATTTTCGAGTATCATCCTTGCCTGGTATTTGTAAATGTGTAATCAGTACGGTATTATTAGAAGTACCTGGAGTCACCCCTACAGCCTGTGCAGTACAACACATTCCTAAAACTCGAGGTGTCAGTACTTCGGACATGTACCTATACAAGAAGATACCAGATCTTGTATCAATTCTCAGCCTCCGCTCCCATATGACCTCACCGCTTTGATACTTTGTACACCTGGGGATCTCCAATAATGTCTCCTAGCTAAGTTTGACTACCTCAAGGAGTATTTTATGTCTTGTTTGATTCATGTCCGGTCATGACTCTGGATTTACCTCGCCTGCCATGAGTGTACAGGAGAATTCTGGGTCTCTCCCCCAATATACTGGCGATGACACCAGGCCAACCAGTAAGAAAGAGCTTACCGGCTGGTACTGCTATGGTTGGGCTGCCGAGGTATTTGTTGTTTGTGCCATGGGTGCGTATGCTTCATGTCTTTGCCATATGTAGACAATATCTGATTAGGAACAGGTTCATTTCTTCCAATAACCCTGGAGCAAATGGCTCGGGATCGGGGCGTTTTACTGTCCGACAAGACCACACCGTGCAGCGCAACTTGGAGTCCATCACTATCATATCCCAAATCAGATGTACCAGAGTATCGTCCCCAGGTATCAGATCGCGGCCAGTGCATTATCTACTTCCTCGGCGCCGAGATCAACACCGCAAGCTTTGCCTTGTATACGTTTTCATTGAGCGTTTTAGTCCAAGCAATCCTGATAATTTCGATGTCAGGAGCCGCTGATCATGGAACCTATCGCAAGAAGCTCCTGGTTATCTTCGCTTTCGTTGGCTCAATTGCGACGATGTTGTTCTTGGCTGTAGTCCCCAAAGTTTACCTATTAGGTGGACTGCTTGCAATCATTTCAAACACTTGTTTTGGTGCGTCTTTTGTCCTTTTGAATTCGTTCCTGCCTGTTTTGGTTCGCCATCATCCATCGCTCAAGGAGATCGAAGAACCAACGCCGGCGAATGATCATATACCAAATCCCAGGGAGCGCCGTTTGTCCTCAAATGGTATTATTGACCGACCAAATCCGGATGACACCACGTCGTTACTCGGGCATAACAGGGAAACAACAGCGACGTCTCCCACGATTACCTCCCTGGAGCTTAGACTTTCCACCAGAATCTCGTCAAATGGCATCGGTATAGGCTATATCGGGGCAGTCATTCTACAAATGTTCTCAATCCTAGTTGTCGTGGTTGTGCATCCACCGACATTTTCATTACGCGTGGTGCTCTTCTTGATTGGATTATGGTGGTTTATATTTACCATCCCTGCAGCCCTATGGCTGCGCACCAGGCCCGGTCCCCCTCTCTTGGGGGGTGACGGCAAACCGCTCCATTCGTGGATTGGATATATGGCGTACGCCTGGAAATCTCTTGCAAAGACCGTGACTCGAGCACGACAATTAAAAGATATCATGATTTTCCTTGCAGCCTGGTTCCTTCTTAGTGATGGAATTGCCACTGTTAGTGGCACTGCCGTATTGTTTGCGAAAACACAACTGGACATGAAGCCTGCCGCCCTGGGATTGATCAATGTGATCGTCATGCTCGCTGGAGTATTTGGTGCGTTCTCTTGGAGCTATGTGTCACATTACTTCAACCTACGGGCCGAGCAGACAATCATTGCATGTATCATTCTGTTTGAACTCATTCCACTATATGGGCTTCTTGGGTTTATCCCGGCGGTGCAACACGTGGGACTTGGTCTTCATCAGCCCTGGGAAATGTATCCTCTAGGGGCTGTTTATGGCCTTGTTATGGGTGGACTGTCGTCGTATTGTCGAAGCTTTTTCGGCCAGCTCATTCCTCCAGGCTACGAGGCAGCTTTTTATGCGCTGTATGCAATCACCGACAAAGGATCTAGCATTTTTGGGCCAGCCATTGTTGGTGCCATTACAGATCGCTATGGTGAGATTCGACCAGCATTTTTCTTCTTAGCGATTTTGATCGTCGTGCCACTACCGCTCATGCTTTTGGTAGATGTTGAGCGTGGGAAACGAGATGCCTTAGCATTGGGAGCGGAATTGGAGGGTAAACCTGCAGGATCCAGATATGGGACCATAGTTGACGCTCGAGCCACAGAAGATGAGGCGACTGGAGGAATAGACGAAGGGAGCCTTTGACATATCCAGTAGAATGGGTTCTTTCTTTCTTTCTTTCGTTTCCTTTCTTTTGTTTTTCTTTTGTTTTTTTGTTTTTTTGTTTTTTTTTTGTTTTATTTTCGGTCTATGGGGATCTGATAGGCCTGATGTTGGAGCTGAACCCGCAGAAGCAATATGGAAATAATGGGCGTTTTTAGCGGGAACTATGTGCATGAATGACTAATAAGATCGAGATGGGCATTAATCTCGCCAAGAACAAGTGTTTTTAAGGCCACTTGTCCACTTGAGATGTACAATGTTGTATACGGAGTACGGAGTCCATGGCGAAGGGGAGGGGTACGAAGTAATGTACGGAGGACAGAGTACACAAAGTACAGAGAGTACATAGAGTTATGTATGCTGTACCAGTGTTCCCGTGGCAATTGAACGACGTGATCTCCATAGATTGGCAATAGTGGAGGTACCTCCTGGGTACAAGGTACTCCGGATGTACCTGAAGAACCTAGGATCACCAAAAAGACCGCCCTTGCAACCCTGCATAGCCCAGTCACAAAGCTCCACTCAGGCCCTTTTTTAGTGAACAAACTGTCCTCAAGCTCATTTCCCCATAAATAAAAACATTCCCGCTCTTTGGATCTTGTCATCTCACACTCATCCACTTGTATTGGTAAGCCCCTCCTTTGTAACATGCTTCTAAACATTCTGTTAGCTTCGAGAGCACTTGGGCTTATTTTGATTTAGAGATAATGCGGTCCTTTGCCCCTCTCGTCCTGAGCCTCCTTGGCGCTACTGCGGTTCACGCAGCTGAGCCCGAAGCTGCCGAGGCCGATGCCAATGTTATCACATTGACCACCGATACCTTTGATGACTTCGTCAAGGAGCACCCTTTGGTTCTTGCTGAGTTCTATGCACCCTGGTGCGGTCACTGCAAGGCCCTCGCCCCCAAGTACGAAGAGGCGGCCACAGAGCTCAAGGCAAAGGAGATCCCCGTCGTCAAGGTGGATTGCACCGAGGAGGAGGAGTTGTGCAGAACGTACGAGGTGGATGGGTACCCTACACTCAAGGTTTTCCGTGGCCCGGATTCCCACAAGCCCTACGGTGGTGCCCGTAAGGCCGATGCGTAAGTCGTCTTGGACAACCCGGTTCTTGTGCTTTTCAAAATTGACCCTTCCCTTCACACAGTATCGTTTCATATATGACCAAGCAGTCGATGCCTGCCGTCTCGACCGTGAACGAGGAGAACTTGGAGGAATTCAAGGCCCTGGATAAGATTGTGATTATCGGATACGTCGCTTCCGATGATAAGGATGCCAATGACAGCTTCACTTCGTTCGCTGAGACTCAGCGTGACAACTTCCTCTTCGCTGCCTCTAGCGACGCCGCTCTCGCCAAGGCTGAGGGAGTCAAGCAGCCCTCCATCGTTATCTACAAGGACTTCGATGAGAAGAAGACCGTTTACGACGGAAAGCTCGAGGGTGACGCTATTCTCGACTGGATCAAGATCGCTAGCACTCCTCTTGTCGGCGAGCTCGGTCCCGAAACCTACTCGAAGTACATGGCGGTATGTTCAGGCACCTTTGCTCGTCCCAAGTTCGACAAAGCGCAAAACTAACTGTCTACAACCATTAGGCCGGCATCCCCCTCGCTTACATCTTCGCCGAGACTGCTGAGGAGCGCGAGCAATTGGCGGCTGATTTCCGCCCCATTGCTGAGAAGCACCGTGGCGCTATTAACATTGTTACCCTTGATGCTAAGCTCTACGGCGCCCACGCTGGAAACCTCAACCTCAAGCCTGAGGAATTCCCCGCTTTTGCTATCCAGGACACTACCAAGAACGCCAAGTACCCCTACGACCAAACCAAGAAGGTTGACGCGAAGGATGTTGGCAAGTTCATCAAGAACGTCCTTGATGGCAAAGTTGATCCTAGCATCAAGTCCGAGCCCATTCCAGAGACTCAGGAAGGCCCCGTCACCGTTGTTGTTGGTCGCAACTACCAGGAGGTTGTCATTGAAAACGAGAAGGATGTCCTGGTCGAGTTCTATGCCCCCTGGTGCGGACACTGCAAGGCGTAAGTTTTCTACCAAGCATAGCTCTTCCCTGGCCCTCACTGACCTATCCTCTCCAGTCTTGCTCCCAAGTACGACGAGCTCGCTGCACTCTACGCTGATATTCCTGAGCTGAACGAAAAGGTTACTATCGCCAAGATCGACGCCACTGCCAACGATGTGCCTGATTCTATCACTGGGTTCCCCACCATCAAGCTCTATCCCGCTGGTGCTAAGGACTCCCCTGTTGAGTACTCTGGTTCCCGTACTGTCGAGGATCTCGTCACCTTTATCAAGGAGAACGGCAAGTACCAGGTGGATGGTCTCGATGGAGGCGCAAAGAAGCCCGTGGAGCGTGGGGATGTTACCGCTGCTTCCCCCAAGGCCACTGAGTCTGCTGCTTCCGATGAGAAGGTTGCTCACGATGAACTCTGAGTTCTACTTGCTTTCTGAATATGTAACCCCATCTTGTCTGTTGTATGTTTTAAACCCGAACTATATGTATTCGATTGCCGGTTTCCTCGCTATCGCTCAGTTTGTAAAATTGCAGCATCTATTTGCTCGTATTGCCTGGATTCAAGAAATTCATAGGTTGTACATTATATTATATTTCCCCAAACGACTACCATATAGAACCAACCCAAAAGCCAATCTCGTCTTTGCAGATCAGTCGCGTCGCGCGAACCGCGTCGGTCTCTTATCGGTCCCGAGCAACTTCTGGGGAAGCTCATTTTACACCTTCCAAATTTCCATCTCACGTTCGCCTCAGACCCATCATGGTGAGCCCTGCCATCAAACGTAAATCGGAAAATAGCTCTGTTCCCGATCCGAAGAAACTCAAAGGTGGAAGCATCACTTCATTTTTTGGAGCTCCAAAACCGAGGTCCCCGAGCACTCAATCGACCCCGACCCCACGGCCAAGCAGCTTTGATAAGCAGAAATGGGTTGCTTCCTTGACGCCGGAACAAAAGGAGCTACTGCAGTTGGAAATTGATACTTTGGATGAGAGCTGGCTAGCTCACCTGAAGGACGAAGTGATCAGCACGGAATTCTTGAACCTGAAGCGATTCCTGAAGAAGGAGAAAGACTCCAAAGTCAAGGTCTTTCCGCCAGAAGAGGATATCTACTCTTGGTAAAGCAGACTGCCTCCTTGAAGCAGTACCCTATACTAATTTCCAGAACGCAGGTCCCGATACACACCCTTGCACAACGTCAAAGTAGTCATCATTGGCCAGGATCCGTACCACAACCACAACCAAGCTCATGGGCTATGCTTCTCTGTCCGTGCCCCCGTGCGAGCCCCGCCATCGTTGGTCAATATCTACAAGGGCATAAAAATCGACTACCCTGACTTTGAGTCACCACCCGATAAAGGAGGGTTACTCATACCTTGGGCTGAGCGCGGCATCCTGATGCTCAACACATGTCTGACTGTTCGTGCTCATCAGGCCAACAGTCATTCTAACAAGGGTTGGGAGAAATTCACACAGAAGGTGATTGATCTCGTTGCTCGAGTCCGGACCAACGGCGTTGTCTTTCTTGCCTGGGGCCGGCCTGCTGGAACGAGAGTTGCCAAAGTTAACAAAGAGAAGCACTGTATTCTACAATCGGTGCATCCTAGCCCTCTAAGTGCGCATAATGGCTTTGTGAGTAGATTCTATGATGGGAGACGCTCGTCCTTGGGACATCTGTTCTTAGCTGACATTACGATGTATAGTTCAAAAATGGTCACTTCAAGAAGTGCAATGATTGGCTTGCCTCACGGTACGGCGCCGATGAAATAATTGACTGGAGTCTAGTGCCACCCAAAAAAGCTCCATTGGCCTCCACCTGTGTTTCTGACAAGGAAAACGCGACCACTTTAATCAACCAGCCGCCGGTTGGGTCTCAGTCCGAGGTCAAGGCCCAGCCTGCCACGGTTGATGAGTTTGATGATGATGACGCGGTTGAAGCCCTAGTGGCGGCTGAAGCAGAGGCAAAGACTTCAGATTCAGTTCAGAACTCAACATGAACATCACCTTGCTGACTATTCAAAATTCCTCTCGGATCTGATTTTGTATTGTTTAAGATGTTTATGGAGTTGGGAAGGGCGCATTCATGGATGGGCCTTGCAGATGCATATGGATCCGTACACCGCAAAGTAGCTAATATCCATCCGATCTACATTGGCCCATCGCAAGTGTACATCGTAGCAAATATACATATATGTAGATGTACGGAGTATAAAGATCCCTGTATCCAGTAGACAATGTGAGCTCGTAACTGAGGCCATCTATGGCGGGAGCTTCTTATCGATAACAAACGCTACTCCGCTTCACATCTCCGCTTCTCCCTCCAAAAACACCTGTAGTGCAATGAACTCTCTTAAATGGAACTCACTTGGCTTGCGGACATCCCCCAGGCACGGGGTCGCACTCGAGCCTTGAGAGCTTGTCCCGCCTGTCAACGATCCAAAGTGCGTACATGACGGGAACTCAGCGTTCACCCACCTAATCTCCTAACAGAAACGGTGTCGGCATTTAATGCCCAAATGGGAACCCTTCAATGATCACAATCGACGACCACCGTCCCAATTGTATGAAAACGGCCCCATGGACCCCGTCCATGCCAATGACTCGAATAGTGAACGGCGTCCTACATCCGCGCACACAGACCGAGCACGGATTGCATCCGATAGTCCAGCTTCGCCATCGGTCCCTACCACCGAGCGATTTGTGGGGGACCTCAATCCAGAGTCCCTAATTCGAGAAAGATTGAATGAGCCAACTGGGAACCCTCTACGGGATCGTATCGGGCTCTGGATCAACTCCCCAGCTGCGCAGAAGGCGAAAACTCATGGCGTGCAGAGAGCGCAACTCACGGATGCAGTATCTACAACCGGTTTCCCACCCCAAATGGCAAGCGATAGCCAATCCATCGCGTCGGTGCTGCATGAACGATTTGCTGCGGGGATGCAGGCATGCGAACAACTGCCCTTGGCAACGCGGCAGTCTTTGTCCGGTATCTATTTCTCCAAGGTCAACCACATTGTGCCAATAGTAGATCAGCAATTGTTCCATGCACAAGTAGAGGGCTCAGCATCCTTATTCCTCGAAAAAGCCATATGCCTAACCGCAGCAAAGACCCGTATAGCCCGTCCTCACTTACGCCTTGTGCCAGACGGCCCAATCTTGTCATCGCGCCAGTTCTGTTCCGAGATTTACAAAGGACTGGTTGTGGCCATGGACACAGAGTTGGAATCGGACCGATTGACACGGATTCGCATTCTTGCACTGATGTCTTTGCATTGTGAGGGGTACGAAGGGGCCGAGGCAGCATCTCTCCATCTCTGTCAAGCGATTCACCAGGCCCAGACAGTAGGACTGCATCTTGGCCGGCCAGACCAAACATCCACGGATCCGTTGACGAAACTTTTCTGGTGTTTATGGACACTGGACAAGATGCATGCAAGCATCGGTGGCCGGCCAGTTCTCCTTGCTGATCGCGATATCGGGGTTGCCAAACCCAATGTCCATGGCCAGGCTCCACGAGGGGCCTTTGAGGTCTGGCTTTCTGTCTCAGATCTGCTCGCAACTGTGATTTCATTCTATCGACCCTCCGCAGAAACTACCGGTGGATGGGAAGAAGGGTTCCCTGCGTTTGAGGATATAGTGGGGGAGCATACTCAAGAAGACCTGGATTTCGTGACTCTAAGTATGTCGCCCATGAAACTCTTTGTGTCCTCGCTTCTCTCAACTAATCGCAAGTAGGTTTCTTAGAGCTTTATTATCATTCGGTTGCTATCTTGTCCTGTCGATACAAACACACCGAGAACATCGATAGCACGAGGCTTTCGTCTATCAGACAAGGACTAGCAGCTGTTCGCATTCACTCTCTCGTCGCATCGGAGTGTGCGGACGACCTACCACCCCTCCCAATCGTGCCATACTCAATCACCTTATCGATGGGTGTCTCATACCGACAACTCCGGTCAAGCAGGCTTATCACGCACCTTGACCGAGCCAAAGCCAGTCTGAAGGCATGTCGCTCGCTGCTGGAGGATTTAAGCCGGTATTGGTATTCCGCCGAGGCTATGGCCAGGCTAGGCCAAAAAGCACTAGACCAGATTCAAAACCAGCCACACTCTTCTCGGGCAGATCCCGTCCATCCACAAAGGGAGGTGGTGGAGTCTCCGTACAGACATAGTAACACCGGTGGCTCGGCATCGGGGAGGCAGGAGACAATCAATTTTATATCCCATGACAATGATTCTCACCGAGCCAAAAGGCAGCGCAATAACAGCCATGGAATGCGAACGCTACCCCCCGCGGCGGGTATTACAATAGATGACCTTCAGCCTCCGAGAGAGGATGTGGATGCATCACCGCACGACGGGTTTGCAGATATCGATACACTGTTTGGAGAGTTCCTAGATATCTCCCTCCCTACTCACTTCTGGGATCCTATCTTTATGGAGGAAACACAAGGGCCAATGGACGATCCGCAGTCATAATCATCATCATTATAAGTATATACTATGTATAACAAAAAGAAAATTTACATGGTGCAGCATGAATTTTGATGGCCGGGAATTCGCCTTGGCAATCCTCTCAAGGCCTACCTAACTCCAGGGATTTTTGCAAAAAGCCCCTTGAGATAGATCGGAGAACAAACCGGAGCCCGGTGGCCTCTAGAATGTAGTATTTTATTCCGAGGCCTTCAAAATGTCAGGCTCCGGCATGTTGTTCTCTGCCAAATGGGCGAAATCAACAGTCTTGGTCTCGGTATCGAAACCCATCATGTTCACATTGTCAACGTCAAACTCAAATCCTTTCTGATGAGCCGCGTGTTGCGTATTATCGTCGGTAAAGAAGTCGGTATTGCCCGGATCATCGAAGTTGATCAAGGCATCGAAATCATTTTGGGTGACCTCCGCATCATTTGCTAAGTCCATGAGCTCGGTGAGGCTCATTTCAGAGGGCATAGCAAAGGCGTCACCATCTTTGTGATGATTGACACTCGGGTTGAGGTTGTTTGTGCTACCGTTCTCGCTTCCGTCCGAGTGCGGCGGCGTCGAGGCGAACAAGTCTCCGGTAGACCGTCCGCCCGCGGAAGGACCGGAGTGTTTAGGATATGTGAGGTCCGGTATTTTCTGTGCGAGGGAATCCGGTGGGGGCGTCAAGGTGTGGAGGCGAGAAGGGTTGGTAGTGGGGTCGAAAGTATCCGAGGAGTTGGCCGGTAGGTTCCGGGCACGGGAAGACGAGGAGGAAGACTGGACATCTTGTGGAGAGACAGTGAGTTGGATGCCTGCTTTGCGGATTGCGGCTTCGAGGAAGGAGGTGGCGAAGTCTGCGGAGGCATAGATCTCACGCAGGCGTTGGAGGATGCGCATGCATTGGTAGAAGCGTTGGAGGCTCGTCATGCGGATGCTTGGGTCGCTGGACTTGATATCGAGGAGGTGAATGATGACTGCCGGGAGAAGCACTGTGACTCCGGTGGTTGGGTAGTAGCGAGTCAAGTCAAGGCAGTGGAGGTCCTGAGCGATGGCCGTGATCTCGACCGCGGCGAATCGCACTTTGTTTCGGGACATGTCTTGGAGTTCTGCATCTGTGGATGGGTAAGGGACGGCTGGGAGGACTTGTGGGCGGTGCAAAGCGCTGGATGTAGTGAGGTAGACCATCTTCAACAAGGCACGATGCGAGTGCAGCACTTCATCTGCTTCGGAAAGCTTTGATCCACTAGAAGCGGCATATTGGGTTTCGACAGGGAGGTTGGCCAGCCAATCTTCTAATTCCTGATCACAACTCCGCACCTCAAATGTCTCGGCGGTGGATTTCTTCGGGACCAGCATCATTGTTGTTTCCATAGTGCCACCAAATTTATGGCTGAGGACCGAGTACTGAGCAGACAAAACATGGCTGACACAGAGGCAAAGTTTTGCCTTTTCAATGAACATCAATGCGAGCTCGCGCTGATGATTGACGTTCTGGAGAATCTCCGAGTTGCCAACCATAGCCACGATCTCGGGCGAGAAAGGATGGAACTCAAAGTCTTCCAAACTCAGCATGGGCACATCGCAATCATCATCCTTCACACGCATCGGGCGTCGCATGCCCAGGGCAATCAATCGATCGCGGGTATATGTGCTCCACCAAATCCGCTTCCACATCCGCTGACGGCGCACATCCATCCGCGAGTTTCCGGGGTCCCGGTGCAGGCCGATCGTGTGAGCCAACGACAGGCTGACACCCATCCAATGCCAGGTGTCTTTCTGGTCGTCGGGGGTCTCATACCAGTAGGTCATGAGCAATAGCGACTGCACGAGTGAGATGCGGTCAACCTCGTAGTCGAAATCATAGAGGAGCCGGGCGCGCTGGAAGAAGACCTTGCGGGCAACTTTGCGAGTCTGATAGCCGGCGGCTTGCAAATGCTTCATATCAATGAAAGCCACGCCAGCAAACATGACGGCCTGGAATAATAGCAGGCTGATGCGATGAATGCCATCATTCTGAACAATGTTCTGTAAGAACTCCTCCAGGTCGAGCAATGGCATATAAGTGTGAACATAGTGGATATAGCTCTTCAGTAACTCGTTGCGTAGGTTCACATCGGGGATGGTCAAGGCACCCTTGACGGCCAAGTAATCGATGTCCTCTTTCTGGAGTCGCGCAGGAAGACCTCGGATATAGTCCGGAAGGAATCCACTGGCTGATCGGGCGTTGCCAAAGTTGGGATCTAATAATTGTTGGATTTGCGAGGTCACATTGGCTAATGGCATGGAGGCCGGGACTGCTGGGTTCGGCACCATGCGACGGCGATAGTGGTCATCAGAGCCAATACGTTGGGCCTGGTTTTGGTCTGGGTTTTGGTCAGTGAGCCATCATGGATTGTAAAGTGAGGGCATTGACGCACATAGCAGATGAGGCATATGCTGGCCCTGGTCCAAGTCTATCGAAGCTTGCGAGGGAGAGGTGGGCACCAGATCGGCCAACCCTGAAAGATCCCCGAGACGATGGAAAGGATGATCTTCCGAGGCCTCCGGTGATTCGGAGTGATTCTCAACCTCCACGCGAGATTTCCTTGTTATCGCAGGTCAGCCATGAAGTGCATACTGAGTTTCTTATTCACCCACTTTCTGCGTTTACTCTCCGTCACCACGCACTCCACCTGATCTAAGCGGCAGTTTGTGCACGGAGAACCATTCTCGACCACATCGCAGCGTACTTTACGAGCGCGGCAGCAGCAACAGGCTTTTGAGGCGCGTCTCTTCACGGGGCGGTTATGGCCGGAGAGACCGGCGGTTGAAGCCTTTCGTTTCCCAGATTCGGTGTCGGTCATATTGTGTGACTTGGGAGCATTCGATATCGATTTAGATCGATTTAGATCGAGTTCACAATCGAGTTCAATCGAGTCAGATCGAGATATATAGGTTGAGCATGTGAGAGAGAGCCGAAACGGGAAGAATGTCACGATGACATGTGAGAAGGCGGAAGTAAGGAGTGGAGAGGTCGTTTTTTTTTTATTCGATTTTTTTCCTTCCCAAACTCCCGCGCGTTGGGGGAAGATGAAGGTTTAAGTATGCCCCAGGTTCTGAATTGCCCCTAACCCTGGAATCCCAAAGTTTGCGAGAATAAATTACGAGCGTTTTTTCCCCACAAGTGCCTTGTACGGTAATTTATGGCCTGGTACGGAGTTCTGGGGGTACTTCGAGGTACTGCGTCATCGGAGTCTCGCCATCGGGCTGTTCTGTACCGTTCCTCGGCCCGGTCACGTTACAAGGGCTGATTTGTCCATGTGAAAGTTTATTTCTCTTTTCGTCAAAAGGGAGTTAGAGGAGAATGTGATTTGGTTGGGATTTCCGCTTCTCTCTCTCTCTCTTTTTTTTTTCTTAGTCAAGTGGACCTTCAACCCTCCGAGAAACACCGAGCAAATGTACGGAGTATACATCCATGGAGTAAGCATAAATGTACTTGTGGAAATGTAATCACAAATGATCATAATCATCGTAACAATCGGAATAATAATTGAGAGTCAAATCAAAGATAACATCACACAAAACATAATAATCGGGGAGAAAAAAAAAAAGAAAAGAAAAAAAGAAAAAAAGAAAAAATAGGGAAGATCCTAAATTGCGGGTCAACGTGGAAACAGGGGATTTTCCCACATTCCCCCGACTTCTCAGCCAAGACTGGAGACTGGAGAGACTGGAGAATGCTCCAGTCTCGGAGCCCATGTGGAGGCACAAACTTACCTGTTAGGGCTCTGGACCGCGATCAGCGTTCCCGTTCGCCCTCGCCGTTTTCCCTGGTACTCCCCGGACATCCATCGAGAAGGGATCTGGTGATGTTACGGGGAGATGCTGCAGAAGTAGCATCCTTACATAACCCTATGTAGGAACGGGCAAACAATGTAGGGTAGATCGGCTATTCAAGGTAATACCACGACCCTAGAGGCTCCATTCTGCCACAGGTGTATGTACGGACTATGGAGTACGTGCTACCAATCCAGGGCCGTCCTTTTTTGATTTCTTTTCTCCCCCCCCCTCCCCCCCCCCCCCCCCCCCTTATTATTACCTAGGTAATCTTCCGAGTCCAGGCCTCCAGCGGAACGCCATTGTTCTCGTCACGAGAATATTCAACCTTCGACTCCGGACTGCGGAGTATCGACCAAAGAGCTCATATATGATATATGATAGATATGGGGAAGAAGGTATCCAGACGGAGTACTCCGGTACTCCGTCTGGACTCTTCAAAACATACGGAGTCGACCCCCACAATCCACATCGCAGCCCCCGAATAATGTGCAATCAACTTGGGACGCTCATCCTACATGCACCTACAAACTGGAGCAGGAACCCCTGAACTAACAGAAATGAATATCCCGCATCGTGTTTCACCCGGCCTGCCGACATTGGAAAGTGCCGATTTCCGGAGAAACTCGCCGTTGAGATGTCGACAAGGTGCCTCGGTCCATGATGTACCATTGGACATGCAGCTATATGTGTACCTGGAGGTACCTTCTCGAAGTATTGATCAAGTATCGAGGAATCCGGGTGAGATTAGGGGTTCCTAGGTTCCTAGGTTCCTAGATACGGAGGCCAGTATCCTCTCTGGTTCCAATGACGCCATTAAAAGCCTCAACCCGACCCGAATCAGGACTTGGATGGAGAAATGGAGAATTCTGTCTCTCACGAGGCCGACAAGCGGATCCCGTGGGGCGCCAATCACGAACGCGGCAAAGGTCAATGCTGATGTTGGGATTTTGGGATTTAGGGATTTAGGCCTTTTGGTAATTTCATTACGGAATTTCAGCTCTCTCCGGCATCTTCCGCCCCAGAAAAATCCATCTGGGGTACGGAGTACGGAGTACGGAGTACATCGTGATTGAGGTCTCATGGACCGCAACATCTCGCCGGTTCTGGGATATCCAGCGTCTCGGGAATAATACCTCATACAGCACCTACATTAGTGACTATGTAGCTAGGGAATCGGAGCCATAGCCTGACAGACGATTGGCTGTCCCCTCTCGCAAGTGGTAGACAGCGCTTAGAATAGCGGCGTACATCTAGACTCGGGTCCAACGACCTTCAATTCGAGAGCGGAATCAAAGCGTCTCTGTATATCCCGAACTCCGTACCGCAGTATTCATAGCACAGGGGACTGGATGCAAGTGTCAAAGGCAAGTCCGATAGCACGGTATCTTGGAGGCTGTGTGATTGCGGAGAATGTCCTGGAATTGTTCCCAATGATTGACATGTTCCGAGGGAAGGCCAATGTATCTAGTCAAGTTGCCAAGAGCCAGGGACAGTGATCAGAGGAAGAGACCAAGACCCGGCAATTTCACCCCACGTTTACCTAGTCCGGGGGAAAGCCGAGTCTGGAAAAGCCCGTCAGCAAAGAGATCTGAGAATACGGGGTTGCGCCTCTTTTTGTTTTTGTTTTTTTTTTGGGGGGGGGCGGTCATGGCGTAGTGCCCCTCCAAGTGCGGGGGGGGAGAAATAGGAAGCGGATGATGCGAGAAATCGATTCCGCTTTGGATGTGTCCCGATCGGACCAGAATCGTCTCCGAATTGGAGATACCCTATCGAGATACATGTATTGTAGTCACGCCGTACACACATCCGGCAGTAGATGGGTTCGAATGGTGTCCATGGTACTCTGTCCCACGTCCCACGGGTGGAGAGTATTGTACCATACCGAAATAGGGGATCTTTCCCAAGGTTGCCACTCCCCAGTGCAGATCTGCACATCTTCAATTCGGTATGGTACTCCGTACTCTTCGCTCGACTGTAATCGCTGCCAGAACAGCACCGAGTCCAACCCTGAGCTCCACGAGGAAGTGACGTAAGACATCTGCGATTGATCCGATCCGATGGACTCGGAGCATAGAAAGGGGGACCTCTGGGCCAGTCTGTGTCGATCCTCGAGGGTAAATGGCCCGGGGTTCTTTTTCCGTCCCCTTGCCGGGGTTGTTCGTGATTATCTGCAACCTTACACTAGGATGTGATTTCCCATACATATACACACGTAGCAACTCTGGAACTGGACTTATGGAATCATTACATCGTTTCATTGCACTGCCCTACAGTGATCCAAGCCCAATGCCGATCCCCCCATGTCTCGACCGATCTCGATAGACACCAGAAAACACAAAAATAGACATAAACATCATGAAAACCCAGGTAAACCGCGCATCCCATCCAGTGTCCGGGAATCAAAACAAGAACCAAGAATCAAAACTACAGAAAACATTAAATGACATCAAACTCCCGAATTGAGAATCGCATAAAGATCTAGAATAACCCTTAAACACCACCGCGACCCATCCTCTCAATGGAGCCCATGATTCCGCCTCGACCAGGAGTAGGCATCGCGATGCCGGACCGACCACCGCTGTTACCGCGGGAATGACCACCGGCAGCACCGAATCTAGGGATTCTCTTTTCCGCAGGGGCAGGGGGACGGATGCTTCCTGACCCGGAACGGCTGACACTTCGACGGAAGTCATCGGGGGTGACCTCGCGAGATGGCTGAACTAGGTCATCGAGGTGGTCATTCTGCACAGAAGATGCGACAGAAGACTCACGCTCTCGGGGTTGGGCTGGCATAGGGGCCTGCTGCATGGCTAACCACTCATCAACAGCAGCAACCAGCTCCCCCTTCTCCGCACGTTCAGACTCCAGACTTGCGCGCATTCGTTCAGTGTCCTCTCGCAAGGCGGCCATTTCTCCCTGCAGACCCTTAATCTGGGCCTCCATGGCACGCTTCTCTGCCTCATGTTCCTCATTCTCACGAGCGCAGAGGCTAGCGTCAACCATGGACATTGAATCCGACGGTGCAGTATCACGTTCAATACGAAGATGCTCATTCTCCTCACGGGCAGCAATTAGCTTCTTCTCCACCTCGCGCAAACGTTTCTCCCAGCGAGACTCGTAGCTCTTTTTCAATGCTGCGACCTTGGTCTCATGCTTGCCCTTGTAAAGCACATGCAGTTCACGAGCGACCTTCTCGACTGCATCTTGAACTTCGCGAGCAGTCTCCTCGGCTGAACTGGAAGATTGGTGAGATGCGCTAGCTTTACTGGCGCCGGACACAACAGCAGCCCGTGCAGCAGAAAGCTGGCTGTCAAGTTCGACAAGTTTACCTTGCAGCTTCTCTTTGCTAAGTTCGGCATCCTCCGCCCTTTGAGACAGACGCTCACGTTCACGCTCTCCCTCCACCAACTCAGAGCGGGCGGACCGCAGAACAGTCTCCATCTCTTTGCCCCGACGCTCCCACTCGGCTTGTTCCATCTCTAGCTCCTCTTTGCTGGCGGCTTCGTTGCGGACTTCTTCTAAAGCTTCACCGACACGTCTTTCAGCGTCTGCAACGGCCCGCTTGAGACTGGCAATTTCGGCCTCTTTGCCGCTGAGAGTAGCTTTCAGCGAAGATATATCAGACAAGAAGCCAGACTTCAGTGACTCCAATTCGCGAGGAGTGACTGTGGGAATGGATCGAGGGGTAGGGGCAGCTGGAATATCGAAGTCCAAGAGTGATGATATCTTTCCGGGGGTTCGAATGGACTGCCGGACAGATCGCATGGGCGACCGCCGTGAGGGAGAAAAACGGGCACCTTGCATGGACTGGCGAGGGAAATAGTCCACTTGATCTGTGAGATCAAGCAAATTGGCAGAGTCGACTTGGTTAGCCACGTCCCGAGAGCCTCTAGGTCGTGGCGTGGGTGATCCCATGAGTGAGTTCTCATCTAAATGGGTGCTCGCTCTGTATGCTCTGCGTCCTGTGCCCGGGGTTGTCAGGTCGATGCTCCGTCGATGCCCGTCCCTAGTGGGAGCCGAGCCGATACTGGCTCGCGATGACTTCATCGGTGACTGGGCGCGAAGCTTTGCAAATGTAGTCATGTCCGGTACGGCGGAAAACGTGCTCAAGCAAGTGTCATCCATCGAGTCGTCGGCAACTGAATTTTCGTTTGAGTTTACGTGGGACATGTTTTCTTTATCGCCGTCTTCTTGAAGCACTGTGCTCATCCCTTCGTTCCGTTTGTCTTCCAGCATGCTGTTACCAATTGTGGATCGATCCTGTACAGCACTTGTAGCGGAAATGATGCTCTGATCATGGATGAAACTAGGTGCCTGTTGGGAATCAACATGAATCGCTGGGGCCGTCGGCCGGCTCATCATACCCTTCTTGTGGCGATCGTTTATTTGCAAGTCATCCTCCAGGTCTTGGGGCGTTTCATCGTACGATCTTTTGCGAGGAGTTGCTGCAATCGAACGTTGAGCGCCTAAACCAAGCGATGTACGAGAGATTCGGCGCGACTCGTGAAGGTCAGGAGTATGCTCCATCAGATTCCGCCGGAAAGACGAAACAGGTGCTGGAACAGGAGAAGACCGTTCAGATACTCCCGATAAGTCCGCATGCATTTGGAGCTTCAGGGAATCGATCGCCTCTGGTGCATCCTCATGGGTAGGCAGACAGGACTCCACGGCAGGGAGGGAGTGTCTTAGTGGTTCCGGTGACCGTTGCTCTATATCGCATATCTCTGGGGAACTAACCATATCTGGTGCTTCAGGGCGGATGGGCGAACTGTGCGTCATAGCAGGGGAAGAAGAATATTTCACGGCTCCGGGCGAGACTTTTTGGATCCCAAGAGGTTCGGGGGAACTAGAAATCTTATTTCTTGCCTCGTGAGGGAAAGGCGAACTAACGGGGTCGGGTGATAACCGTGCATTTGCAACTGGCGAACCATTGTGCATTGCACGCAATCGATCAAAGTCAACCGTCTCTTCCCGCGCATTAGCGCGAAATGGGGAGCTTGCAGGCTCGTCTAGAGCTAGCCGCCGTCCCAAACCAGGCGACATGGGCTGGACCTCGCGCAGCCTCTGGTAATCCATCGAGTTTTCTCGGGCATGGGCCTGGAAGGGAGAACTCCTTGGGCTCTCTTCTTCTAATGGCTCAAGTTGTGGGCGTGACAAAGGTGATGACTGTTGCTGTTCATGGTGATGGTGAAAATCTACTGTATCTTCACTTGCATCGGGACGGAAGGGGGAGCTCATCGGCTCCTCCAGAGCCAGTCGCCGGTCCAATCCAGGTGACATCGGCTGCACTTCCCGTAGTCCTCGGTAATCCAGTGTATCCTCTCTTTCCTGAGGGCGGAACGGAGAGCTTGCGGGGCTCTCCTCTTCCAGCGGCTCAAGCTGCAGATGTGATTGGGCTGAAGTCTGTCGCATCTCGCGCAATTTTTGGAAATCCACTGTCTCTTCACGCCCATCAAATTGGAATGGCGAGCTGGCGCTGGGTTGATATGATTCGGCGTCATTGATCTCATCATCCTCGTGTTCATTCTCATGCTCGGGTTCGTTAGGGTAATAGTTTTCGTTTTTGTCATAGGCATTCGGACTTGGCGCGATGTGACTTGTCCATCCCCGCTTCAATGGACTTGAGGGGATAATTTGTTCTGAGGGTTGATCAAGGACTTTGTGAACAAAGGGCGAGGAGTTCGCCATTTGAGATTGCGCGCGTGCGTTCTGATAGGAGGATGAGAGATCGGAAAGAGGATTGGACATGATAGAAGCAAGATGGTAAAACAGATGGGAAAGAGTTAGCCGTAAAAAGTCGCCTCTGGTCTGCTTTTAAGCCCAGAGGTGCCGGTTGGGTAACAATCAAGCGAAGCAAGGCAGGGCAGAGTTTGTGTATACAGACTGGAGTTGCCGTGTTGACGTTGTTGCGTAAACAAAGCTAAGCCCAAACGGGAAAGGTGCATCCACCCTATCTACACAGTACTCTCTTCAACGTCAACTGGCATCTAGAGACTCGTTCGTGGACTACAGATGTATGTATCTGCTTCTATGTCTAGGTATCTAGATATCAAGGCATTTGTATTGGCTCTGAGCAATCCCAGCAATTGAATAAGAAACATGTTCTTCTTAATGTGACGTTATAGACGTTCTATCAAGGCATCATCTTCATCATTGCCACGGATATGAACGACATTATCGTGTATTACTTATGAGGATCAAAATAATTGGATAGTCGATAATAAACAGAGTGTTGCGAACGATCAAGCAAGCATAAATACCGACGTAGAGGAGCTGAGGTGGTAAGAACACCAGGAATGGGACCATGACATACACAATTGGATGAAGCACTGTAACGATTCCAAAGAGCCGCCAGATGCCAAGGTAATGTGCCACCGTGGGGAGAATGATACTTTGAACCACAAGAGCGACGATACCGTCACTAGACATAACCACGTCTACAGTTCGAGTGGAAAGTCCAACTCCACCTGGTATATCGAAGAGCGAGCGCGGTGAATCCGGCAACCCTCGAGAATTCTTATCCTGCAAGAAGATGGGTAAGAAGAGAAGCTCGTAAGTCATTGGGTGATAAGTAAAAAATGGAGAAAGGCTTGGGCTTTAGCAACTTCTTCGACGTTGGCGAGGAGCCATCGGCTTAGAAATTCCAGTTCTCGTCATTACGCGGATGGGTCTGATTGAAGGTCCCGTAAGTCTCCACTCGCAGGTCTACACCTGCATTGGCAGTTGCATCAGATGTGACCAGGAGTGGCTGTTCCGCTGTGTGGTCGAAATTTCCATGAACCTTGTCAGGTTGCATTTCTGGATGGGTCTCCTGTAAGAATAGCCAGGTACCGATAATTCTAAAAAAAAAAGGCAAGACAGAGCGAACCATGTGAGGTAAAAGGTAGGATAGTCTCCCAAAAGGACCATGAGCTGGAAACAGGTATGGAAACCCTTCAAGCAAGCCTCCAATCGCTGTATATAGTTAGCATTTCTGTATAATCACCCCATGGGAGGACTCTACATACCTGGGCCAACGATTGTCTCAATTGACCAAATAAACGGCATGATGGCATATGCTCGGGCTGAACATAGGCAATTGACTGTTAGCTTCGCTATATATAACAGGAGGAGGGTAGGCTCACGTTCATGCTCGAGTCGTTTCACAAGCTCGCCAACCACTGTCTGGATTACTGCAACATTGCCATTAAGAGCTCCATCAAGGGCTCGACCAGCGAGAGCGACCCAGAAGCTCGGGCCATCACTACCAGAGTCAACGACATCGTGGTGCCAACGCAGCCAGATAAAAGGATGGGCCTCCGGCCCAAGCGGTCGGAGGGAACACCCCAGAACATGCCGGTCAGCGCCTCAGCGAGCGAGAATGCCAAAATCAGAATCCCATCATAAAAGGAAATATTCTTGCCGATATCCATATGGAAATCCTTGACCATCGCCCGCGAGTAGGGGAAGATGGAAATCAAGGCTCTGCAACACGGCATATTGCTACCATTGCGCCAGTGAATCAGCACAAGCTAGGGAGATACATACATACCCAGGAGAAAACATTGTGTGGTAGGGAATTTACAGGCCAATGTATCTGATCGTATGAGTGGTATCCATACCATAACCCTTTAGAAGCAGTTCAGATCTTTCAGCTATCCACCCTCAGAGTCAGTGTCGAATCTTTGGCCCTATACGATATGTTATGTAGGTGGAGCGTGCTGGAGAAACCCCAGATAGCCCCCTTCGACTGAGATATCTCTGGTTTTCCGAGAGAGAGTAGATCTAGGCGAAACAAGGTCCTTCCCCCCTCCCTTAAAAACCAAAGCAAAAGGGAAAAGCAGCGTTGGAAGATGTCTACGTTACATAGGCAGACTGTTGTATATAATATATAGGGTTACATAATACCGGCAAAAGTCTCCGAGTGGCAAACAGGGGTATGGATCGGTGCGAAGACCTAGGTATGTAGGTACCTACATGTAGGTATTGGGTACTTACGGAGACCTACGGACATCAGAGAAGCAACTGGTGGAATGTGTTGATCGAATTTGCATGCTAAAGCACTTCTATCTTTGACCTGAAAGCGTAAGAAATGGTACCAAGCCATGAGAAAGTAAAGAAAATGAGAAGATAAAAAGCGAACATAAACAAGGAGGAACAAAGTCGAAAATGCCTGCACCAGTAACAACCAATCCCATGCGCCGGCCAATCCACACATGCCATGCGGTCCGGATTGTGTCTAGATACCAAACAAAGTCAATATAAGAAAGAAGAAACACTAAAATAGGAAGATCTTCACGAGGTAGCCTCCGGGTGCGTAGCGGAACTTGTGATCTCGACGGAGCGAGTTTCGAGCTCCTTAGGAAGGACACCAGAGCCACCGTCAGACTCCATGTGAGACTCGACGATAGGTGTCGTTGTGTCGGGATTTGCGTCGGTCAAAGGTTGATGAACTGACGGGGCTGCACTTGAGCAAGAGCCCTCCGTCTGTAACTTATTGGAGGAGTCCTCGACGTGTTCTGCACACTCATCCGCCTTCTCCTCGTCTCCAATAACGGCTGCTAGACTGCGAAAATTGAACAAGGGTTCAAGAGAAGTGTTGTTATCATCCCCCGGTGTGTGACCGCCTTTGCGATCGTCTGGAGAAGTTTCCATGATAGAAGAGAAGGACGAGGAGGCGCTGGAGACATGCCGTAAATGGGATGGCCGTGATGGCTCAGACTGATCAGCTGACTGAACCGTTGGGATTGTTGGATCAAGAAGCGAAGGGGGTTTCATTTCTCCTGTGGTCGATGGCAATGCACGGTCGACTCCTTTGCCTTTGCTGCCAGCAGCAATTTCCTCACCAACGGCATCCTCGCCCATGACAGAGGATGAGCTACTGGCCACCTTGGCTAGACTAGAGTCACCAAGGATATCCAGAGCGGAGGCGCTAGCATTATTGCTGTACAAGCCAGATTTACGAGCTGCCTTATCCGCTTTCTTGGCCTCCTTCTCCTTCTCCTTCTCCCGCTTTTTGGCATCCTTTCTTGCCTCTTTCTCCTCCCGCCTGAGACGCTCATCTTCGCTAGCCAAACTCAATCGAATGGCTTCCATCATCATCATTTCCTCGAGGTCATCAAATCGATTGCGCCTCGAGCTTGAGCGAGCCGCAGCCGAGTTACTCGATCCTTCTTCAGCAGAGGCTGAATCGGCGTCTTGTCCGGCTGCGCGAGAAGACGCCCGATCGGTACTAGTGGCTGTACGTTCCGTTAAGAAAGCCAATGCATTGAGCGCGGGTGAAGCGGTCCGGCCGCCAGACCCTTCTCCAGCAGTGGCTCTTCGCATTCCTCGGCGTCCAATGCCAAACCCACGCGAGTCATTACCGGAGGCACTGGGGTTTATCAAGTACGCCGCAGTGTGAAGGGCAGTCGCTGCCGCAGACCGGCGTGCCGCATGAGCTCGTGCATTCGATAATTTGGTGGCCCAGTCAGGCCGAATCCTGTCCGTTGTAACCACTGTAGGGTCGGTGGTGGAGAGCGAGGTAGCACGACGACGACCTGGCACAGCTGCGGTGGCAGACGATAAGGAGGAGGTGGATGATACGGGAGAAGTGAAGTTGGGCGAGAGCCGAGCGCTGGGGTCTGCTGCATAGGTAAGACCACGGCGGAACGACGGCGATGCGTAGGTGACTCCGAACTCTGGCTGAACACAAAATGGACACGCCGAGGGTTCAGAGACCAACTGTGACTCCGTCGACTCTGTCTGTTCTCTCTCGGCCGGAGGAGCATTTGGTTCGGGCTCTCCATGCTCTGGAGGATGCGGATCCGGACGCTTGATTTGAACAAAGCACTCGGAGCATATGGGTTGATCGCAGCATCGAGTGCGATTTAAGTACGGCGGGTAGTAAAGGAAACAGATTGGACATTCGCTTGCGTCTTTGTACAAGTTGACTTCGATGGGCTGTCCATTGACAAACGGATCCTTAGGGAGCTGCAGCTCCCGGGGTGTTAGATCTGTCTGTGAGTTATGCTTGGAAGAAGTGGTTAGAGCAGCCAAAGTCTTTGCTCTTGTTCTGAAGAGAGGGGAGGTCGATGTGCCGGATGCGATCGGAGATGCAGAAGGTAATGATTGAGGGGGTTGGAGGACTGTGAAACATCTGAATTAAAAGACTGCGATCTGGACGTTATCGGCACTGTCAGATGCTGAATATTTGTCGCATCAACAGGGGATTTGTCCGCGATCCTGGGTAGTTTGTACTCCAATTCGGGCGGGATCTCATCGGGCGGGGGGATGGGCATGCCTCGCGCAGCCGCCATAAGCTGATGCTCAGCCCATGACTCCGAGAAGTCATTGAGACCTCTCCAGAATGGGGCCAGTCGGCGTTCAATCTAGCCGCTGTCAGTCTTAATATCTCGCACCGAGGGGATCTCAGGCGGACCTACCATCAGTTGGCGCACCACTACTTTATTATAGTCTTCAGTTCCCACATACACTCCTTGTGTCACGAGATAGCCTCCATCGACATGCTCCTCCTTCATGCTGCGCTCCCTCTCTTTGAGTCGAGCCACCCGCTCCTTCTCCAGGCGACGAGCCTCGCGCTCTTGTTTTGTTTCCCGCCGATGTTCTAGCGTGGCCACATCTCGATCATGACTGCTGCCGATCCCAAGAATCGAAAGGTCAGGCCTACTTCCTCTTGCTGACCGAGAACCTTGATATGGTCGACTTGAGGCATCGGAGGATCGATGGCCCCGACGATTCAAGGGGGCTGTGGAACGCGACTCCTTGGTCTGGGAGTTTCCCATATTGTGGGAAAGCGGGTGGTGAGGGGAAGGATGTGGGAGTGGACTGATTCACGATACGGACCCAAAATGGATGAGGCGGAATGGGCCCCCCAAGGGGGTATTGTGGAAATACAATAGAAAAAGGGGGAGTGAGATACAAATGATGAGAATTAAATCCAAGAAAGCGACATGGAGATGGTTGAAGGAGCTAAAAGTGTGGAGGAAGAGGAGTAACTCGAGGAGCGGGGGGAGGAGTTGTGATCTGTCCGGAGTAACTGGGGAAGTGAGATCGGTGAGCGCAGAATCAAGGGAATGAGCTATGAAGCCATCTACACATTCAAGAAGTACTCCGTACGGAGTACATATGTACCGGATAATGCCTGGCACTCGAGACCTTTGCCTTTCTATTTTAGTGCTCACCTCTTGCCGCTTTTTGATCACCGAGTAAAACTGAGCACGTCCCTGAGTATTCGGACTTGATCACGTGCCGCTATATAATCAACGTTGAGATTTCGGGTCTTGATCCACGCATCGATTTTGACAATTGGGATGTTGACCGGCGCACCCCAAAAAGTCACGGTTTTTGGGTTCTGATCCGCACACACCGGAATTAGGTCGAATATCCCGACCCGGGCCTATACCGGACCTAACGTTAGGTTCACTGGATAACCTAATAAAAATCTAATTAGACCTAACTTTTATATAATTCTCTATATAAAGTGCCTTACTTGTCTAAATTGACTACTATAATTTTTCCTTATTTTAGTTACATTAAGAAAGACTTTGATATTTAGTAGTATAGTAAGTTAAACTTAATAAAATTTCCTTATTTATTAGTATTTAAGGTCCAGTAATATGATTATATATATTTAAATTAGATATTAATTATTAGTATACTATTTATCTACTAGTATTATAATATTAATATTCCTAGACTTACTAAAAAATAATTCTATATAAAAAATAATTATACTGTTACGACCCTCTGCTAGGAGAGTGCCTCACAGGCTGGATCCCGCCTGGTCCAGTGACCCAGAACCCGTGACCCAGCAGGGGTAGCATGACCCCCCGCCAGAGACCGCACCAGGGAGACTGAGTCCTGCCGGGTCAGGTGACCTAGTCCCGTGACCCGCCAAAGGTCATCCATACAGAGACTGCCAGGGGAACTTAGCTCTTTAGCGATTAGTTTATGAATATACCAGCACCCTGCTATTCCTTCACTCTAGTTCTATATTACCTGCCAGGACCCGCCAGCACGCCGGTCCTAACATATACCTATTAGGGATTATAAAGTGAATACTTAAATATATAGGGAAAATCTATATAAGTTATGAATCCTATAATTTAAGGTGTTTATATTGTTTATAACCTAACTTAGGGCCCCAACAACCCAGCCGGGTCGAAGGCCATAACCCGGACCCAACCCCGGTACGAAGGTATGGCCCTAAAACCCAACCCAAGTTGGGTTGGGTTTTTTCTGGGTTCTGCGGAAGTCTATGAATGAGTATGAACCTGTCAGCGTCTTGCTTTCTTCTTTTTCACCGGCCACTTTGCAGATCCCAAACTGCATGTGGATAGGACGAGGAAGTAGTCAATACCTGAATGAAGACCGCGATGGGCGGAGGAGGCGAAGCACTGGGTACTTACCGAAGCCGGAGAATATCCAGGCAGCAAGGCCAACATTAGGCCAACATTAGGCCAACATCAGATCGTCAACCTCGGGATCCGCCCAGCCAATGATAGCCTCTGAAATAAAGGGCGGTGGCACAAAATCAGTCCGTACCATTATTTTTGCCAAAAAAAAAAAGATTAGAGAGCGGTGTCGAAGCTCTGGAATCCGTCACTTGGAAATTTTTATCTTATCCACAAGTTGGGTGTTTGCGATAGCCTATCTTTCTCGCTTTACAGAGATTCCCCTGGCAATGACTGAAACGACCAGGCTGCATATCACACCGTTCACCCCGGATATCCTTCCGTCTGTGTTGCCAGCATCTATTCGCAACTTGGCAACAGAGGTCTCTTTTCACGAGATTTCCACTTTCCCGGAGAATAATTACGGATACGTAACTTTGCCAAAAATGGAGGCGGAGAAGATCAAAAAGAAGCTGAACGGCTCGATGCTCAAGGGCAAGAAGTTCAAGGTCGAGGCGGCCCGCCCTCAAAAGCGACACCGAGAGGAAGAGGAAGTGGTGCTCGAAGCTCCCTCGAGCGCCAAGAAGAAGTCTAAGAAGTCTAAGAAGCAAGACCCCGAAGATGGTGTATTGGATGGTTTCGAGCTCCCCACAGACCGGAAAGTGAGGAGAGGATGGACCGAGTCCAGTGATGCCAAGCAGGAACGACGCAAGTCCGAGAAGAAAGAAAAGAAAAACAAAGAAAAGAAACTCCAACCCAAGTCCAAGTACACCGACAAATCCGAATGTCTGTTTCGAGCAACAATCCCACCCAACAGAGCATCCGACGCCGCATCCGATGACAAGAAAGCAAAGAAGAAGTCCCCAAAGGATAACGTGGTTCACGAGTTCGCGAAAACGGTAACTCAACCAAGCTTCCTGCGCACCGCGGAGGAAAGCGCAGCACCTACCGTCACTTTTGAAGATGGAAAAGGATGGGTTGATTCTACCGGGAATCTGAAAGAACCTGCCAATGAGAAGATCTCGAAGGATAATTATCGGCCTGGCCAGATCCCAGGAGCCAAGGAGAAGGCCCGGGCTGCGAACTCAGCTGCCAAAGACACCAAAAAGCGCGCACGCAAAGAAAAGATCACAGAGGAATCTTCGGAGTCTGAAGATTATACCTCCTCAAGCGGCTCGTCTTCGGATGAGAGTAGCGATGCGGAAAGTGAATCGGATGAAGCAAATGTCGATGAGAGTTCTAAAGCATCTTCTGCATCTTCTGACGCGGATGACGATGTGAAGTCCACAGTTCAAGAAGAAATCGTCGAATCGAAAAAAGCGAGCGGCAATGATAGTGATAGCGATGCCCTCGCTGAGACACCGAGCCAGCCCGACTCAGATGAGATGATCACCGAGAATGCGCAAGAGATGGAACAAGATTCGTCTGCCAAGGAGGTCCATCCCCTCGAAGCTCTTTTCAAACGGGCTGCCCCGACGGTATCTGATGACCAGACAGCACCAGAGCCAGAGACTGGATTTAGTTTCTTCGGCAATGACATCGAATCTGAGGATGAGCTTCATATGGCTGAGCCGCAGACTCCATTCACGCCATTCACAAAAACCGACCTACAAAACCGAGGCCAACGTAGTGCGGCCCCCACCCCCGACACCACTGCTGCCACCCGGCATATGACGTGGAATGAGAGTGACGAATCTGATGAGGATGTTTCATTTGACAGCCCTGTCACCAAACCTCGTCTGGAAAACGGTGTGACCAACGAGGAAACCGAGTTTGCAAAATGGTTTTGGGAGAATCGCGGCGAGAACAATCGTGCCTGGAAGAAGAGGCGACGCGATGCTGCTAAGGAGCAGAGACAGAGAGACAACCGGAAGAAGGGGCTTAAGGGGAAATCATGAATTAGCCCCCAGTGTTCCCCGCTTGTAGCGAGTGATGTGTATCTAGACTCTGATGTGGTGCTTTACATACATTAATGAGGCTGTCAAAACCTACAGCTTACAACGCAAATAACATGCCATTTGAGCCAGCGTGTCTCTGGTCAAATCCATATGCCTAGGAACCTAAGTAGAATCTTGACCAAACCATCATACACTATGATACTAATATGGCATCCTCTGCGGTTTACATTGCGTATGTGATCACGTGACCTGGGTTCCCTCGTCATCGCCGCCGGTCAGATCAGGTCTATCGCATTGTCAACTGCTTTGCCCAGGATGCTCCCTGCCTGGTTCCCACCGAGCAGCAGACAGCTAATGCTGCTTTTCTTCGCATTCCTGTCTCTCACATCATTAGTCGCGGCATCCAGTAAGTTCTGGGCTCTTTCCCGAAGCTTCAAAGCGGCCAGTGGGAGATCAAGACATCGCATCTTCGCGTCGGTATCTTTTGATGCTAATACTCAATGTGTACAGCACCAACCTCCTTCTGCAAGTGTACTTGTTTCTCGAATAGCACCATCATCCCCCTCAATCCCGCTAAGTCCGAAAGCTCCTCCGGCATCGGTCATGTCCTCCGCTTCTACGAGGACACCTCCAGCCCTGAGCTTGAACATACCGATGAATATATCAAACGAGCTCGGAAATACCGACCCCTGAATTGCAATGATTGCAATCGCAAATTTTGTCTTGATTACGAGCTACCGACATGCAAAGGCGCCAAGGAGGAAGACGTGTATACGACTTGCTTCCGTAAGTCATTGGCCAGACCTCGGGACCAGAAACCCGCGAATGAGTTGGATCTGTGCACGGACACGCTAACGGATCTGTGGTATTAGAACGCGATTCACGAAAAGATGAGGCGGTGGTGTTTATTTTCATTTTCGCTACCGGTGGGCTCCTGGCCTGGGCTGCCTGCAAGCCATGGATTGAGCGATATGTTGAGGTAACCGGCTCTCTGATCATATTAGAAGCTCCGACTAACTGATTTAGGCCGCACGAGAACGCAGGTCGTATATTCCCGTCGCTGAAGCTGACCGCTGAATATGATATTGACGTATACGCAAAAGAACTCTCCCACCGATGTAAACCATGTAAACCATGTAGAAGGATGTCACGAAAGTGAACCGTGTGGAATGTGTCCGGAGTCAGCTCAGGGGTAAATCGCAGATCGTTGCTCTTAGATTGCGCATCCAATCGCCCCCACTCCGGAGGGGCAGGCTGAAACCGCTAGATGATGAGATTGATGATGAGATACAGATCTTCTGTGGAATGAAGTGGAATGTTACCTATTGGTATTTGATGCATTCAGTGACTATGTGCAGGTCTCGTATGAAGGAGTAGTTGAAGGAGGTTTGCTTGGATGCAAGTGGATTTAGATCAAACTGGTTAAGTTAGGTCCTTTTTTTTTTTTCTCGTCTGTTTGGCTCGTCTCTTTTTTCCTTAAATTGCTTGATCTCCTCTGCGAGAGAGGCTTGATCTCTTCCCTTCCATCTAATCCTGATCGCAGCAAGTGGCGTGGATATATCTATATTTCTTATTTTGTATACTCTCGCGCACTCGACACTTTCGCATTTCACGTCGCATTGACTATGGCAATTTTCGACACCGAAAAGCGCACGCGCGGCCTGCGTGTGCCCTCTCTGGCAGCCTTGAAATCTTCGAAATCGCAATCCGCGCAGAACAAGAAAGCGACCGAGTCTGCGCCATCCGACGAGTCAACAACTCCCAATCCGGCATTCTCTGCCCCGCCACTACCCAAGCCGGCGCCGCCGCCGAACAAGGAACTCCCGTCTCCCCCGAAAGAGGAAATTATAGCACCGCCGCGAACATCGTCCAACAACCCATACTTCCCCCCGGTGCCCTCATCCCGAGATACGATCCCAGAACGTCGCCCAATTGAACGGGTCCCAGTTCCGGTCCCGTCTGCGTCCTCTCGGACAACAGGAATGCGGAGCAAGAAATCATACCCTGATCTTCACGCAGAACAGCAGCCAGTGGCCTTCTCTCCTCTGCCCCCCGTTCTGGCTCTGGCTCCGGTTCAGCCTCCAGCCCCAGTCGATGGGGCCAATTCCCCGCCGCTGGAGGATTTCATCCCGACCCCGGATAGTGCAGAACCGCCACTGTCAGTATTAGAACTGCCACGCGAGGAGCTGGCCCTCTCGCCCTTTGTACCCCCAGAGGTTGAACCGGTAGCGCCGACATTGAACAAGATCCATCTCACATGCTACCAGCAGCACCGGGCAATGCCCGTGGCTCAGAACACATGGTGTCCAATGCCGTGCATGACCTGTCTGAAGTTTGACATGGAAATCCGGCATCGCTGCGTGTTTTGTTGCCTGCGAATCTGTGAAGAGTGTTTCCAGACGCTGCAGAAATGCAAAAACCGCTCTGTGGAGGAGCTGGTGGATCGCATCCCCGCTTGAGCTGTTCATATCTCTCTTGTTTTGAAGTGTTAATATGGGCGCAGTGCGCTGGCATTGGTGGCATGGGATATATATTGCATAATCTCTCGCGCCGGAACGACAGCTTCTGCTTCTGCTAGGCTAGTCAGGGTTTATATCTTTGTATTTTCTGTGCACATTCTTTTTATGATACCAAGGACCTTGTGTATATTATGGTTTGAGGGAGGCCCGAACCTGCACGTTTATAATGAATCCTTTTCTTTTCTTCTTTTTCTTCTTGTTCTTCTCTCCTTTTTTTGGCGACCAAGGTACACTGATTAGTAGTGACTGTCGACACGGCCACAGGTCACATGCTAGAGTAGTCAATTCATCGCTGCGTTGTGCAGCTTCCATATAGTACAAACGGGCATAGGCAGGTCAATCGTGATCCTCCTCGGTGAGGCCAGGACATCCTTCCAACTCAAGATCCGTTTCATAGGTATACTTACACCAGAAGCAATACCGATAGGTTTCACGTAGAAAGAGAACCAGCTTGTGTAGCCGTTCAGTTGGGGGCAGTGCATTGAAGGCATCAAGCTCCTCGTCGTCTTCTTCCAGCTCTATTTCCAGTGCAGATTTATTCTGATCCACTTCACTGCCAAGGGCCTTTTTATCGTCCCGATCCATGGTCGGGTCATCGTATCCAGGTAGATGCGCTTTAGGAAAAAAGGATGAGGGAAGTGAAGACTGGAGAGCATGGCGTGCCTGGCGATCACTATCTCTTTTTTCACGATATCGAACAAGACCACGGTAGAGGACGTTGATTTGTGATGTAGGCTTGATAGGCCTTTTCTTTTTGGGAGCTGCGTCAGACGGTGGCTTGCCATCACGTGGAGAACCAGGGTCTATCGAGTCGTCTTCTTTGTTATTGTGAGTAGGTTCCTTATTGTCCTCTGCATTGGTCGTAGCCTCATCCTCCGCTTCCGCTTCCAGTCTCTCTGCAACCTTCTGTGCGGCGCGCACCTGTGCTTCGACGCGTTTCAACTCACGCTCCTCGCGAACGCGATCCCGGTAATTCCCTTCCTCGTGTTTAATTTTCTTCACGGCTTCTTCAGCCTCCTCACGAATCTTGCGCTTTTTTTCCGTGTCCAGCCCGATTCCGCCGCGGTTTTCTTTGATGATTACGTTCAGTGGCTCAGATCGCGCCTTGTATGAAGAGTCGGAAGTGGTATCAGATTCATTGGTTGGGCGTTTTCCCAAGACCCCGCCAGGTTTGAAACCGAGCTTTGCCATCATTTGGAACCCCTTATTAGAGGGGTTGAGGGTGCTGGTGGCCAAGGCTTCATCTCGGCGAGTGGCTTCTTGCGCAGCGCGTTCGGCTTTGGATGGAACTCGGGCTCGGGCTTCAGCCTGCATTTGGAATTAAAATGTCAGATAATGTTTGGCGTTTGACCAGATAAAGATATGGTGTCGGATTGGAATGAGTGCGGTATGGTACCTCTCGTTGTTCGCGACGCTTTCTTTGTGAGAAGGTTTCCTTTTGGGTGGGCTCCTCAATCACCATATTCATGTAATCATCTTCATCTTCGGAAGCCATAGCGGAATTCCCAAAGAGGCAGGGTCTATATAGCCTAGAGGACTAGGATGACAGGAGAAAACCGATCGAGCGGCCGGACAAAAGAAAACGCCGATTTGGGGTTTTGCGGGGAACATGCGGTGGAGCTGCCTCTACAGACAAGGCTAGCGACCACACAAGACTGGAATTCATGTCATCTACCTTCATAGGTAAGTAATTGCATTCCTTTCTACTTACTTACAATTGAGAACTTCCTGAGCTATACAGGATCTTCCAAGGACATTCTGTGCCGGTTGCTTTCACATGTAAAGCTGGCTCTCTGTACTCCGTACGCTCTAGCCCTAAACAAAGAGGCCATGTAGAGACTCGAGAGCCACCCCTGGACATGTCGTCTTATTCTTGTCTCAGTTGCATGGTTTCAGATGTCTTTCCATTGTTTCTCTCCTCTGGGAAGGAGCGTCCTTTCTCTCTTGTTTGGGGGTATGGGGTGAGAAAGGCATACATCTTTGTCTGTCTAGTCACATCCCGAGGTCGGTGGTTTTCACAGTGCAGGTCGTTTACAAATGACATCTAGGACTATACGGAATCTGATCATCTGCATCTTGATTCTACCTATCAGCGAGGAACGACCAGGAATTATGTCTCTCATGAGTCATGGACGCTGCGTGGGTCCGTTAAGCTCCCTTGCTGGGCCCGTCCATGTACACACCCCTGCGAGCGTCTATGCACAGATCAATGAGCCAACAGCCGTGCAAGGGCCTTGTCCTCATGGTCTCCCTGGCTGTTTAGCGTTGTGTTTTCACCATAGCCTTAACAGACAGGGTCACTCACACACAGACAGGGGTTTTCTTTTCTTTGAACTCCACGGGGGTTCTTTATAAGGCATGGCTTCGACCAGTTCAGAATCAAGCTGTGGGTCATTATGAATATTTTATACTATATTCTCTCATTGCTATCACTAGCATCTGCTTCTACAGTGGTTGACTTGGGATATGCTAGCTATAAAGGCCAGACACTGTCCAACGGAGTCACACAGTGGCTGGGTATCCGCTATGCTGCTCCCCCTGTAGGGGATTTGCGGTTTGCAGCCCCAGAAGATCCTTTGGATATGGAGGGGATTCAACAAGCAAATGAGGTATGTGTTTCTTGTAGTCATTTATTCAGGACATCTACTGACCGTTCATTAGCATGGAAAGATATGCATCCCCACTGCCTCAGGTGAAGGCAAGGCAGTTCCAGCTGGAACAGGAGAGGATTGTCTGTTTCTAGATGTCTATGCTCCCACAGCAGCAAAGGGCTCAAAGAAACTACCTGTCTTCTTTTTATACAAGGAGGAGGGTTTGCGAAAAACGCAAATGCCAATTATAATGGCGCTGGCCTGATCGAAGCATCTGAAAACAGTATCGTCGTGGTCACCTTCAATTACCGGGTTGGTCCTTATGGCTTTCTTGCAGGAGAAGAGGTTGAAGAAGGGGCCAGTCTGAACAATGGACTGAAAGACCAACGAAAGGCACTGGAGTGGGTTCATGAGCACATTAGCAAAGTAAGTTGACTCGTCATTTGATGGTCTTCTCTTGCGGCCAGGCTGCTTTTCCCCCTTTCATAGCTAGTCTTTTTTGACACATTCCATTCTAGTTTGGTGGCAATCCCAAGCATGTGGTCATTGGTGGTGATAGTGCAGGTGGTACTTCGGTGGCTCTCATGCTATCAGCATATGGTGGCAAAGACGAGAAGCTTTTTGTTGCAGCAGCCTCAGAGTCACAAAGTTTTGGCACGATGCTTAATGTCTCCGAGAGTCAATTTGCATACGACGAGCTGGTGACTGCAACTGCATGTGACAGTAGCAAAGATACACTGGCATGTCTACGCGAACTAGATGTCCATTCTTTGCAGGCGAAGAACATCAACAGACCCTACCCAGGAGCAAAGGGAAAGCCGCTGTTCCTATATGGTCCCACAATTGACGAAGATTTGGTGCCAGACTACACATACCGTCTCTTCAATGAAGGCAAATTCATCAAAGTACCAGTGATATTTGGTGACGACACCAATGAAGGCACAACATTCGTCCCCAAAAAGGTTTCCAGCGTCGCCGAGGCAGATACTTTCATCAAAAAGCAGTTCCCATATATGACGCAATCTCAAATGACCAGGATCAACAGTATGTATCTTACTGCAAATCAGACAGAGACATTCCCTGGAGCTGGACCCTACTGGCGGCCTGCAAGCAAGGCCTACGGCGAGATACGCTACATTTGCCCCGGTATTAAGATGTCTTCTATCTACGCTGACGCAGGTGTTCCAAGCTGGAACTACCATTACGCAGTGCAAGACCCCGCCAAAGAGGCTTCTGGGATGGGCACAGATCACACGGTTGAAGTGCATGCGATCTGGGGTCCAGAGAATACTGGCCAAAGAGCTCCAGCCTCATACACTACCACTAATGCAGCTATAGTGCCATTGATGCAGGCTTACTGGACAAGTTTCATCGTGTTCTTGGATCCAAATACCAAACGTCTTTCGTCGAGTCCGAAATGGCAAACTTGGGGCGATGATGCATATCGCCGGATATTCATTCGGACGGGCAAAACTAAAATGGAGACTGTACCACAGAAGCAGAGGAGTCGATGTCAATATTTGACGAGCATTGGCGTTGCCTTGAGACAATAGTGTCGCACATATGACCTTGGAAGTAATGACATGTGAATAACCTTGATCGATTCAAGCTTTCGTTTTTGTGGATTTTATGCCAAATGGGGACTAGCGCGATGTGGCCTATCCAATGATATGCCCCTTTCACGTGATAGGCCATCCGTGGCAACTACCTGGCAGCACTTGATATCAAGGTACAGCAGCGAAGCACCAAGAACCCTACACTAGAAACACATTTTTTTAAAAAAACGATCGAAGGGCCATATACATGTCTACGATTTTATCAACACGAAGATAACCACACAAACTATGTCGACGAATTTGACTTTTATTCCCAGCCTTAAACCAGATGAATAGTGATATATATACCAGCCCATCAGGACATGAAATGAAGTGTGATATATGAAACATAAACATAAAACAGAAATCGAAATGCACGGTGCAAAATGCAAGGTTACCGCCTGCCACGCTCTCGCTCGTACTCGTTGGCGGCACGACCCTCCTGGCTTTGAATTTCTGCAACAAGGCGCTTGTACTTCTTCTCGTACTCCGAATCGCGTTCTTTCTTCTCGCGCAGCTTTTCGCGAGCAATAAAGCTGGCATCCTTGCGGAGCTCGCGCATGGCACCCTTGCGCTCGCGCTTGAGCTCCTTCTTGAGGCGATTGGACTCGGCACGCTCGCGATCGGGATCGTAGTGCTTGTCTGGGTTGAAGTTTTCCTCGAACTTCGGAATGGCTGTCTTGATGGCCAGGGGTTTGTGGTCATGCAAGAACAGCGGGCGGCGAACAAGACGAGCCTGCGCAAGGTGGGAATCGATCTTGTCCAGGGTGCTCTGAACGGGCTCCCGGGCTGCCGCATATACCTTGCCCTTAAGGGCTTGGCGGAGGTATTGCAGAACGGCACGGGCCGGTGTGAAAATCTCGGTGAATGCGGACTTCTCGGCCCACGTATCGGAAGCAGAGCCAAGGAGGGATACAAAAGTAACCAAGAGAGAAATTTTGAGTTCTTCCTGCGCCTGGGGATCAGATGGAGACATGGTCACATCGCGGAATTGCAGTTTACGAGGCGTGACCTTCTTGGAGGATGCCAGCTGAACAGATTCCAGTGACTTTCTGTAAGGGAAGGCTCCGAACTTCACAGTCGGCTCCGTAGGGGCAAGATTGCAGAGAGCATTCAAAGTGTAGTTGATAAACTCGGGCATGTATCTCTTCGAAGCGGCCTGGTATTGGAGGCAAAGACTTGAAGCAAATGCACCACTTGCAAGGTCCTTGAGGGAGGTGGTAGTGCACTGACCCAGGTACCGCGCCAAGCAGAGATGAGCGGGTGTGGCCGTCGTGTGGAAATGATCTGATGTGGGGAAGAAGGTTGAGATGCCGGTAAGCAAGATGAGATCGCCAGGAAGCAAACCGAGTGGGCGCTCCTTGCCAATCTCACGAAGACGCGCACGACATGCGATTGTCACGTTCAAAGGATGGGTCTTAGCCAAAGAATGAATATGACGAATGATATTCTCAACAATGGCAAATGGAGGTTGCTCGGTCTCGTTGCTCATGTAAGAAACATGTTCAACAAGGACTTCAGCGAACCGACCAAGCTTGTCCTTGTTGCCAGGCTTAAGGCGGGGATGATGCAATGCTCGAATACGCTGGATGACTGTTGGGATTTCCTCGACAGGCACGTTCTTGATAATAGCCAAGAAGCTTGCGTGGTCCTTTGGACAAGGATACGTGAATGCTAGCTGTCCGTTTGCTCCCTTGCTGATCTCAGCAGCAGTCGAAGCGCCAGCGGCATCATCATCTGTTGGTAACGTCATTCCGTTGATGAGCTCGTCCTCTCCATCTGGTCCTTCAGACTCATCACTCGACACATCCTCCTCCTCCTCTTCCGCGTCACTATCACCCATGTCGAGGCTAGCGTTTGAATCGGTCTCAACTAGATCTTCGTCGATGATGAAATCGTCTTCATCTTCAACACCGAGTTCAGGCCGTTCGGTAGGATAGGCTGGAAGGCCAAAATGCGTAGCGTCGTCGATTTCCGACTCATCATCCTCACGCATTTCGTCCAGATCCATATTATCCTCCTCGTCGTCACTGAGCAGCTCTCCACGCATCCGCCGAAGGCGATCACTCTCAAGTTTCCTGAGCCGTTCTGCCTCTTCCTCCACCTTCTCCTCCTCCGTCTTTGTGCGATCTGTGGGTTTTGACCGCTGATCGAATGTCATCTGCCTGAGCCGCTGATCATATTCTTTCTCTGGATCCTTGTTCTGCGACTGTTCAAGCATGGCAGCTCGCTCTGGGTTCATCTCTGAGAAATCCTGCTTGGGTGCCGCCTCTGGCTTTGCTGCAGGCTTCATGCCCCGCAGAGCATCGAAAAGATCAGGAAGTTGTTTATCCAACTCCTCTCTTAGAGCTTCATCGTCATCTTTGGCCTGTTGCCGTTCCGCTTTGTAGAACTTAGACTTGGCAATGACTTCTTTCATAACCTCGGCCTTGGTCTTTTTGCGCCCTGGTTGCTCTTCATCTCCATAGTCGATGAAGTCCTCCTGTTCCTGAGCCTCATCGCCATCTTCGAGTCGTTTCCGCTTCCGCGACATCTCATCGTCGGACTCTGCGCCCTCCAAATCGCCCGCCTCGAAGTCGTCTTGATTCGGTCCATCGAACGATAAAGATTGACCCATGTGAGTAAGCTGCATCTCATCTTCATCGTCCTCGAGGTTGAACATGGACTCTTTCCGCATCTTCCTTTGGTTTTCCCTGGCGAATCTTTCGGCGGCCCGTTCCTCTGGTGTCATGGTAGGATCATTCTCACCAAACCGGCGATCGACTAGTCCACCAATCTTGTTTCGACTGTTCATTTCTTTCAAAAGAGTGGCGCGTCGCTGATTAAAAAACCGTGAGCATTATCATCATTACACATAAGGAAAGCAGGCTAGCCTACTCTTTCTTCACCCAGTGATTTGGTAACACCCGGGCGAGCGCCACCTCCGGCAGTCGTGTTGCCATCTCGGGTTGTGACATCGAACTTGCTTGATTTGTTGGTAGTTTTGATCTCGAAAGGGTTGAATCGGTCTCGGATTGCTTGCAAGGCTATCTCGCGTTGGTTGCGATTCTTCGCACCGACGCCGGTCTTCGCATTTTGGCGTTTTTCTTTCTTAGATTTCTGAGGACCAAGAACTCCATTTTCACGGAGGGAGGCCTTCAGCTGCTTCAGCTGAGAGGGCGGCATTGTGTGTGGTTGGGCTTAGATTCAAGAGTTGGGGTTTTTTTCCTGGTCGTCAAAAAAATTGAATACACCGCCTCCGCGGGCTGCGCCGATCGGGATTCTGCCGATTGTGTTCTCCGCATCTCCCCAACTTCCAAGTCCCGCAAACATAATGGCTCCCTTCTCTGGGGATGGTGTATTATGGCTGTGTTTAGGTATGGGCATGTTCAGTTGATCAAATGGGATGAGTCCGAATGATTAACTCGTACAGGTGTCTCATTGTTCTTCGCTATCCGTGGTATTGCCACAGACCTGCGCCAGGTCGTTGATCTGACGGAAATCAAACACGTCGAGAAGGAAGACAAGATCATTAGCGAGGGAACAGAAGAAGGTGCGCAAATCTTTAGATTCAATATTTAGATATACTAACGGATCCTACAGCTCTCAACCTAGACACCCTCTTGAAGCTTTCTCAAAGCACGAGCCATGACCTCCGAGCTGCGTACGCTGAAAAGACGTTATCCATAACCGCTTATGTGTCAACTAATACTCTTTAGGGCATTGCGTATCATTTCAGAACGATCTACGAAGGGGGATACTCGTGACTTACTGTTGGGGGAACTGGCATCCAGAAACAAAGTCTCCCAACGGCGGGCTTTGAATGCATTGAATTTCTTGGTCTCCAACCGAGCACGTATGCTATCCACTCTACCTGGCTTCGATGGCCTGAATGAATCTGATACCTTACAGTTGCCCGAACCTCCATCGGCACTCGACTTGCCGACCTGCCTACGTTTACTGCCATTATCAACTGCCTCTGTAACTTGCTAGAAGAACATCTAGAGAAGACCTCTACGACCAACTCGCCCATTCTGCCAAAGACACGACCAATGGGAGAGAAGAAGGCGTTGAACATTCTGACCGTTCTGTTGCCAGAGAACATACCCGATGCACTAGAAGCGGGGATCATCAGTCGGTGGCTTTGCAGATATCCTTTCCCATGTGCAATGGCTGAGCCTTCTCGCCGGCGCGATGTGGTGATCCTCATGAAAACATGGTGGTCAGATGACGCAGTCATGAGCGCAATTTTCAGCACGCTTTCCTCGCACCCAGACGGGATCAAGCAGCTGCGCAAATATGGACTGATGGGTAGCATGATTGAGGAAAATGACCACGACGACGAGGACGACGCAGACAGTGATGTGTGGATGGTGGATGCGGATGAGGCAGGTGGTTCATTCGGACGAGCTCCTTCGCGTAGACTCCAAGAGGGAAGTGCTGAAGAGCAAGCGCTTCGCCGACGCAGGAGAGAAGCCATGGTTCTGAGCGACGGTGGACAGCCGATTGGAAATGACGACATAATCCAACGACCTATTGATTGATTCCGTTGCGTTTGTGCTCTCCATGATTTTCAATTTCCTCAATCCACCGGTCAACCAAGCAAGTCTTAGAATTAGCCGGCTCGCTACTGTATTTTTTATGTCCATGATACCCCAAGTCAGAAATATGATACGCAATGAATCCCATTTAACTTGAATATATGAATCTAAAGTCCCATCCACGCTGACTTGGCCAAGTGGTCGGTCTTTTTTCGACTGTTCTTGATCACACCAAACGCCTTCAACTCCGCAAGAGCGCTATAGAATAAAGACATCACGATTCGGTCATCGCAGCCACCCGCCTCTTCAGTCTCAAATATACCATAGAATGCCTGCCAAAGATCGTGGACATTCACTAGAGCGCCTGAATCAAGGTACAACTGATATAGAATCGCGGTAGCAGGCTGCTTGGCTGAGACCTTTGTCATAGCGACATCCGACGAGGAAAGCAGGTAATCGAAGGGAGTAGCCAAAGCGCGTTCAATAGCGAAGCGTGGTCGAGGAGCAAATGTTTCCTTTAGTGGGTTCCTCAGATCAAACAAAAAGACTTCATGTAAGAACAGGTCGTGCGGGTCTATAAGGGCTTCTGTCAGATGCACTTGCAAGAGGGCAACCAGCCGGTCGACAATGTTGGTGTATTCTGCATCTTGTTCTGAGAGATCAACTTTGCCTTTGCTTAGCCGGATACGTTGCTGAACGACTGTTGTTTTTGTGACAGTGCTGTTGATATTGTATCCACTGCGTAGTGGACCAGAGTTCGAGCAGGTTTCCAACAATTTCCCGAGATCCTCTTGGATCACACCAACTTCCGAACTAATTGCGATAGCCCGAAGATGGTTGAGGATGTCATCTAGCTTATCAGAATCTAGCGTCTTCGCCGTGGCAAACATTTCTTCCACGATAGTGGACTCGGACAGTTCGCCCGAGAGGGCGCGGACAGAGAGGTCAGGGATACTAGTCTTCTTCCCACTCTGTATGTGTTGAAGAAAAGTGTGTATGATACGGACGGCCTGGAAAAATTTTCGCATTCTTTCCTGGCTCGCATCGAGGTACTTCGGCGTTTCTTGTAGGAGATATTTGTCATTTTCCAACATGTCTCGAACTTGTTTGGTGGAACCTTCTTCGACTAAATCCTCGCAGAACCTTAGAATGACATTAGTTGAGATATCACTTGAGAATCGGGGAGAATTACATTCGGAATGATGGCAGGTTTCTGATGGCCTCACAGAGCTTGTTCTGAGTGAGAATCGCTGAATTTGGATTGGCCAGCAATACAGCCAAAGGATTTGCAAAGAAATGAGACATGTATGCATACTGTATAAATTAGAAACCTATTTGCAATGCCTTTGGGAGTGTGTCTCACCTTGAACATGCGACTGAACGCCTCTGGACTTTGGAAATAGTCACTTGTGTTCTCAAATAAAGTGTTGGTCACGTTGCGACCCAACCAAAGCTGCGTATCCGGGTCAGTCTGGAGAGACTCATAGATGCGATCGACACAATTGCCAGCTTCTTGAACCTCGAAATGCTTGCCTTGGAGAAGAGCAACACACGAACGAGGCAGCCGGCCTTCAAATAACTCGATAGATGTGGAAATCCCCAGTAGAACAGTAAATGGTATACGGTCAAGCCATGATCTAACCGAAAGTAAGTAAGTATATCGGCCAAAGTTTGGAATCTCGATCGCACTTGAATAGAGACAATAGGTCTGTCAAGAGACCAGGGTCAAAAGCTTCACTATCTCGGAGAGCTAGAACCAACTTCTTAGTCCCTTTTCTCTGCACATAGTCATGAAGGAGGTCCAGGTCGTAACCGAGAAGTCGAGGCCCCTGATGAGTAGTTAGTATAGTGATAGGATCAATTTCCAATGCGAACACATACAGCACGATCTGTAAGAAATCTTTGGTATCCATCGTTGCCATCGGTGTTCGTAACAGTGGTGCGAATAATGTTCTTCAAGGTTGTTTTTAGATTGGGGGCATCGCCTGATTCCAAGACCACCACGCTGCCCTCTCCGGTAGATAGCAATTGATCATTGAGCCGTGACAGTAATCTTCCAAGCGAGGAAACATTTGAACCGACTGTTACTAACGCCGTAGGTATACATCCATCGCATCTAGAGCCCCGGTTAGTGCACAATAATAGTGATCATCATGATCGGGACATACGTCTGAGGTGAGGTATTCCTGACAAAGGATGATACATCCGTCAAAACTCCAGCATCGACATCTTCAAGGATTGCCTAAAAGCATTGTAAGCAACCGACTTTCATGACCATCTGTTAATATGTCGGACTAACTTGAATCTTGTGTTCTTGCTTGGGCCATAGCTGCTGGTAGGAATCATATCGCAATTGAACCGACTCAGCATTCTCTTCTCCGTTTAAAAGGGGCACGAAGCACTTTCGATCCAATTTCTCATCGCTAGCGGTAATTGATGAGACTTTGCGGCGCTTTGAAGGTCGTTCGCCTGCCAGTTTTCCATGTTTGGGCGGTTGATAGATGTATGCGCCCTGCGATGATTTATTAGTACACAACACAAATATGAGCAACTGTTATAACATACCAGGGTTTGGGACTTGTCATTTGACAAGCCCAAGGCATCGTCAATCCCATCAAGATCCATGCTGTTACTCGAAGGGACTTGGTCGTCACAATGGGGATGACTTCAAGGGCGGAAGCGCGACCGACGCTAAACCTAATCAGGTGATAATTGGTTCTCTTCCGAATCTGAGCTTCTTCACTTCTTCCACTTTTCTGCTCGCATTCGATGACCGATTGACCTCAGACTTCATGCTGCGCCAGGCTATCCAAGGAGCCCGATGGTGTCAGCATGTGGCACGCAGCCCATCGACACGCGCTTCACGCCGGGCCTTCTCCGTCCTAACTCCGCGGCGTCTTGATTTTGGCGGTCCAAACGACAAAGTCACCTTCTATGAACAAGAGTCCCCCGAGAGCAAAATCCGACGCAAAGTTGATCCCGAAGCGGAAGATAATGAGGAGCGAGAGAAAGTCAAGAAGGAGCTCGCGAAGCTCCAGGATGAACTGAAGGTCTTGGAGGAGGGACCTTTTGCCCCCAACAGCCCTTTCATCAAGAGTTTGCCCGAAGAAGATAGGAGGGTTGCTTTGGAAGCTCTAAGAAAATATGACGAGGAAAATCCCAAGCCCGCGGACCAGCCTAGGTTGGATCAGGTTTTCGACCAAGAGCTTGATGATATGCTTCGGGAGGAATTTGAGGGCCTTGCAACGGAAGAAGAAAATTGGGAGGATGGCGTCAAGCAGCGGCGCAGTTTAGCTGCCAAACAGTCTGCTGCCGCGAAGCGCGCAGGCGCAGAATCCCATCCCTATGCTACTAAATTCAACAATTATTTACGACAACTCCAAGAAAAGATGTCGGATGAGCAGGCTCGACAAGAATTGTGGAAGTGGTATCGACGATGCAAACAGACCATCCCAGGTTTTTTGACAATAATGCCTGAGAGAGCATTCGACACAATATGGGATTCGCAAGCAATGGGAGAGCACGACCAGGCGACCCGATCAACACATTTGAAAATTCTGGCCCAGGACGCTGCATCTATCGGCCAGGCCCTTGCTACGCCTCAGATTCTGTCGTATATTACATCTCTACATGAAAGTGGCTCTACCAATCTTGCACTGGAGCAGTGGGAGGCATACCAGGCAGAGCTGTCCCAAAAAAAGGAAGACTTGGAAGAATATTGGAAACTTGGAGTACGATTATTTGCAGCAGACAATAACCCCCAACGAGCCCAGGATATTGCTTTGGCTTTCCTGGCAAACGACCGAACTCGTCAGCCACGCGTGCTCATTCCTGTCATTACAGCATGGGGAAGGCTTCCTGGAAAGGAAGCCGAAGTGAAGGCTTGGGCGCTTTATCTGCAACTGAAGACATTCTTGGGTTCGGAAATGACCATGGATGATTACGATCAGATCAGCATTGCCCTGCTGACAGCCGGCCGATTGGATACCGCGGTCGCAATCTTCAAGGATATGATGGTCACTGGAAAAGACCCGGCTAACGACTCAACTGCTTTGTACAAGGCGGCTTTAGGCCTGGCGGGTAACCTTCATGCATCTAGTATCAATGAACATGAAGTGAACAAAGTCTCCTTGTCTGCTCTCAAGGTGCTACCTCGTCAGTTTCAAAATCGATTTTTCTATGCAAGCTGGATGAAAAAGCTCATCGGCATGGGCGAGGTCGATTCGGCTGCTCTGGTCATCGAACTCATGTATGAACGATGTGTCAAGCCCGATACCAAGCATTTGAATGGAATCATCGCGGGCTGGCTCCGTGACGGAAACACAACTGCACGCGATAAGGCGGAGCGACTTGGGTGGGCCATGATCCAAAAGCGCATCGATATTGTATGGAAGCGATTTCAAACAGCTGAGAGTTCCCCCCAACTTCAAATCAGACATGAAGAGACCAAATCTGTCCGCATGCCCCAATTTATGAAGAGAGGCGTCCCGCCTGCGAGCATTGAGACATTTTCCATTCTTCTTCTTCATTACACACGCCGGGGTGATGATGATATGGTCAAATACTTGGCCAAGTGCCTTGGAGATGCACAGATCAGGCCAAACTCTTACTTTATGAACCATCTTCTATACGCGGAACTCCGAAAGCAAGACGTGAAAACACTCTGGACCAAGTTCCAAACTATGTCTGCCGCCATCCGACCTGACGTGGAAACATATGCCTGCCTCTGGGATTGCGCCAAGCTCCAATACGACCGTGGACGTACTGCTTTCGATGTGGGATTCCCATCAGCACGTCACCTCTATGCGAACATGATGTCTTGGTATTCCCAGTTATCTCCTCGCGCCCAACAGACTGCACAGGCACAGATGCCCAAAGCTCTGTTTGATCAAATTGTGCGATGTTTCTGTCTGTCCAAGGATATCTCTGGGACGTTAGTCGTCATCCACTCAATGCATTCGGTATTTGGTTTTGTGCCAGACGACACTACCGCTCGTATGATAGTACTTCAGATTGCGCGACTGGCTGGTGTGCCGGCCGATACGCCGAAACGACGCCTCCGTCGCTTGTCTTCGACACCACGAAGCAAAGAGAATATTGGGCAAGTCAGCCGCCTCTTGCAATTGTTGGGTGATCGCAAAGCAGAAAACCTAAGATTGCGAGGTTTAAGTCTCGAACAATTGGATCCACATGAGATGGAACAGTATCAACTGGAGATCATGGCTAGTCTGCTACGTATTGTGATGAGTCGAGCAGACGCCTTGGATCCAGCTCAAGTCGAAAGCAAACTCAAGATAGCGGCGAAGGAGATGTTAGCCGAACAGATCGACTTAGGGTTGCCCTTGGGAGTAGATGATAGCAAGCTTTTGTAACTGGCCATGTCAGTCCCCAAGAATTGCTTCCTCGACTTAACTTCTCCATCGCATCGGATCTACTGGGAAAGCATGAATGGCGTTGAACGGGTTCTTTTGTTTTACGCCCACAAAAAGGGCTATGTACATTATTAGTCGCATTTGGATAGACACCTCTAAACTTGTATATTTATGTTCGTCTTTACTTTACTTGTCTCTACTTTACTTGTTACGAGAAGCTCTTGCCCTTATTGTGGGTCAAAACTGGTATAATAATAATGATGCAATTCCTCATGATGCAAAACCTGTAGCCCAAACCTCCTAACAATGGGAGTATATCTTGAACCCCAGATAAAAATACAAATAACACCTAATAAACCAAAGTTTTCATATCTATTTCTTGCCCTTGCCCTTCTTCTTCTTTGCGCTTGGCGGAGAAGCAGGGGTATTTGAGGAGGTTTCGGCCTCCACTAGGACAGCATCGTCATCGCTACCCTGTATAGAAGCAGCAGGAGCAGGGGTTGTAGATGCGGTCTCAACGGACTTCGCTGTAGTGTCGGCGGTCTGGGTCGCGCCAGTAAAAGCCGATGCAGACGAGTTCTCATTCAATTCCTTCATGAACCCTTCCTGGATACTCGTCTTTTTCTTGGTCCACCACTGGCGCTCCTCTTCCAATTTCCCTTGTTGCTCATTCATGCGTTTGCGGTAGATATCGTTATTCATCATCTCGTTGGCGGACTGGAAGATAGTCTGACCCCAGCCAGCAGCGTAAGCGTTTGCCTATTTAGACTGGTTAGAAAAGCACAGTGTGGTTTGTGGGGGGGCTTCTCATACCTCTGAGACCACATCCTTGACCTCGTCTTCCATTTCCTTCTCCGCGCGCTGGAATCGCTGCCAGAGATCATCACCAACACTACCACGCTGGAGAAGCGTTGCAAGAGCTTGCTTCTGGCTGCGCAGCGCCATAAGGCGACGGATATCTTCAGCAGCGCGACGAAGAAGGGAAGCCTTCAGGATTGAGTCGGGGATGGCCGGGGATTTCTTTTCCTTTGCGGAGGTTGGTGAAGGTTCAAGGTGGAGGAGAGAGAAGTAGATATCGCGTTGCAGGTGAGCAGGAAACCATGGCTCTAGAGATGCTGCCTTGTCTACAATATGTTAGTATTCAAGGACACGGGCAGATCGGGGGCAGATCGGGGCCAATCGATTGGAGATTGATAGGTATCCAAAAGTTTGCTAGGGAATAGCTCACGTACGGGCTTTGCGCTTGCGGTATAGAGAAGAAAATGTGGCAAGCGACCCCAAGAGAATGCCTAGGTAGGCGATTGGGACGGCGAGACTGAGCCAGTCCACGCCGAACATTGTGATGCGGTTTTTTTAGAGTAAGGGTATATAAAGTTCTTGCAGAGAAGATGAGACTGAAATCCAACTCTCAAGCATGAGCAAAAGGGACGAAAAGCAAGTGTTGATGTGTCAACAAGCTCCGAAAGGCCAGAAAGGCCAGGGTGTTTAGTGGGTCACGTCACATGTTCCGCCCTATTGTATGCAACTGACTCAGGTACAATCTGTAGTTACTGGCTCATTTACGGAGGACTGTTTGTTCGAGACCATTTCATAGTCTACATACATTTCCCCCATGTCAAATGACCCGCTGAGACCGAATTTTGCACAAATAAGAAAATTGGGTAATTCACATTGCTCCCCCATCCATCTCGCCGTCCGAAAGAAAACAAAAAAACACAAAACAAAGAAAGACCATCGCCAGATCAAAGGGGAATATGAACTGAGTCAACATATTGACAGAATAAGAAAATGAAAGAAAGGGACGGAAGCATAGAATAGCCATCAGATAACTCTCACTGGAAGCTGAGGTTGGCCAAGATATTCTTGGTCTGCTGGCTGATGGGTTCGATCTCCTGCATTGCCTGCATGTCTTCCAGGACTGCATTGTATGTCTTGCCGAGACCGTCGGCAACGAAGGTGCGATTCCATTCCCCACGCTTGTGCCACAAGTAGTCCATCAAGCTGGTGTTGATCTGTTCGAGCTGTTCCACCGAGAACCCACTGGTCGACAGGGTCAGCTGCGTGTGCAGACGTTCAACAACTTCAAGATCGAGGACAAATGGCTCGTGGGGTTCTTCGTCCAGAACAGATTGCAGGTTAGCCGAAGCATTGATTGCTGGCATGTTGGGTGCATCGAAAAGAGGGGGCTGGGGCTTCGACTGAGACTCGCTTCCATTCAAACCGCTGTTCTCCTGGGTGTCGGCATTGCTAAACAACGAGTCCCGAGGACGGGGAGAAGGCTGGCTGCTGTCGCCTTGTTGGGTGTCGGGCAGGTGATCTTCCTGCGATACGCGATCAGGGTATTGAGTAAGATCGGGGTATTCGGTTCGGGAAACATGAAGGCTTTGAGTGTGGTAGGTTTGGTTGGACAGATGGTCAGAGGACTTCTTGTCCGAAGTTGTCTGAGTAGTGGATGCTTCGTTAATGTAGTCGGCTGGCTGAGATCCCGGGGCCATTGGGGTCATCGGACCTCGCTGAGAGAAGCTCGAAAGACCAGATTCTCGGCGAATCTGCTGAGAAGGCGCAGTGTGGGAATAAGGAGGCTTGGGCTGCGCAGATGGTCCGAACGAACTTCCCTGTGTATCCTTGCTACCCGACTGATCATCCGAGTTGGACATGAAAATGTCACCGTCGCCATCCCCATGGGTGCCGTTGCTAGCACCGCCAGCATGGGATCCAAACTCGTTGGACTCTGAGCAGTGTCCTGTATGGTCTCCGTTGGCGAAACTCAGACTGAACTGATTTGCGGGGGTCAAAGGGCGCGAGACTGCTTTTTCGTCATCGCCATTGGTAGGGAAGGACTCGCCAAGGTGAACTGGCTCAGATGGCCCCGGTTCAGTGTCGCCGTGCGGCATGTTAGCAGACGCAGAGAGAGGAGCAGCCTCGATTTCCGCCTGAGCACGTTTCTCGCGCTCTGCTGCCTCCTTCTCGCGAGCCAACTCACGCACATAAATCTGCTCACATTCTGCCACGAGAGCTGGTTCAGATACAATCAGACTGGCAATGTCAACCTCCACATTTGTGTGAAGTTCCTTCGATCGCAACGTGCGGTCCGGGTCTCCAATTTGTCGAGAATCTTTGACCAATCGCTTGACATCCGCCACGAAGTCCGTAGGGCGTTTGTAGTATCCATTCGAAAGACGTTTTTCAATTGTCACGATGTCCATGTTGTAAAAGAACTTCCCAGTGGCAGTCTCACGGAGACCCAGCACACCATGTTTGTCGTATGCTTTCTCGTAAGGCCGGTAGGTATTTTGTTGATCTGGAGGAAGATCACTAGTAACAATGTTGGGGTCTTCTTCATCCCACAAGTATCGGATTTGGGATTCATCGATCACACCCGACTTGAAACGCTTGTACCGCTTGATTTGGTCCATGATAGGCTGGATTCGAATTTTCAAAAGATTCAAGTTGTGATAATCTTTCTTCTTTTGAGCCTTGAGCTCCTCCTTGGTGGGTACTGCTTGGGGCTTTGGAGGCGGTGGCGGTGCAACTTCCAACTCTTCTAGCTGGCGCAGTTTGCGATTTTCTGGGTTCGGGAATCCCTTAGGAGGAGTCTTGACAAATTCAATGATCTTTGTGAAGAATTCACGGCGAGCATCGTGTGTTGGAGCAGATAGATCATACAGGTTCTTCTTTGAGAACCCAAACATGCTCTTGAGCAAGGTTGCATCCACTTCCTCTTCCGATGATTCAAGAATACCGAGCAAAAGAACCGGGTCAGAAGGTGGCACTGAGCGCAAAAGACCTAAGAAAGTAGAAATCACAGCAGGTCCGACAGTCTGGAACCAAAGGTGAATGTTGGGAATGTAGATGACACTAGGCTTGTGGCGCTTGACCTCAGTGAACAACTGGATGACTGCTGCTTCTGGGGAGCGGGTGGAATCGCTGAGCAGAGTAGGAAGATCGAAGGCTTGGACATGCAGACCTTCAAACACATGTAGTAGCGCACCCGCGAGATATTGCTGGCCCATGCCATGGGGACCTCGGAGGAGCAATCGAGGTCGGAAGACACGCGATCGATCAAATTCTTGCAAAAGCAGCTCTCGTCCAAAGCCGGCACCATCATCAAGCTCCTCATATTGAGCTTCCTCTAGAGCAGTGAGTTTCTTTCGCTGAGGCAAAATCTCCGACAACAAAGACTTGATTTCAGACAAGGGATGACGGAGCAGGGGTTCAATATTCGGAGGGAGAGCAGTCGCGCCAGATGAAGTAGACCGTTCTGAAGAGGGCACCATCTTTTTGATTGCCAGCATGAAATCTTTGGGTGCGACATCGATTGTCTTCGGGTCAATCACAAGCTTCTGGTCTGATTTGTAGATTTGAGGGTATCGTCTCTGCACGGCATTGATTGCAGCCTCAGTGCAAAGCGCTCGTAGATCGGCACCACCATATCCCTTTGTCATATCCGCCAATTCATCCTTGATGTGGCTAGGAAGGGGAGGGTCCCATTCTTTGGTGTGAATGTCGAGAATAGCACGGCGGGCTTCGATGTTAGGCAGCGAGAAATAGAACTCACGGTCAAAACGGCCGGGTCGTCGAAGAGCAGGATCGACAGAGTCGGGTCGATTAGTGGCACCGATCACGACCACTTGACCACGGCCATCCATACCATCCATCAGTGCAAGCAAGGTCGAGACGATCGAGGCATGAATCTGTTCTTGTTTGCTCGATCTCACGGGAGCCAAACCTGAAACAAAATATTAGCGATATGTAACCAATGGGTTCGGGTTAACCCGTCTTACCGTCAATTTCATCAAAGAAGATAATGCTAGGCTGATTCTTGCGAGCTTCTTCGAAAAGAAGTCGAAGTTGTCGCTCGGCCTCACCAACCCATTTGCTCAATGCGTCCGCACCCTTCCTCATGTAGAATGTGACCTTGCGTCCCTCGGAACTGACACTGTTGGCGAGAGCCCGGGCCATGAGCGTCTTTCCGGTACCAGGAGGACCATGGAACAAAACGCCACGAGGAGGAGTAATGTTGAAACGCTGGAAGATTTCTGGGTACAGCAGAGGCAAGGAAACCATCTCTTTCAACTGATCAATGTGGCCTTGCAAACCGCCAACATGGTCGAAGTTGACATTCATGTCTACTCCCAGGGGGTCTGCATCAGCTAGAGCCTGCTTGTTATTGAATTTGCCAAGGTTTGCAGGCGTTCCGGATGAGTTCTGAGCAGTATCAGCCGACTGGTTGTGAGTAGCTGCGAGTCCACCACCAGAAGCAAGACCGGTACGATTCGGTTGTTGAGGACCTTCGTCATCACTGCTATCGCTGTCTACTCCCCCGGTGGCTGTAGGGCCACCAGGAACACCGAGGATTGCCGCGTTACCACCACCACCAAATGGACCGAATGTTGAGAACAAGGTGCGCTGCCAACCACCTCCGCCACGACCACGTCGGGATGGAGATCCAGTCACTTCGTTGTCACTGTCTTCAGTGGGTTGAAGTATTTCAGGTCGAATGATGCGATAATCAACATCCTTTCGGTTGCGACGCGGCTTCTCGTACACGACCGCTTGTTTCGCACGACGACGGAAACGGCCGGACGTAAGATCATCCAGTTCATCAGCAATTTCATCAGCCTCTTCTGTGGGCTCACGGGCTCGAGCAGGCCGCTGGCGCAGGCCAGGGCGCCGGCTGGCAGAGCTGTCTTCGGCTTCCTCGCGAGCTTGAATCTTTTTGCGGGGAGAGGCACGCGAATCAGAATCAGAATCTTCCTCCTCATCATTCGATGGCTCTTCTTCTGGTTCAAAATCGCTTTCTTCATCTTTGCTCTTGCGTTGTGAGCTTCGAGGTGGCTGCTTCCGGCTTGGTCGACGCAGCTGTGAGTCTTCTTGAGTCTCACCTTCTTGCTCTGCGTTTCCTTCCAAGGATTGCTGCAGAGAAATTCCATCTTGCTGCTGAGTTGCTGGAAGCTCGTCGGTGTGTTCGGAATGAACGTTCTTATGGTCCCCATTTTCTGATTCGGGGACAACGTCTTCATCGTCCGGCATTTCTTCGTCAATTGGGTCGTTATCCCTGTCATTCACTGGTAAAGTATCACCTTCAGCGCTAACTTGGGGCACATCGCTCTCCAGTACTTCCATTTGCGAGCCCTGAATAGTGGTTTCGTTGATGATTTCGTCTTCTTCGGCGTCCTCATCCTCTTCATCGATGATCGTGCGCTTGGCCGCGTTGGCCATGCGACCAACTCGCGCAGCGCGGTGGGTGGGAGTATTTTCTGGGCTTCGGGTACCTCGCTCGACGGTTTGCATGTGTCGACCAGAGTTGGTAAGAGCGTAAATATCCTCTGAAGCGTCACGGGTGTGGCGGGTTACACGTTTGCTGTAAGCCAGGTAATTGGGCGGGAGCTTCAGCTTGATGACCGCGCTCTTGCGGGGTGGAGAAGCTCGAGTTTCTTCCTCGCCAGCCTCATTGACTAGCTCTTCGTCTGAATCGGGTTCCTCGTAATGCGGGCGATGGCTCTGTGTGGTTCGTCGACGCGCCGTCCCTCTGACATTGCGCTCCACCTCAGCATCCTCCGAGTCTTCTTCTGCCTCTTCAAAGTCGAAATCTTCAGACAAGTCTTCCTCGTCCGAGGTGATGCCATCGTCGGAGTCGCGTCGTCGTCTCTTCTTTGGGGCCGGTCGCGACTTTTTCTTGGGGCCCGCCTTCGACTTCCGGGCAGTGGAACGGGAGTATTTAGCATGATCACTGTAATCCTTGTCGTCGGAATCAGACTTGTTGGCGACCTCGTCAAGGGTGCGCTTTGCGCCACGAGCCATGGCGCCGGTTTGGTGATTAGGGGGATCACTTTGAAACCACAGTCAGCACAAATGACTCTAATATGAGGGGATACAGTGATAACACAATGAGAGGAATTGAAGACCAAGATAACAGGTAAGAGGTAAAGAGGCCAAGAGACGGGTCTTCGACCTTGCGCAATGCGGGCGGGAGGAACAAGACTTACGAATGATTCAGTTGTCGCCAGCAACAGCTGGACCACCCGATCAAAGGGAAAGGATCTGCCTGTCAGAGCAGTAGCCTTGAGACTTTCTCCCCGACAATTGCTGGTCAATACGTTAGCGGAGACGGCACGGTGGTGGAGCGCAATTGGGGCAGAGGTGGAAGGGTCTCACGGACTCGGGAACGCGTGGGAAAACAAAGGACTTGGAACGATGTCAGCCACCAAGACACATGCGCAGTGCACAGGGAGAATTGTCAAGATTAAAAGAAAGTAGAAGAAGATGGGAACTCGAGGAACAAAGACTTCAGGGAAGAAGGGCGGAAAGGACTCGCGCTCATTGGGGCTGACTACCTGAATGCGTGAGCCACTGTTGTGGCGTATTGATCCATTAGTCAACAAAGCGCACGTGCCACCCTCTTCAATGGGGGGAATGGCTTCAATAGCCATTGTCACCCTCAATCAGCCCATGGATAATACCCCCATGAATAGAGCATTGCAATAGCTCTATTCTCCTTTTGAATCGATTGAATCGATTCAATCAATCATTTTGATGCCCCAATACGGCATAAATCAAGATTAGCAGAGGTGGGAGGATGGCATGACACCGTGATGACAGGAGGTGTCAGAGGGCAATCAGGGACGTGAAGAAGACGAGAATAGCCCTTCGTTTTTTTGGTCTTTGGTTCATTGCCCTTTTCTGCCCCGGACGCTTTCGACTGGACCTGATATCATGTGCCGCTGACTCAGCGGTGGCTCGTGCCCAGGTGCAAGCCACCAAACAGCCCCGGAGAGCTTGTAGATCTACATACTCCGTACATGTACGTCGGATTTTAGACCCCTTCCGTTTTCGCTTTGCTTTGGACTGAGCAAATCGGTCTTATAACGGTTAGGAATTAGGAAGGCTTAGGGACTTACGGCATTGTTTGCCTGAAGCGATTTCGGGAGACTCGTGAATATACCAAAAAGTCTTTCCAAATTGAGGATTTGAATGAATGCCACTATATGGAATATACCTGGTACAGATATGATATTCCCTGTATGCATGGATAGCTACAGCGTTCCAGGCCCAGGCCTATTGAGAAGTAGGCACTATGCAGCAGGCCGAGATAGTTTATAACTTATAAAACAAAAAAAGTAATGATAAGAGTGGGATTCGAACCCACGCGCTTTCGCAATACGGTTCGTGTGACCTAAACGTATCGCCTTAACCACTCGGCCATCTTACCAATTGATGTTAAATAGGCAACTCCAGTGTATTCTATCCATATCAAACATCGATCAGACAGAAACTCTTTCCATCAAAGTCGGCTACTCACGAAATAGGCCGAGGCAGTAGGGGATTTTGTTGGTCGCAATCTTCTGTCATAGGAGTATAAGGCTACCATCTGAATTTTCCAACGTGGAAAATAATGTAAATATGATGGCCACGCAATAAAGAGAGGTAAATTTGAGTCTACAACATATGTGCATGTGAATGTTGTGGTCTAAAATACGAATGAGGTCATACGCTAATCTCTTGCACCGCAGTTTGTTCGTAGAATGGAACCATCGTTCAAAATGAGATAAGTGGGGGATCTAAATGGAGGCAAGACTACGATGGAAGAACTTCATTACAGTACACCCTGTCTGTAGTAATGCCTGGAGTCTGTATAAGATCGATATCTACTGTATCCCCAATCGAGAAATTCACATCTGCGGCCTAAAATCCGGTACATACTACACATTTCATTCATTGATCTCGAACTCTATTCACTAGACCAAGTACAAAAAAAAAACCAGCTATTCGTATCTACTAACAGAAAAGGTCTCCAGCAGAAAACAAAGCCTAAGATACAACCAATTGCTACTGGAAATGCCTTTGGTCTTGTCCAAACATGGTGTCTCATGTCGCCAATTGGACAGCAGTCACGGACAAAACGACCGAAAGGAAACACCTTTGATATACCCAAGAATTAGATCATCAATATCTTAGTCGCTCTATATTCAACAAATGCATTGCTATTGCTAGTTGACAGATCGATGTATCAAAGATTGCCTATTTGACACTGGGTAAATTCCACGGTTTCGAAGAGTATTTTCATTCTGACCCATACATCATAAGCTTCGTTTATCGCTTCGAAATGAGCCCAATTAAAGCAATATACGCTTTCAGCCCATGCCAGGCTCAACATCGACCTTAGGTTCTAAATAAACATCTCAAAGTATCCCCTTCGAACCACGTTCTTTCTTTCTTCCAGCCGTGAACAATGAGATCTCTGCCTACCTTGACAACTTCTTCAATTTTCTGCTGGCTGCCCCATCCAGAGACCCGAGTCCCAAAACAAATGAGGTGTGTACCAACGTGCATCGCAGTTCGAAACGCAATTTCATCGCTCAGAGACCCATATCCCTCTAGTAGCCCTTCGATGACCCAAACGCCCGCCTCCACATCTTTGAAGAGCTTCATCTCGTAAAGCTCAGCAATCATCTGGCCTAGGTCCAAGGCTCGGATCCCAATGTGCGACATTTCCCAGTCAACAACGAACAGTGTCGTTTCAGGCTGTCCAGTCAGTGGAACATTCGGAATGAGGACACTGAATATCACATTAGTACCATCCATTCTAGACGGCTCTAGAAGAAACAAACTCCGAACGTACTTTCCAGTCCAGAAATCTCCGTGAATAATCCCATAACTGTCATCATAGTCCTGTCTCTTCAGCTCTGCCGCTGCAAGATCACGAACTTCCTCAAATACACCGCGACTGTCTTCCAGGAGCACCGGGAAGTCTTTAATAGTGTCCACCAACATCACGTAGTTGATATAAAACTTCAAGTCTTTCATCACATCACTCTTATTGAGAACGGATGTGAGCTCCTCTTGTTCCGGTTGGATTGTCCACTCGTGGAAGGATCGTAGCCAACCTCCAATAGCGCGACCGAGCGATTGCGCTGAGGCCCTCGACGTGCCATGGGAAACTTCCGAGAGTAAATAGTTCTTCAGATTGAGTGAATTGGGAAGATCTTCGAGAACTTGTGTGTGCGTTTCTCGGTCAAAGTGGAAGAGGCGAGGTGGTTTCACCGTGATATGATCCTGGGAGTAGGGTGAGGCGCTATCAAGTGCTTGAAGGACGGCTTCTTCAAAGTGCTGACCTCAAATTAGTCAACTCCCATAATCAACTTCTGATAGAAGGAAAACAAACGCTTCGCGTGGCAGCAAGTTTGAAATTTGGATTGGAAGCTAGATAGTCTTTGGTATGTTTAATGATAATGGAACTTGCAGTTGACGAGAGTATGCCTCGGTATACGAAATTGGCAGTACCTCCGGACAAAGCACTGATGGAGGAACACGCAAAAGGGGTATGCAAGAGTTCTTGCGAGATTTGATCCTGGATTTCATCTGTCTGTTCCATGTTGAACGTCTGTTTGGGCAAAGGTTCGAGGAATTCGAAGTACACCTTTTGTCCAGTATGTACTGAAAGACGCTAGTACATATCGGGTCCCCGCAAACAGGGCAGCGGATATACAGAAAGGCGATTGTTAGGCCCCACGGAGGACATATATGCACAGCATACTAAGTGTACAGGGTAGCCCTGCTTGTATGACTGGTCGAGTTTGAGTAGTGATCAGAAACCGGCAACCCGTGGAAGCAATAAATCGCAAAGGGAAGTCTCTCGCTGATATATATCTACATGCACGTACGTCCTCTACAGGATGGTTTCTATTTCCTTCCCAGTTTACTCTCCGAGCCAACTGCCAGAAATCAAAAACCGTATATTAAATACCAGAGAAGTTGCCAGCTCCAAGCAAATAACATACATACAATCAGGAAAAGGGACAGAAAGCGACCTGAAAACTTGATACCTCAGGGAACGCCAAGAACACACTAAACTCAAAGTGGAACACGAACTTCGACTTCGCTCTGGGCCTCTTCTTCTCTTTATACCTACATATCAACAGAAGCCAAGTTCTTCTAATTACCAATATGTTTTCACAATCAATTCGTCGTCTTACACCGGTATCTCTCCAATTTGCTCGACTGCCCATCAGTCGACGCACCTTCACCTCCACACAAGCCATATTGAACTCCCAGAAGCCAAGTGCCTACAAGGAAGGGGTATGTTGATGGTCTTTTTGTTTTATTTCCTTCTTCTTAATTAGATCCCAATGATTAAATTGCAACGTGCTAAATATCTACCTAGATGAATCAATATCGGGCTTTCACCGGTCCCTTTGCCAAGGTCTTCTTGGGAGGCGTGTTCGTTTACCAGGTTCTTTACTGGACCTGGTTGAAGTTGGAAATGGATGAGACGAAGGTGCAGAAGAATGGTAAGACCAACACTAGATTTATTGCGCTACCCTATCACTCATCTTATTAATGTTCCCTCCCCCACAGAACAAGTGGCCGTATTAGAGAAACAGGCCCGGGAGATGACTGCCTCCCAGAAATAATTACAATTTTGAAAAAAATGTGTACAATAGGTATTATGTTGGCCTGATACTCAGCGTCATATTGAGTTATGGCTTGAAATAACATGTCAATTCCATATTTGAACATTCATTATCGTGATGGTCCCCAAGAAAACACCAAACATTGTAGAAGATTCCATTATAGTACGGGGCTAGAATTTCATATTCATAACCCCTAACGTGTCATACCATAGCATATTTGCGCTTCCGCTGATCGACCGTTGCAGTCCTCCGACTAGTGTTCTTGGATGTGTGGAACACATTCTCACTCTGGGCCATCTCTTCTATCCCGAACGACGAAGACGGAAAACGCCAATCCTGACCTCTCTCCCCTTTCTTGAAATGCTCAATATCAATATGATTGAACCTTTCATCCCGGGCTGCTTGACCACGCTTGGTTAGCGTGACCCTATGGTTACAGAACCCGCACCAGAAGTGCGAGCCGTCTGCCAGATCGAGCCTGTTGTTGCCAACAGATGCTGCAACCTGATATTCTTCCACTCCATGCTGACGCAGGTGCTGGGTATATTTTTCGAGTCGATAGAATAGCTGCTCGCACGATGTACTGTTCCCGACGTGTTCCGTGCAGAACCAGCTTTGGACATGGAGATGCTGGGAGCTCTCGTGACGCTTCCAGTCAGCTTTGCTACCAAATGACTTTGCACAATGCGGAAATGTACAGCCGTACGGTCGTTCATGACGCTTCTGGTGCTTTCTGATGACGTTGATGGTTAGCACCGAATTAGGAAATCCGTAAGAGCCCAGGGTAGCTTACTTCATTTCACAGCGTAGCCTTGTCTTTTTGGAGCATGCGTCACATTGGAACCAGTCACGTTTCTCGTTATCAAAGTCTTGGGGTGTGCCTTCATTTTCATCGGATAACCTTTCCAGGGCTACCGAAAGCACCTTCTGCAACATCTGCCGTTGTGACGGGGAGAGTTGAGTATTGTCGGATCCAAGGTCGATACCCTCATCGATAGTCTGACTTGGCTTCCGTCCGCGGTTGTTCATCACCTTCGTCATGGCATTTATTAGGTTATCAGCTGCGTCTGCAACTGGTCCATCTGGCTTTGTCCCACGTTCAGTTGAAGCATCTTGGTTCGCCGAGAGACCCAGAGAGCCAAAAGCAGGGAAGTGAGAAGATTCGATGCCTGAAAGCGACGGCGCGCCCTGCTGAACGATTTGAGGCGAGCCAGTACCAAATGTGAAGATACCAGCCTTCTGTTGAGATACAGATGCATGATCCGGTTCGGATTCGCCGGTGGACTGGACAGATGCGATGTCTTCTTGTGCTTCAAAGACGGACTCATCTCTGGAGCTTTGCTCGTCCAAAGTTTGTTGTGGTTGTTGGCGAATGACTTTCTCGTACCAGTCCATGGATCTGCTCATGGGTTAGTTGGCCCAGTTCGACATTTTTATGTCAGACTCACTTTTTCAAAAGAATCTCCCCATCCTCTTCGCTATGCATCCGATTCAAGTGTTGTTTAAAGTTATCCAACCGTGGCCACTCCTTGTTCAGGCGCGGACAGTGTCTTCCAAAACACATATACATCATCTTGGGTCCACGTTCTGGTTCTTTGTTGTGAACGCACTTCTTATGGCGGGCAAGGTCATTGATTGTGCCAAATCCTTCCTTTCGCGCGCAATTTGGTACGTCGCATTTAAATTGCTTTTTGTGGCGGGCCTCATGTTTTCTGGGGAAGTTAGTTTGGTGCGGTGTTCCCTAGCGATTGCAAGTCTCAAAAACCTACCTTTTATCCGAAGGACACTTTCCAATCCATGGACACGATGCATGATCGCATCGCATCGACCCATCATTTGACTGCGACGGCGAGCCCACAAAGTCTGATGTATACGGTGAGCCAGACCCGTAGTGTGGATGATCAAAGGAAGTTCGAGGCTCGGCCGAGATATTGTCCTTGGGGACAGTCCGTGGACTGAACGAATCCACACCATACGAGGAAGCAACGACCGATTGGGTTGCACAGCTAGTCCCCTCATAGCCCGAATCGGCGGAGTGATAGTTATCCATGAATTGACTCCCAGTATCAGAGGGATCGGAGTAGTGATGTGAGAAGCCGCACTCCTGATCCGGTATCTGGGGGGGCATGTTCATGTGCGAAATGGATGTGGGTGGCACGCCGGTGATCAGCAACGGGTTCCAGACATCGTGACCACTCGTTAGACGTGTGTGGTGGGTGTATTGGTGGCCATATAGTTCCCGCGGGTTCGAAGACCATGGATTCATAAATGAGGGGCTGTTCTGAGCGGAATCCAGCGATGCCAGTTGGATATCTAGTAGGGAGTTTGTGGATGCGTCGAAGGGGAGTGACGGATTAGTATCCAACAGATCGTGTCCATCTCTTTCGACCATGATGCCTTGAAGAACATCTGTGGAGTCGTTCCAGCCCAGCTGGGAGTTCTGGCGGGCGTTAGATTATGATTGTGGAGAGTAAGCAGAGCACGAACCTCCATGGCTATATATAATAAGGTCTTAATATAAAGGTATTGACTGCACAGCCGGTGGGAGAGCCAAGTGTAAGAAGAATAAGCACATGAAACCCAAGTTGAGTCCTGGGGACCAAGCACCGTATTAAATGGCCAGATGCATGCAAATGCCAAACCCTACACGCGAAAGACACACGCTCCACACGCCCCGAGCCGGTTGAGTTCACCACGCGATAGTCAAGGGTTGGAATGTGCTAAGCGAGCCGGCATAATTAGGGAAATGCTCAACGAAAAGGGAAAAAGGAAAAAGCAAAGGCAAAAGAAATCCAATGCAAATTCACTAAGTTCACCCTTGCCCGTGGAATGCAACATGTCATCCCTTGATTGCACAGCCCCCGGCTACCTTGACCCGGGCAGATAACCTACATTGAGTGATCATCTCCATACCACACATGAGCCTCATCACCACCCCAATCAAACCTCAGCGCTCCTTGATTCTCGCCACGACTCCCGTACTCGGGTCACAATATACTCTCACGGCCGACGATTCACCTCCTTTGGAAGACAACCCCTGCTAGGAGCGGAGTAGGGTATACACGTATCACACATTATTCACGCACACCCTGTTCGTTAGTCCCCCTGCACGAGGTATGCAAGACAAACTCAGCCCATGAAGATCGGACCATGTTGCCCCAAAATAGAGAAAGTGCGGCAAGGAAGCAAGGACCGGATTGGGCTGTGACAGATAGACGATCGGCATGGCCGATCGGCGTCAATGCTGACTGCCATGTTTGTGCAAGGGATGAAGGTGCACGTTTATACGGGATACGCGTGTGTTATGCAGTTTCGGGCTTCGGATTGAGAGATGTCTGACTTTGAAACGAGTCTCGAAGTCTAATTCACCAATGCACGGTTGTGTCTCAAGCTACACTCAGGCACATCCTTCTTGATCTCCAGATAGACTACTCCGTACGCCCAACCTCGATGTCTAGATAGGTACTCCGTAGATAGGAGGTACATCCCAAAGTTGTCATCCAAAGCATCGAACAGGTATGTGCTCCAGTGGGGACAGTCTAGGACCAAAACGGAAAAGCCCAAACATAAATCTGATCTGTCATCTGCTGGGAAATACATTCGGTTTGAAACGAAATCTCCAAGCAAATACAATATGTACGGAGTACATTGGGAAACCGGATGGGAAAGGAGCATGTAATAGCGTCATAGTCATCATTCCAGGAATGCATAGGATTCGAGCCCGCTTGCATGACTTCCGATGCTGGAAACCGGCAAACCTCTTCTAGTCAGCTCGCGCCATCTATTACCAGCCGGTGTAATCGGAAGAAATGAAAACAGAACGGAGAAGGGGAATAGATAGGAAAAGCGGATAAAGGGGGAAAAAAAAGGACAATCACAAAAGGGCAGTCAAGCGACTTCGCCTGTAAAATCACTTCTGGGGGGAGTCATCCAGAAGAGTATGTTGAAGAAGTGTAAGGGATGTTGGATTCCATGGGCTGATAGCCCGGGTAAGTTGTTTCTGCGGGGTACAGTGAAGATTGAGGGAGATACTGGGCGAGAGGATACGAGTGCTGCAGCATGGCATCTGCCTCCGTGGATCTCGATTTCGGAACGGCGTTATAAGGCGGTGGGTACGTCACCGAGTTCTGATGCAGGGGATACGCCTGGGCCTGGGCTGGGTGGAGCGTGGTCTGGCCAAACTGTATTGTTGCGTTCGCATACGGGAAATCATCAGGGGTCAGAGAGTCGGTCATGGACTCGGGTTCCATAGAAAGCTCGCTGCCGGAGATGGTGGAGTAGTTGACTAGAACGTTATTGATCGAGAACGCAGGATTGGCGGATGCGCTAGCGTTTCGACTCGTGTACTGCGGCTGCAGATGGGAGGATGACATTTCGGGTACTTCGTGTCTAGGGTGATAGGTCGTGAGAGAGGGATAGGTCGCGGATGATGATCCGCGGGCGGGTTCCACTTGGCTAGTGTTGGCGACATGAGCACTGCTTGGCTTCGCTAACCGCAAAACGGGCAACGCTAGTTGCTCTAGATGCTTGCCAAGATGGACTGACAACTTTCTCCACTCGCTACAGACATTCCCGCAGAAGCGACATGGCTCTTCTTGGGGGGCTTGCCTGGTGTCATGTCGGCATTCTTCAACCGTTTTCCATAATCGCTCAACCTCCTGCTCCCTTCGGCTACTCGACACAGCATCAGCATCGACAGCATTAGAGGCTTTGCCCGTTTTCTTGATCTTGGGCTCTGGCATTTTGTGCTCCCGAACCAAATGCTGAACAAAATTGTCTTTACGATAGCACGTGTGGTGGCACTCGGGGAATGCACAGGTCCACCACTCCAGGTGCCGGTGCTTCTCGTTCTCATGGCGAACCCAATCTGCTTTACGCTTGAATGATTTGGGCTCATTGCAGTGAGGAAATGTGCAAGTAAATGGCTGTACATCTTCCTGAACATGTTTGGACCAGTCGGATGGTTTCTGGAACGTCTTTACTTCGAAACAAATGGGGCACTCGAAACGGGCGGGAAGACGACTGACTGGTGGAAGGGGCACACCGGGAGGGAACTGAGCTGCGGCTACTGTACCTTCGCCTAGAGCATACCGCTGCTCGTGCCCGTGGCTGAACTTCGTTACTCGGAATTGGATCTGTCCTGACTCGGGATCGGTGGGAGCCTTGGGGTCCTGTAACAAAGTCGGCTGCCCTCCCTGCACAACACAAAAATTGCCAGATTTACATGTACGGCTGGCAGCTGCAATAGAGTGCTCATGCTGTAACCCGATCAAGATCTTGTATCGACGGTCTTGCTCATGTGCAAGACGGTGGATCAAAGCGGGCTCTAGTCTTGGATTCAATTGCATGATCTGTGATTTGAACCCTTCGAATGTTGGAACCGGGAGACTCTGGACAGCAGGGAAATCCATCACAACGCCTTTAATGTCGCTCGCGTCACCGTCATTATCATCCTCGGCGCCTCCAATATCAGCGCCAGAAGGTGTAATTCTAGGGACCTGGTCGTCGGAACTGGCTCCGGGAGACGTAACCTTTGTAACTGGCGGTCCATTGTGGGCAGTCATCAGATTGATTAGCCCGGGACCACTTGGTCGAGGAATTTCGCTCCTGCTTCGATTCCGCCCCTTGATCTGGATGCTCAAGGAGCTCCTCTCTGGACTTGGCATGGGTGCGGGCGACACTGCTCGAACAGGCTGACTGCCCCCGACAGCGGCCATTTGACTGGTCATTGATAGAAGTGCATTGCTCAAGCTTGGCGACCGCGAATGGCGGCGATTCAAGAACACATTTCGAGGCGAGTAACTCTGCTTCACCGGCGGATCCTGTATATCACGCTGTGGAAGCCCAGGGTAGGTGTTAGATTGACTAGATTGGCCGATAGATAAATCGGATGCCTGGCGCTTCAGCCTCGAAGAAGCCTGCAGAAATTGTCGCTTAAACAGATTGGTGCGTTTCTTTGGTCGCTCGGCAAAGGAAAAGTTCTCGAGGGATGTGCTCACATTGATAATGCTATTGTTATCAATTGTTGCCGCAAGAGATGCCGTTTCAAGATCCCGTACACGCTTTTCAAAGGCCATCATAGCGTCGGCAGAACTGTCTGGCTGCATCGCCTGTGATCTGGGTGTCGAATCGTGCAGAGGATCGTGCCAAGGATAAAGACGAAGGTTCTCATCGGGTTGAGTCGGTGAAAGAGATCCGTATATCTCGGGGGTACTGCGATCGTATCTGCCAATCACGTCGGCCCCGACTGGGGTCTCATCAGAGTAAGTGCTAGTGCTTGCTTCATCTTCGCTAGTGTCCTCGCTGCTTTCATGAACTAATATGCCGGGCCCGGGGAATGACCGGTCTGTAGCGCGAGATTTCAGACTGAAATAGTCCTCTTGCTTCAAGGGGTGATCCCCAGTGCTTCTCGCCCGAAGCCTTCTGGAGACATGACGTGGGTATGGGCGCGGTGGACTAGGCGAATCCGAGTCCCCACCGGCGTCGCTATTGGCCGCACTCACAGATCTAGACCAGGAGGTAATGTCCTCGTTTTTCTCGCTCCTTTCGCGTTGAACGTGGATATCATTTGGACTCGGCACATGTTCTTCTCCACGGGACCTTGGGTCAATGCCAGCCAGGCGGGTAGATGAATTTGGAATCCACCCGCCGTTCCCAGATCGCTTCACAGGAACCGACGAAACCGAGTGGTGATCACCGTCATCATCATCTACCAAATCGTTTGGATTAGCAGATAGATGTGCATAGGACTGGCTGAGATGTCTGTGGGGCGATGCGCTGCGTTCCTCTGGCGAATCGCCTCGAGAGAAGGTTGTAATCTTGAAAACGGGACTTCTTCCCCTGTTGGGACTCGCCACCAGCTCCGTGGTAGCTTCCTGATTAGTCGAGACACTGAGTCGGGACGGCTCGCTGCCTGCACCTGCGTTAACGACCCCGAGGCCCGATTGGTAAGATGTAGGAATCGATTGCGGCACTGCACTGGAACTATCGTCAGGGCTTATGCCTGTCAACGTGGATGGTGGGTTTGGATTGTGTTCTGATGCTGTCCACTGAAAGCCATTCGGTGCGATAGGTGCAGACCATGCCGGGTCGACGAGCACATTGGCCGCCTCAGCTCTATAGGACAGGCTTTCATTCTGCCAGGTCCTCGAACCATTTGCCAGTTCGATATCTTTTGGTTCCACGAAGCCACTTGTATCAGAAAGGGGAGAGGTACAAGTGCTTGGATCCGTATAATCATTTGCTCTTGGGTCCAGATAGCCCCTCTGTAGTGTGGAGTCGAACCGGGAGTCCTCATGGGGGGATGAGCCCGGTCCCGCACTGTGTCCAGGACTTCCCCGCGATGGGGTTAGGCGAATAGCACTGGCCTGGAAAATTATCTCCTCTGGGTCGGATGTGGACAACAGGTAAGGGTCTGGAGCATAATCTTGGAGCGCATCGGGGGACTGCCCCTGAGCGCTGAGTGGGGAGGCGCGCGACATGTTCAAGTAACGGTCACTTAGCCCCGAAGGTAAATTTGACCGGTCGCCTTCGGGAAATATCAATATAATTCGATCAAAGAAGCATTGGATGGGGGTTGTTCCTATAATTGAAACTGTGGTCAAAGAGGCGTTGGGGTTTCTCCCGTCCTGGTCCTCAAAGCCCCCGGTGCATCAGGTCCGTAGGTAGTGGAGATGTGGGCAGACCCAAGTGAGTAGAGACTGCGCGAAGACCAGGAATCTAAAGAAAACGAAGGTCAGAGAAGATTAAGAAAAAAAGATGGGGGCCGAAGATCCGTATTAGCGAGTCGGAGATGAGGGGGACAGCCTTGAGCTGAACAAGCGCCGGGCGCATCGTCCACTCAGATTTCATGCGAGACTGACTATCCAATTTAGAGCACTGTGGTCCCATCCTTTTTTGCATTGCCTGTCAGCCTTGTCCAAACAAGAAACCCAAATGCTCCTGAGAATGGAGCCTCAAGTGTGGCTGTGGTTGCCTTACCTGTGGTATGAAGGGACAGTGTACTCCGTACTCCGTACTCCGAGTAGGGATATAGGGATGTGAGAGGCTTAATGTGTATTGGCGCCCCAGCCACTTTCGTTTCTATTCTTGTCGCTGAACTCTGGGGTCTGAAACATGGACGGAGTACGGAGTACGGACAACGGTATAGGGCTGAAATTGCATTGGTTCGATGTATAGATCTACTCCGTACATATTCCTAATCCCGATGATTAAATCCTCCCTTAGACTATTGTAAAAGAGAATCAATCTATCGAGTTTAGAATGATGATATATCTCTGTGGCCTCCTCTATTGTGTATGGACTATGGGGTCCATCGATAGTCGGGTATATATAGTCCACCTACATTTATACAAGCCAGGAACGGACTACGGAGCCTCCAACATTTATGTAGGGACATAGAAATCCATCCTCCATTACAGTACTCACCCCAGGTGATTCCACACCGAGCCGGTGACATTTGTTGATTATCAACTGAAAATCTGGAGGTTATCAATGCTTGTAAATCAGATTGCCCTGGTACCTGCAAATATAGATTTGGTAACAGCAGTGCCCAATGAGATACCATTTGATTTCTCCAACAAATGTGCATCCGTAGGCGATTAACCCTCTTTTGAGATCTCCCAACTTCCCCAAGGAGTCGGCCGTGTTTTAGTTTCCAAAAGTACTTGACTCGCGATAATGTGACTGTGGCCGTCCACGGGTAGCTGTCCGCTTACTGCAACCTCGCCAGCAGTCTGATGGGAAAGATTGAGGGCATCAAGAATATCGCGCTCAGGATTGCGCCTAACGAGCCTAGTAGATAGGGATGCCGCAAAATTCTTTGACGGGACAAATCAACTTTTAGCATGTTTACACTGCTAGCTTGGCTATAGACCTGGCGTGCGTACCCCAGTGGGTTTACATATTCTCGGCAATGATACGCAAATACCTACAACATAAAGGTTGGACTACATTAGCTTCCTTCAGTCTGATGATTGCTCAGAATGAGCATTATTGCGTTAGCACTTGAATTAATTCTCAAGCTTCTGGCCCACTCTCATACGTCGAAAGGGCTAGGACATGGATACACCACAGATTCCAATCGCCTATGAAAGATAAATTGTCCCCCGGATCACCACATAGTTCAAAAAAGAGCCCCGACATAACACCCACGGCTCGTTGAGGAATCAAAGATGGCAGTTTTCTTGGTGACTAGGTAGGCCATTTTGGCCCTCACACAAAACGTGGCGAATATTGCTTCCAAACAATACCGCAATACTTGAATCTGTTCATTGGGCTCGTCCCATTGTGGACAGCTTCTTTCATCTTCCTAGCTCGGGTTGATTTAATTGATGAGTGCTTAATATATACTATTCCACTGATATATCTTCGAAATCCAAGTATAGCCTTGTGGGTGGAAGTGTGTGACATTGGGTGAGTAGTTTGAACTTGTTGTTTGGAGATGATTGCCTTGCCTAGCTGGAGTTTCTCGAAATTGATGCGAACTGCTTACTGTTTTTAAATTGTACCAATAGGTGGCTTTGGCATGCCCCTATCCCTTTGTAGAGGCTGAAAATTAAGCCGTTCCACGTTTCCTAGAAGGCTGCGCCTAACTGGCGTGTATAACTGGTTTAATTACGTATGTTTTGCGGTGACTGACGAGTGGTGTCAACAGTGAAGATTCACATTGAAAGAATAGAGGATGGATATCTGCAAGTAGGTACGGCAAGCGTGATATCCAAGCCAAGAGCACATTTCAATCTGCGTTCTAGCCTAGCATATCGATCTGTTTAGTTCATCATTTTTCTGTTTATATCTTTTCAAAGATGATCCTCTCTCCATAGTACGAGAAACTAGATATCACCATCTGGCAGTGGACCGAACTACATACTGCAAGAAGAAGACATCAAACAATGTTTCAGTCCGCGCTGTGATGGACTAGACGATTTCTGTCGGGTCCGGTTATGTAGGGGAGCTAGATGTCCAACGCAAACACGCTAACTCGTATTCACGGGCTATATACGGAGTATAGACGCAAGTACTCCGTACATTCACGTAGATGTGTGCCAAGACTCTTCTCCCAGATAAGATAGGCACTGATCACAAGGGTCTAAACCCCAGATGGTTGTAAGATCCGGGGTCAACCACGCGAACGACACATCATTGGATGGCGACCACACCTTGGAGCATAATTTCTCGGATCCTTATCTTGGATCGGACTGAACCAAGCCCTCTTATCATGAATACTGATCTAATAGTCATAGAAATTGGGAAAAATCGGGAAATCTCCAGGAGCTCTTTGGTACTACTATAGGTCCTAAGATTCTCATTGACGCAAAGGAATCTTGGCTGTAGTCGGGGCATAGATAAGAGGTCTGGATTTCTTCGCACTAGCCGTTATGGACCATGTCCAGGTCCGCTTTGCTAGAAGATATAGTATGTGCTGTGGACCTTGACCTGTGGATCTCTGATTGCGATCCATTCTGGCTCTCATCATGGCTGACGATGTAAGTCTTCAACATTGCGCCGAGATTAAAGCGTTCACATAAAGCTGACACAGTCCTATAGCCAGTATACAATGAATCTACCTCGTTGGGTGGAGATCCACTCAAGGTCGACGTCAACGCACAATATACAGGCGTTGAGTGGAATTATACGTACATCATCCTTTGCTCGTTCATTGTCTGGTTGATTATACCCGGGATCGGGTTGCTTTATAGTGGCCTCGCGCGGAGAAAATCAGCGCTGGCGTTGCTTTTTCAGTCCTTCATGGTGGTGGCAGTGTAAGCCTGAGTCCTCTAAATCCCCTCCGTGTGCGTCGTACTGACATAAAAGATCCGATTAGAGTAACATTCCAATGGATGTTCTGGGGTTACTCGTTAACATATGCCCGTGATGCTAGCCCCTTCATTGGGACATTGAAGAATTTCGGCTTGAGAGGTGTGATGGTAGCACCATCGCCTGGTTCGGCTGATCTTCCGGAGATTGTATTCTGCTTTTATCAGCTTTTGTTTTGCGCGTGCACGGTAAGCAACATCCGATGAAATGTCTTGCTGAATCGAAGCTTATATGAACATTGTGGCAGGTCATGATCGTTGTTGGGGGAGCCTTTGAGCGAGGTAATATGATCCCCACACTGATATTCAGTTTCTGCTGGGCAACCGTTGTCTACTGTCCCCTGGCCTGTTGGACTTGGAACAGCAACGGCTGGTTGTATAATCTTCCGTCGCTGGATTTCGCCGGCGGTGGCCCAGTTCACATTGCATCTGGCTGGTCGGCATTGGCTTATGCCTTTGTTTTGGGGAAGCGCAAAGATATCGATCAACCTTCGCAAGCGAAACCTCATAATACCACCCTGGTCTTCCTGGGAACCTGTTTTATCTGGTTCGGATGGTTCGGATTCAATGTATGTTACAGCTGTATCCTTTCTGAAACTTGAGTCTGACAGCAGTCCTTTATTAGGGCGGCTCAACTCTCAATGCTAGCGTGCGGGCGATGCTGGTGGTATTCAACACCAACACTGCAGCTTGCGCAGGAGTACTAGGATGGGTGCTCGTCGACTCGATCAGACACCGTGGGAAATTCTCTGTCGTAGGAGCGTGCGAAGGCGCAATCGCAGGCCTAGTGGGCATCACACCAGCCGCGGGATTTGTGTCCGTGTGGCTTGCCGCCGTCATCGGCATCCTCACGAGCATCGTCTGTGCCCTCTTCCAAGACATCAACGAGTGGCTACACATCGACGAGGGAATGGATGTATTCAAACTACACGGTATTGGAGGGATGGTAGGGGCATTTCTCACGGGAATCTTTGCATCGGGGTCCATTGGAGCGCTGGACGGTGCGACCGAGGCCACCGGGGCCATTGATGGCAACGGAATACAAGTTGGGAAACAACTGGCCGAGGTGTGTGCTATCTCGGTATATTCTTTCATAGTCTCCTGTATCCTGCTCTATATCCTCAAATTCATGCCGGGGATGCAGTTGCGCGTGCATGAGGAGGCAGAAATGATTGGTTTGGACCGGGCTCAGTTTATTGATGAGCAGATTGGGGAACGGGCACTGCTCGATGATCTCTATGGATCGACACCTGCAAGTGTGCTCAATGGGCAGGTTCCTGAGGTGGTTGGGTCTCCGGAAGCGAAGAAATGACATGTCGGAGACATTGGGTTCCAGCCTCATCTTCCGTGTGACTGAACACGCAAGGCGAACATGTAACCGTTCTGTCTCACCACATTCTAAACGTCACGGGTGAAACCAAATCAACTGCTATTTTTATTTCCACGATCTCTCTTGGTTTCTTGCCCAGTCAACGCATGATGAACATACGATGTAGGAAGCGCCCTACTCCCTACTCGGAGTACGGAGTAGATAGCCTGCGAACAATCAAGCCCACCCTGGCATCAAGTGACGCAATCCCATTCGGCTTCCAAGGCCGAGTTTTAGACTGGGGAAGGGGGGCTGACGTATGCTGGCGTGCGCTAGGCCATTTAGTGTAAGCCCTGTGCGAGGGCAAATGCCATTATGCCCCTACCGCGATGACGAGGCTGGAATACATATCCGATGGTCATATACCCTCAGAGAGATGATATCTTGCCGATAGAACTCGCACCTAGAATTCGGTGGACGGAGTACGGCGCAAGGAAAACGAAATAGAGTCCCTGTCAAGATTAAAATAAACCATGTGCATGTGCAATCAGCTCTGCAGTGAGACGTAGCTAAACGTCTGCAGGAAACAATATCGGGGGTATCATACTATGATTGCCCTGATTTTGAATTTCCTCATTTCCTCATTTCTTGATTTCCTGATTTCCACCTCTCCTCTCCTCATCTCCTCATTTCGAGATAATTGACATGGGGGAATCGGAAAAAGGAACTAATTTCCAATAGTTCAGGTACGGGGCGTTACAGTACTTGTAAATTACCGGACCTTTCCGCATGCAGACCGGTCTGGCCGCCATTTTGCCACAGAAAAGCCCAGATGGGCCCGTCACGTCTGGTATTGCCCCGGAGTCGTCGCGTCCAGCCCGCTTCTGGGCCTCCTTATCTCTGTCGCTCTTGGCCCTGGCTCTCTCTCTCTTTCTTCTCATTTTTCAACCTTGGAAGTCTTCGTTACTTCTTGTCACTCGTTTACATCTTTGTGTTTCAAGGAAATCGTCCGCCGCTACTTACCTTTTCGCAAGTCTGTCATGATCTGCGAATAATCAAGAGTCCAAATGGGCAAATGTATGCATTTTCCCTCCTATCTCCTACAATGCGAGAAATTAACCTCTTCATTAGGGCGCTATGGTGTCGTCCTGGACGCAGGATCGTCTGTATGTCAATATGGTTCTGGAGACTCGAAGTCGTGCCTCTGATTGATTGCTTAGGGGACTCGCGTACACGTTTATCGATGGCTACGCAATTCTATCGCACGGAAGAACGCCGATGTGGAGGAGCTGAAATCGCTACCGGAAATTAAAACCAAGGAGGAATGGACGAAGAAGATACGCCCTGGTGAGCCCCGGTCGAGCCAATGTCGCCGAGAACCCGACACTAATCCGTTTGCGCAAAAGGTGTCTCTTCGTTCGCCAATAAACCCGAATTGATTGGACCGGATCATCTTGCCCAATTGTTGGAACACGCCAAAGGAATCATTCCAGCCGAGGATGCTAAGGATACTCCGATTTTTCTGCTTGCCACCGCGGGCATGCGGCTGCTCGGAAACCTCGAGCGACAATTGCTTCTGGATCAAATCTGTTCATACGCTCGTGGCAACTCGGAATTCTTGCTTCCGGACTGTGGCCTTCACATCCAGGTCATTCCAGGCGTTACTGAAGGGCTTTACGGGTGGATTGCGACAAACTACCTCATGGGGGCGTTTGACACCCCGGAAAAACACGACCATGGAAAGGGACATAGCACCTACGGATTCCTCGACATGGGGGGCGCTTCAGCCCAGATTGCATTTGCCCCGAATACCACAGAGACGGAGAAGCACGCCGAGGATCTCAAACTGCTGCGATTGCGGAACATTGATGGATCGACTCAAGAACATAGAGTATTCGTTACCTCATGGCTAGAGTTCGGTGTTCACGAAGCCCGACGACGATATCTGGAAGCTCTACAGACCGCAACTGGACCAGGTATCATGGAATTCCCTGATCCTTGTCTTCCTAGTGGGCTACGGACCACGCTCGACAGCAAAGATGTTTCGGCGAGCGAGGCAGAACCCTACCTACTCGGTACTGGCAAATTCGATGAATGTCTTCGTCAAACGTACCCATTGCTGGATAAGGATGCTCCCTGTGCAGATGAACCGTGTCTGCTAAACGGGATTCACGTTCCAGCTATCGACTTTGATGTGAACCATTTCATCGGAATCAGCGAGTATTGGCACACTACCCATGAGATATTCGAAATGGGATATAATGATAAGGCTTATGATTTCAACACCTACCAAGAACGCGTCCAGGCGTTTTGTTCGCAAGACTGGGGCTCAATTGAGCATGGCCTCGAGCAGCACAAATGGGGAAAGAAGGTTGATCGCCAAAAGGCCTACGAGGTGTGCTTCAAGGCATCTTGGATCATCAATATGCTACATGATGGTATTGGAGTACCTCGTGTGGGACTGGAGGATACGACTGGCTCTTCGCACAACGGCACCAAAGAAGTTTTGGCTCATGGCAAGGAAAAAGGTTATCTCGATGCTTTCCAGGCGGTCAACAAAATTGACTCGACTGAAGTAAGCTGGACTCTAGGCAAAATCGTCTTGTATGCGTCTTCCCAAGTGCCATTGGAGATTGAAGAAGCCCTCCCCGTGGGATTCGGCAGTAATCTACCCGGTGTCCCGGCCGACTTCCAATATCCCAGTGTGCAGCTGCTACCAGACTCGGATAGCTTCCACAGTGATCATTGGCATGACGCATTATTTGACGGCGATTCCCCGCGTCGGATCCCAGGCTTCGTCCTATTCATGCTCATTGTTGTTATGGTCGGCTTCTTCCTGTGCGGACGCAGCCGTCGATCACGGATCTTTAACCGCGTCGGTAACATGCTGCGTCGCGGCGGGCCATCTCACCCCAATCACCCGAAGAAACGAAAGGGACTCAAGTCGATGCTGCCATTCCTCGGCCGAAGTGCGACCTCTTACGAGCGAGTTCTTGAGGACGGTGCTCAAGAGTATGAGCTTGGCGTGGCTGAGTCTGACGGGAGCGAGGATGGCGGGCGTCTATCGGAGGCAGATTCGGCTAGACTGGGCCCGCCGAAGCGAGCTTCGAGTTGGGGCAGCAACAGTAATACCCCCAGCTTCAAATACGCCCTCGATAACAGCTCGACCGGGACCATTGGGCTTGGAATCAGCAGTAGTGGCAGTGGTGGCTCGGGCATCGCGATGGACCGAGCAGGCTTGGTGGTTAGGACAGAGAGCAGGGACCATCTGGCCCCAATTGCTCTAGGGCCTACAACCAATGGCCGTCGATCGAGAGCTGGCAGTCCGACAAGATCTCACCACCAAAAGTCGCCCAGCATGACACCCCTGGCCGACGACTAATGTGACCCGACTTATGCATAATCTCTACCACATCGCATTTTCACTTGGAGTTTGATTGTTTGACATGCGTCGTATCATTTTGGGGCTGTCCTGTTTTCACATCGAAGCGGAGTTCATCTTTTCACCAAGGCGCTCCTACTGTGACAGTCTGCTTTCGATTCTTAATATCATATTTCAACCCTGTGCTCTGGAGTACCTTTTTTTGTTTTCGGCTGCTGGCCTGTTGATCTCAGGCGGGTGATTTACACGTAATGAGGAGTGTACCATTGGCGATTGAGGATGTCGTCTTGAATATAGATTAATATACTGTCAACAGCCTACCCTTAATTTCTGTGCCTTATACATGCCTATTAGACGCATGCGCATAATCATCTAACTATTGCCAGTAACTTAATCGTGTAAAGTGATCATCACCGTTGCCAACCTTCTCAGGCGACATATCACGTGCAGTTGCTGTCACCGCCTGGCAAAAATGATGTAGAGAGAACCTGGCGCAAGTAGCTTCCGGTTCATTTGTCGCATTGATTTACCAAGCTTGTCGAATATCGTTTTCCAGCATCTCACCTATGCTGTCACGATAGAATCCAATTATCCATATACTCTTAGCTCTCGGCAACAGCCACTACCGCCACAATGCGCTTGACCGTCGAGCTCATCCAAAATTCGCTAACATACATCAATCCGCTCACAGACCGCGAGCTGGATCTCCGAGGTGCGTACACTCACCACCCACCTGCCTGAAAAGAACAGGTACTGCACTTTTGATATAAGAGCTGGATTCATATCGTCTTCTTGTGTGGTCGTTTAGGTCACAAGATCCCCGCAATTGAGAACTTGGGTATTGCCAAAGTAAGTGCTTCGTTGTCGAATCAATTCATCCTGACACAGTTTTGTTTCCCATGGCCTTCTCTGCTCTTACGGCTGGGCTACCTACCAGTCCTCGGTTCACCCAGTTCCTTGTGGATTTGAAATTGACAGATCCTAGGATCAAGATGCGATCGACTTCACTGACAACGACATCTCCTCCCTCGGGAACTTCCCCCACTTTCCTCGGCTTCGCACCCTTCTCCTCGCCCGTAACCGTATCAATCACATCCAGCCTGCGCTCGCAACTTCGGTGCCTAACCTCACAACCCTGGTCCTGACCGCGAATAATGTGTCCGAGCTAGCGGATCTGGATCCGCTGCGGAACTTGGGACGACTGACGCACTTGACTCTTCTGCAAAACCCGGTGACTCGTAAAGATGTTCGTCTTGCTCCTTAACTATCGGTCCGGCCGGGGTATCGGTTGTTAGACTAAATGGACAAGCTAACCCATTCCCCTAGAACTACCGTTATTGGATCATCTGGCGCATCCCCTCCATCCGGTTCCTCGACTTCCAGAAAGTGACGGATGCCGAACGTGCGGCCGCGAAAGATCTCTTTGGAACCGATGAGGAACCCTCATCTCTCGCATCGAAGATCATGGGTATCAAGTCCCGCACTTTCGATGTTTCCGCCCCAACTGAGCGCGCTCCCACCGAGAAGGGCGTTCGTGTAAAACTCACTGATAACGAACGGAAGCGCGTCGAGCAGCTGATTCGCGATGCGAAGAGCTTGCAAGAGATCACAAGGTTGGAGAAGGAGCTTAATGAGGGGCGGATACCTGGTGGGGCTGACGCCGATGGTGATGAGGCCATGCAGATGTGAGAGATTTGAGCTAGATCTCTCCTATGCGTTGCATCATGCTGCTGATTCATGAACATACAATGATGTTTTGCCTGTTTTCCTTTTCTTTTCATCTGGGGCTTAGCTTTCTGGGTTTCTTTTCTGATCGGGCGGGGTTCAGTGTGTATCGTCTCTTGAGGGTTTTCATTTTTGCATGTACCTCTGGCTTGGGATCCAGTGTCATCCCAACTGCGAAATTTGAGCGTATCAAATCAAAAATATGGTCTCGTGCGTTGCTTCCACAGCACCAAAGTATTGCATTGCTTGGTACATAGGGAAACGCTATCTTCACCTGGTGACGGAGTATAAGGAATACAGTTCTGGGGCTTCGATAGCGAATGCCCTCAGGTTTGGTCCTGCGAGAATTCTGAAGCGCTTCAGTTTGGGTTTCAGTGGCATCATACATTCCATCAGTTCCGAACATACCGATGAGTCTTAGGTGAATCCGTTGCCCTAGTCATGAAGTGTGGACGCATACCATCGTGTGAGCGGCACATGGTTAGCCGCTCTAGAAACCGACGGGGAATTCCTTCGCTGGGGTCGGACTATAGCTTGTTAGAAGGAATTTATGTGTCGAGCGCTAATTGCATAGTTCACATGGATCTACAAGATAGACTCTGAGTGCGAATCCTACTATATACTGAATGATATACTTAGCACGACAGACTAAGCCTCATCGGGCAATGAGAGGGTGTGCAGCATTATAGACAGTACGCCGTACCCCGTACTCTCTTGCCAATGAACGGCTACGAAGGTGTATACATAGTGCTAAGGGGTCGGCTTCAATTGAAATCGGATTTGTTACTCCATACGAAGTACCTACATACAACATAAACCATGCCTCCCTCTGGCCTGGTCTTAACACCGCTCATCACTGTACTATAAATCATAGTCCCTGATGGAAACTACCAGGTAATCATACCGTATATACCTTGAGAAGAGAAGAAGATAGCCGTTAAATTGACTTCCAGAGAGACCCTTAAAAACGCAGTTAAAATGACTACTAGAAAGACCACTAAAAAGACATTGCAAGCCCGCAAAGGCGGCCGATTATATGAATAGCTTCATTTTGCCTGCTTTCCAAGGTTAGACTTAGGTAGCTCGACTAGGCATTTGTTAAGGCCTCTGTCATAGTAATCCAGGTAGTCTAGTTTTTCACCAGCCCCAATCCAGGGATATCTAGGCAACAAATTCGATTTCAGTTGAAACTGACCCCTGAGCGCTGTCATGAAATTAGGATCAATATTTCCCCCTAAAGCTTCGACTGCCTAGCGATATTCCGTACTTTACGATTCTCTATGAGCTTCCGATCTCGCTCGGAAGGTTTATTGATTCCCTTGGGATAAAGGGATGAAATCCGGGATAAGTCTATACTGACCCCCCAAATGGGATATGTGTAGCAGGGACTACTCTGCTTGGCATTTTACACAGCCCCATGTAATCGAATCAACTGCGGCACGGGAGCTTTCTGAAATACAATTTCTTCAGGAGCTTCCCCGTTCTCGCTCTTCTTGGAGTCGGAACTTCTAAGCCCGAGTACAAAGGATGGACTCTGCAAACTCAGAAACATGGTGTCAATTGGAAGCAATAGATAACAAAGAAGATGATAACGACGTCCGTCTCCTCCCTGCGGCAAAATACGGATGGCAGGGTCTCGTGGAAACTCTTCCTAAACAAGGCGTCATTGCAAATTGCCCTCAACGCAAGGGGAAAAGAGGGCACGCGGGATTGACCTGTGCTGCTGATCACGGCCATGAGGGCGTTGTCCGGCTTCTGGTGGAGTACAGAGGCGACTTGGAGACCCGAAACCAATCAACTGGTCTTGTTAGAGGGCTTGATAAAACTTCATCATCCTGGGCGGCGGGGAGTGGGAATGTAGGAGTGGAGCAATATCTACTAGAGGCTGGGGCGGACCCTAATGGTGGAGAGAAAGATGGTCGTCTTACACCGCTTGCCGTTGCAGCTGTCCGTGGATATGAGGATGTTGTTTGGGTATTACTGGAAAAGGAAAATATCGCGTTAGATCGCAAAGGAACTCCAGATGGTCGGACTGTATTGTCACATTCTACGGAGTATGGACAGCAGGACATTATCATCCGTCTATTGGAGAAAGGTGCGGATTCGAACTCGGGAGATTTTGTCGGCAGGAGGCCTCTATTCTGGGCTGGAAAACAAAGTCACAGAGCGACTGTTGGAATTTTATTGACATGGTGCGAACGTGAATCAACTGGATGAGAGGTATAGCATACTCTCGCAGTGTTCACCAGGAGAGCGAACACCACTTTCTACGCCATTTATAATGGTCAAGGCGATGTGAGGGACCTCTTTCTGCAAAAGGGTGCCAATGTTAACCACTACGATGATCAGAACCGGACACCCCTAGCCTGGGCGATATTCAGAGGTCATGCATGTATCAGCGGTCGAAGTCTTGCTGGAGAATGGTGCCAATTCAGAAACAGGGAGAATTGTAGGGATGTCCTTGTGTGAATATGCGCAAATGCAACTCGGGGGGAGAAATTCACCAGCTCATTCTGGGTTTGTGGAAATTCATCAGCTGCTCCAAAAGGCTGCTTCAAAAGGCGAGCCAGTCTCATCTGGTAGCTTCTTCTAAAGCTTTCCCGCGATTTGGAAATGATAACCTTTCTTCCCTGTTTGAGATTACATTATTCATGTAAAGATTCCGAGCCTCCGGCTGGGGTCTATAGCATCTATATACAGTTAGCCTTCTGCATCAACTTTGGCATGGAGCCACCTTATTTGGAACATACCTTTGCGCTTTTTTTGGAGGAATTTTTGTCTTCTTTGTCCCTATATATCGTATTGTCATTGATATACATGTCAAGTTCTCGCGTGATCTCAGGGCCTTCTTGTTGCTGCTGTCTAGTCTCTTCTTCTAGGACTTCAATGTAATCAAAATCATGATCACTACTGTCAATGATACCCGCGGTATGGAATTGGGGCGCAGAAGGTATTCCATCTTCTTTCCCTTCCTCATTTCCGGTGGTGATGGGCGCATATGCGGCATTTGTCCCCTGATCCTCTGGCTCTTTGAACTCTCGGCTCAGACCGATGACTTCGTCAATTTGCACCGTTGAAAGCGCCTTCAAAATGATGAAGGTGTCTGCCTAGATGGAGTGTTAGCAATAACAGTCAGATCGGAAGATATATGAGTCTGATTATGAACTAGAATAAACTCATACCTCTTCCTTGAAAGGATATCCCAGATCTAAAATTGCATCGATATGTACCAAGCCCCTAGGAAGCCTAGTCTTCCCTTTCCGCGGACAGGGGTTCTCTTCGTTGAGCGTGCCAATACCAGTATTAGCCTCTTGTCCGTAATGCGGGGACTCTTTGGACTGGGTCTTGAGTTGACTACCGCTTTTTGTCAGCCAGAGAAGCTTTGTTTCCTGTTCATGCACGACTACTCACTGTCTCTCCATGTGATGTTCCAGTAAGTCGGCCCGATGGAAGGTATTGTTGCAATCAAGGTGCGAGCACCGGTAAAATTCCTTGTTATGATAAACTTGCTGATGACTGTGGGAGGTTTCCTCATGGGCGTAGACCTTGTTGCAACCGGGATATCCACAAGCGCGGACACGTGTGCCCGCCTTTGCTTTATTAATGCCATGAGTGGTGGGGTTATGAGAAATAGGGTGTTCTAGGACTGTCGTTTCTGACATATCGTATGAAAGCGATGATTCTGGGAGATGGTTTTCATCTGGGCTTATAGAGACGTCAGGGTCATTATCAAATTTAGCATCGAACCCATCTTCATCCTCGTAGTCAGATTGTGATAGACCACCTTCCGACTTTTTCGATGTGGAAGACTCGTCATCTTGATCTAAACCAGACTGTGGCAAAGCAAAAAGTGCGAGCTCTTGAAGGTGTCGGCCAAGGTGACGCTCGAGCAATCTCCCAGAGTTGACAGATAGGCCACAGAGAGGACAGTCCACTGAAACGCCTGAATCCTGGGGAATTGAATGCTCATCTTTTAAATGGATGTACCACTGGCGACGGCTTTCCCAGAGCCGGTGCGGCGTTCGGCAGTCATTGAAAACACATACGTACGGCATAAGGTCATGAAGCACATGTCGCGCCCATGAGTGCTTGTTCTCAATGATGATGAGTATGAAACAATATGGGCATTCGAAAGGGTCACCATTCAATGAATCTTTTGGGGCAGGTGGTATAATCGGACCACTTCCACCCCCAATGAGCGTTCTGCTGTACGAAGTTTGTGAAGCGATAGACTGCATATCGAAGTAGTCTTCGACTGGTTTCTCAACAAATTCCGTCGCAACTGTCTCCGATAGCATCGCAGACTGACTGTCGTCACGATCGTTGATGACCTGATCTAGCCCCTGTGCAAGTTTGAAATGATGTCGTTCACGGTATCGTAGAGTGGCCCGGCGCTGGGATATTGCTAGACCCAGGCGGTCTATGATAATACTATCCAGGTGAGGGTATTTGTTCTCCACATGCTGTCGGTCAAATGGTTCAAATACAGCCGTGTCAGATCGTTTAACTCCCACAAGTCTATCGTGCTGTGCTGGCCTTCGTATTGACATTGAGTTCTGGAAGAGGATATTGATTGTGTCCCGCAGAGAATGGAAAATTGCTTGGATCTCAGTTCGACCTTCATCTTCGCTGTCATCCGAGTCACTGGAAAAGCCTTCCTTGAAGCCAGGCTCATACAGAAAACTTTGAAGATCTTGAATTGTTCTTTGTAGTCGACCGAGAACACGTAATGTCTGGTCCTTGAGATGAGAGGCATCGCGCAATCGATAATCCAGCGACGACTGGCCCGTCTGGTGAGCTCCTATATTTGCTGTCCAGACCCGCAAACGTCCTAGCTCATCGGTCCATAAGTCTGGCAAGATATCAGATTGATATTCTTCGAGTTCTGCAGAAACTATGACATCGTCAAGCTGTTTGAGGCAGGTTTGTATGATGGATGATATTGTGGTCATTTTGCGCAAAGAAGTGACTAACACGCATCGAACAATTATGAAAAGATGATAACGGGCAGTTAGAATCAACAGCCAAGAAGTTTTGGAGTTGATTTTCCCGAGTGTCCAAGCTGTGAACCGTCGCATACGGGGACATTGGCAGGGAGCGTAAGCGGGGTTTGTGGCTGAGGGGCACAAATACCCATCTGCACCTCTTCGAAAACTACTTAAAGGATCTCTATTCACACTTTCTCAAAGTCGAATCTGGGTTCTTGGGAAATCTTGCCCCATTGCGCAGGTCCGGAATGGAAGCCGCTGGGGTTGCGCTCGCGATCCTGCCACTGATCATCAACCAAATCGACAACTACGTCCAGGGTATTGAGACCCTTGGTGATTTTCGAACCAAGAGGTATCGAAGAAAGCTAGATTACTATGCCACACATCTTGGATCTCAGCAAGCGGTTTTTATCAACACATTAGAACGCTCTCTGGAGGGCGTCCTTGAGTACGAGGATGGGGTGGATGGATTTTCAAATGAGGAAATTCAGGTCCTTTGGGAGAAACCAAGTGTACAATCCGTTCTACAAACAAAACTCGGGCGAAATTATACGCCGCTCCTCCGAACTATGAGACAACTTTCATTGCTTCTGGAGACGTTGTCTCGAAAGCTGGGTTGGGATAAGATGCCAATAGAGGTATGCGCTTGAGATGGCTGGCTTTTCAGATCTGGCCATGGCCACAGCTTTGCCCATCGCACATACTGACTAATCTTATTGTGATTTCCAAGACTGCAATACAGAAATCTTGGAGTGATTCGAGCGCTTTCAACAGAGAAGTGAAGAAGTTCAAGGACATATTCTCTAAAGGCATCTACGAGAGTATACTCAATCAAATAAACGCCGCCAACGAGCAACTAGCCAAGCTCATGGAACAATCTGATCATCAAAACCGGATACAAAAGAAAAGGATATCAAAACGCCCCCTACAGCGACTCAAGCGAAATCGAAGGCTTGCACAAAGTTTACACAATGCCATCCTCAAAGGCCAAAGTTGGAAATGTCCCTGCCGTGATCAACATACCATTCATTTCTTCCTTGATATTTCGTTTCTTGAAAGCACTAAGATGAGCACAGAGGTACCCAATTCCCGTTTTCGCATGCTTTTTGCGTCTCCTCAATCCATCGAACACGGTGGAACTTTTGAATCATCGTCTACTGTCCTTCAGGCCCAAATGAATGGTGCATTTTTCTTCAGCCAAAAAGAACGTCTTACCATGGCTGTCAATCTTGCATATGGCGTGCTTGAGCTGCACGGAAACTGGCTGAAATCTCTCTGGCGAGCCCGTGATATTATGTTCATCCGACAACCGACAAACAGCCTTGGTCATCCTGCCTTGGTGTTGAGTCTTTCTAATACAATGGAAATATCAACACTGTGCAGAGATACAGCCACTTCGTCACTGGTTCAAAATGAAATACTCTTCCCTTTGGGACTTATTCTTGTTGAGCTATCCCTTTGTCAACCTCTGGAATTACTCCGTATAGCAGACGACTATGATGAAAATGAAGCGAATGCCAATCTCAAGACAGCTTCACGCTTGCTGCAGTACGTGGAGTCGCAGAGTGGTCCGCTATACGTCGAAGTCGTGGAGCAATGCTTATTTTGGCGCTGGAAAACGGGCTGCACCTTGGAAGATGAGAACATACAAGATGAAATTTACCAACGCATCGTCTTCCCACTGGTTGTGAATTTAAAGAACTTTGTTGGAATGTCGTCAAGGCAGTGAATAATGTACATATTGGTATTCCTCCAAGCCATTCCGATCTGGACGGTGCGAATAATACGGGGCTCTTGGAAACAAGCGACAGAAGGAAAGGATAGAAGCTGTGATCCATACATAGGCCCCCAAAAGGGAGATATCCCGTCACCCTCAATGCATCGGCTGAAATTGTCATCAAGCCACTTAGGTACTCAACGATCTCCTTGTCGTCACCGAGCCGGCTAAACTCCCACTTTGTCTCTCTGTATACCTTCTAATTTTTACGATACATACAATTGTCCCACTGCCTCCGCACTATTTTTGTAATTCCCAAAGGCAAAATGCACCCGGACAACCAAGACGGACTCACTTGGGATGAGAGTGGACTAGACTCCGTGCCAGTCTGGGCCCGAGAGCCGAAGGTGCAAAATATCGCAAGTGTATGTCGCGGGAGACTCCATGTAGGGGGTTCGGAAACTTGCGAGGTCGCCCTTTTTGCTGAGGGTGCATTCCACAGACTATATTTGATTCGAAACAGAAAGTGCTAATTGCTCATGAGGGTTGAGGGTCTCACATCCTGTTTGTCCTCACTATAAAGCACTGGGGGAACTTACAACGCTACGTGTCTTCGCTGCACGACAGATGTCCCAGTGCCAGAGGTGATCGCTTTTGATGACTCGGCAAATAAGGACATCGGATTCGAATGAATTTTGATGGAGCTTATGCCAGGTGTCCCGGCATACAAGAAATGGCGGACTTGGAATGTGTTCCAGAGAACGGCGCTTGTTCAAAGAATAGGCTCTCTTCAAGCGCAGACATTCTGCCACAGTCACTGCGGATCAGGAACCTGAACGGGCAATGAACTCGAGCAGCTGGATAATGAGGAAAGAACGACTTGTATCGGATTCATCTGCTGGAATACGAACAGACCCAGTTACGGAGATTTTACAATAAGCCCATGTGTCAACTTTGAACGGTCTGAGATACTGAAGCTCAAGATAGCGCATTGAAGCAGGATCTTGCCGGGGCAGTTGTTTTTTGTCGTGGCTAGGGCTTCCATCTGAAGCAGATTGCGCAATGGATTGACGCGGTAGAGAAGGGTAAATTTCCTAAATTGATGGAGACCTTAGAGGCAGGCCTGGGAATTTCGCAGCAGAAAGCACCTGGATGGCACACGATGTATGGATAGAGTACTCATTTCATAATGATAGTGAGATCGCTATTTTCGTGTTCTCTGATCTGAGGATACCCGTATTATGCGTAGTCCTCGTACTGTCCTCGTGATGGCCTCGCGAAAATTTGAGCTGTCCTCGAAGCGGATATGCATATAGCTCGAGGTCCCTGCGAGGAAACCTCGAGGACATTTTCGAAAATGCACCGACGGAGAAAGACCACCTTCTTGGAACCACCGCCACTCACTTTCTTGCCTGCACAGTTAATATAACTCACAGACTCCAGAATTTCCCTTTCTGTTAATTAGAGCTAGCTGCAAATAAAATACTCTCGTAGAATGTCCAAACAACACCCTTCCAACATTGGACCTACACCTGACGCAAACAATCGCCAGTGTCCTTATAGACGTTGACATAATACTTCTTGAACTTTCTAGTTTTGAGCTTCGCGTGAAACATGACGTCGTGTTCTTCACAGTTTCGTCCGTTAGTTTCGGGCAGGCGAAAGAATGCCCAGGTAGTGGTGAGAGTTGCTAAGACAAACCAGGAAAAGCCCGTTTTCCCTGTTAGGTTGTGAGCTAAAATTCATTTCCAAAAATGTAATGAAAACAGACCATTCCAGTTCCAGGCAAGAGGATTTATCGTATAAGGTTGCATGACGTTGGTAACGATTTGCGCTAAGTAGTAGGAATTTCGGGCCACCACAACGGTCTTAGACCTCAATTGGGTGGACGAAACTTCAGCTGCAATACACCGTGTACCTGTCTCGATCTGTCCTTGAAAAAAGATTCACCTACTAGGAGGGGCCCGAGGGCGAGGAGGAAGAGCAACCGTGACTAGCCATCGCTAGTCAATTTCTGCAGAGGTGGAAGGCACAGACACAAGATTACAGGCGCGAGAGCTGGGTTAGATTCTGATGCGTTCAACAGTGCGCCAAAGGGTGAAGCAAGATCCTTTCGGGGTCATGAGACTTTTCTTTCGGGTGGGCAGGCTCGCCTTCAGAGCAAAGAGGGAGCGACTCTGAGCGCGCCAGGTAGCGAGCACCTTCCCTCTGTGCCATCACCTTCACCCTCAGGCATCCAACACTTCCCAAGAGCTTTCTCCCAGACCACAGAATATACCCCCTGTCTTCGTGGGACTCAGTCCTCACGCTCTGTCCTTTCCCCCGGCTATCTCAGAAACATCGAACTGAGTACCATCAACAACCCTCGACTGTACTATGTAAGATCCTGATATGGTCGACTCTCTTCGAGTCCAACTGGAGCACTACGGTTCCGTGGTTGAACTTCCGAACACCTCCTCAAGCCCCATCTTGACCTCACAGACCAAGGTATCTACCCCCAGTCTCACTGCATAGACAGGCTGGCCAGGCTCCCCTCGGAGTTGCTCATTCAGATCTGTCATCTGCTCTCGTCCGTTCATCTTGTTTGCCTTTGCCTTTGCAATCATCGCCTCCATGCCCTCTTCCGGACAAATTATCGATTTCCTACTCTGAGGAGTGACAGGCTGTCAATATTTATCCGACTAGAAAGAGATCTTCCAGAATACTTTGCTTGCGATGTTTGCAACTTTCTTCATCGATATGATGGCTCTGAGAGCTTTAGAATCAGTAGATTGGTCTATCGCATATCTAATCAACTTCCCTATATTAGGAAAGGATATTACTAGCGAGCAGAGTTTATCGTAGGCTCCTCGATCAGTATAAGATCCCATCGTGGTGTGGTTTTGCTTATTCGGGAAGTCGGCTTTCTTTTCTCCACATCAAACTTACGATAAGAAGATACTGGTACGGTCCTCGTTCTAGAATAACACTAATTCTCTTACTTTTACGTAAGTTTTTGAACGCGGATATCCTTAGAAAGAAGATCACTTACTATCGTAGGTCTACCGAAATATCAGATTGCTCTTTTCAATCAACGCCTAAATATGTCTAGAGCCACTCGGAGTCCATATAAGAATGTAGGATATTATGCTTTATGACCTATAGCGGGATTCAAAGATTGAAAATCCGGCTGTGCCACCTCCTATGTGGTCCTGCGAAATATGCAGGCATACCCCACTTAAGCGGCAAGCCCCTGAGATTGAGTCTATGCACAATAGGGAGAGGTCCTCTTTTCCTTTTACTTGTCGCAGATGCAATACAGTCGCTTTGATTGAATTCCGGAGGATAGATTCCAGGCTTGCCCTAGTTATGACAAGATGAATCAATGTTGGTGCTGGTATTGACAGAGATGATCCTCTGTGGAAAATCCACACTTGGGCGTTCGATCATGGCACGCCGCACGATGCGTGACAAGCTTCCATCTTCGCTGAGGCTCCAAAGCCCTCGGGAATGCTTCGAAAACACGGCGTCACTGTCGTTCGAAGACTTATGGTCTCGCAACATATTCTATCTTCGTGATGAACGATACAAAAAGGGGAAGCTTTCATCTATGAAACAAAACTCTGCTTTTGGCACCTCTCATACAAAGAGCCATCGGAATTTTGCTGAAATCCTAAGAGAGTCGGATTTCAATCGAGGGTATGAATGAATCCAAGAGGAAAAAAAGGGTATCTGAGACGGACCTGTCATCAAATCACCTACTGATATCAGCTGCCACTAGGGCACCCGCAATCCCCTTCCTTCTCCTGCTTTTCTCTCATGCTGGATTGTTTAGCTAAATGTTGCTACGTCATTGCTCTGATCTTCTTTATGAGATTTTGGCTCCCGCAACTGGGGGTCTCACGGTTGCTATGTGCCAGAACTAATGCCCCAATTTGACGATTCCAATTTTGATAATTTGACAATAGATATCACCACCACCCTATGTATGTTAACTTTCAGCAGATCAGATTCAGCAAAACCTGGGTATCAGTACGAAATTTCTGCAATGAAAAAACATTGTCTGGAGAAGGGCTATCGATTCAAAGCGAAGGAGAACGTTGGTTGGTTGGGAAGGGAGAGAACTACGTCAAGGCAGGAATACATGGTACAAGACAAAGTAGACCTAGTACGGTGTGCACTTTTTTGGCCTAGCGGTCAGTGTCTCTACAAACTAGATGAGACTGATCTATCTACAGAAGTGGGCGTAGACATGCAAACATGCCAACGAAAGAGCTTTGACCAAGAATTTGAAATGGGACCTTCGAGTTTTTCTCTCCTGCAGAGAGGCTAGCTGTGCATGCTAGTGCTGCAATCGCTTCTTGTGTTCCTAAACGTATGGGGGCTATGTGCAATGCCGAGAGGCAAACTATTCCAAGGGAAAGGTTTGACCCAATGATGCCTCAATATGAAAAGAGAAGAGAGAAAAAAAAAGATCAAAAAAAGAGGGAAAAAAGGATGATGCCGCCTAGCCCGGGAATTGAACCCGGATCTATTGAGCCCTCCATCCTCCGCCATCAGTTATTACAACTACCCGTAGGTAGGCTCACCCCGGCAGAAGACCCAGGGAGGGTCGTGACTCCTCGAGCGCCCTAACCATCAGGCCAACTAGGATCTTGACACTCGCTCTATGTGGGGTCTGTATTAGAGAACAGCCAATAAAGCGCTCCAATGGCCACGTTGAGAGCCACAGATCCAGGGTTGTCCACGGGTAGAATGTTGGTGTCTATGTGAAGCCCACATTTACTCCGTACAAGAACACCCGTTGGTCAGAAATCCAATCAATTCGACAAGGGTCCGACGTGCCACAGTGGGGTATGTACTGTTTTCCAAGTTTGGTATGGCTTCCAATTGGGATTTCTTACAGATTATTTCTTGTCGGGGGTAGAGAATATCGCGGGAGGGGAATATGATCCGCATATCCAAAAGAATAGATATATTTATTGGCTAGGAAACATAGTGAATAGTATTTTCAACAGCTTACAAAGTACATACGACCACAGGGTGTGGAAAACAGGGCTTCCCGTCCGCTCAGCCGTACTTAAGCCACACGCCGGTGAGTTAGTAGTTGGGTGGGTGACCACCAGCGAATCCTCACTGTTGTATGTTTTTGCTTTTGCTTTTTTGTCCTATTCTTTGTTACGGAAGGGTAGGGATGTTAAAAATCAGTCATGTAAGCGCCAAGAACTGTATGTTTTAGAATTAGGCAATATCTAATCTATTGGTACCCTAAGGCTTAGTTAAAGATGACTTGCGGGTGGTTCACCCTAAACTTAAAATTTGAACCCTATAATCTCTTCTATACCTCTATCGTATGATTATAACTACCATAACATCGAATACATACGACCATAGGGTGTGGAAAATAGGGCTTCCCGTCCGCTCAGCCGTACTCAAGCCACACGCCGGTGAGTTAGTAGTTGGGTGGGTGACCACCAGCGAATCCTCACTGTTGTATGTTTTTTGCCTTTGTTCTTTTTGTCCTTGGCTCTTATGTGTCGGTTAAGTGGTGGTGAGTTAGTAACCTTGAAACGGTTGTTGTTTACCCAAAGGGGTGTAGTGCAATGGACCAATGTATTGTCGTCTATGTCCATAATGCCGCTTGGTAAAGACAACAGGAAAGTAAAATTGTACAAAAGGAAGCGTAAACCTCGGGGGGAGGAAATGAATGGGACAAATATATGCTGGAATTCAATTAGTTATATGTGGTACACAGTTCCAATCATACGAATGCTCGAGTATAATATTGGCTGGAAACCCAATCCATGAGGCACATGCAGGTAAGTGATTATTTACAAAGAGATCGAATCTCATAGGCTTCAGATGCAGTTAGGCAAGGAAGGCTTGGAGACGCTGCTTGTCCAGGATTTCCGCTTCCACCAATCTTCCCGTTTCAGTGACTTTTCCGTTCACTTGCTGATATCGTACCAGGGCGGGAATGTTCTTGGTACTCCACACTGTTCGGTAGACATTTTGAAGATTAATCCATCTTGGAAACATCAGCTCGATGCTCACAGAACAACTATTTCGTAAATTCAGAGGTGAAATCCACGGCAAAACTTACTCGGGCTTTTGTCCAACCTCAATGATAGCTAATTCCGGTGCATCATTCTCGGCAAATGCCTTGTTGATATGTGGCAAGGCATCCCGTACGTCTGGGCACCAGGGTTGCTTGGTAACGGGGTCTGTGGAAGATATGAAGGCAATGAACAACTTTGAGTTTGGACTCAGCGCCAGTTCCTTCGCCGAGTTTGGGAGTGTGAAATTCTTGACGATTGGCATTTTCGTGGTCTTCGTATATACGTTCCGAATTGGGCTCGGAATTTCTAGCAAAAGATATGGCAAGGGAATCTCAAATTATGATTCAAACGTAAAGGTTTCCGTAAGCATTTACAATGATCAGACGTGAGGCAATTGTGGCTTTTCCAGGTTCCTGGAATCCTGGTCCCGTGACTAAGCATATCCATTGTCCACTGCACTTGTTCTGCGTTTTCACAAAGAGCCAACTGGTGGCCCTGCAAAAGGAAATTGTCCCATGGGATCGACCTCATCGTGTTTATGTCCGCCGTCGAACTGTTTGCTTCTTAATTCAGCTTTACCCAGAAGCCCTCGGTAGACTCGTCGGGCCACAAAGTCTCGCAGAGTTCACGCGCGCGCGCCCAGTCATCATATTCACCATCAGTACTATACAACATTAGCATAAATCCTTTCGATATATGTGCTATGGATGTAACATACCCAATGTCAACGTTCTTTGGTGCTAACATCCAAGCCCTCAGAAGGATGGATGAAACGACATCATCGTACGGCTTTCGAGCTGTCTTGCAGAAAGCCCAAGCGCCCGGCTCACAGAGTACAAACGGCTCGTGTGCGTGTTCCCCGATTCCGTTCAGATAGATTCCGTCGTCGCAATTCGCCACTACCGATGTGATCTTGCCGTCATACTGGGTTGGGCCGCTAAGGGGGATTTTGGCTTCTTCGATGATTTTGCGGACAGCTTCGATCAGCTGCACCCAAGCCCTCTGCCATTCAGGAGTGTCCCAGCCGACGATGGTATAGTAGTGTGTGTAGCTTTATTGTGTCAGTAAATCGGATTGCGGGCGATAATTCACTTGACCGACCCCATATTGTTGGCCCAAACGATGTGGTTGTCTTGAAACTGGATAACTTAAAAGATGTGCCCATAAATATCAAGAGCGTGGACTGGATGTGGAGTTGAAGAGATGAAGAAGTGGGATGGAAGTCAAGTAGATTCGGGGTAGGAAGGGAGGGGCAGGGTCCAGCGTCAGATCCTACACCACAACGTTGGACCCAATTTAGTCTCCGTTTTTGTGAATTCTCTAAATCAACTACAGAGGTTTAGCAGATCTCCCTTTACAAGAGAATATTTTGCCCGTAATCAGGTGTTAAAGTCCGCATACAGCTGTCTACATATGGTAAAAAGAAGAGCAACGAGCAGAAGATGTGTCTATCAGATAGTCATCTAGGATAAAACTTAGGCATGATGTGCTTGTCAGATGCCAACCTGCTTTACAGTCCAAATTCTTATTCAACTCCTTCATCTTCACTCCTCATCGTGCAACCCAAGTCCACCACCCAAGGAACAGACGCACAGTCCTCAACGGAGATGGCCGAAGTGAGTAGACACAGGCAAGCCTGAACCGGGATAAGAGGCCAGGCATGGTTGGGACTATTTGGCTAATGATAAATCCGTTTCCCATTACATAGTCCACCACAATCGACGAGCTGACAGTCAATGATATCGCAACCGCCGATGGCGTAGTTGATGAGCCCTGCTTGGCTCCACAACTTCACCGGGCTCTCGACGATTTAGAAACAGCAGTCTATTCTGTGAACTGTTTTCAAACCACCTCACACTTTCTACACGCATTTTCACAACTTGATGCGCAACCGCTAGACATCCAGAGAGCCGTGGAAAGAGTGACCCAATTTGCGCAAGCTCAGGACTACCAAGCGGCCGTCGATGTCCAAAAAGCGCAAGCAACATTTGGCGCTCTGTCAAATCAAGACCAGTACGACTTGATGCGCTATTATGGAGAAGACCTTCTCGTTTATCTCGAGATCACCATTCCCTCGGACTTGTCACACGACCCTACACAGCCATTCAATGATCTGCAAGTCTCGGTGTTTGACATTGAAAACCTCCATCGCGCGCTTGCCCGGGTACGTGGAGTGGAGGCAAACATGGCCGATGTATTTTTCAGGCTACCCTCCATCCAGGGTCTGATGCGGAAGAATCGGGAAGAAGAACTTCGCCTGTTAAAATTGCGCACCGCAGCTGAGAACTTGCTCTGTGAGCAATTCCTGGCCCTAAGTCGGGGTGAACAAGACCTGCTCTGGTTGTGGTATGAGAATACTTTGAGGGCTAGTGGAATACAAAAGGACAAGAATGCGGAACCTCCCTACTCAGTTACGCGCTGAGGCCGCGGCAGCAATGTAAATGAATGCGTAAGGGCCCAGATTTTGCTATTTTCAAACGTTCAATGGTGCTGGTAGGCAAAGAGGAAACATTTTTACATTTTTACTAAGAATTGTACCGTCTCAAACATAGGAGGCTCTGGACCTCTGGTAGATATTGCGAAATATCTTCAATCTGATAATAATTTCCGCGACCCATAGTTTTGCATTCATGCTCGTTAGAGGGCAGATTAAGACATTCTCCAGAGAGGCCTTACGGGCAATGCCTGAACCTGACGCCTTCCGTGGGCCGACCAGATTGCCTCAAATCCATGTACCTCCAGTTGCCTGGCAGGACCTCCGTGTATAGTTGGAAACAGCGTTAGTAACTAGCTCTTGGGTCCTCATTAGACGAGAAAGCGTGTATATCTATGCGGCTCGTATAACTCGGGTGGATTGCAATGGGGCTTACCCTTTTGGGAACGACCTTCGGGGTTAGCAAGTGGCACGGACCTCGGTGAAAGGTACCTAAACTGTCTTAACTCCGAGAGTCATTCTATTCTCTTGCTTCTTCTCCGGCCATCTAAGACGAAAATCCAACAAGAAAAAGCAGATGAGCTCGGCCATCCAGCGCAAGCGGAAACGTCCGCTTCTCTCCTGTGTGGAATGCCGGCGACGAAAGATTGGCTGCGATCGCGAGGATCCTTGTGGCCGATGCGCAAAGGCCGAGATGCCCTGTGTGTATCAGACCCAGGATAACGAGCTGGGCAGTCGGCCATCGATCCCATCTGGAGTCGCGATACGTCGGGCGGTCGCACCCCCGCCGGCGTTGAATTCGCCCATGACCAGTCAGACGGGGTCAGCCGTGGAACGAGACCAGCATGAACCTCCACCAACCGGGGAAGTCCGCGGGATCTTGTCCAAAGCCCGTCTGTTAGGTACTACCCACACTATCAACACTTATCGGGAGGTTGGTAGCTTCGATATCTTTACTTTGGAGCATTTATATATGAAGCTAATATCACGGTTAGTGCGATGTGATGTACACCGACACAGTCCACGAGGTAGTGGCCTTTGACACCCAGGCTCTTATCGGTGCTGCAAAGAGGTTGGCTCGGGCGATGAAAAATCGTCCAGTCGTCCCATTTCTCACGGCTGCCGATGCTATTGAGAGTCTCCCGTCCCGGCAGATGGTTGACACGTTGGTAGACAACTATCTCCGGGTCATCGAGGGTCCATTCCGCATCTTCCACATTCCAACATTTCGTCGGGAATATGAGGCCTTTTGGGCCAGTCCGCCGAGTACTACCACAGTCTTTGTTCTTAACTTGCTGTTAGTAATCTCCATTGGGGCTCGATTCTGGCACGACATGACTGTGGAAGCGCAGCTCCGGCCCGACGCTCGCCGGTGGGTTGAAACCGCTCAGGTGTGGTCATCAAACCTGCACAAAGAGCTTGCGACTCTTGCTGGGCTCCAGGCTCAATGCCTGCTCTCGCTCGCAAGACAATTCTATCAGGTCAAACCGCAGCTGGTGTGGCTTGCTCAAGGGACGCTTCTGCGGGCCGCCATTTTTATGGGGTTGCACCGGGATGGACGTTATTTTCCCCAGTTGTCTTTCTTCCAGGCTGAGATGCGGCGTCGTCTCTGGACAACTATTCTGGAGTTGGAGGTCCAATCCATGATGGACACTGGTATGACGCCAATGTTGGGCTTAAAGGACTTTGATAGCAAACCCCCGTTGAATCTGAACGATGAGGATTTTGACAGCACGACCACGCTTCCTCCACAGTCCAGGCCGGCCTCGGAGTGGACTCAAAGTTCGTTGCAACTCTTTCTTCGCCAGTCTCTGGAGGTTAGAATGGAAATTGTCTGTCTAGTGAATAACTCATTTTCTGAGCCGTCATATGAGGATATTCTACAATGGACCGGCACACTGTCCACACTCCATGGCGATATCAGTCGAACCATGGCCCAAACAACTCCTGGGGATCCCCTTGCTCATCACCCTAATGCTCTCGATCAAAACCACCTTAAATACATGACTCGACGGTTTTTCCTAGCGCTACATCGGCCGTTCGCTGTAAAGGCATTTCATAATCCCAAATACTATTACTCCCGCAAGGTTTGCGTCGATAACGCTCTACTACTTCTCACACCGGAAGCAGATCCTGATTTCGACAGGCTCTTACACGTCTCTTTGAGTATTTTCCGATATACTATGCATCATGCGGCCACTATTCTCTGCTTTGATATGATCGCACAAATCAAGGAAGACCGGTCGGAGAATAGCCTTTTGTCCTTTCACCAGGAAAGCCGGGCTACGATGCTCGAAACCGTCAGAGGTATTGGCCGGATCACAGAGCGGCGCCTCCGCTTTGGGGAAACGAATGTGAAAAGTCACATTTTCCTTCATATGGCAATCGCCCAGATTGACGCGATGCAAAAAGGCCTGGAAATCAGGCCTCGGATCTTGGCGGCGTCAAAGCAAAGTGCCGAGAAAGCGTTGAATGTCCTGAAAGAGCAGAGCGACCTGCCTCTTGAAGCAACGGAAGTTGATTATTCCCGATTTGAAAACCTCGAAACAAGACAGTCCAGCGCCGAGAGTAGCCTCAATCCGTTTAAAAGCCTAAACCCAGGTGATATTGATTATGACCTGGGCAATGCGACCAGTTGGCTCTTTCCCGGCTGGGAGCAAGCATATTACTCATTGAGACCCTTTGAATGAGGAATAACGGAATGATGTTTTTATTCAGTATCAATTGCTCTGCCTACTCAACGCTACCTTGTAACTGAATATTCTAACTCTGCGCAAAGAAAGCATTCAGACACAGTTCCAACATAGTATAGCAATTTCCGATGTTTGAGAGAATATACTACACATCCTCTCAGGGCTCAGCTCGTATCCCAGCAACGATCATCTCCGTATATACTGTTACTCATACCGATAGCAGTATCCATTCCGCGTGGGGTCCATCATTTTTACCATTTGCCGCGCGGCTCCCAAGACCCCGAACTCAACATATGTATCCATCGTCACGTCAGGCGTCTGTTGCCCATACCAGATGGTTGAACTCCCATTGACCGCATACCGACGAGTCGCCTCATCCTCCGCCTGCCAGATCGCCCACAGTCGATCCACCTGGCCATGGAACAGCATGAAGGCAGGATCAGCTGGCGATGCGAAAAAGTCCTGCAGTGCGGGGCCCGTAGTCGCATGGCCGCCTCCATGAAGGCCCAACCCCCCACTGAAGGTGGATTCATAGTCATGACCTGCTGGAAATCAATGATATTGGTCGTGGCCAGTAGTTGATCGACTGCTGTTTGATTGGTATATCTGGTTGCAATCCAATCATTCAAGCTGCGAGTGAAGCACCGAGGATTGGATGCAAATGCATTTTCTGGAAGAGACGGTGCAAAAGCCATGCTAAAGTCAAGCGGGCCGAGGGTCAGCTGCATGTCCTTGAAGGGGCCGGATAAGACGCATCCACCACCAGTCCCGGGTGGGAGCTCTTCTTTGCCGATATATACTGCTGTTATGTTTGGGTCATAGGCCCCATCTCCAGAAAGTGAAGTGTCGCTGCCGTCAAAGATGGGGCTATCGGAGAGATTACCTGCCCAGAGCGGCCAATCCCAATACCTTTTTCCCTTCATTTAGCTACAGTTCCCAGAGCAGGTCATGTCTAGCCCTTTCAATCAGGAGGACTTACGGGAGGTAGCCCTTGTATCCGCACTCGTTGCGGAGGGCTTCTTCCCAGAGCCAGATGTAATGACGATGCCATGCAAGGAAGATGCCGCTGACATGCATAGAAAGAGTCATGTTGATGTGAGTTCTACCGCGGTGTCTATTGTAAGCCGACTGTATGCCATATTCACAGGGGTGAAGGGGAAGACCATACGCCACGAAATCTCCCATCCGGTTGACCACACCGGGGTACGACGCAGTGGGAAGTACAGGGTCCTTGTCTAGCATACATTGGACTGCAGCGATGTAATCTCGCCGCTGAGACTTTTTCAATGATCCCCTGAGATAAATATGTCAGAAAGATGCCTAACCTGGGGATTTAGCTCTAGGTTACTGTACCACTCCTTGCGGACTGCTGTGTTGGTCTTCGTACATCTTTTGAGGGCCATGGGAACTCCAAGAGCAACGCCCATAAACAGTGGGAGCACGAAAAGAATGATGAGCCTCATGATGGAGAAACTTGGGGCTCCCAAGGAAGGCTGATGAATAAACGATATGTTCTTCAATTCGTGCGCAGCTGTTTCCATCTTTAAATACTTCGATTCGGCAGTATCAAATTTCCAGCTCGGTCGTCCAGCGGAGCAAACCAAGTCTCGGGCAGACATTCTTCTCCGGTTTGAGCTTCTACTCCGTAGTATTACTCGTATCGTGTATTGCTCTTGCTGCTAGTGGCAGCATCCATTCAACTAGTAAGCACTTGTGGGAACCTTGGAGTTAGATTGGAGTTAAGTGAGCAAAGGATCACCGGGTGTCATTGCCTGTTTAGAAGCATACGAGGTTGCCACAATATAATAGGCAGTGTTAGACGATGCGGCGTCGACTGCAGATATTTACCCCTTGGCTATTGGCCCTCACGGCCAAAGGGTCTAGAGATACGCAGAATCTGGGGCCTCTCTGTTATTTACCGGGAAACAACGTCGGTGATAAATATTCAAGAGCGATTCGGGTGCATAAACCCCAATAGCAGAGCGAAGGTTCGGATATCACCGCAGAAAGAATACATTTGATTAGCCAAAAAAATATTTGATCTGGGATTTTGGTAGCTCCATGTAAAAGTGGCGATGTTCTATTAAATGATGGATATTGAGTGTATTAAAACTTGGAAATCATCGCTTTCCCACACAGTCGCTTCACCACCACCACCAACAAGGCCCCTATCACAATCACCGCGCCACTCAAGATGGAGGTCTGCAGATACCCACCATACCGAGATACCAGAACTCCACTGATCGGGGTCCCGATCAAGGCTCCAAAAGACACGCAGAACATTCCTAGCCCCATGTAAGTCCCGATATTACGCGGATCCGGAGTCACCTGGGCGAAGCACGCCGATAGCATCGAGACGACTGCACCAGAGGTAAATCCGTAGATGGCCGAATAGACAATGATGGCTGCGGGCGTGGTTGCGCGCGTCCAGCAGAAGCTGATAATCCCAGTCGCTAGCCCCGCCAGACCGAGGACGGTAAAGCGTCCAAGAGATCGATCTGCAAGAATACCTAATATAATTCGACCGCAGAATGAGGCTCCATTCAAAATCGCGACTAGATTCTGAGACATGGCCGGGGACATGCCATGCTCGATCGCATAGTTCGGGAGGTAGAACATGGGAATAAAGAGACCCATGGTCAGGAGAAAATTGCAGCCAATTAGTCCCACAAAACTGGGCTGCTGGAATGCAGACCACAGGATCAGCCTTTTCTTTCGCGGGGGTAGCCGGGGGCGTAAGGCGAGGGTGGACGGGACGATGACCACTAGGATGATAAAGCCACAAGCCCGCACGCTCCACGCGAATCCGATCGATGAATTGTCGAGTAACTGCGTCAGCACGATTGGGAAGATGATTCCCCCCACAGACGACCCACCCACGGCAAGCCCCATGGCGGCACCACGATTTTTGAGGAAGTAATGGCCGACGGCTGCGAGGCCCGGGGCCATCAGCATCCCCGCAGCTATGCCTTCCAATACGCCCTGTGCGAGCATGAACTGGTAATACTCCTTGCACAGACTGGTCATCATCACCGAAAAGACGAACAAGATAGAACTGGGCCACACCACCTAGTCATGGCGATTAGTATATATTTTCATTCTCAAGGGAATGGGGAGCATACCTTTGATCCATATCGATCAAATAACGGACCGCCAATGAGAGTAGCGGCAAAGAGGAAGAACACTTGTAATGAGCCCAACCAAGAAATTTCGTCAGGCGTTCGGTTCGCCAGCTGATGATACTGGTAATATTCTTGGTATACACCGAATGCATTGATGTATCCGAAGGAACAGAACATTAAACCTGCAGCACTGGCGGCGACTGACCAGGCTCTCGCGCCCCCATCTGGGAAATCCGGTGCCCAGCCCAAGCTACTGCCCGGTTTCGTTGTATTCGGGTCCTGAGATCCTGGTGCTTTCTCGCTGTCTATCTGCCCGTTGGCGGGATCTTCTGAAGACATGTTAGTGGAGAGACGAGGGCTCGCGTAATTCCTCACAGATACCGTAGGATTCACAGATTCAATGGATTAAGCTGCAATAAGTATCAACACTATAGGGTCAAAAATGAGGCCCTCGGCCGAGCGCGGGCATCGGGGCGGACATAAGAACGGGGTAAACGGGCATGGAACGGGGCGGACGAGGGACGGAGATGACGGGCAGCGAACCGCCCGTAATTAATAGGCAGTGTAGGTCGTCTTCATCCGACAGCTGAGTTGCGATGAGCATACTTTGTGGATATACGCCACATTCTGATGCCAGTTCATCATTTTTCTTCAGTCATCGCTTGTGAATATCGGCTGGATGCCCAGATACTGAAAAGGTCAGACTAATTTACAACTGTATCGCCTGCACTTATTCTACATATTGCTTTAGCTTCCTGTTCGGATAAACTTTTATGGCCAGCCCCTGATTGTCCTACCTCCGTGTTTGAATCGAGACCAGTCTAGATGTCATATCATATCTGATCAATTTCATCCGGACATGGTTTAGATATTTAGTTAAGATGGTGGGGTATAGAGTGATTTGGCTGAACTTCTGGCCCCGGTCCAAAAAATACAATCGACGTCATGACTTTGAATGTCAACTTTAACGGTTGGTCTCAAATGTGAATGTCGATTCGACTTCCCTACGGAGTAAACGGATCTGAAAGCCACTACACAATGACACTCAACCGCTCATTAAAATCAATGACGGATGAATAGTCCTAGCCTGGGCGTTGTCCTAAGTAAGATAACGGCTGCGAGCGATCCAAACCACAATTTGTGTTCTGGACAGGTTGAGCGTTTTGCTTTCCGATATTTTTCTCTGCGACTCCTTTTCCAATCTCGGTTTTTGCTGTTTGAATCAATCGGAAAGTCCCCCGTACTAATGCCCATTCTTCCTCTTCTCGGCTCTGCTCTGATACTCCTTAGAATCTAGATGTGTCATAAGTATGTTTGAGAGCAAATTCCTGCCCGGGCTAGAACCTGCGTGTGCACATACTCCATTCTAGCATATAATAGGGGGGAACAAAGAGGAAGAAAGAAAAAGAAAGACGTGGTTCTTCTAGATTGTAAATCGTATTTCCGAATATCCGAGATTTCGGACACAGGATTTCTGGATATATATTGACCTTTATCGTTGATTAAATGTATCAACTTGATGACTTCCAAGCTAGAAGCTCAGCGTCCAAATACTTACCTAGATGTAACGGATCTTCGTATTCAATTCACCAATCTTGGGCTTTCAGGCGCTGTCGTGTTGCGCTTCTTCGGATCACCTCCAGGCCGATCCAGAGCCGACCCGTCATCTTTAATGGTTCACAGTGGATCAGATTGATATGGTCCACAGAAGGGAGCTCATTCTGATTTTTGATAGGACGAGGCTAATAGCCAATTTTCATCATCATTTCTTGAAGAGCCCCATTTTTCCATTCGCGCCACTGGAAGAAAACTGGCCGATGGGTTCAAGAAGAGCTGCCAGCTCAAGCTTTCCACTTCGAACCATTCACTCCTTGCCTAAGATCCAGCGAGCAGTATATTGTCGTGATTGACCATGGGGAGCGACGACATGAATTTGAAGCCGGTTGAGTCGGCGCAGTCACTTGCTGCGACTTTCTCGCCTATCCGTGAAGTGCTGTTCGTGACCATTGCTTGCATGGGCCAATTTATGGCACAGGTCAATATTGGCATTTGTCTTTCGTCCCTTGATATTGTCGGCGATGACTTTGGTATCAATGAACCTGGAATTCTGAGCTGGTTCATTGCCGGGTACTCCTTGACCGTTGGTACTTTCATTTTGGTGTTTGGCCGTTGCGGTGATCTATTTGGTTATCGTCGAATGTTCATCATCGGATTTTGTTGGCTTGCACTTTGGTCTCTCGTCGCAGGACTCAGTGTCTACTCGAACTATGTGCTGTTCATCTTTGCACGTGTGCTTCAGGGAATTGGTATCGCCATGCTGATGCCCAATTCACTGGCACTGCTTGGGGCCACTTACCAACCAGGAAAGAAAAAGAACATGATCTTCGCCGTGTTCGGTGCCATTGCCCCCAACAGTTCGGTTTTGGGAGGTGTCTTTAGTGCAATCTTTTCCCAGTTGGCTTGGTGGCCATGGACATATTGGACCCAGACCATTGTGTGTATCTGTTGCGCCGTATTGGGTTTGCTCGTGATCCCACCCATCTGCCGCAACACTCTCACTGACAGATCCTTCATGGGCCTACTCAAAGCTCTCGATGCACTTGGTGGAGCTTGTGGCATTGGAGGGCTAGTGCTTGTCAACGTCGCATGGAACCAGGCGCCTATCGTGGGATGGCACCAACCATACGTCTATGTCCTTCTGATAATCGGCATCCTTTTTCTTGCTGCATTTTTCTATGTCGAATTCCGGGTGGCTGAATACCCTCTTATTCCATTCCACGCATTCAGTCGCGATGTCTCGTTTGTGCTCGGCTGCATTGCCTGTGGTTGGGGCTCATTCGGAATCTGGATCTACTACAGTTGGCGGTTTTTGGAGGTGCTCCGCCACTCGACCCCCCTTCTGGCATCTGCCCAGTTTATCCCTGTTGGCCCAGCTGGTATTGCTGCATGTGTTGCCACTGGCTGGCTGATGAGTCGTATGCGACCAGGCTGGATTATGGTGATTTCAATGACTGCCTTCACATTGGGTAATGTCCTCATCTCAATCGCACCCGTGCACCAGACATACTGGGCATTGACATTTGTTTGCTTGTTGATTACACCCTGGGGGATGGATATGTCGTTCCCCGCAGCCACTTTGCTGTTGTCGAATTCAGTCGAGCGCAAACATCAGGGTGTGGCTGCATCCTTAGTAACGACTGTTGTCAATTACAGCATCTCGCTGAGCTTGGGACTCGCCGGTACGGTGGAAGTTCACGTCAACAATGGAGGCACCACTCCTGATGACATTTTGAAAGGATACCGTGGTGCGTTATATTTGGCGGTCGGCCTTGGGGGACTAGGGATGTTCCTCAGCATGATCTATACGGTTAATAGTTACCGGGCCAAGAAACAGGTGGAACAGGTGAAGGACGAAGAATCTCCAGATCAATTTACCATACCTTAGCTATACATCATGAGAATAACTAATATAAGATTATCCTATAAAATACTACACTTGGAATTCCTCACGCCACTCAACCATTGAATCGTTAGATTTGTCAGGTGTAAACCATAGTCCCTGGTTGAAGCTATTACTACAATCGAAGCTATTCATACTATATATATTCTGAGAAGAGCAGAAGATTCCTGTAAAAAAGACCACTAAAGACCACTAAGACTACGCCAAAGACCTTGTAAGCCCGCAAATGCGGCCGACTATATGAAAAGCTTCGTTTTACCTGCCTGCTTTCCAAGGTTGGACCTAGGTGCCTTGACTAGGCATTTATCAAGCTCGCTTTCATAGTAATTCAGGTATCTTCGTTTTCTGCCAGCCCAAATCCAGGCATATTCAGGCAACAAATTCGTTTTCAGTTGAGACCGACCCCTGAGCGCTATACACCTTCGGACATACCCCCCTACGCGTTTGAAGAGATTGATGCCGGTCCGGAATTTAGCCTACCAGGATTTCCATGGAACTTTCATCTACGTAGGTAGTGTTCTCCTTGATGTATAGCTAGAAGAAATGTACGATACGTTTAGTCGCTTACTTCACGCCATCAGTAAGATAGAGATGCGTGTAGATCCGCGCTGGAGATTGAGTGGGAGGCGTTGCAAATGGAATCTTTTATTGCCGATATCGCGGGGTCCATTGACTCCATAACTCGAGTCCGCGCATAAAATATTCCAACCCTCTAGTGTACGTCTCCAGTTCGCGGCTCGAGCTCTTGGTGTTATCATGTCGAATTTCATCGCCAGTGTTCTCGAGAACAAGCTCTAATTCCCGACAATAACTATAGAGCAGCCGTTTGCACGCTTCAAATGGTAAGCCTGTCTCATTTGCAAGAATGTAGACGGCGGAAAGAGGCTGGGCGCCATCAGTTGGGTTCTCTTGGTAAACTTTCCATTCTCGATTCCAGCTATAGATGTCATTCATGACACCGACGTGACGAAATGCTGTACTTTCTAGGGCAGCGCTCTTCTCGAGTTCGGCAGTAGTGAGATGCAACTTAGCACCGAATCTAAGGAGAGCTGTGTAGAGTCTAGATGGCTGTTGGTCACACGAGAAATAAGCCGTAACGAGCTATACTCACGGCCTGCCCACATCTATCTCCCTAAACTTGAGATATAAACCCAGCGTTTTTATTGAAGTCCGTTCCTTGGATGTCTGAGCTTGTAAAAGCTGGCAGAATCCTTGGGTAACATCATTCGCCAAAACCTCATCTATTTTCTGCATGGACGTGATGGTATCATGAAGCATCCATTCAAGACAAATACTTTTATCGGGATTTGCCTTTCCAAATGCAATTTTTATAACTCGGTCGCGATAGGAGGACATTTGTGTAAAACTCATTTTTTCCAGTTGATCTATCTCCGTGTCAATGAATGTGCAGACCCAATGTTGTATCATGACTACTGACCATCAATGAGTAGAGACAAGTAAAGCATTTTACATGTCACATCAATACGATCACTTAAAGTCAAAGGGAAAAAATGACTGAAGGCGCGAGAAAACCCAAGAGCAAGGAACCCCTTTTTCTCCTTCTCGCTGGCGAAATTCCAATTGTCGGCAAAATAAGGCTCAACCTGAGCTTGGATTCTCTTCCATCCTAGTGGATGAGTTTTAGATTCCAGTCGACTAGGCGGAATCTCACAAGGGACAACTGGCGCTGTTGAGTATTGCTTCACGGGTTTGTTTGTTGAATGAATGGGAAGGGAAAAGATTTGCCTATTGACACTGATTCCCGGTGCCACAAATTGGTATCCATTTTTCAAAGGTTTCCAGATGCGTGTCTTTTGAAATTGATGCATTGCAACTTCTATCAATTGGCACCATGTGACAACAGGGTTTCAGGTTGACGATTGCAAGTCTTGAACAGGCCAGCACGTGACCATGGGTATTCCACCGTATGTATCACAGCTTCTGTCTTTGTTGAGGGGAATTTCTCTCAAAGGTGTCTTGCAGTTTTTGACGATTAAGCCAGGATCCTATGATCACAATATGCTTCTCCATGTACTACGTGCGACAGGGCTTTATACATCTATGATATACCCGTGTACTTAATTACGCACAGACCAGCTGAAACGTGATGTCACCGATCAACCGTGGTCCACAAACATGCTTCTTATTAGACTTATCTCTACTTCCACTCCATTCACTTCATATTCGCAATACCTATGAGATATTGTCTACTGGTAAGAACTCTGTCACTTCAGCTGGAAATAAGTCAAGCAATCAATCTCTTGTATCCACCAATCCAATCTCTAATGTTCGAAACAGAAATAGCATCAACATCTTTGTATTAACATATGGTGCTAGCTTCCATTTCTGCCAGCCATCAAAACTCTCTGCGGGTGGCTCTAAGACACCTTGGTGCAATCAAGGCCAACAGTGGAAATCATCCGGCTTATTCTTTGAGCCTAGCATTTTCCTTTTCGACCAGGGCCGTCGCAATGAGCAAGTCGTCAGAGAATCCCCCGGGCGCTCCATGGCGTGATATTCTTGATTCTCATCTCAAACAAACACCCGGATATGAATTCACCATTGCAACGGTTGGCTATGATGCCCAACAACGGCCCGTACCTCGGCTACGGACTTGCGGCTGCCGTGGATTTTTCCCGGAACTGGAACTCCACCCCAAAGGTCAAGAGGCTATGGATCAACAGGTAGAAGGGGGTGGCAACCCACCGGTGTTTGAGAGTGACATGCTGTCATTTACAACTGATGCCCGAATGGACAAGCTTCCTCAACTTGAGTCGTCAGGTCATGCGATTGAGGCCGTGTTCTGGCTGAAAGATCTTATGACTCAGTGGCGCATTAAAGGAACGGCATATGCAATTGGAGACCCAAGCGGAGACAATTCATATGCGGAGAAAACATCCCGAATTGAGATAATGAAGGCATTGAGGTCGAAAGACGATTGTAATAGCAGCATTCCTCAATGGACGTGGGAAAAAGCTGTCACAAAGTACTTTGCAAACCATTCCCCTATTGCAAGAGGTATGCTTTTTTCAATCTTCCGATGCGGGTCCTACTTCTCGGGTGCTTCTACGTCAGACTAAAGATACCTGTTTGCTCGTTATCGCCAGCTTATACTGAGTTACGATCTAGGTACTTTTCGAAACCCTCCACCTGGACAACCTAGGTCCCCAATCCCTAGCGAATCCGATATTGGTGTAGGCCAAAAGATTACAGACCTTCATGACCCTGTTGCGCGGGCAAACTTTCGAGTAGTCGTTATTCGACCCGAGGAGGTCGAACGTCTAGATCTTAATAACCAAGAAGATGGCAAGAGGTGGGTTTGGAAGCAGACAGGACAGAGCAACGGCGGTGGTGTTCGATGGCATGAAATTGAGGTGTGGCCGTAATTTTGAGCCAAATCTTTCGTGTAGATGAACTTGTATCCGGTCATTATATCATATTGGAATGCAACAGATGTTCACCAATACATCATGTCGTCTTGGATTGGAAACCTCTAACCCCCGTAGTTTGAAATGCATTGTCATCTGGCATTTGCTAATGTGTGGTAGGCAGCGGCCTTGAGTGGCTCTGCAGTTTCCAAATTGGGTGGAACTTGAATATGGGTTTGTCTCGCCATCGTCGCCTACCTTCAAACTGTTTTCCACCCCGTCAACATATCGCATCGTTGCATCAACGTATCGCATCGTCGCGTCACAATCGTATTAAAACATATTTTCATCCCATCATCGCTCCAACCCATCCAGAAAAGTATCCTTCTTCAACTTTGAGCCCTTCATTTGATTTATCATCCATCACACTGACAACAGACACGTTTTAACAGTGTCTGACGACGAAATGGCGAACGGTGCCTGCGCTTCGTGCAAGGCCAAGAAGAAGCGATGCACCCACCGTGATCTGCCAGCAGAGGTTGTCGACGCTGAGACCACCCTAGCCAACATGCCTTCCCCCTCTGCCCCTGCCATCAAGGGACGTCGCAAGGCGACCGAGAACAACAATGCTGCTGAAGACAGCAAGGCCGCCGGTGACAACAGCACCATCGAGGTCAATGCCGCTGACAACGACATCGCTGACGACAACGCCAAGGTATGTTCAGTACTCACTAGACCACATTCATCTCTTTGCTATTCTTCCTGTGGCCGAGCTGATACATCCATGTAGGAACTGAGCCCTGGCCCCGTCGACTCTAGCGACGAGCTCTCTGTCGTCCCCTCCGAGGTCGAGAAGAAGAAGCCAGCCAAGAAGCGTACCAAGCGCACTCGTCGTTCCAAGGCCGCATCCCAGCCCCAGGACGAGGTCCCTCGCCTTCCCACCGATCCCGTGGAGGCTGCTTGTGCCATGTCCGTTCACACTGTCTTTGCCCGTGAGCTTCGATTTCACATCCAGGAGTTCCGTCAGAATATGGAGGCTTCTCGTGTTGCTCACCAGGCTACCATGGCCTCCGCCCAGACTGTTCAGGACACTGTCGATGGTTGGGTTGAAGCTTGGACCTCTGGTCGCTAAACAACTTCAACAAACATCGATCGCAGACTTCCGACGCTTTGGCTCTACTTTGTTATCATGCCTTGGAAGGGACTTTGCGATCATTTGAGATGGTGATAGGAGGAATTACTTTTCATCTACTGATTTTCGGCCCCTAATATGGGCAGGATCTATCACGTGAGGCCATGGATTAGGGTTTGTTTTCGAAAGGGACTCCTGGGTTGTACCTGGACAGGTCCTCATAATTTATGGCTTTTCAAATTGCATCTTTCTCAGTAAACATATCTCGGGAGTCGAAAGTTGGAACTTCCCCGTTTTTCCGATCTAGCTGTGTTGGTCTGCATAGCCCAATCTGCAACGCCATGGTCCTCTTCGACGCTGTATCGTCCTATGTGAAGACGAGATCTCAAGACATCAATAAGAGAGAGTACTCCGGGTCAATTGATAGATGCATCTAGTACTCCGTAGGCACCTTTAGACCTCCATTTTACGATACCGCCAAGATCAACGCTTTTCGATTGACGCCGATCAGCCAACCATCACTACCAATCGGTGCGGTGGGACCCTCACGGCCCCCAACCACGGGCTCTCCCGGTCTTCCGCGGGAGGGATCGTCCGGCTTCAAAGAGGTCCATTCTGTAGGCCTCCGTACTCCATACTCCATACTCCGTACAGAACGGAGTGTATTGGGATTTCTTGAGTGGACCCTACAATCCCCGAATCCCCGGCTTTTGGTCCCCGACCGTTACGTGTCAGACTTCCCAGGTACCCGCGTGATATCTCCATGGAATCAGACTACCTCCAACGTAGAACGTACAACGTGGTATGTCGTATGGAGTATACACAGTGTGTATGGAGTAATTTAATTCATGCACAATCCCTCATACCATGTTTTCCCTGGTCTTGCTCGGCATCTCAGATATCTCCCATATACTCCATACTCTGCGTTGTACGGAGTATATGTATATGGATTACGGTTGCCAGGAAACTTGATCTCCATTTCTCCGAGGAATGAGCGGCTTGGATTTCGGAGCAATTCTTCAGAGGATCTACGGAGTACTGTCATATGGAAGATCAACGGGATAAACGTGTTGGGTCTATGCATGTCTTGCCATCAAATGGTCCAACTAGGTACTTCGTCCATCAAGCTAGAGTCATAGTGCTGTATATCCAATCCTACGCGAGATGGATTGCATAAATTGACACATACCGGAAGAATCCTGCTTCACCGCTCCTCGAGTGAATAGGGTACAGGCGATCCAATCATCTACCTCGGTCTAATTCTGAAAGAACAGAAGGCCATGCAGTTAACCTTGGGATGTGCCGGTTATCAAATACTTTGTGTACGGAGGACTACATCAGTCACACCGGTCTTTTCCGTACCAAAACCGCCTAGTCCCATACAAATCAATACGGTCCACCGGGCAAAAGTACATACCGTACCAGTACCGTACCAGCCCTGGTCTCCAATTTCTTGTTCATCCTCTTCTTTCTCGACCCTTTTTCTCTTCCCCTCCTCAGACTCTGCTTCACCGTCACTTGCATTCTCACTTGCAGATCCTGTCAAACACATAGTCCTTCATTGGGGGGTTAATAAAGGCCGCGCCCTCCGCTGCCCGCATCGCGATCCACCTTCGTCACACACCTTTCGCTCTTCGATTTCTCGCGACTCTGCTAAACATCACGACTTATGACGAAACGAACCCTTGAGCTATACCTTCTGATATAATATTGAATCTTTTCCCCCTTGTGTTCCAACCTTGGGAAGCGTGGCAACCCCGGAATACTCGATAGTCAAGCATTTGTTTTGGTCATGGCATCAATGGATGCCCTAGGGGCCTTCACCCACATGAAAGACAATCTTCCTGGATGGATCATTCGTGTTTCAGAGCTGGCTGCACACACCCACAAGAAGCACAACGAGTACTCCGAAGCCTATAGACGCCACACAACCTTCAAGTCCCGCCGACGGAAAAACAGCTCTGTTTGCTCCATCCATACCGATGACCTCGTACCGATCGCACAAAGAATGGGCCCCAGTCCAGAGCCCACGGCGGTGGGGATAACCCAGGATGTGCCCGAGGAAACTCCACGTTCTGGGCGCAAGCGCAGCACCGAAGAGGACCCCTCAGTTGATTCCGGAGAACACTACGCTTTTGTAAGCACACGGCACAATGTCATTATCGAGTACGATGGCCATACACAACAGACGCTGGAGGCAATTGTACGGGATATCGGAGTCGCCAGGAACAACATTCGACGAAGCCAGATGGCCATGATGCCGCGCACCGGGCTGCGCGGAGGTCTGCTGAGCAAAGGCATGAGCTTGAATATGCACATGAACATGCCAGCTGGAATGGAACAAGTAACATCACCGCTCTCTTGTGTCCGCAGCACCCGAACTACAGCTGGGCTTGTTGGTGTCTCTGGGGCCGGCGTACTGCGGAGGGACTCCGCTTTTGACTTTGCAGATAAACAGCTGGAACTTGCCCACTCACTCTGCGAAACGGCAGCTTACCAGGTCCTGCGATCCGGCGACTGCGGAACGGAACTTGATGGCGTGGAGGAGAAGTTCAAGATGCTACTTGAGGCTGCTATCAACGAGGTCGATCGTATTATGGCAGAAAAGAAGCAGCAAGAAGAGCACCAGCAAAAACAACAAGACGGGACCGCGGAAGAAGGACCTCCCAAACCACCTCCGACTCCCTCTGCAGCGCAACTCGCCAGAGTTGCTGCCATTGCTGCGAATAAACCTTCCTCGGCCACCGCAGGCACCATCGAAGTTGATGACAACTCATCTCTCTCGGCTGAGTCCATCGATCTATCTGCATTCCGATCATCCCGGATCCGAGTGTAAACATGGGCAATCACCGCCCTTGGCCTCATGTTAGCGATTTAGCGTGTGTTGAAACCCTTCCAGCAACCCAGTCCAGCCAGTTGATACCTTGGGACTTTTTTTTTTCTCTCTGATTGGGCTCGTCTTTTTGCCTTTCTACACCTTTCATTGTGACCTGATTTGCGGTTATGGAACGCGTATACCACATTACACCATTCACTCTCTTTGTTTTGCGATCTCCTTTCCCTTGTCTTGCCCACTATCTTCAATCACATCTCTTGATGTTTTTATCTTTGTTTTGGGATACCTACCTCTTGTCTGTCTCTTGCATCAGCTCATGACTTCTTTCCAGGAGAGCACGGCGTTGGGATCGGCGTTTCCTTTGATTGTTTATATTCCTGCCTATATTCTTGCGCATCGGTTTCTATTGGGCTTTGCGTTCATTTCACCACCCCATTCTCCGTAAATATTGATGACAAAATTGAATTTTCGTGGAATTTCGCTCCATTTTCAGGCGTGAATGCGTACAGAAGTACAGAAGTAGGGAATTAGACCAACTACCTAGTTAGAACACGGTACTCCGTACATACTGATGAATTTCCCGCTACAATCCCCCAACGTCGAAAAATTCCATAGTCAAGCTAGTACGGAGCAATGTCCCAGACAATGCATGACCGTTGCCGTTCCCTGTCGTAAAACGCTTTGGTAACAAACGACATACAAGGATGTTGAGAAACGATTTGTGGAGCAAGCGAAGTTCCAAGGTTGGTTACAGGGATCAATGAGATTTGTGGGGGCCGTGAGCCATCATTATTGGATTGATACCCAACCTTCCTAATTGAGTAAATAGTCTGGTATTATTTCCTGGGCAACAGGAACGGGTCCAAGTGGAACTTATTGATTCTTGGGGGCTATCAAACTTGGCTTTGTTGCCTTCACGAAATAGCGACTCAGATCCTTCTTCATTATTTCCCACGGTCAGCCGCCACACGGGTTGTTCGACGTGGCCTTCCCCTAGCTGCATTTCGCCTTTGAAGACATGATAGCGGCACTTTGTATATTGTACGTGTCAGATTACGCAACTCCAAGTGATTGTGTGCGGAATATATGGAGTACAACTTGCATGCATCGCACATGCTACTATGTACTCTGTCCTCTGTACGGAGTACTCCGCACAGAGTACATCATGCCACATATGGTACGGATTATAGCGTGGGGTTACTTGAAGGCAGCTTTGTTCTCTCTTTGAGTGCAAACTACGTGCAGAGTATATTTGCGATATCTCCTTGTTATAGGAAGGTGACCAGGGCATGATATAAGGCACCGGAAGCTATTTAGGAGGCGTTTCTTAAAAGTGGGGAGGGTGATGTGGATATGATGTTGCCATGCATGGTCTAGACACTGGTTGTCCTAGTCGATCATGGATGCAGCAGCTGAAAATATATTGGCTTCCACCTGTCATGATGTAGATGCAGGGTTCTTGCTTCTAAGAAGATACAATAATACCTCTAACTTCGGCCTCCGTACTCCGTATGTATCCACCCATTGTATATTACGTCGAGCCTCTCTGGGTATGTGTCGTACTATATTTTTCTTTTACCTCCATGAAAGGCAACTGGGGTCTCGCTTTGAACATCACAAGCCTCTACATGGAACAAAGAACAGCCTTGATCCAACTTCTCATCGCCACCACAATGATGCCCCTTATAGAAACTATTGTGCGTTAGAAAGATCATCGTCGATGATACTCCGTACAGTCGCCACTTTGATGTATCGAGGGGGATGGTATCTAGGTAATCATCTAACCGATCAACAAACCACATGGAAGCACTAGTTATCTAGTCCTAGACGCCAATCGCTCAGATGCTAATCAAGTTCTGTGGCTTGGATCGAGTGGAGAGGTATTTTCCTCTCGAATGGCACGGAGAATTATTCCACCTGGGCAGCTATTATTACTCCGTACTGTTTGTGACTGATATCAAAAGTACGATGCAGGAAGGGATAAAAGACAGGAGAGGGGGTGGGGGTGGGAGGAACACGCTTTTCACCCACTTTGTCCGGTGTTAGGTACCTAGGTATTCATTGTATCTGAAAGACTTGTCTGTAGACTGTCATTCCAGCTCCATAGTCTGTCCTCAGTGATGCGAATGGTACTCCGTATACGAAGGTGTAGACCTGCCGCCCTTTTCAAAGGGATTGCCGTCAATTCATGAGTTACGAATCAAACGTAGTTAGGGATGGATGTTGTAAACCAAGAGATACATGAGAATACCTACCTCGGTAGTCATTTTACAGCATAACATACATCTGTTAAATACTATGTATCGTAGGTAACAATCACCGTTCTCCGTACTTTTGTGTGCTCCACCCCGCTAGCCAGAATTGACAGGTGTCAAGGACGCTGCAAGCCACCGCGGCATCCCACTAGAGGCGCCAAAGAGAACAAGGATCTCTGCCGTTTCGCTTGATGGCTTTTCGTGCCAAAGCCACTACGGAGTACGGAGTACGGAGAACTAGGGATGAACAAGCTGCATATTATAGTAAGCTCCTGCCTTCCTAGGAAAGAAGCCCGTAGGAATCTGCCGGGGTGCTAGGAAAATTCTGCTGATGCCATTCTACATTCGATATAAAGTACGGAGTGTTTCAAGGGAGCTATTAGTTCTTTTTCGTATTTTCATCTGGATGTGATACCTAATTTTCTCGCTTGTACGAAGTATGCGGGTATACCTAGTGTGATGATGCATTGCATAGTCTTTACCTCGGCAGAGTAGATTAAACGAAAAGATAAAAGTCTACCGCAAAGAAGCTTATCGTAAGAGAATAAGAAGTTTATAAAACCCTCAGGGATGTAATAAATACAAATTCAATACCAATTAGAACATGGCAGAATCTACGTACTCCGTACTGACGGTTAGATACAAACAACATTGGCCTTCAACAAAAGTACCTCAGTGCCTACATGTCAGATGTGCACGGGCTGTCCTACAGGACTGGGAATTTGCAAGCCCGCTCGTATATTTTATTCCACGAACGGAGTACTCCGTATAGTCCGGACCGCTTGCAGCGCGATGGACCCAAGAACACCGTGGCAAAGTACGAGTCGGCTGGTGCATGCCTCCGGTTTGAATTCTTCACTCAATGGGAGAACGATTGCCTGATAACTTATACCGGCATGGGTCCAAGGCTAAAAATAGCGGACAATTCATATAAGCACAAGTGCCATCGATGTAGAACGATGCCCCCTCGGACGTTCGAAAATGAGAAGAGTATTTCTCGCCCCTGGTGGAAATCAGATAGAGGCTGCGATCTACATGGCCGCCTGGTTATTTCACAGTATCTGTAGACTATGGACAAGCAATCTGTCTAATTGTGGCTACTCCATATGTAGGGTGCTAGTGGTTGTTGACTACATAATGCGTTGCTCATGCAAGCGCTTTGCTCGAAACCTACATCGATGCACATGCGAGGGCTATACACCTCCCAAGTTCCCAAAATGATCATGGCGCATTATATAGATAGTTCTTCGCAGGTCTGCCGCCGATGTTTCTAGGCAACAGGTTTTCGTCGACATGTCCTCGACTACTCCGTACTCCGTACGGGGTAGTCCGTATTTCGATTCCCGCAGTTTAGGGTAGCAATGCCTGACATGCGCCTTCTCGTATGTAGAGCTCCCAAAAACAAAAACGAAAAGATACTGCACTGACAGGGAATCGAACCCCGGCCACTACTTTGGAAGAGTAGTATTCTACCACTGAACTACCAGAGCTGCTCATGTGACCTGGAATCCAAAAGCGGTATCTTGTTTTTAAAGCTTTTTGCTCGGACCATCCTACTCGATAAGGCGATCGTTGGAGGGAAACCACAAATGAACAACCATCTGCTTCCCTCCCCGTACAATCTCTCACAACCACAATCGTGGCTAGAGCGGTTAGTGTTGCCGCTATGTGGTGTCCTATTGGGAAGACCCACACAGTCTGCGGCCCAGAAACCATCGACAAAGCCGATTCCATTGCAAAGCAGAGGGGGAGACCATCCTCCAATTCGTATAATATGCATCTCAGACACGCATAATGCTACTCCACCTTTGCCACCAGGCGATATCCTGATCCATGCAGGTGACCTGACAGCCCATGGGACTTTCGATGAGATGCAAGCCCAGCTCTGGTGGTTATCCTCTCAGCCGTATACCCATAAGATCGTCATCGCGGGAAACCATGATCTTGTTCTCGATGAAGCAAGTGAGATGAAATTTCTTGCACGTGAGGGGATCAGTGGCGCCAAACGAAGAGAATTGGACTGGAGCGGGATCCAATATCTGCAAGATGAAGCAGTGACATTGGAAATACCGGTCATGGGTCTCGCAGAGCCACAGATGCGCAAGGTCAAAATATACGGATCTCCGTTAACGCCGGAGTTTGGCGTTTGGGCCTTTCAGTATCCTGCGATCCGTGATGTGTGGTCCGGGCGGGTCCCTGATAATACTGATATTCTGGTGGTGCATGGGCCTCCGGCTCTGTATGGTGACTGTGATGGCGAGAGAGGAGCAGATGGAAAGGTTAAGGTGAAAGGAGATGGTTATCTTCTACACGAGATACAAAGGACAAAACCTAAGATGGTTGTCTGTGGGCATATCCATGGGGCATTCGGTCTCACTATCATCCAGCATGATGGAATCCAGGACTTAATAGATGGATCACAGATTGGATGGAAGGGGTATGATTTACTCGGAACTCTGAAACAGATTGTTTGGAGTAGGGTCACCACAGGGAGAGATATTGATTGCTCGAGAGAAACCCTTGTCGTCAACGCCGCCATTGCGCCAGATAATAAGGGAAAGGAAGAAAAACTCCCGATTATCGTCGATTTTGCATGAGAAAAGCAATACATTCCTTCATGACTCATGAAAGCGAAAGACCAATAGATCTGACTTTTTAGATAAAATGAATATAAGGTTACCAATATAAGATATTGCTTACTTCTAGTTGATGACTGGACCTTTTATCCTCAAAATACCCGAGAACCTCGTTGTTATGGTATGGAATGACCAGGCGTTCTTCTAGCTGAGCCACTAGATCCGTCCACTCTAGGACCGATTCGAGCATTTTGTCCTCCTTCTAGCATTGCTTTACCTCTTCACGCGGTATGATCGTGCCGGCTCTTCGTGGAAGTCCCAATCCAATACGCTGGCTGAGTGACTTCATTCTAATTCCAGTATGGTAGAAAGGCCCGCATAGCGAGGTTTAGATGAGTCGTGGGCATTGAAAATAAAAGTAGCCGGCCACTTCGTGTACCAGAAATACCCAGACTTATTTTGTTGGCCAGTGCTATCGTTTAAAATCAAATGCTCATGGATTCACTCTAGTGGCAATGGGGATTTATCCTCTAGTCTAGTTGAGAGATATGATTCTGTCTGGTTCTGCTGCCATGTGTTGCTCTTGTTCTGTTCTATCTTATTCTTCATTATGGGGCCTTTAATTGTCGTATTTTCGAGGATGATGCTCAACAGCATATTTGGAATGGCCAAATTCGTAGAATTATCAGAATCCTATTTGGTAAACTGGTGGTCATCGGATGATACGGCTTGGTGTGTTGGTAGTATACATTCTGCCTCCCAGGGTCATTCCCAGCGCATTCTGGACACAATCATAACCATTTTACCTAGAATAGGCATGCTGATGGTTCGACTTTCACTTGAGCAACTTTTGCCCCCTCTCTTCATATGTAGTTCCCTAAGGTATATTTCCTTCGTATATAACGGAGATACCCCAAGAGCAAACCAGACAGCGTGATAAAATACTACAACAACGTAGTTATGCAGTTCATTTTAGATCAATCGCCCAATTGGAACCTTCAGTATCTGAATTGTCAACTGCAGTGACTGATAGAGGCCTCCGAAGGGGGATCCTGCCTTGTGCTTTGGCCGATGTTGCAATTTACCACGAGGCAGATCTCGAGTTTGAGCCCGGAACACAAAATATACATACACAAGAAACGCTGCTTTGTAGAAACCCACAACAGCACCGTTTTTTGTCCTAAAAAAAAAGACAGAGAGGCGAAAGAATTTCTGGAACACTCCGCAGTGGGACTGCCGATATTGAATTACGAAGCAAATCAACTATTCTGTGGAGCCACAAGACTTCGATGAAAACCTTAGCCGGCTGGGTTTGCCGACCCTAGTTAGTATCAATTGAGCGAAATATCAAATGCGACAATCGCCAGAATCTGTATATTCATTACACTGTGGGGCAAAGTGAAGTGCTCCAGAAATTTTCACTCCTGTACTGGCTGGGTATCTAGGGCTCACAGCAGTATCGACCACACCATATACCCTCGAAAATCAGGTACAGAACACTTGGACATTAGGCATGTCCCGAGAGTATGACCTTGTTTACAACGATGCTGTGATAAGGGATTTCACTGTGAGTAGTATGGAACCGTTGGTAAGAGACCTGTGTGAGGCAGTCGAATTTCACAAAAGCTACCCTGTTGAGGATATCCACGATGCATTTAACCACAATGATGCAATATACTCGCTATACAGATATCAGATGATTCTTATTCAATTTTTGACGAGGTACGGAGATCATGTCTGGTATGCTTTGAGTGAAGTGCGAAGTTGGGCCAAGTTCCCTTTAGTTGTGAATATACATGGGAGGCTCAATTATTTAAAGTGGCAAGATGGCCGAGTGGTTAAGGCGGCAGACTTAAGTTTCTCTTTGGTTTCTGCTAATTTTACATTGCGTGGGTTCGAACCCCACTCTTGCCATTATCTTTTTGCTCTTTTTTTTATATATATCTTTACTGCGGGCAGCTAGGTCCTCCGAAAGCTGACTATAAGCTGATAACTATCTAGGACATCGACTTGTAAACGGGGTTTCTAAGTTTGAATTAAATTCAATAGCATTCATGTCCTATTAACACATAAGACGCAACTAAACGGATATCATCACTCATAACCCCTTGCTCCGTATATTTAACCCATTGAAAATGCTCAGCATAGCCTAGCTCCGGAAGATAGACAATACAGTCGACAAAGAAAGATAGAAAATAACCAAATAAAGAGAGAAGCGGCATGACGCTTACATCTCTTCATAGGCACAATCGGGATGCATGACAAACAGGATCTTTCCATCTGCTTGTTCATCACCGTTGGTCCCATCAGTGAGACCAGTGCCTGCAATACGAAGCAAGATTTTGTCCTGTGAAACAAAATTGTTAGTGACCCATGCCCAGTGGGAGAAACAATACAGCTTTTGTCTTTGCTGCAGGGAAACATGTGCGACTTACCTTGACCATACGTTTCAAGACCTTGCTGGCCAAGTCGCGCTCGCGATCGTAGTCTTCTTCGGTGTTCAGTTCACCCTCAATCTGCTCTAAGTACCAGAGTACAAGATCTTCCTGCTCAACACCCTCGCCCGAGTTCACCTCATCCTCGTGTACCCGTCTGACAATCTGGTTCAGGATCTTGGCATACTTGTCGTAGGTGATCTTGGTCTTCTGCCGTTCAGACTGGGCAGCTGGCTCTACAACATCGCGCATAGGGCTGTCACCCTCGTTATCGCCATCGGCCATCTCGTGGTCCTCATCGGCGTTGTTGGTGTGGGTATGCTCATCTTCTTCGATCTCAACATCATCTTTCTCGACAGTTACGATACTCTGGCGGAGGAGATCGTAGGCCTCGATGACAAACTTAGGGATGACCTCCTCGACACAGTTGGCCTTGGCTACAGCCTCAGACAAACGGATCAAGGACTCGAGCTGACGGACGGTGATGCGGTATGATGAGCGGCCTACACCTCCCTGGGCGTCGTTGGAACGCAGCTCCTTGTATTTCTCGACGAGCAGTGTCTTCGCCTCCTCGGTGAAAACGGGCCGGAATGTGCGGGCAAATCGGATGTAGCGCTGCAGTTGTTCGGTGGACAGTTCGGGCTCAACAGCCTCGTCGCGGTTCATGTGCACGTTGACAATGTGCTCGGCCAAGCTGCGATCGACGGACTCCTTGGGATCGTCACGAATGACAAAGAACACATCGAAACGACTCATAATGGGAGCACTGAAGTTCAAGTTGTTGCGAAGGGTTTGCTTCGGGTCGTAGCGACCGTTGATAGGATTGGCGGCAGCGAGGATGGATGCACGGGCGTTGAGAGTGGTATGGATACCAGCCTTGGCGATGGAGATTGTCTGCTGTTCCATGGCTTCGTGAATAGCGACTTGATCGGCGATATCCATCTTGTCGAATTCATCAATGGCACAAATACCGCCACCGTTCTAAAACGAGAATGTCAGCAACGAGTTTGAAGTTTCTTGTGACCACATTTGAAACATACCGCAAGCATCAGTGCACCGGCTTCGATGGTGAACTCGCCTGTCTCGGGATCCTTGACAACCGAAGCAGTCAGACCGGCTGCCGAAGAGGCCTTTCCACTGGTGTAGACCGCGCGAGGGTGCAGAGAGCAAATGTATCTGATAAATTTCGTTAATAACCGAAGTCTATGTATGAAGAATTCGGATAAACTTACTTTAAGAACTGACTCTTACTGGTAGACGGGTCACCAACAATACAAATGTTGATATCACCACGAAGTTTCAAGCTCTCCGCTGAAGTTGATTTGCCGACACCGCCAATCAACTGCAAAAGCAGACCCTTCTTAATTTGGCGATGGCCCCAAATCATGGGTGCTATCGAGTCTACCAAGCGGGCGTAGATATATTCAGAGTGCACCAGTTGCTTGAGATCCTGGACTTCAGCTGGAGTAAGACTTTGCAGGAAAGCTTCCTGAGCTGAGTCGTCTCCGATATCATCCTCCTGGTTCTGGTTCAGGGAAGCTAGGATATTGTTTGACTGGCCACTGAGCTGCTGCTCAGGCTTCTGACCAGGAGTCGTAGTGTCTGGGGTAACCATGCAAGAAAGGAAGGCCAATCGGTAAGTTAAATCGCGCACACCCAGAGACTTCAAGCCGGAAATTCCGCTACCACCGACTTCAGTACCCCGGAAGGAAGCGTTATCCCGGACGGCTTCAGGGCGTACACCGGGGAGACCCAGTTGGCTGACATCGGGGACTACAATCAATGTACCCGTGAAAACACAGCGTTCACCGGCCTTGGCGCGATCAACCATCTCACCACGCAAGATGACATCCATTGTGCGTGGCATACTACCAGTCGGAATTTCGTGTGATGATTCTTGAAGCTTGACTTTTTGCCAATCAACAAATGTACTCTTTCCAATATCCAATCGCCAACCCACGCGGTTACCGCAGGTATTATTGGGACACTCTGTGGGCTCCGTGTATTTGAAAGTCTGCTCGACATTGGGGACGACAGTCTTGCAACCCTCACAAATAAAAGTTCCCAGCGACAATTCCGGTCTGACTTCAGATGTTCTCGTAACGGTTCCGGAGACGGAAAGCAACTTTCCAATTTGATTCGTCCGAAGCTGTCGCAGTCTGGAAACCAAAGGCAAGTTGTAAAATGCAAGGGCAAAGAGTTTGTCGGTTTGTTGATGACGGGTCTTCTCACGGATCTGACGCTCGAGATCGGGGTTATCTGAGACGCCCGCATATGCCGAGGCAACAGAGGTACTGGCTCGCGAAGAGGCACTGGCAGTCATTCGGTGGGAGACGAAGTATTCTGGTTCATATTTGGCGATTAGGTTGTGTAGTCCCTTGGTGAGGAAGGGGATGAATCTATAGTATTGTAGGGCAATGGCATCTGCTAGCACTGGATCACTACTGAGGTGTGTGAAATCAACGTAAAGAGTTGATAGTTCGAATTTTTTCATCCCCTTGATTTGGGCGATATAATACTTGTCACTGAGAAATTCTCCCGATGAAGGCGGTGCAGAGGAAGATGGCTCAGCGATGTATGACTCGAGGAGGTGTTCGAATGTCTGTCGGACACTCTCCGCTGCCCCATCGACTACCGGCGGGGGGCCAGGGGCATATGGGTTGCGCATACGGCTGATTGCCGAGCTTCCCGCTCCGACCACCTGGTCGTCCGGGAAGGCATTCATATCGCTCATGGGACCATTACTCTCCGAGTGTCTAGAGCTGGGCAAATTGTCGGATCGGGGATTCCGGTCGTGAGAAGGCGTAGCGCCCAATTCTGATTGGAGAACGGCATCGAATAGAGAAGACATGGTTGAAAGCTATCGGCCTGAAAATAGCCAGCAAAAAAGAAGGGTATTAAGCTCTCAGGTCTTGGGGAAGAAAAGGAATGTGGAGAGTTGATATCGCAGACTCAAGTTTGCTATCTTAGTTTTTCGTGGGTCTCCCTGGTCTCCTTGGGCAACTTAACGCGCGACGCGAACGCGTGTCCGGGATAACAGTTGACCCCTTCCCGACGCGTTAAGTGGTTTACTTATGTAAGATCCACGCTAACCGATCTCGGTAATAGGTCCTCTTCAGCGTTCCAAATAACTTTTTGGATTTCTGCTAAGCGCCCCGCTATCGTCTTACGAGGCGCACAAGTGTCAACCTCTAATTGTCAGCTTGGGAGGACTGGTGCTTATACCCTCGGAGAGGGAAGCTCTAATTTGCCTTTCAACAGTAGGCATACAGGCATATCTGAAAACCGCAGTTCGTTTGGTCCCACTTTGGCAAGGTAATATCGGGCTTGTACCTTAGAGATGGTCCAAGTACGTAAATTTTGCGAGCGGGGCCGTGGATTTCCTATTTGTTCTTTACCTGCCTAGGTACTCCGTACTCCGTACTGATTCGCGAAAGGGGTCTGGTTCAATACATACCTCGGGATCCATGTACGGAGTACATACTTGATGATTTGCCGATACGCTAAAGTATATCCCTATACATATGTATGTTTTGATTAATCGGGTCACAGAAAGTTCCACACGGGCGTCCATCACCTCCAAAGATCAAGGGTCTGCTCTGAACCGACCAGAATTATGAGAAGCAATCAACAAGCCAGCAAAGCCATTGTTTTGCTCCGGGGCACATTGGTCCCCATACCTACTATCCCATGGATACCGCGTACTTGGAGGTCCATAACCAGCGGCGGCCTCTCGAAAGAGAATTAAATTAAATTGCCCATTTATCCATTGGGTAAATGGTTGATACTTGGCGCTTATATAACAGCTCCCCCGGGTGCCCGCACTTGACCCATCCGAGACCAACCCATCATTCCCACTCGGGGAATTAGATCCTCGCATTGCGTCGTGCCGTGAGTATACTATCCTGTTCTAGGGTATCTCCCCGATACTATTTATTCCGCATATCCCCCGCGCCCCTGTTGACTCTTTCACATAGGACTTATGTCTTGCGATGGTTTCTTTCAAACACCGAGTCCTTGCCTGGAGGAATCTTGGTGATAATCGGTTGGAGAGAAAGCTTTGACTACTTCATTGCATCAGCAAAATCCATATTACCGCAGTCCGACATGTCTGAGAACGAACGCCGGCAAGTATCGACATTGACGAAGCCAAGCGCCGTCCCTTCGTCGGGCTCACCTGGCACGGATGCCTCGGGTACGTCCGTCTCGACTAGTCAATTTCCCATTTCCATGCACAGACCGACTAAGGCTCATTGTTTAATAGTATCCTCTGTCTCTGGCCGTGGGCCCCAAACAGGCAAACCAGGAAGGCGACGACGTGCCGCTGAACCGAAAAACAAACCCTCCAAGAACCAACACTTTTATTTCGTTGATCAAAACTCGTCGTCTAAAGAAAAGCGCGCCCATGTTATGCGCCACCATGTACAGGAAAAACGAAAACAGCGCAAAATGTCGCATGGGGCACTCTCCTCAGAGAAACCCCCCAATCATATACCATCTCCGATGAAAGAAGATGCAGGAACTGGGCAGGAAACTCAACTGGAACTACTCACACCAACTTCGCGAAATTCCCTCGATAGAGAAAGCTCGAAATGGGAAGCAAATTCACCTGCTCAAGTGCCTAGCGATTCCAACCCAAAGCCGGACGATCTAGCTGTAAGCCCAGCCGCAGTTAGTGATGGACCTGGATGCTAATGCCGTGACGGTGATTTAGCTTCAAATCAGATTCTCCAGTCTGAAATCGCATTCTCACGCTTCTCTCACTATACCGATTGGCTCGCCAATCACGATTCTTGATGCTTTTCGAAGGGATCCGTTCTCCAGTCTGCCAATCCAATACGACAACAGCGACATTGAATTGGCGGATTATTGGAGGCACAAGTTGTCGTACTGGTCCGGTCAAAATCTTCACTTGAAGAACCAGATCTTCCGTACGGCGATGGGCCATCCCCTGTCGTTCAAGGCAGTAGTTTTGTCATATTGCGCGCGGTGGAAAGCACAGCTGTATAACATGGCTGACAGCTCCGAAATTCAACGCCATGTTGGCGAGGCTGTGAAGCTCATCGATGACGCTTCCTCCGGCTCGGCATCTGTCAAACCCGATGATCTTGCAATGGCCTTGGGTGGTATGGCCCTGCACGAAGGGCGCTTCGGAAGCAGGCAGTTGGCACAATTGTATGTCGACCGCGCGGTCCAACTCATGCGTCCGCGAACAGGAACCAACAAACCTGTGGAAGTGTTCATACACTATGTCCGGTACCTCATGATGCCAGGGAGCCTGCGGATTAGCTTGGTTGAGCAGCAATGGTTGATCACTTTTCTGCGCGGCGCTGAAGACCTCATGCGGCGACACAGTTCACCTGAATATCTTGCCAACGCACCCAACAGGCTCGGTGCTTTCCAAATGGAAGGTCCGTTATTTGCTCTGCTGTCGAGTGGACCGCGTCCGTCCCTAGTGCCACATGCCTCGCGCGTTTATGTGGTTCGCGATGCGCATACACAAGAGGTTAGCCGAACGGCGGCGCTCATTTACATTACGGCCGCACTGTGGGATTTCCAAGAATTCCCCACGAAGACCAATCGCTTCCTTGACTATTTATCTATTGCAGTCAAACAGCACCATCTCGATCGGGAGCCAAGTTGCGAAACCCTTCTGTGGGTACTGTTGGAAGAAGGATTTGATTCCGATTTACGAGATCCCGAGCGCCCATGGTCTACTGGCGAGCTGCTCAAGGCGCACAAACAGCTCCGGCCAGACCTTCAGTTCCAGTTTAACGAGATTCTCATGAATTTCTTGTCTTTCTGCGTACCCGTCCGAGGGGTCAATACATTCGAAGAGGATCTTAAAAATAGTTTACATAGATCTCAATGACGTATCTTTCAAATTAGATGACTTCATATTCTTGGGTAAGTTGGAGCAATTTTATATCCAATGGGCCCAGCGAAAGCTCCGAAGGGAGATGGCTGGGAGGACTCGACTCTTCCGCACTTGGTGCGTACTTGGCACCGAGTCCAACCTGGAGACTCTGATGAACCCCGGCCAAATGTCATATGTTCAAGAAGGATGAGCCTTATATTCTATACGTACGTCCGTTGTCACATTGACAAAGATGTCTGATGGGCACCCGAGGTATCTCCACACGGATTCTGGTCCGGTTGCATCCACCTTGAGATCGCCGATCGCCCAATGTTGTCTGGGCTTTGACCACGTACCATGTACGTTGTACCGCCTATCATTGGAGATCACATCCAGGATTGTCTATGACTTAAAATTTCGTCATTCTCAGTTTCATTTCCAATTTCAGCTGTTTGTGCTCTTTCTCTCCGGTATGCAGTCACATTTCTGTGGCGCCAAAACCAGCTTGGGGCGCAGCTGACGCTTCAAAGAGGCCTCGCTAAGTTTACCAAACTTCAATGAGCAATCTAGGCCCATTGGCCACTGAAATCCTGGTCAATAGCGCAGCTCACTAGCCTTTAGCGCTCTTCTTTAGACCCAATTTTCGATTTACAGGAGGGTTGGAGGCCAAAGCATTCGACGATCGCCGGAGCACTTGGCGGGAATTGGCATCTGGTGACACAACATGCAGTTGATACCAGTCGGTAAACAAAGCACGTCGAAGAAGAAAGCCCCAAAAGCCCAAGAACCAAAGAGAATGGCGACCAGTATTCTCTAACCGCCGGTCCTCGTGTCCTGGGACTTCTGTGGAGACACGATACCCCTGGATACCCCAAGGGGTTCCGAAAGACAAATTCCAATTTCCCTCCGAAAACGGAAGACGTACGGAGTAGGAGCCATACATCATTACATCGTCGACTTTGGATCTATATGAGTTTCTTTGACTGTCCCCCTTGCAAGATCCCTGTTGATTTCATGATCGCCAGAAGTGTAGCTGAGGGTGTGGCTGGTGTGGCGGCAAGCGGTTTTCTCCGTGTGAGTCTCGAATGACAGCATACCATTTGACCGATAATAATAAACCAAATGAACCAAGACCGATGGAGTCGTTGATTGCGAGGAACCGGACGATCTCCATCCAATGGCAGGCAGTTCGGACCACATGTTTCGCCACTGTGGAGGCCAAGGAGATTAAGTACCTGGGTAGCACGATCCTTCGCAACTTGAATGCTACTTAGACGAAAAAAAGAAGGAAAAAAATAAAGAAAAAAGAGGAATCCAAGAAGATTAGCGAGGACATGCAAACCAAAACATCCAATTACGTAGCCCGATCGCAGATCTGAGCCCCTCCCCTAAACATGGGACATTCCCATTAACCTTAACCTTCTCTCGGTTTTTTCCCTCTCACCTGGGGAGACTGAATCTCCATCCGCTTCACAGTGTTCTGCTCTTTGGGATACACGCCAACTACACTCACAATGGCCACCGACGCCGTTTACCGGCTCGTCGCCAGGGATGCGGTAAGCCCTGTCGCATACATGTAGCTGGTTGTGTACTGACGAAACTAGAGCGACGCGGAAGATAACTCACCGTCCTTGTCGGCTTTGCTCACTGTGCTAGTTCCCGCCCTCATCTCCTTCGTCGTAATGGTGGCGCTCTTCATCGTCTTGCGTGGGAGCAACCGCCGAATGTATATGCCCCGAACCTACATTGGATACCTCCGTCCCTGGGAACGCACCCCCGAATCTCCGACCGGACCCTGGAACTGGATCATGGCCATGTATAAACTTCCCGATACCTACATTCTCCAGCACCACTCTATGGACGCGTACTTGATGCTTCGTTTCCTGAAGCTCTGCTCCGTCATGCTCTTCGTTGGCTGCTGTATCACCTTCCCCATCCTGTGGCCCGTCAATGCCACGGGTGGAGGTGGTCAGTCTCAACTGAACCTGCTGAGCATTTCGAACATTCACGAGTCCAATTACGGTCGATACTACGCCCATTGCTTCCTCGCCTGGATCTACCTCGGCTTCATTTTCTTCATGGTCACTCGCGAGCACCTGTACTACATCAATCTGCGCCAGGCATACCTTTTATCCCCTGCCTACGCTAGCCGTCTGTCATCGCGCACAGTGCTATTCACTGCCGTTACCGAGGACCTGCTGAACAAGGAGAAGGTCCGTGCTATGTTCGGCCGCGACAAGGTCAAGAATGTTTGGATCGCAACCGATACCAAGGAGCTCGAGGAGAAGGTCGAGGAGCGGGATTCTGCCGCCATGAAGCTCGAGGGTGCCGAAACCAAGCTCATTATTCTCGCCAACAAAGCGCGCAACAAGGCGCTCAAGAAGCAGGGTTCGGCCGAGAACCCTGAAACGGACATTGGCGATGGTCAGTTCGATGATGAGTCTGGCTCTGTCGCTGCTCGTTGGGTTGAGCCCAAAAACCGCCCTACCCACCGCCTCAAGATGATTATTGGCAAGAAGGTCGACACTATCAACTGGGCCCGTTCAGAGATCGAGCGTCTTAACCCCGAAATCGAGGAACTGCAGGCGCAGCATCGGGCTGGAGAAACTAAGCTCGTTTCTTCCGTCTTTGTTGAGTTCTTCCATCAGGCTGATGCCCAGGCTTCATACCAGTCTGTGGCCCACAATCTTCCCTTACACATGAGCCCCCGTTACATCGGTCTGGACCCTACTCAGGTCATCTGGAGCAACCTCCGCATTAAATGGTGGGAGCGCCTCGGCCGGTACTCTGTCACCCTCGCTTTTGTTTGTGCTATGATCATTTTCTGGGCTATCCCCACTGCAGCTGTTGGTGCCATCTCCAACATTGACTCTTTGACCAACATGGTTCACTTCTTGAGGTTCATCAACCACGTTCCATCATGGATCAAGGGTGTTATTACAGGTCTATTGCCGACTATCTTGATGTCTGTCCTCATCTCATTGGTGCCGATCATTCTTCGCCTTATGGCCAAGCTGAGCGGTGCTCCCAGTCTCTCCGCTATCGAACTGATCGTCCAGAACTGGTTCTTTGCCTTCCAGGTTGTTCAGGTTTTCCTCGTCGTGACACTCGCTTCTGCAGCCACCAGTGTCGTCACTAACATTATTGATAATCCTACCTCAGCGGCTTCGCTGCTAGCCAAGAATATTCCTCGCGCGTCCAACTTCTACATCTCCTATATCATCCTCCAGGGATTGTCTTTCAGTTCCGGAGCTCTTCTCCAGATTGTTGGTCTGATTCTAAGCAAGGTCCTGGGTAGGCTTTTGGATAGTACCCCTCGCAAGATGTACACTCGCTGGTCAAGCTTGGCCGGCCTCGGATGGGGCACTGTCTATCCTTCATTCACATTGTTGACCGTTGTCGGTATGTTGTTCCCATTACCAATTTACTGGAGCACGTTGCTAACTTCTCTTCTAGCGATTGTCTACTCTTGCATCGCCCCACTTGTCATGGGCTTCGGCACAATTGGCCTCTACCTGTTCTACTTCGCTTACCGGTACAACTTGCTGTACGTCTCGAACGCAACCATCGACACTCAGGGTAGATGCTACACTCGTGCTCTGCAGCATCTTACCGTAGGTTGCTACCTGGCTAATGTTTGTCTGATCGGTCTATTCGCCATGGGATCTGGTGCCAACCAGATGGCCCTAGGACCCATGGTCCTGATGATCATCTTCTTGGTCTTTACCATCTTGTTCCACCTTGCGATGAACAGTGCTATGGAGCCTTTGCTCAACTACCTGCCTAAGAACCTCGAAGCAGAGGAGCAAAGCCTGCTTGCTGACGAGAAGGCCGCTCTTGGCGCCTCGTACGAGAACTCCAACTCTGAGGACCTCACTGCCCCGAGTGCCTCCACCACTGCTCCCCGCGACAGCGGCATTTCAAACATGGGCAAGGGTGCTAACAGTGTCGATTCCGCCGAGAAGGGTCTTACTGGAGTTTCGTCGCCAGAGCCTGAGCCGAACATGTTTACCAAGTTCTTGCGGCCAGACAAGTACCATAGCTACCACATAATGCGCAAATTGGTCCCCAGCTCCTCTGAAATCGTCACCTACTCCGCTGAAGTTGAGCGCGATGCTTACCGCCACCCGGCTGTCAGCTCGCAACCTCCTCTCCTCTGGATCCCACGCGACCCCCTCGGTGTCAGCTCCCAGGAAGTTGCTCACTCCATACGTGTCATCCCCATCACGGACGAGGACGCCTACCTCGACGAGAACTGCAAGATTCAGTGGAACGAGGAGAAGGGCGAACCCCCCATTTACGAGGAGAAGATCGCCTATTAACGCCTTTTCTCTCGATCCCGCCCTCATTTGAGGGTCTAGTCAATGATATGTCTCACCCGCTGGCAAATACCACTGTCTATATGCATTGTATACATGCATCGTCTCTTTGCCGACGCGGTTTCCTATGGTCTACTGTGATACCCGACTGACCGGCTCCCACCCGGAATTTTCTTTGTTGTTTTTGGGCAATCTAAGATTGGCTCGGAGCTTATCGAGCTCACGGCCTCTCGTTCTTTTTCTATAATCTTTAAATTAATCAATCGGTGGCAATTTCCCACGCTTCATGTCGATATTGTATGTTGTGGTGGATCTCGGTCCATCAAATTGGAAAATTTGTCCATGCTTGAGGATCTTTCTGATTTGATATTTAGCGATTTATGCATGATGTACTATACATTCCCAGCGCTTTGGGTTAGGATTATGCATGAATTGGAGAATTTTCACCTTCCATAGGTTTTGTTCCCACGTATATCTTGAAGTACATTTTAGGCCTCGATTAGGACTTCGAGTGTTCATGTCCAGGTCAGTACTATGTAGGAAATGGAATGTCATGTACTTGGCTACTTGAAATATTTCGTGAGATCGATTTTACCGCCCCTTTTGTTGGGATTTCCTTGTATCTCCATGACGCTTTTTTCTTGTTCAAGTCAAATGTTGAAACCTCTCTATGCCTGGCCTTTCCTCTTGGTGTGTCTATCCAGCATACATTAGGCAATTTCACGACTCCCTCGGCGGACTTCGCAGTTCAGCTGCTACATACATTCCGAGCTCTAGACTACATGTACTTGGCTCTAATTCGACAAGTACATAGGCAAGAAAGCGAGCCCAAGTCTTCTACAATATATTGTGCATTGCATCACATCTCTTCGAACTTTCGTGAACATCCAGCTACTAGTAACCTGATCTATAGCAATTCTACTTGAATACCCACTATCCTTTTCTCGCTGTGATTGTTCACTTAGACCCAAATCTTCGACCTATCCTGCTCTTAACAAGATTCTTTCTGGTTTTTACTTATCGACTCTTTCTCACAGTCACCCCTCAAATTCTTTCGAATTCCTTCACGAACCATTCTATCCATTTCCCGTTATTCCTTTCCCGAGCATGTCCTGACCATATTCCAAGATTCCCGTTTGCCTAGCCCATACTGGTTGCTTCACTCTTACTCTGCTTATCAGCTAGTCTATTCAACACTTATTCTACTCAATACTCGCTCTATCCAATACTTACTCTGCTCTGCTTTGCTCAACACTTACTCTACTCAATACTTGCTCTGCTCAACGCCTACCCTCCTTAGCATTCATCCTGCGCAGCGCTCACTTTTATTTATCCTACACTATTCGTACTTCAGGCATTCTTTCTGAATCTACACGACCTAGAGCTTTCAGTACTCTCGATTTCTCTTACAATCTCTCCAAAGTGTCCTACTCTACATACTCTTTTTCCTCATCCGTATGTTTCTCTTAGCATAATTCCACCTCAAACCCTCGATACCAACCCCTTATATCCTTCTTTCTAAGCCAAAAACTGATTCCTCATCTCTAGTATCCACTGCTTCAAATATCAGGATCTCCATTGATACCTTCTTTGATTGCCCAAAAGCTGCAGTCAAAATGGATTATACTATTGAAGATATCACAAGAGAGGAACCTCGACAGGAATCTTCAAGCCCCATTATTCAGGGAACCAACACCGATGGCGAGATTATTTCTGTTTCACGTCATGCAAGCCAGCAAGAGCTTGAAGACGAATCTTCCAATGACGAAGACAGCCAGAAAAAGCAACCAACAGGTGCAAAAAGCGATGCTGCACAGACGAAACCAAAATCAAAAGCTCAGCACAGCGATCGGAACAAGGTGAAAGGCGTGCAAGTTTGCATTCCAGCCTCCAAGAGAAATTCAGTTTCAAGTGCAGCCGACTCCAATTCGGAGGAAGCTATAGCACATGAATCCACGCAAGAAGAACCGCTCATTGAGCTCGAAGATGAGGAGTTGGGAGACCAAAGCTCAAGGACAGATCCCGATTACGAGAAGGATTTCGATGATGAAACAGATAGCGAATCATCAAGCTCAGAATCTTCAGAATCTTCTAATCAGGACGACTCCGAAGCTGAGTCTATGGAGTGTTCATCCAAGGTGGCCGAGCAAGCAGCTCCAAAGAAACGCACCAAGAAAAGGAAGACTCCGTTGCTCCCTGGTGCAAACGTCAAAGGTCTGATGACTAGTAGTATACTGTCCAACGGAGCTTCCAATGCATCCGATCTCGGCAAATCACTTCCTGTCTCCAAAGAAAAGGACAAATCGAAGGCGTTGAAGGAGGAGGTGACGAAACTCCCGATCGAAGACCAACCACAGGCAAGAAAGGATATGAACGCGCTTATTGAGGATTCAAGAATGTTCGATCGTTCAGCATCCATCGTTGAAATGAATTGGAAGATAAAGGGTGTCCAGACCCACCTCAAACACCATCAGGTTAGGGAACTTCCAAGATCCATTTCATGTGCGATATTATACTAACTTCTGGAAAAAGCTTCGAGCTGCTGCATGGATGGTAAGATTGATTTCTATATTGCGACATCCATCAATGATTACGAACTTACCTGTTTAGCGCCGCCGTGAAAGCTCAGATACCGAACCGAATGGAGGCTTGCTTTGCGATGATATGGGCCTCGGAAAAACCCTCACAGTTCTTGGTAAGAGACGATGAAACATGCCTTTGTACAAAGTCTAGAAGCTGAGCTCTTCTGCCCCAAAAAGCAATCATTGCGCATGAAAAGTTACCGGGTCGTTCGAAATTGCCTACCTTGATCATTGTTCCAAGAAGTTTGATCACCCAGTGGTATGTGTCACTCCTTGCAATACATCAATGGACTGTTGCTAATATGAGTTGTCCTAGGACCGGTCAAATATCTACGCACTGCGACGAGAAGGTAGCAAAGCATGTTCTCGAGTATTACGCCGGTTCGCGAACAAGCCAGCGCGATGTCGCTGCAACAATGCGAAAAAGACTCATTGTGTAGGGCATCGCGTTGAAAGAGTCCACTTCCTGATTCAAATTAACTGATTCTATAGGTTGACCACATATGAGCAAATCTGCAGCTCGTACCCGAAACTAAAACCACCAGTAGGGATCAGTCGCCCCGAAGAACTTGAGGCATGGAGAAAAGATGCCTTCAATCGTGAAGCTGGTCCTTTTCACAAGATTGATTGGCATCGGATTGTTCTTGATGGTATTTGCTTGCTACTCGCGTTGCAAACAGAATGTCGTCAATACTAACTTAGTCTCTAGAAGCCCATGTTATCAAAAACAAAGACGCAGCGACCTCCATCGCAGTTCGTGCTCTGAGTGGAAAATTCAAATGGGCTATGAGTGGAACACCTCTGCACAAGTAAGCATTAGCTACTGTGGCAGACGTGATCTGTCTCAAATCCTGAATGCTGACCGGATTTATTAGTGGCGTGGAAGAACTCTATCCATACCTTGATTTTATCTACACGACTGAAAGGATGGGATACGAGACATTCATCCGGGAATATCAGAATGTAAGCTTTTTCCCACTCTATACCTTAGAGTAACAAAAACTAACATTGTTCTGTTCCAAAGGGATTGGATGCGTTTCTTGGAACCATAATGCACCGCAGCACATACAGTACCCGTATACTTGGCAAGCCAGTCGTCATGCTTCCAAGAATCCAGGAAAACGTGATCCAGGTCGAGTTTTGCCCCGCCGAGCAGTACCTATATGGTGAGATGCAAGACCTTTGCGTTGCAATGCTTAATGGTAGGTGGGACATCATCAGTGCTCGGGATTTCAGACGCTAACACAGCCTACAAGGGATGGCCGGAACTCCAAATCAAAACAACTGCATCCTGGCTATGATAACGTACCTACGGATGTTCGCGGGTCATCCACTCCTTGCGCAAAAAATGTTTCGACTTCTGCTTAAGCCTTGTGTGATCAAGCGATTGGAAATGATTGCAAAAGACAAAAATGCAGCGGGGACTTCATCATGCATCATTAGTACACTGATCCTCAAGATGAACGACACCGCTCATTCCCGGCCAAGGCCAGAGGGAGATTTTACCGAGCTTCTGAAATCATTCATCACGCACAAGCAGACTATCGGTAAATCTCAGGGAAAGGAGGCGGCATACAACCTCATGGACTGTCCCGCTTGCAAAGAGATCCTGGATGAGAATCAGCCATATGTGGTTACATCTTGCCATCACCGTTACTGCAAGGGCTGCTTCGATGGTCTTCCAGACCAAAAAGGAAACACTGACACGGTTACTCGTATTTGCAGCAGTTGCAAAGAACCCATCAAAGAGGCTGGATACTCCGACAGTCAACCGAAGAAGAGAAAACAGTCCCATCGAACGTCTACTTCAAAGTCCAACCAACGGTCCTTGCCACATCCCAAGCCTCAGAACTCCGGTAAGAGAAGCATGAAAAAGCGCCCTCGTAATTCCTTCAAAGAGCAAGTTCTATCCAGAGACCAAACAGACGATGTGTGGGAGGAGCCTGATGAGGATGAAGGTGATTGGATTTCGCGTATTGGTGACGGCATGCCATCAGCGAAGACCACAGCGATCCGAGATCTTGTTGCAAAATGGATGCAGGAGGACGAAGCAGTGAAAATCGTAATTTTCGTGCAATTTCTAGACATGATTAGACTTCTTCAAGGCATTTTTGCGAAAGAAGAATGGAAGTTTGCAACCGTGAGTTCAATACTGGGCTGGGGAGAAACACCGGGTCATATTACTGACCGAATCAATCCAGTTGACAGGGCAGGTATCTCCAACATCGCGGGATAAAGAGATTGAAGTCTTCGGCAAGGAGAAGGACACCAATATCTTGCTCTCTTCTCTCAAGACTGGCGGTGTTGGACTCAACCTGACAATGGCGAATAAATGCATTCTCGTGGATCCCTGGTGGAATGCAGCGATCCAAAACCAGGTAAGTGGTACTGGCTTGAGGTCACAGAAGACTTGGCCTTTGATACGCTTACATGACAATTACCTTCTAGGCATATTGTCGGCTCTATCGCATTGGACAAACCCGTCCGGTGGAGTGTGTCCAAATTGTCGCCAAACGGTCTGTCGACACCTGGATGGTCAATCTGCAAAAAGAAAAGACCTGGAATATCCAGACTGTCCTCAGCAACAAGGAAATGCTAGGTTTATTTGGGGATGTACACGAGGACCCAAATGGGGTACTTTCTATCGAAACTAGAAAGGAAAACTCCCAACCCCTATCTTGGTATCAAGGTGTGCAGGAGGGAATCTTTGACGGGATCGGTGCTGAGGAAGAGGATTAAAAAAATCGGAGTCAGAATGGAAAGCTTTTTAGATGGAGAAAATAAAAGAGAAAGAGAAAAAAAGAGAGAAGAGGACGGAAGAATCGGGGGAAGACAGGAACAGAATGCGTGCTGAAAGATGGATTTGAATCGCTCGTTTATCGGATGGATGGCAATTATTTTTATGGTGCTTCTGCTGCCCAAGTGAATTACAAAGCAATATACCAATTTGACTTACATGGCAAAACCAGGGCTGGTTGTTAGCCAATTGAAGCAAATATATCTTGCCTTCTGGTCGTCCTGTACCGGCGTGGATAATCTCCAAATTTCCATCATTTTGGTTACTTACCCCTTCTGACGTAGAGCATTACTTACTTGTATGATTGTTATTATTAGTTGTGATCTATGACTAGGAATAAGTCAAAATTTGGGTCTAGTCAGGCTTGTAATATAAGAACCTTTGATTATCTTCACGAAACCCTGTATAGATATCGTATTGATATTTACAATGGATACCTCAGATGGAGGGAAATCAATATGCTATTTATACTAGGCCTATTGTCTCCTAGAGACAAAAAACTTCCATATCACAAGACCATTTCGTTTCTTGTCTGGGTCATATATAGAGAATCCATAGGTATTACCTCGTGGCAGCCCTGCGATCAGGTCGCTCGGCGGTTCATAAGGAAACGCATGGGTTATCTGTAGTTACTCAACAATTATAACTGCCCATGCGTTGGAAAGCTTGACCTACATAGAAATTGCTCATGTGCGTGGATTCAGGTTCTGGTATCTTGTCTGTGTATATTGTACTCTGGCAGACGGAACTGTGCCCTGATTCCAGGCTGAGACTCTAGATTACAGTTCTACCTATACACTGAGCCTGCAAATAGCTTGCTACCTCTTTGTTCTATGGCTTTCGATGGAGCTTACACCAAACCTTTGAGCCTTCCATTTCGCAAATGCGTAGGCTAGATTAGGATATTCACTACCACCCTACTGCCACCCTACTGCCACCCTACTGCCATTCTTATGCCATTCTTATGCCATTATTTCGGCGTTACTTAGGCGTCACTTTAGCGTCACTTAATGCTTGTATCTCGCTTACCCAGCGTCCTATCTTTGGAGCCTTATTAAAGCAGCCTGGCTGATCAACGGCGTTGGCCCATATCACGAATCCTCCTAACCCGTTACATACACCACTAACCGTCAAATATTTGAAGGTGAGTGATATCATATATATCTCGCTACACCCCCTCCTTTCTCTCAAATTGTGGCCTATGCTTGACAATATCTCATGATTTGTTATGCTCATTAGTGCTACTACATGTCCAATTCCATGCGATCGTGAATATTCCGAGGTAGGGGTATTTTGGCTTGCTCCGTACATCCAGACAAACTTATACACGGGCCATCTCGTTCATTGTTGTTCTTCCACCATGCCTAGCCCTAGCTATCATCGTGATATCTCCACAAAGCCTCGTCCAATCTATGCTACGACCAATTATCAATCTACCTTGATTTCCAGACTTGTTTGCTCAAATTTGCCCTAAGTTGCACGAAATTCTCTTCGAGTACTAATTTCAATAGGACCTTTCTCGATTTGTTCCATGCCACTGAACAGTACTCTTTCTTTACTCGCAGTTCTCTCTGACTATCTCTATTCCTCACTACATCTGGTGCCCTTTTTCTTTTGCAGATCTCTGCATATCCTGTTTTACTCATGCGGTTACAGACGTTATACCACCGCCGTGAATTCTACCAGGTAGGTATTGCCTTATACAATCCACTCTGTGTCCCTCCCGAGTTCTCAGAACATTCGCAAGATCATGTTACTCAATGATGCTCAATTTTCTTCTGATTTGCAAATATCGTTGCAAAGCACTGCATCTATATTCTAGCTGCTCATTCTACCCTCGCGATATCATTTTAACATCTTGTCCAATCTCTTCCATGTCACCCAAGGCATTTTACCTTCTCCAAGTTACGCTGAAGCGCACCAAATCCTATCTAATCACTAATCCTGAACAGCACCTCTTTCAATCTGTTCCACACCACTGCACATAACTCGCACTCTGCTCGCAGTTTTCTCTGACTACCTCTATTGCTCCATTGCGTCTAGCGCTCTTTCTCGTCGCAGGTTTCTTCATCCTTTGTTTTACTCACGCGGTTATATACCATCGCCGTGAATTCTACCAGGTAGGTAACACCTCATCTAATCTGTTGTATTCCCCCAAACTGCCAAGGCACTCGCAATTTCATATTGCTCTATCATGCCCAGCACTCTCCTTCCTATTTATGAATCTCGTTTCGCAGCATTGTGCCTGCACTTTGACCAGCCTCTTTTTACCATTTCGGATTCTCCGAAACACCTGGCTTGGTCTGTTTCACGCTTGCTAGTGGCTCCTAAGCCGAGAAATCCGCTCAGTTTCCCGTTACTTTGCCGTTCTTGGCCGCTATCCCTGATGTGAATCTTATCCTGGGCCCTGTTCTACCACTGCACAACTTGAGTGGAATCTCATACCATCAACTGTGTTTCCGGGTCTCTTATTCCCAAGCGTTTTCAATCTTGTCTATAACCGCAAAATCTCCCTCTTCATACCATGTCCCAACCGCACTGCTTCTTCAGATTTCCGTTACAAGAGCTTTACTTACAAAGCTAGTATACACCCGTGAATTGCATTGCACGCCTTCTTCTTGTCTTTTCTCGCTCTTTCTCGTTCAGCCTCGTCACTATCTTCAATTATATCTTCTCAGGTGGATCGAATTCTCAAAATGGAATCTTCCAACATAGAGGAAGAACTTCAGAGAAACGGGACCCAGACCATCAAACGAGAATTCCCTGATGGCAATGACGAGCAGGTCCCAACCTGGGAGTGGCCTCGTCTCATAACTACCAAGCAGGAACCTGGCCTCGAGCGTGAGATCAAAATTGAGAAGGAACCAGTCACGATCGACCTGACAGGAGACGAGATTCCAGCATCCCCGAAACGACCAAGGCTTCGTGGGCAACTTCTTCATGCGATATACCAGCATCAAAAAGATGTTAAAATGCGAGGCAGAGGAGTCCAAAAAGCAACCGAAAGTCTGTTTGTGCAGAACGACGATCCTTCAGGTCCTAATTCTCCGAACTCCGGCGGGTTGGCCTTTGAGCCAGGCGAAGGAGATGATTCGGGGTAAGTTCGAAGACTATTTTTCATGAAGATATTGAATTAACAGATTTAGATGGATGGAATTCGAGAGCGACTTCAAAAGCCTGGCACACCCTTCCGCCAAAGACCGGATCGAATTCCAAAAGCGAAAACAGGCAGAACTTGACCGGAGAAGGAAGGCCAAAGTTGACAAACTTTTCGAATATCATGCTCAAACGAAACCCGCGGAGGACCTTTTCCACGAGGATATTGCCCCTAATGAAGAATCAGCCTCGGGGGTATCTGAATCGGAACAACCGCACCCTACAGCCGGACCGAGGAAAGCGTTGAACAATATCGCCCCGGGAAATCTGAAAGTCACACGATTGACAAAAGGACGAGTCCGAGCGGCAAGAAACATTGCTTTAAATGTGTTCTTCAATGAAGCGATTCCAGAATCCAGCCAAAACCACGAAGAAATGGAGGTAGACAACAAGGACTCCTCTAGCAAAAAGACAAAGAAAAGGGGCCAAAATCGACGCCAACTCACGACGTTGTCAAATCAGGAAATCCGGAGCATCTTTGAGAACGAAAGTGGATACAAAAATAGAGAAGAACCCTTGCTACCTGCTTTAGTTTCAACAGAAAGGAACAAGAGCAAAGCGTTTGCCGAGATGATTGCGAGTATCCCGACAGAGGAAAGAGGGCAAGCACGCACAGATATAGCAATCTTGGATGAAGCGACAAAGACATTCAATCCATCAGCAAGGTCAGACGGAGAAGGGAAATGGAAAATCCGAGGCTTGAAAACACCCCTCATGGTGAACCAAGTTCGTGCCCAGCCTCCAATGATTTGAGTTAGATTGAGGACTAACACTCTGATCAGATCTTGGCTGCTGCTTGGATGGTAACTTCGAGTTCCCTCTACTGAGATTCAAGCTTACTGACCGATGTAGTGCAAACGCGAAACCTGCGAAAGTAAGCCGGATGGTGGGTTACTCTGTGATGTGATGGGCTTCGGCAAGACATTATCAGCGCTGGGTAAGAACTCGATCCGAGATTGACAGTTATTGCCATATGACTGACATATTATAGCATGTATTGTGAACCGGAAACTGCCATCTGAGAAAGAAGGCCCGACTTTAATTGTGGCTCCGAGGAATCTGATGCTTACCTGGTACCAGGCCTTTTTCAAGACCCGTTTCCAAAACTACTCTCCAAGCATTCCCAGAACTCTTATTGACGTTGATGACAGGATATCACAGATTCGACAACACTGTGTGCACGGTGCAGCCGGGTCCATTGTCGGGTATTACTCTGGTGCACATCTGGAAACCGATGACCTCAGCAGCTTCTTTAGGGAGCAAGGCATTGTGTAAGATAATACTTATGATATGGGAGCTGTTCGCGTTTACTAACCACTTTATAGCGTCACAACTTACCAGGAAATCTGTGCATCCTATCCCGTTCTCAAGCCTCCTCCTGAGATCAAGGATACCGCGGTCGAAGGATGGTGGGAAAGCGAATATGACCTAAAGGCAGGTCCCTTCCATAAAATTCTTTGGCACCGAATCATCCTTGATGGTAAGTGAATCTATATGTCACAAGATCAATTAGGAGATTCATGTTATTTACAGTTTTTACAGAAGCCCATATCATCAGGAACAGAGACACAAAAACGTCCATCGCGGTTCGCGCTTTGAGTGCTAAGTTCAAATGGGCGTTGACTGGTACACCTCTACATAAGTGAGTGCGGAATTGATCTTTATAGATGCAAGCTGACTTTTAACCATAGCTGTGTCGAGGAATTTTATTCCTTGTTTTCATTCATCGGGGTACCAAAGAGCCTTCTATACCATGAGTTTACACAAAACTATTGCGATGTGAGTTTCATTCAACCCTGAAAAAGTCCACGTATATTGACAGTTCACCGTATAGGGGACCGAAGAGACTAAACAACGTTTGATCAATGTGCTTCGCGCAATAATCCATCGCAAGACTCACGAAAGCCTTCATCTGGGAAGACCTCTTATCACACTCCCAAAATCCACGATGAGAGAGGTCTTCGTTGAGTTCCATCCACCTGAAAAGCTGATATACCATGCAATTGCGGCCCGATTCCTCGAACAGATGAATGGTTTGACTGGAAATTGTGCTTTTGATTAGGCCTTGAGCTAATAAGAAGAATAGAAACCGAGATTGAGAGGCAGACCAAGTGTATCCTAACGATGATTCTGAAGCTGCAGATGTTTGCCAGTCATCCACTTACGGCACAGGATTACCTTCAGAAGGTGTGCAAGCTGAGCAGCCCGTTGGTTAAACAGCTGAAGACCTGGGTGAAAGACGAAGAGAGCCCGAGAAACCCATCCCGTTCAAGCAAAATCGTGAAATGTTGTTTGAACGGCAAATACCAGATAAAAATGCCTATGGTTCCTTTGACTGCCCCAAAAGCAAGTGGAATCCCTCGGCCACGACCACCCGGACAATGCGAACAGCTCGCTCAAGCATTCCAAAAGAAGACGAAGGAACTGATGAGCGAAGGCCAATTTTATGAGAGTGATAATCGCACTTGGTTTTGTCCTAGTTGCAGTGGACTCCCAACGAGGGCTATAATCACTTCCTGTTATCATCTTTATTGCGAAGAGTGCTTCGATGCACTCGATGACGGGAAAGGGGATACCGACGGTGTCCACCGAGAGTGCCGGATTTGCAAAATCAGGATTGTCAATGCCGCTTTCTACGGGCTCTATGACGACATAGATACACCTACACAGGAGGGTTCTGAGCCTACTTCTATTGCATCAACGGGCCAGGAAAAGCGAAAGGCTCCACAAGGAGGAGTTAAGGCTCATAAACGACGGAAAAGGGGGAAATCGGGTGGGAACTTTTCGGCGTGGATGGCCAAGCAAAGCGGGATCTCAATAGCCAAAGAAGGGGAAGATGACAACCTAAATGAACACAACATCCAGACAAAAAGCGCAGGCGGGGACGAATGTCGCAGCGAGGGCGGAGATTCCCATCAGAGCGAAGATGACCCCGAAGAGGATTGGATCGACCGATTTGGGGATTACATGCCAGGCGCCAAATTCAACAAGCTCACCGACCAAATCAAACAATGGTTTGCCGAAGACGAAACTGCCAAAATTGTCATCTTCACGCAGTACTTGAACACTACCACGCTTCTGGTCAAACTATGTCAAACAAACAAATGGGAATACGCCCAGGTGAGTCATTGAGGACCCACGATGATACATAACCCATATCTAACGTGGCTCAACCAGATTACGGGTCGAATGGGCAACAAATACCGAGAAACACAACTAGAGAGATTCCGAGAAAATGATGAGACCAGAATCATGATCGCTTCACTGAAAACAGGTGGGTTAGGTCTCGACTTTTCCGTCGCCAACAAGTGCATATTGATCGACCTCTGGTGGAACGAAGCGGTCCAAGACCAGGTAAGTGAATGCATGGAAAGAAGAAAAGTAAGAAACTCAATCCTCTAACTCGGCAATAATAGGCATTCTTCCGACTTTGGCGTATTGGCCAAAAGCGAGAAGTTGAGTGCATTATGATCCTGATCAAGGAATCCATTGACGAATGGATGTTCGCCAAGCAAAAGAAAAAAGCGGTAGAGATCAGCCAGGTAATGAGTCTCAAGGTGCTCACGGACCGAAGCACCATTCAAGAACTGCTTGAGATGTTTGGCGAAGTTACCTATGACCCGAAAAATGGATTCCATGTCGATGTGGTGCAAAAGGCTGTACCCAAGGACAAGTCCAAAGGCAAGGGCAATCAAGCTGGACCCCAGAAACAGACCTAGAGGATGACTCGCGCGAGAGACTGGGAAGACAATATAATCAATAACACAAAAAAATCAACGAAGGAGGGAGGAATATGGGAGCATGGGCTTGAGCATCGAAGGATGGATTTGAGATCAGCCATGGGTGGCTGCAAAGGGCATTTATTCTTATTAGAGGACTCTTTTATAGTTGACTGGGATGGTAATCTACACTCGCCCGCTGCCCCAAAATCAAGCCAGTATATAATGATTCATATAGCCTTAGACGTAGATTCTCACTGGCGAAGAGATTGCGTGAAAATGCGATAAGACCGCGACTTATTTCTGGCATTTCGAACAGCTTTTCTCCATCTTTCTGAGCAAGTTTTGGAAAGGTCTTCGCAAAATCCTTTCTACAGTCTTTCTAAAAGCCTTTAAGGAAGATTTTTTTGAGGATCTTTGGGGGTCCTCATTGTGCTGCAACTAAGCCCAAGTTTTTACATCGACGGAACTCTCGTTTTTGATATTCAGTTTTGATATTTCTCATTAGTAAAAAGAAATCAAACAGATAGTGACTATGTAGTCAGATTTGACTACATTCGAAAACAGCCACCGGAACAAAGAGCAGGCATTCCTGGCTAACATGCATCACAATGTCTGGGTTGCAAAACGACCCAGATCAACAAGCGGCATGTTACCAGATTACAATTATTCCTCCTCTTCGCCATCCCCCTCGCCCTCATCATCCGCATCATTCCCCTCATCGACCTCAGGGGTGTGCGCAAGAGTCCCATTTGCGTGGAAGTCAAGGGCACGACGGACATTGGGAAACTGACGGACTGGCTGCTGAGCCAGCTCAGTCTCATGCGAGGGTCCGCGGCGAGTAAAGCGCACCCTGGTTCGTGGGCCACCTGGGGAAGGGACTTCAATCGAATCGACGTTGAAATCTTCGCTATCGTTCAGGATGCTACTCCGCACGCTCTCATCATCGGTGGCATCTGCCTCGGCCCAGATAGGTCGCAGTACCTGCCTACCGTTCTGAGTAGGCCAGTTGACGTGGGTGTTGGCATTAGCACGAGACGGGGAAACCTCGGGGGGATTCAGAGGCAGGCCGAATGCATCGCGAGGGCCGACAGATGCTTCATCCCAATTGTTGGCTGGGGTCTGCTGCTCATTGTCTTCATCGGAGGAAATGTAATCAGCAGGGACGGTGTTCTCTTGGTTTTCATCTGGAAGAATGGGGCCAACAGGCAATTGCAAGCTGCTGTGAGTGGGCTCTTGGTGAGTTGGATCTTCGTAAATAGTGAAACGATCGCTGGAAGGACGGTGGGACTCCCAGGCCTGGAGGTTGGGCTGGTCCTCGACCTGACTCGGCGGAGCCATGGATTGAGAAGATGAGGCTTCGGAATGGTTCGAGGACTCCATCTCAACAAAGGGAGTCAGAGAGTTGGTGGTAGTGCGATGAACGAGGTCTTCAGCCTGTTCGACAAGGGTGGATCCTAGATTGATGAGCATGAGTTCTTGGTCCGATGTTATGCGATGATACACAAAATGAACTTGGTGGACAACACTTACCAGACAGGGAGAGGTACGACTCACGTGTATCGTGAGATGGAGACGGGGATGGTGTTTCGCTTTGCACACTGAGTGTAGACGAAGAGGAAGGAGAAGTGTCAGTAGTCGCGGGAGCTCGACGCGCACCTGTACGCGGGATGGAGGGGTGATAGTTGCGGTGCAAGATGGTAGGAGGAGGTGGAAGGTTGCTATCCTCATCAAAGTTGTCTTCAATCGAATGCAGCACCCAGGGAATAACGGGGTATGTTACTATGCGGGCGACCTAAACGTGCGGAAACGCTTAGTCGTCAAGCTGGGGGACAAAGTGCGTAAACACGCAAGGACACGGGCACATTAACCTACCATATTGTCGTCCAATTCAAGCCTGACCTCGATATCTGCAGGTTCCAAATCCATCTTGACAACCTGGTCAATCAATTAGCCCAAACATCCCTCGCGAGCGTTGTGTGTCTCTCCAATCAATCCAGACGAAATGGTAGATTTCAGATTACACGCATACCTTGAAAGCAAGTTTGTAGCAATGTGTCTCAACCTTAGGATGGAATATCGTACTTCGTCTGCGATACAAGCACCGAGTCCACGTCTTGACGATCCTCGGGTGACGGGTGATGCCGAAGAAGAGATGATAAGAAAGAAGGAGGAAGATAGCTCGAGATATTTCATCCTACCGTGTTTCAATCAGTCGCCTTATGAGGTTTCGATTAGTCGTCCTACGATATCTCGATTAGTCGTCCGCTGGGATGGACGAGGAAGGCATACACGGTAGTTGGATGTTACATGCACGTGTCCCAACCCAACAGGCAATCCTACATAGAAATGATGGCTTGACAAGTGTGGCTAGAGGTATTCGAATTCTACAGAGACCTACGGGTATACTTTCCTTGGTCTTAACACGGTATGTATATCGTTGATCAATAGGCCTTTTTATAGATCGATCCCAAATTGGGGCAAGGACAGTCACGTGTGGTCGCGCGAACAACTTATCTCTTGGGGGCGATCTGACTATCCAATACTTACGACATTCCGGATTGTTACTCTGTTTAAGATATTAATGCTGGGCTTAAAAGGCTATAAATGCATGCATTTGCTCGGAATTAGGGTATGAAGAACTATGCTTCATTATTTGCATCGAGCGAAAGCCCCATGCTTAGTGTTAAGCATTTGTAAATTTCGGAGATTAGGTACCTCTTATATGAAATTTCTATATAAAAGGTACAAAGCATGCGAAAGGTATAACACCCATTATTTCGAATCTCTAGTTATGTAGAGAGGAGGTAAACCTATTTACTTTAGATAATTCAGGTAGAAGTAAATTGATCTGCTACTAAATCCGATGCTCAATAATTACTGTAACAGTGTACGACTCACTGCAAAGTCTTGCTGTGAAGAAGCATTGAACGTAGATAATCGTCTACAATGAGCTCTTTGCCTGGGTTTCAGAGACTGTACAAGATCCTATCCGAACTTAACAAACAGCAGCACAATCAACAAAGACAGAAAGCAAAATTAGCCCTAACGTCTGGCCTAGATTCAACCTGAAAAACGGACCTGCTAAGCTAGCTCTAGAATTCGCTGGAGAGAAAGTGACACCTTGACTTGTTTGGTTCGGTAGACGAGTGGCGAAGTAATATCCTACCTAGTTACTACACTGGAGAAGGAACGAGTCGAACGACTGTAGCCTAATTGATACACTGGTCAAAGATGGAGATCGATGGGGGTTTTGAGTTGATCGGATTAATCCCAGCACTTGACTAATTTTTCGATGAACTTTGGTCGAAAAATCTTACAGAGTCTACAAGGATCATAAAATCGACCAAGCAATGGATAGATTGAGGCAGGTCAGCCATCTAAGGGAAACGAGTCATTAATCTACCGGCAATCAGCGAAGATCGGACAGATAGTAGAACCATAGATCAAGACTGTCCGGTCACCACTTGGTCGAAGCATATTCTCAACCCCTAGTTGTAGTCAATCGTTACAACAATAGTCATCAGAGCCAACACCAGAAGACACAGCAAGGACACTCCACTCCTTGAGAGATTCAAAGAACACCAGGAGAAGGCCGAAGAGGAGATGGAAAAAAAAATCCCGGTAATAGATGCAGCAAAATCACACCAGAAAAGCCAAAGCCAACGCAGCAAAGGCTTAAACGCGGAGGGAGTAGAGGGCAATTATCGAACACGGGCATCGTTGTGCCAAAATGAGGCATGGGCAAATACATCTGAGGAAAGAAAAAAGCACTTGAAATAAGAAAATGGGTATTTTGTTCTCTCAAGGGGAAATATGTCATTGGCGTAGAGCCTGGGTGGATGAAAGATGTAAAAACGAAGATCATGAGCCCCTGTACATCGGCTTCACCAAGCGTGCGTAGATAATCATAAATGGTCATTGAGCAGTGGTAGATGGTGCGTAAATGTAAACGAGACGATAGAATTTCGTTTCAAGTGTCTGATTTACCTGAACTGGCCGGGACCAACCATGCCGCCACGGATGTCACCGCCGTTGGGCTGGCCGAACATCTCCAGCAGGTTGCGGGACGAAGGGGGAGGGCCCTGTGGGCCAGGGTTGCCAGGTCCAAAAGGGCCTTGGGCACCAGGGCCAAGTCCCATCATGGCCTCGGGATTTGGTTGCATAGGTGGGAAGCCTGGGGGAGGGCCATTCATGTAACCCGGAGGAGGCATCATGCCCGGAGGTGGGCCTCGAGGGAAGACTTGACGCTCATTCATTGGGGGCGCATTACCAGGCATGGGGAGCATGCCAGGGGGAAGTTGGGGTTCATACCACGGCCCGGGCCGGGTATTCCTGGAGGGGGACCCATAGGGTTTGGCACATTACCCTGCTGTGGGATGGGCTGACCAGTCCATCCAGGAGGAGGCAGATGTTCCAGACCGGGAGGTCGTTGAAGAGGCATGGGAGGCTGGTTCGGGCCTTGAGGCCGCGAGCCGCCTGGAGTCATAGGACCGCCGGGAGTCATAGGGCCTTGGTTAAGCTGGGGGAATGGCATATCGTCAAAGTATCCCATAGGCGGGCCGTTTGCGGGTCGTCGGCGGAGCTGCTCGCTATCCGGTCGCTGCATGTTTGCAATTGCCGGGTCATCGAGGAAGGCTGGTGTCTTTTGGACAGAAAGCCCTGGCGGGGGGCGTGGCATGCCTTCTGGCATTAGGCCTGGAGGAGGGGCAATGCCAGGATTGGGAGACTGGTGAGATGGGTTACCCGCAGACGATGGGCCGACTCGGACTTGCTGCATCAAACGAAGCAAGTGGGCTCTCTCTAGCGCCTGGGGGTCCTTTGCGCCGGCTTGAGGCATGGGATTCTCAGGACCAGGACCCATGTAATCTGCTCGGCGAGGTGGTTCTCTGGAAGGAGATGATAGAGATAAGGCAGCATGTTGTTGCTCAGCGTGCATCATGGGAGCATTCCGTGGCTGTTGCGGCAGACCTGCGTCCTGAGGCGTGGCATTTTGAGAACGTTGTCCACCGAGCATCTCCAGAATGCGCTGGAAACCTGCTTGATCCGCATTGTGTGTGGGGAAAGGCATACCCCCAGGTGGCGCCTGAGGTTGTTGCTGTTGCTGGGGTGGAGCATTGAAATAAGGCATTGGCTCCGACTCTCTAGCAGGGCTTTCTGGCATGGGGCTGAAAAGGCCCGCAAAACGAGATGACTTGCCAGCCTTTCCAGGGAAAGGGAAGGAGTCTTTCTTGGAGGCCGAATCGGCGGAGATAGGAGTACTGATCTCTGGGGTCTGAGGCTGAGCCTTCGAATCGCCAAGGAGCCCGAAGAAGCGTTCCATCGAATTGTCCGACATGAATTGAGCGCCAGAATTGCTGAAAATCTCACCATCAGTACGGCGAGTCTCCGGCTTTTGCTCTTCGACATGCTCTTCTCTCTTCTCATCGACATGTGTCGGGGGCTGGGTGGATGATGCAGATCCAGCCTTCATGCGCTCTTTCCAGCGCTCAAAGTCTTCCTGAGTGTGTGCTCGTCGTGGTTCGTCTCGGTCATTGGCATCCAACCATTCAGGTTCTTGTTCAAATTTGGCACCTCGGTTCCACTCACGTTCGGTACCATGTCGGGTTTGGTTCTGGCGCCATTCTCGGTTGCGCAGAGGTTGTTTGTCATCATCAACATCAACGCCCCCCTCTTGGGCATGTTCGTCGCGGAACCAGCTTCCTTCGTATTTGGATCGTGGGGGTGGTTGTCCTTCTTTCCGAGTGGGGAATCTTCCATCTTTATCACGGGTGCCACGTTCAGCATTGGGGTCGCGAGGGCCTTCTTTGTTTTCCCATCTGTCGAATTCGCCGTTTCGTCTGGGTTTGCGCTCCTGCTCATCGGGGCCGAATGTGCGACGGGGGCGCCCGGCATTCCAGTCTTCCCTCTCACCACGGCGGCCAGTCAGTGGTCCTGCCTTCGCATCCCGTCTTTCTGCTTCTTTGTCCGGGGTATCACGATCCTTGAACAATTTATCTCTGAAGTTGAATCGCTCATTCTTCATATCATCCGAATCATTTGGGCGAGCTGATCGGTCCGTCAAATCGAGAGAGCCTTTGCCGCCAATACGAGATGAAGCGAAGGCGGTTTTTGGCGGGCCAAGCACAATGTCTTCTAAAATGCAAGCAACCGCAGTCAGCAGTCAGCAAGTGTTTGCATCACGGTTTGATCCCAAAGCCCTGATGACACAGGGGAAACGATCATACCTGAATTCGATCCCCGAGAGATATGCTTAGCTTCAAAGAAGCTAGGTCTTCTGTTCGAAGTAGTCTCGGTTGGGTTGTTGGTATCACGGGTGCCATGGGCTTTGCGTTGTGTGGTTGTTGGGTCAGGTTGGGGCCTAAAGGGTCAGGTCAGTCTTGACGTTGGCAGTGCGGGACAACCAAAGAATTAGAAATTCTAGGATCAACATACATCCATTCTTCAATTGGAGGCAGGCCGGGAGGCTTTGCGACGAGGGGCGAGCCGCGGAGCCATAACAGCTCGTCGATCTCGTACCGTCGCGCCATGGCGGCTCGGTCTGTGATGTTGTGCGTGCGGTTTGCTTCACAATAATGATGTGTTCATTGGTGAAGGGACAGGCAAAACCGGATGAAGTCAAAGCGATGCGAAGGTATGAAAGAGTTAAGGAACAAGATGGTCAATGGGAGAAAGATAGTGTTGGTGGATATGGAAAAGAGGTTGGATGAGGAGAAGCACACAAGCCACCTTGTGGCGATGGCGGTGACCCGGTGGAGTGTCGGGTGCGAACTTTGTGCGGCACTTGCCAGTTGCTACTATGCTACATACATCGTACGAAGTACACGAATCTAATGTATTAAAGCGATCTCTCCTACAATTAAACAGGTACATATCTCTCCATGTCGTGCATTGCATTAAAATTCGGTATAAGAAATAACTGAAGCGTGAACAGAATCTACAATAGGGCAAAGCACATACAAACAGATCGCCTGTATCTTTTAGTTTGGGGGTAACCGAATCTGAATTGTAAGAAGCAATCACTTCTGTACATGTAGATCGAATCATATAACTATTTATTGCTGCAGTGGATATTGATGTCTAGAACTGGATGGTCTGAAACGACCCACGCTGTGTAGCCAGATCGCCAATCCATGATTCATCTTCACGAAGTACATAAATCTAATATGTTAGAGCGATCTATCCTGCAATTAAATAGTTAAATACTCCTCTTTATGTCTCGCATTGCGTTGGAATTCGCTATAACAGATAACTGAAGCATGAACCGAATCTACAATAGGACAAAGCACATACAAACAGATCGCCTGTATCTTTTAGTTTGGGGGTAACCGAATCTGAATTGTAAGAAGCAATCACTTCTGTATATGTAGATCGAATCATATAACTATTTATTGCTGCAGTGGATATTGATGTCTAGAACTGGATGGTCTGAAACGACCCACGCTGTGTAGCCAGATCGCCAATCCATGATTCATCTTCACGAAGTACATAAATCTAATATGTTAGAGCGATCTATCCTGCAATTAAATAGTTAAATACTCCTCTTTATGTCTCGCATTGCGTTGGAATTCGCTATAACAGATAACTGAAGCATGAACCGAATCTACAATAGGACAAAGCACATACAAACAGATCGCCTTTATTCTTTAGTTTGAGGGTAGCCGAATTTGGGTTGTAAAAAGCAATCACATATGGATATGTAGATCGAATCACATATTTCTTGCTACAACGAATGGCGATGTCTAGAACTGGATCGGCTGGAACGATTCATGCTGTGTAGCCTGATCGCCAATCCATGATTCATCGTCGCGTGCAATTTTCGAAGCAATGACAATACTTCGCCTTCACTGATGCCTGAGATATTGAGAAAGACCATAGCCAGCACAATCCAAGTCACTCCTCAGTACTGTAATCATGAGGTACACCGATATGCTACCCAGGTAGCATGGAAATCTGGAATAGAGCGTACCTCATAAAACCAGGCGATATCTCAATCTAACGAAATCCCGAGATTTTTGCATCGGTACCAATTATCTGGTGGTATCTAGAACACTTTAATGTCCGATTTGCGACAAATCTCCGTCAATGTCTGCCTAGGCATAATTCCATCAAAGCTGATAACCAAAGAGTAGTGGGGTGGCTCAGGCCTACGGATCACCCTGGACGTCCAGGATGCAGCCCCTAATCTGGGATAACCTCAGGGGGTCTGCTTCTTGTTACAGCCTGAGAGGTGCTCTCTATTGAGACCTGGTCTCAGCAGCCGAGTCAACTTCATAAGCCGTAAGATGAAGAGCAAAATATCATACTGTAAGACTTCAATTCTGTTTACCTATAAGTTGGAGAGTATATCTGTGACTAACTGATCCCACCATAAATAGAAATGCCTTAATTGACCTACCAGAACCTACAGGCAATAATTCTTCTACTCACAAGAAGCGAAAAAATCTGCGGAGAAGTAACAAGCAGGGGCTGATGCTATCATGGCAGGATATTGGTGCAGAACACCCAGCAGCGTCGCTATTATAATCTAATTCACATACAGTGTTATTGAATTTTTTTTATATTATCCAGGACTTTCGGAATAGGAGCGGTTAGCAAAAAAATCTATGAGTATAATTGTTTGAGGATACAACTTGTGTGCTTATAGTATAACAGTGGGTATTGATAAGTGGTACGGAATGTGGGAATCCCAAATATATATAGGCAGATAGATGGGTACGTGAAGAGATAAAAGAGATAATAGATACGTACCTTCATAATAATATGTATGCAGTGATGTAAGGGGAAGAAGGCTGGTGGTATGCCTCAGGCTTGCGCATCACCTTGAGCCTCATCCGTGACCAAACTGTATTCTCTTCTGTGACTCCCTCCAACCATGTCCAGCCTCAGCGACCTGCTCCATCGACAGCGACCCAGCCAGTGGGAACAGTTTCTATCTCAGCCTTGTCTATTCCTCGCACGGAAGCTTTACACTTGCCATCAATCAATTCCAGCCAACCCAATTACACGCCCTGTTTCCATCGTCTGCATCTCTGATACTCATAATAACCAACCCAGCCTCCCAAATGGAGACATCCTCATTCATGCAGGTGATCTTACAAGCTCGGGATCTTTGAAGGAACTCCAGGCGACACTCACCTGGCTACGCGCCCAGCCTCATCCCACCAAAATTGTTATTGCGGGTAATCACGACCTGTTACTTGATACAGAATGGAATGGCAATTCAAATCAAGCATCAGTGGAGCGCGCCAGGCTTGACTGGGGTGATATAATCTACCTCGAAAATCAGGAAACAACGATTCGTTGTGCAAATGGTCGCACGCTCAGGATTTACGGAAGTCCTTATTCTGCACGGAACGGTAACTGGGCATTTCAATATCCGCGCAGTGAAGATCTCTGGTCCGACTCCGTGCCAGATGGAATCGATGTCCTCGTCACGCATGGTCCACCACGCGGTCATCTGGATCTGCTCCGGTTTGGCTGTGTTCATCTACTAGGGGAACTCTGGAGGGTTCGACCAAGACTCCATGTGTTCGGACATATCCACGAGGGTGCAGGCACCGAATGGATATCATTCGATGGGCTTCAGACGGTCTATGAGAGCACGGTAATTGCCAGAGGAGGGTTGAAGAATCTGTTATTGACCTTTCGAGAGTTCATCAGGGCATGTTTCTACCCGACAGTGGAGGCAAAATGTCTGCTTGTGAACCCAGCTATTGTTGGAGGCTTGCGGGATAATGAGCGCAGACAACCGGTCAAGGTCGTCATTTGATATGACCTTGGTGCAGAAACAACAATTCAACAGTTTTACTCTGGTTGACCTAAGTGTAGGTAAATTTTAAACACTTGAAGTTCATGATTTACGGGCCGCATCGCATAATTTCGCAAATGCCATGGAGTTGGTTATAGCTCTCGTCTCTCATAGTAGAGGCTGCAAGGGATTAGATGAATATATAGATGCGTGAAAATAATGGATTAGAAGCTGGAGTTACTATCAATCCTCGCAGTTGCTGTCTTTCATGGCGAGATCACAGATTATGTCTACTATTTATCCTGTCTCAACCACATAAATTGTGGAAGATGAATTGTAGAATAGCCCGGTGTAATGTTGACGAGACAACTGATACTAAATCGGACGGAAACGCGCCGTGTTAAATCATGCAGAGAGCTCTGGCTAGCATGCCCTTCCATCTGGGCCAGGCCCAGTCACATTAGAACATTCTGACCATTCCCCTTGGTCGATTAAGATGTATTGTAAATTATTGCTGCTGCTTTGATCCAACTCAAGCCCCTTACTCTGCGACCGGACACCAATCATAGTTCCCTTTCTGGTTATTTCCCCACCACGATGGGAACGGATGGGATGGTCCACCAGCCCCGAAAACCGCAAAAGAGAGGATGAAAAGAACCGTCAGACTGGCGCCATCAAAGGCACCAGCGATCAGATATGAATAATCCTTGAAAATACGGGGCCGGTAGTTTCGGAGGAAGTACTGAACATAGAACCCGCCGATGATCCAGGAAAAGATGACACAGGTCTGGGATTGGTTGTAGGGAATGAAACCGGCGTACTGGATAAACTGCGGCATATTGATCTCCGAGACGTCGAACTTCCCAATTTTGGGAATAAACTAAGAATCAATCGAGTGTCAACTTCAAGTATCCCAGAGGATTGCCAACGTTGGTCGTGGGATGCAGGGCTACTTACCTGGTAAAGGATGCGGTGGATAATCACAATACCAGCGCCGACGGCTATACCAATCGGGACGACACCATATGGAGTGCCAGCCTTATAAATATAGGGCGCTAGAGCCCAAGATGCTGCATTTGTGTTATAAGATTGGATAGTCGCACCGCTCCAGGATGAGTTTCCGTTGCCGCCGGTGAGAAGCTCTCGATTACCTGACACAATCGAGATCATAACAGCGTAATTGATGAAGCCACCAAGAATTGTGCCGTAGATTTGGGTCAGGAACATAACTCGAGGAGGGATCTTGACTAAAAAAGTTCAAGAGACAAATTAGAAATCTTGATTAACAGAACGAGTGTTATCACTTACGGTATTCGCCCATCTTCAGATCATTGGAAAGATTAACCGCGTTGGAAATGACGTTATGCGACCACGCAGCAAAGTACATGTTTCCAATGGGGCGCCCAGGAAGCATGAGTCCACCCAGCATCTTCGACAGATTGTTCGTGGCGATACCATTACCATAGCGAGAGTAGAGGATGGTACTCTGTAGTCATGTTTAGCACTGCCCTATAAAGACCATTATTGGGGAATTTGACTCACAAAGGGCGCAATGATGCATCCAACCAATAGGGAGACAACATATGCCCACACGGGCATAGTGATGTTTTCTTTTGTGCAGACGATGATGCCGAGCACAAAGCTGCCAATAAGCACAGCGATGTACCACCACCACGGAGTCTCCTTGTAATGCTTGGCCATATGCTCATGATGCCGATCATCATATCTTCCTTCTCTCGAACTTTTGTAGGCCCGAAGGATATCCTTGCCCCAGAAGAGAATGCAGTGGACGATGAGGGCACCAATCGCAGCATTGGCCATGAACAACGAGAAGGCAAACGTTCCAGTGAGCTTTGGCAACCCGAAATTGGCCAAGGCGGTTTCATCGAGGACACCGCCAGGGAAGACGTCATTGATGGGGTACGCGGTGCCATTGCTCGCCAGAAGTCTCGTCGACATGAATGGAAGCGATCTCGAATCCCAGGCGTTGCCATAGTATATGCCTATCATGAGAATGAAGCAGACAAAAAATCCTAGGGCCTGGTGAATTTGAAGTTTGAGAGGAAGGGATGTTTGGAACGATGTAATCTACTTCTGTTAGATAATCTCCCAAATAGCGTTGTTTTAGAGGGCTTCAACTCACATATTGCCAATCGAACGAAAGCGTAAACAGACCGAGACCTTCGTTGTTGGTCGCACCACCAAAGACATTGGTGAGAATAGCAGCTTTGCTACCAGTGGCCTTTTGCGCAGCCAGGCACTATAACATTTGCGGTCAATAAACTTCTCCCAGGTTATGTGTTTCCATAATTCCAAAGCCTCTCACTGAATGGACCAAGCTGGGGCTAACATGAGCAAATACGTACCGGAATTGAGACAGAGTTCAGCCACGGGAAGATGTAGGCAGGAATAATCTCGTAGAGAGACATGCCAGTGAATGCGTACCAGAAGTACCGCAACGGCTTCGAGTTTTTGACTTGCTGCCAATGAAGTCCCTGGAGAGTCTTCACGGTAGGTAGGGTACTCCAGTAGACAGCCTCAGTGTGCCAGACAGCGATGGGACGCATAATTCCGCAGAGTCCATACCCAAAGAGACCAATGGAGATAGTACTCAATATCACCGTTGCCGGGCTCAAGGGAAGATTGTAGAACAGATCCTGTGCTGCAAATACCATGGAGCTCGCAGAGGCATTGGAGGCCGAGGTAGCAGTGATTGAACAGATTGCGTGCTCTTTCAGTCCCCACGGTCCGTAATTGACAAACTTCATCACAGTGATCCACCAGGGCAGTTTTCCCTGGCCGTTCTTCTCCCTCCACCGAGTCTCAAGCTTCTCCCCACGGGGCAGGAAGTTAGCCCAGGCATTGCCCACGAAGTAAGAGATGAGCACGATGAAGGTTCCTTGAATCGTGACAACGGTCGGTTTGAACTGTCAACTAAGGGGTTAGTAGATGAAGACTGCGGAATCGAGTGACTGAAATTACCTGATAAATCTGGTACATCACAGCCTGGAAACAGGCAAGTCCAGAGGCAAGTAGAATACTGCGAAAGGTTAACACGCTATCGAAGTCATCTCGAAGCGGCAGTAGATGGATAGCGGCATCAGCACCGGTGACAATGATGGCTTCCGAGTTCTCGCCGTCGTCGCTAGCAGGCACGGCTTCATCTTTGGTAGCAATCACGGCGACACCAGTCTTGTCTTCGATGGCCTCCTTGCTACTGACCGAGATCTCACTCGTGTCTATCTGCGACTCGGACGCCCTTGAAGCCATATCGGGGGATGGGTATCGAGTTGATAACTGAGGTTACTCCCTAGGCCCTGAGGACTCCTTATAGGTTTCGCCTGCAGATGAGAGCAAGGAGAGAGGTATCCCCCAGTCCTTATCGGGACAATGATACCACGCAGCCCTGGGATGAGCCATGTCCAAGCGATCGAGTATTCTCATTGTTTCATTCTCCCAGTAAACCCAGCATTGGATTATTGTTTTGATTGGATTATCCTTTACGGAGTACTCCGTATCTCTCTCGAAAATGAAAGAAAAACAGTTAGGCGCGATGGCAACATCCCAACTAAGATGATAACACATTTCAGCTTCAGATCCCTGTCCCCTGGTCTTTTGCGAAGGGTGTGAGCTGTTGTGAGTGGCGGGAAACCAGCATCATTCCCAGGCACTTGATGGAAAGTACAGGGATGATTCTATACAAGTAGTCCGTCCACAGTCAAGATAAGCCGAGGACGCATCTCATTGGGATGCACAGAGCTTCTGTGGCGTTACTGGAGAGGTGCGTCGCCAAGTGGCGTGTCCCCGCCCTTCTGCGTTAACCACAAGCTCCCATTCCCAGGGGATGTCTCATTGGGTGTTATTGGATGAAAAGGAGGAAAGGAATGAAAAGGATAAGAAGGACAGGGTCTCGTTCCTGATACAGTTAGCTGATACACGCCTGAGAGCGCGGAGTTCCGACGGAACACACCTTTCGTCCCCTTGGCTAGGATTGGGGGTCTCTGCTTTTCTTCCAGACTTGAGGTTGCGACATTTATCTGATCTCTTGCTATCTCGGTCTATAGCTCCATACACGCCATTCAACACCTGTTGGGTAGTATTTGGCTGAAAACACCAAGAACTTGGCTGCTCGCGGTTTCTCCTCCCACTCCGGGTTTCCTTTTACAGACAATAGCACATGAGTTATTCCCTTGCTCAAAATCACATGGAAATCTCTAACACCTTGGTAAAGCAGTCTGGCCGTCAAGTTCTCGAGCGTTTTCTTCGGAAGCGACAAAGAAGACTCTGGAGATCACATGGTTGCCCATATTCGTGGTCTTTCCGCAGATACGTCCTTCTTCATCCACCAGTCTCCTCACCTTCAACAAAAGCCGTAGAACAGTCCCTGAAATTCCTGGAGCTCATGGCAGAGTGTAACATCCAATATGCTGGAAGGATTGGGATTGCGACAAGTTGAATCATGGTCCATTTTCAACCATTCGCAGCCTTGATGTCACAATTCGATCAGTACTAGAAGACCGATCAAACCGGCTCTCATCTTGCTTCTGCACCCCTTGTGACTCCGGATGAAGTTTCAAATGTCGCGACCCATGATGGTCAGCTGGAGTGCTGAAAGTTATCTACCCAACCAAAAGCTGTGATCGAGGCTAAGGCATCGTTTCCCTTCGGTAATCATACGAAAATGGTGCTGGTGCAGGAATTGAAATGATGATATGGATGCTGGAGTGTCACAATGTACATCCGTCAGGACAATGGTAAGCACTCTTCAAAGCGTATGGGCTCGAGGAAATTGCTGACGAGCTACTGCAGATACCTATGTTCTAGCGCTATGTTCTGCCGACCTCGGCATCATATGGATTATTATTGGGAAATGTGGCCCAGAGTACTTCAAGTACCTTCTCGAAATAGGACCCATTCCGGGAAGACGAAGAGAATGCATTCTGCAAGCTCAATTTACCTGAGCCATACAATATCTCCAATTGGGAGCATATCCTGCAACTTGATGCCCTTGCTGCTAGTGTTACTCAGCAATGGGGTACAGATCACAGGGCTAGCGCCAAGCTCCCTTGAAGTGCTGCTGAGATGCTATCGTTCTGATTCCTTTCAAGACGATAAATCTTTCTCTCTAAATTTTCAATTCTTGTTTGGCTTGGCACTCTGTCACAGACCGTCCAAGGTCTCAAGAAAAGGGCTGAAGCCCAAGAGAAGGACATTGCTGTGCCTTGGATGGCCGACAGATGAGTCAAGTAGGGCAGTTGTGTAATAAAATCACCACTTACCCTGCACAACGCTCGTGAATCCCGAATCCGGTATATCTCATCAAGTATTCGTGAAGGGGGGATCCTTACTCCCTGAATCGAAACGGTCTTTCAAAGACTTGTCACATGGCCATCGTTTAGTCTTTAACTGAAATCAAGGTATAGCCAAGTAGCATATTGGTATATGCAATTTATGAAATACAACCATTTTTGCTGAAATTGACTTCACACGAGACTGGCCTTCATGGGCTTGAAGTGACGATATTCCTGTCTCTGCTCATTTCAGAGATACGGACAAGAACCCCGAGGACACACAGAACAGGAGGTCCGGGCCCAACCAGGCCCATTGCGGAGGTCTAACTTCGCTTGTGCAATACGGGCGCTAAAGTATGGTAGAATTGAGAAGCTAGCCTTGATTAACAGCCATGAGTTAGGCACCAAGTCAAGTGTTAATTATACATTAGAAATACAAAGCAATATCAGCGAGTCGAGGAATATGATCTCCTTAGGCCCGCTGTTGGGTTCGATCAGCTGGGATAAGTCCCCGATGCCGTAGGTGTTTCGGATGGATTGCATAGGATCTGGGTGACTCTGACCTCTGGCGGTAGCAGAAAGCCCCCTTTGATTCTAACGCGATCGGCGTATTGTGGTGCACCACGATGGTCGTCTTTCAGCAGCTCTCGCGAATATAGAGGGGACTCAAAGTTCTGGAAACAAACCGCTAGACAGGTTTTGTCTTGCAGTTGTCCGAGGCATAGCGCCGATCCCGAAAGGCCTCCTAGCGGGTCTTCATCATTTTCAGTCCGCCATAGGATCGAAACATTCTGCGATAGTACTTCTCTGTCCCAGAGATACTGCGAGCCTTCTGTGAGCGCTGCCTGTGCTTCCCTTGATATCCCGCTTCCTGATCTCACAATGGTATTGCCTGTGGGAATATTGAGGCCTGTCACAAAGACTGGTTTTCCATCAAGAAGGTCTGTATAACTACCCCAACCAACCACACATGGTGTTCGATCAGGGGATGTAACTTCCGGTAGTTCCTGGGAATTTGTGATCAATGATAGATCATGCACAAACCCAGTCGGGAAACGAAGGGGCCTTGCTGAAATCGGATCGTAGGTAAAAGAGATGGTCCCGATCTATTCTCGGTAAGTTGTTAGAAGCCACAGATGATAGCAGAGCAAGCATACCTGTTTTGAATCTCCAGCGAGGAACACTTGCTGACCAAGTGGCGAATTACCCATTGGATGACGCCGAGCAGACCCAATCGCTCGCATAGATAACCCACTTTTGATGGGGGAATATCGAGCCAGTTTCATCTTAATGTGACCATACCAGTCTGCAATTCGAAGGAGAGGAGCTGATCGGATAGATCGGAGAGTAATAAATGCATGCGTGGGGACGGTTATCGCCTCTTGGCCTCCCGGGAAACGAATCTTCAACCCAAGCGCAGCGTATGCCTCGACGCAGTCTGGCCTTGCAGCAATTGCAGCGCCTTTTGAAACCATTGTCCGGGTCGGTGTGTCCTCAAGAATATCGTATCTTAGTCTTAAGGTGCCAAAGGTGCTTGCCGGTCCATCTTGCAGCCAGGAATTCTCCATGTCGGCACGGCTCTTGAACAGAATCACGATGAAACCACTTATGAAAACTCTTGCGCCGAGCGAAGTTGGGAACATTTCTCGTAACAGGTGAAGGTGATGTCGAGACAAAAACTTCCGAGGATTGAGAATAGCAGGGATGGGGTCCGATTGGTACTTTGGCCACATCGTAGTTGTCCTTTCCATGAGCCCAGTTGGTTTGAGGTGAATCTCGAGACCCCCGGCATAAGCGCCAATCGACCTGGTCTCATCAAATCCTGGCGACACCACCCATATCCACTTGTGCTCCGATTCTTCCACCAGATATACTGAGTCAAGTTGGCTAAGAGATGGGTGGTGCGTTCGAAGCAATCGTTGATTTGTGTCTGTCACTTTGGGCTCGATCGAGGCACGCTTAGCTGCAGCCGCTTTGTCGCCCCACTCAACAGAGTCTGTTGCTACAATAGAGTTAGCTGATCATCATTTTCTCCATCGCCAAGTGGAAATACATACTAGGCACAGGAATCAAATGTCGCAGCTCGTGTAAGGACCCCACCGGTAGATAACCATCCTGATCGTTGGTGACGCAGTCCGCTGGAAGAACAGGGTATGGGAAAATCGAGTCATCCGTGGAGGATACACGTTGCTTCTTCGATACCGGGGAGCTCCGTCCAGGCAACGGAGGCCCTTCTAGAGAAGGCATCGCGGATGGGGTAAACAGGTTGATTATGATTGGGAGAAAAACAGCCTTGGCGAGTGGGTCAGAATCGCCTGCAAGTTGTCTATTGTTCTCGGAGTGGTCACCTTGTAAGAGCGGGTCCTTGGATTCCTCACTTCTGACTGGCCCCTGAGACCCCCGAGCGTCCGCCGCACCGCAACCTTCCCGGCCCGCGTGCAAAAACCTCAGTGTCACACCCTTGAGCATAGGTCAGGATGAGTTCCTACAGAAATTGAGAACAAACTGAAGGAAATGGACGCAAAACCATACTCTCAGATTGCACGAAGGAGAGAAGCTAAGCTAAGAATAAGTTGTGGGAATATGACCCCTCATTTGTCATGTGACCTTTCCCTGACCGCCTTTCTTTCTGTCATCACCTCTAGGGTTGAGTGCCTGGTACATGTTGTCGAGATGAATAAAACAAATAAAAGGCCTTAGACCTCTATGCCGCATTGACCACCAACCGAATTTCAATTTGCATAAATGGTGGGCATGGTCATCTAAAATATGCGACGCTGAGGGCAGTACGACCGAAGACCAAAGCCAACTCAGCTGAAAGGGGTCAGTGAAGTGGTCACCCTGCAGATTATGATTCTCACCCAGGCTCACCCCATTCTCACCCTGTCTATTGCGCACTCACCCTAACCACCCGAGTCGCGCGACCGTACAGCGACGCTCACCCATTTCTCACCCCGGCGACACCCACCGGACTACTGACTGCACATAAGCCACACGCCGGTGAGTTAGTAGTTGGGTGGGTGACCACCAGCGAATCCTCACTGTTGTATGTTTTTTAGTTTTTTTTTCTTTTTTGTTTTCGATCCGTTGGGAAAGTCGTGGCGTTTTCACTAGGCCATTGTACTAATTTGGGAGGTCGAAGGGCTTGATGTATAAGGATAAGTGACTACCAGGATATAAGTAAATTGCATTATATATCGGCATCAGGCAGAATTGTGATTAGACTCAGGTCAACAAGTCCTTCTTATACCCTTGCCTAAGCAAGCTTGAAATTCATGATTAACAATCATGAGTACATACATCCTCCTGTCGGACATGTCCTATTAAGATCATAGTTCGGCCTTAGTACGTGCCTGCACCGGTTCCTAGCCCAGAGCAAAGCTCAACGAGCCGTATATTAGCTATGTAGGCGTTTAAGCTACGAGTGTATACCATTCTAGTGTTGCGCGGACCCGCACAAGAGTTTCCTGATAACCGAAACCCTTGAATTGATACTGCTCGAAACTGACACGCGCACTTTGCTCACATCCGCTAAAAAAGGTTCTGCTGCAAAAGATGCCCCCCAGGAATCAAGCGACATACAGGCTGCCTTGTCTCTTAAGCCTGCTAGTTATATTCTGCCACGCGGGACGCCGGGTATTCGCAGCCCGTTACCAAACTTAGAATTCACCCGAAGAGAGGTTGTTTGAGAATACGCGACCTGGGACTCCCTCGTACGTGTTTCTGAAATGAATTCCACTCTCTACCAGAGGAACGACCATGTACTCTGCTACGGGCTTATCCGTAAAGAAAAGACCAAGAAGACTTATATTTTGAGATTGTATTGAATTTCAATTGACTACATGTACTAAGAAAGTACTAAAAAGACGTCATAAGGCCGCAAATGCAGCTGACTGTTTTTGTTTTATACTCAAAAATATGAAAAGATTCATTTTGTCTACCTGCTTCCCAAGGGGATGTTCTAAGAAGGTTAAGTACCTGGCTTAACAAGGTCGCTGTCATGGTAATGCAGATATCATCAATTTCTACCGGCTTGAATCAGATGTGGGTGACAACACTACGACTAGTTGGGTATTTAGATGCATGGTGTTAACTACCTAGGTGACCCTTAAACTCTCTCCATCAGCAATTTTTCGCCCTACAGCTCCATTAGCTTCAGGGGCATAGAAACCGGTCCTAGGAGCTATACCACTTCCGAAGCCATATGTACCACTTGTTCTCGGTTCCAACTTGGTGATAGATGAGGGTCAATAATACCATCGATTCATTAATCCACGGAGTAGCCGACTAAAATAAAGAATGAGATTGGTATTTGGGAGTTGATGATCGCATTTGAGTAAAGTTGGTCATTTCCTCGGGCCTTTGCCGGGGGGACTAGACAAAGTAGGATGGAGGGCGTAATGATCGCCGCCTTGTTTTGTCGCCAGTCAGAAGTAGAAGAGCTAGCGTCTCCCAATCCCTGCTGGGATGCAACAGCCGGTCTTTCATCGGCGAGCCGTCAAATCATTATGTAGGCTCTCCTCACCTCCCCCTTATTATGGCAATGGCCCTTGTGATGGTCATATAACGATCGGCCCTATGATTTGAGCTTGACCAATAACGGCAGGGCTATTGTTATTCCATGGCATCTAATGCCTTCGTTTACTATATATCCAAATCAAACGGAAAGACATCCCCGGTTCTCTCCTGTCGATCTTTCTCTGTAACTTCTGTTCGGCGAGAAGCGGTTCCTATGAGGAGTAACTTGCTTTAGTAGCTTTGAGGGCTTGAGACGGACTCATGGTATATGCAGCGCTCCCTTTCCCTTGTCGCCCTCGATCATATTCGGATAAAAGTCGTTGTAGATGGCGGCTTGCGTCTTCCTTTTTTAGTGAGGGTATTGGTCGCCTGAAGAAGTGACTTGACAAGGGCCAACGACATGCATAAACTAGTCGTCGCAGTTCTATTTCAATGCAGAGTCGGCCCGAGTAAGCAACTCTCCCATAGGTCCGTGTCGAGTGTCAATCCCTGCCTCTCCTCGCGCCCATCGAGGTGACAAAGAGGGCAATGATGAGGAGTGACGCCCATCAGGTCTGCCCGGGGGTCCGAGTGGCATTCGATGTTAAAAGATACCTTGTCACCCCATTCTTTGTTGCACACGGCTTTCTCTTAATACTGGCATGCTAGAAACTGCGACTGAAGTCGTAAACCGAATCGCAACATGAGAGTCTTCGCCCATGCTTTCGCCGCAGTTGCGACTGTCGCACTGTGTAAGCTCTCGTCCTTTCCTGCTGAGAGATGCATGAATCACTAGCTAACCTTCTTTCATCCAGTCTCATCACCATCTTGGGCCCAGAGTGGGACTCCGGTGGCATACACAGACCCGGATACGGACATCACCTTTGATACTTGGACTGTTCCAGAGAAACTCAGTCAGGGAGGACTCACTTTTGGCCTTGCTTTACAATCCGATGCTCTGAGCACAGATGCTACCGAATTCATCGGTTACTTGGTATGCAGCTCCGTCCAACCTGTGTAGTTTCCGCTCTGTCCGTCTTTTATAGTAACCAATCTCGCAGCTATGTTCGTCAACAAATGCCACCTTCACCGGCTGGTGCGGTATTTCACTCGGGGGCACAATGACCGATTCCCTCCTGCTGTTGGCCTATCCCCACGGTGAAGACATTCTCACGTCCTTCCGTTACACCACAGCCTATCACAAGCCGGACGTCTACACCGGGGATGCCAAGCTAACCCAGCTCTCGTCCACCATCAATGCAACCCACTACAGCTTGATCTTCAGATGCTCAAACTGTCTGCAATGGAGTCAGGATGGCGCGAGTAGAAACGCCTCCACGAGCGCGGGTGTGCTGAACTTAGGATGGGCCCAGTCCTTTGCGGCTCCGGGGAGCCCCGATTGTCCCTCTGATATCACGCTCTCTTATCACGACAACGGACACAATATCTTCGCGGCTACGCTGAAAGATGCGCCTAACAAATCTTACACGGACTGGACTGCGCTACCCCAGACGACGGTCACAGGAAGCTGTTCCACAAAACCTGCACCAATCTCGACGAGGATCCCATCTTCCTCTGCCTCGGTCTCGGCGGGAGCAACAGCCACTCCAAAGTATCGGAGACGGGTGTAAAAGGGGGATAGAAGGGAGTTTCGAGATAGCATATCATTTTGTGAACCAGTCCAAATAGAGTCTCAAATAGGTACCTAGATAGTGATACGAAGACACCTCACTTTCGCAAGGCCAAGTCCCGCGGGTATAGACTGTTGTAAACTCTCGTTGAATGGCAACGTATGTTCAGAATACTCTCGACAGCTTGCTAGATATGTTCACGTTGATCCTGGGGTTTCAAGCATTCTATTATTGTACAGATCTAACTCAAACCTGGGCCTGGATCTCATCAACAACCTTCCCAAGAGTCCCATTGCTCCAGCTATCAACACGTTCCCGATCACAAGTGTCATATAAAGCACGTGCAAGGGCTGCAAGCTGAGCAATCTCCTTCGCACCCGCCTCTGCTGCTTGGATCTGGATCCAGCTGATGACACCAGCACGGGTAATCAGGGTAGTGCTGCCACCGACCTGGGCGGCGCGGTAGACAATGTGCAAGATCTTTCGGCGAGCTGCAGGGCCGAGAGACGGGGACTGGTAGAGAGAAAGAATACGCTCGAAGACATTGGCTCGGCGGTAAACCTCCATATCCTGGATTCAATATGTTAGCAATCACAAGTTTGTAACCTGAAGACAAGAACAATGGGTAGCAACTTACGGCCTCAGTGCGGAGTGCCTTGATGAATAGGTTCAGTAGCCAATCAATCTCGTCGAAATACCCGTCATCCAACTCAGGCTCGTGCAGCAAGATTTTGTCAACCCAGTATGTTGGGATCTTCTCCACTTCCCAGAATGGCGCTTTCTGCAGGAACTTGTTGACTTTGCCGTACACCTTATTGAGCGGATTGGTGAGGACTTCCAGACAGTTTGCAGCGCACTCGCCAACAATCCATGGAACAGGCTTCTCCATGCCAATGTTGTTGACTGTCTCGAGAAGCTCTCCGCAGAGAGTAAACACGGTCCGCCACTCTGCGTATTTGGATTCCTTGAGTTTGGCCATGAAACGAATAATGGCCGAGAAGGCCTGTTTTCGCACCTCTGCGTGCTGAGAACATAGGCAGAGCATCAACTCGGCGATGTGGCCTTGGTCTACTGCTTCTTCGATGTCTTCCCTTTCCCATTTGTGCAATGCATTGTGAGTAGTGCCTTCAGTGGGCAGGAAGCCGAAGATCTCATCAAGGTCAACGGTGGGGGCTTTGTTGGATTGACTGGGAATATTCGAATCAGAGTCAATATCCATCTTGTCCTCATTATCGGCATCATCTGTCTCCTTCAAGGACTTCTTGAGTAGAGATCTGATCTTTTTAGTCTCCGTTGCTTCTACCAACGCATCACGCGCGGCCTTGAGCACTTTCGTGTTTTCACCCGCTTGCTTCAGGTTACCCAGGAGACTTGCGACCCAAGCCCCAACGGCGGCTTCTGTGGATGCATCGCCGCTCTTGACGATGAATGGCCATTGTTCAACAATAGCAGCAACAAGGGCGCTAGATGTTCCAGATTCATCCTCCGATAATGACCTTAGCAGATCTAGATAATGCACAGGCTTCTTGGCGACACGCGAGACACAGTTATCAATGAAGACCAGCTGCTGGTGCAGAGCATCAGCCTCGGAATTCTCGAGGCTTGACAAGATAGAGGCAAACGCGTGGGGAGAGCTTTGCAAAACAGAGTTCTCAACCAAAACGGTCCTAAGAAGAGTGGAGATACGGCGCGAGGAGTCCTTATCCGAAGTGTCCATGAGAACCTTGAGAATCGAGGTGAAGGGTGAATATTGCATGGATGCTGGCTTTTGCCACCAACGCAATGAAGCGGATTGTTGTGCAATTTGGAGAATGCTCTGCAGTTGGCTCAAGAGTGACTCAGAATCATCTGCGTTAACGTCAGGGGCTTCCAATCGCTTGAGCACATCCACCAAGACCAGCGAGACGTCAAAGTTCTCCTCCAGAGCAATGTCGGGCATCACTTCGTAGTAACAGGTCAAGAGCTCTGCGACAGCCTCCTGCTGAGTAAGATCTTCTTTGTCCGTTCTGCGGAAGAGAAGCACAACATCCTTGACTGCAGGGCACCGGCGGGAGAACTCTGCAAGCAACTTTGCAGAAGCCTGGTTCCAGAACAGCTGACCTTGACCGTGATCCGCTTGGAAAATCTTGAGGACAGCTCGCAGCTTAGTGAAGGCAAGGGTCAAGATTCGCACTGCAAACAATGTGATGATCTCTGCATTCTGATTAAGGCAGCGAGTCATGATCTTTTGACCAAGAGGACGGGGGAGGATGTTTTCAATAACAATAGAAACCGGCGGTGGCAGGATAGGCTGCTTATCCTTCCAACCACAGTTCGCAGGGACAGGCAACTGCACAGTAGAAAAGAGGAAAGCTGACTCTGCCATCCATGAAGGGGTAGCCTTGGGATCTGAGATGAACATGGTCTTCCTTGTGAAGAAGTCCGCAATGAGCTCTGGTGCCACCTTGAAAATTGAGACCAGTAATTCAATCTGAAGACTATCTACGTCAGGTCGAAGGCACTGGATGAGGAAAGATAGAGAACCATTCCTGACGGGGATAGAGTCTCGGAACTTGTCGATATAGATGGGTGAATCAAGGCCCAATTCAATGCAGGCATCGTCATCAGCAGTGAGAGTCTCGGGGTCGCTTCCGGCTGGATACCAACCTGCCTCGGGCAAAAGGACCCCGAGTCCGGGAGTCGTGCAGACATTCATCATAACTCGATGAATCTCGTTAGCAATGATGACACCGCTAGCATTAGGTTCATCTGATTCACGATCGTAGCCGTAAAGCGTCACCAGTCGTTCAAGATTGTGTCGGTTGAAGAACTTGCTCTTCGATTTGCGGGATAGAGCAGCATCTTGTACCACGTCCCTTTCGATGGCCTTGATAATTTCTAGTACAGTCTCGCGTGGGTCCTTCCGGATATATTCGAGGAAAGACCTAGTGATCTTGTGCTGTTCGATGATATCACCCTTCTCAGAAGCATGCTGGACCCTCAGGTTCGCTAGCAGGTATCGCTGGGCATTTCGTCTGAGTGTCGATTTGTGGGAGTCATCTTCTGATGCCTCCTGTGCTTTGTTGGGAATCAAAAAGACCTCAAGCCGCTTAAAGGTAATATAGCGTCGGAGATACAGCTGTCGTGCCACCGCGCCTCCATCAAAGGTGACGATCTCCGTGAGCAGACGCAAACATGGCGAGATCAGGTGCTCTTTGGACTTTGTTGCCGTCAGACCGCGATTAAACAATCTCAGCTGATCTTTCTGTAGCAGATGCTTGCACAGCGCGATTCCGAATTCCCGGAATTCCAGTTCCGACGAGATCGTCTTAAGGAAGATTGCAAGAACGGAAGGCACACTTGTCAATAGAGGCTCATTGTTGTTGCCATCGCCAAATGCCCAAGACTGAATCAAGTCCGGAAAGCAGACTGAGGTCTCATCCTCCTTCCCAGAATTGGTAATCTGTTTATCGCAATAATCTTTAAGGACACGCAATTTCTGCGCTTTGTCGCCGTCTGTTTCTGTGTGTGCGATTGACACTAGGAACTCTTTGAACTTGATGATTCCTATATAGAAGTCAGATCCCCGTAGCTTTGGGTAACTCGCGACTCGGCTCACCTTGCTTTGCCAATGGGGCATTTTGCTGAACGGCCAACAATTCGCGCAGCTGGGCAGCCGATGTGATATTTGATGTGACATGCTGTTTCTCTGCAGTTTTAGGATCGTCCAGTTTTCTTCTCTTCGCACGCGAAGGATGCTCTGTGATGTGCGACATGATTGATGGGCTGAGGTGCAGTATTGTAGTTTTTTTTTTATCCTCAGATGTCCCGATGCCATCGACATTTCCAGCTCGTTGATTGGCTGAAGTCTCCCCGCCTGGTCCAAAAGTGTGGATACACCGCCCTCTTCTGCCGTAACAATGCCCAGGCGGTGTGGGCTTATCAACAGTGGAGCTTCCCGATAACAAACGCCAAAGGATCTCACCTCCACTCGGGGTCTGTTGACATCTATATCCATGCACTTTCCACCAGGAAGGTGGTATATCTATAAATGCATGTATCAAGGGCAAGCTTCTTCTGAATCTAGGCAACCTTTGCAATGAGCTATTTTATATCGACCACGAACATGCTCTATACCTGCATAAGGTATCGATTCACATATACTATGCCTACCTACCTACCTACCTACCTATCACGTAGGCAGACTCAACCTCTATGTCCTGAGGTCCCTTCGAAAACTTGCGAAGGAAGTATCCGATCCATTGATATATATCCCTGGAGAATGCTTAGCGTTCATCGCTGCCCAGCTCCTGTTGTTGAGTTGATTTATATCCACTCTATTCGCCATGTACGCAAAAACAATAGGATAGCCAAATGACTATAACATAAATTCCATTTCCTGGATGTTAAATAGTCTACGCTCTTCTCTTGCCCTTATCCCATCTTCATCCTTCTTTAGCCAATTCTATCCTGTCTTCTACAAATGTCAAATTCCATCTCAGCAATGAATTCTTACCCTACCAATGACGCCATCAAAATGGCCCAGGAAGTTCTTTGCGAGTAAGCGGACTCCCTTCATCGTGAACTCTTCGAATTAATCTCCATTGAATCGATTCCAGCCACATGGTTTCAGCGGTGCGTGACCTATATGGCCAATCACTCTCGGCTGCATATCCTCGGAGCTCAGCTCGAGGACAAAATCAGGGCACAGCCTGTACACTATGCAAAGATCCATTCGAAACATCTAGAAAGCTGGCATGTCGTGCAAGCTGCGTGAGTAACATCCCTGGAATTCGGATGGAACTTGAAACCCGCAGATATACTGATATGACCACCAGAAGGATCTTGCAGTTAGCAACGACCGTGCCGAAGCTGCTAGTCAAAACGATGAGCTGATTGACCTTTCCGATGACGCTTGAGGTGATCGTGAACCCTAGGGGTTCTTTTGAGAGAATGGGTGTGAAATATCTTGTCGTTCCCGAAGAGAGATGTTTTCTACCTGTCTACCGGCTAAGGCAGTCTTACTTGCACATGGATGAATTTAGTGCACTTCAAACATTTTCATCTGATATCATACAGGATCCAAGTCTAGAAGGATCAACTCCATTGAACTAGATAGTTCAGGCAAAAAAAACAAATGTAGAGAAGCAGCATGAAGTAGAAACACAATTGCAACCATAGCTGGTATATTGGAAACAAAATAAGAATCAACCCCAAGTGCCACCACCACCACCTCTGCCCTGCCGCCGCTGTGCAGAGATACGCCAATCGTCTTCGCCAGCAAAGCGGTTGTGTAGAGGCTGGATGCGCTCCGCCTTTTTGCGCTTCGACAACCGATCTGTAGGTGCAACCTTGAAGAAAGTCGGTGCCGCCTCCACAAGCCATTTAGGCTCAATGGCAGTGGTGCAGTGCATGTACTCTTTGGTGGTGAGGACCAAGGTGTGGTAAATAACGTGCTCAGAGGGTTTACCGAACATCGCAGAGCTAGGATGCATGTACACGGGCGTGCCTTCCACCAGGGTCTTGTAACCTTCTTGGGGATCTTTGCGCGCGGCATTACGGAAAAAGCCGGTACAGAGGGACTGTCGCACTTTCATGGTGTCACGACCGCAAGAGACAATCCGCACCTTGTGGCGATTCATGAGGCCGAGAAGCTGCTGTCGAACATCCTGGGCGCGCTTGATCTGCCGTGCTTGAATGAAGTTTTCGAAACACCAGGCGTTGTTGAAGCCTGCGTTCTTCCATCCGTTGTAGACATTGAGTAGGGTCAAATGATCACCGTGTGGATCGTGGAATTTGGACTTCTTCTGGTCCGCCTGTTGTTGCTTCTCTTTGGGGCGGTAAAAGACCGACTGGATTGACAACATGGCGACAATGGTCAGCATCTCTTCGGAACATCCTGAGTCTACGGACGCAAGAAGCACCTTGGCAAGTGCAGGCTCCATTGGGAAATCAGCCATTTTTCGTCCTAGTCGAGTCAATAGACCCTCATCATCAAGTGCTGACAAGGCATACAGCTCTTCGAGGGCTGTCAACATGGTGTTGGTGGGCGGGGGGTCCATGAAGTCGAAGTGAAGGAGGTCATTGATTCCCATTGCCTTGAGCATCAGAATAGTGTTTGAAAGATTTTGACGCTGAATATCGGGAATAGTCGTTGGAAGCATCTCGGATTGGTAGGCAGCTTCAGTATACAATCTGAAGCACTTTCCTGGTCCAGTTCTTCCCGCACGACCAGCTCTTTGCTTAGCTTGTGCTTGAGAAATTGGGGTCACCACGAGAGAATCCATGCCAATTTTTGGATCATATGCGTTTTGCTTCACGAAACCGGGATCGATAACGTAGTAAATTTGATCAATTGTGATCGAGGTCTCTGCAATGTTGGTTGCGATAACGACCTTACGTCCGCCTGCGGGCGCTGGATCGAAAATTCTACTCTGCATTTCACTAGGTAGTGCAGAGTAGACAGGTAAGATGACCAATTCGGGAACCGTGGGCCCTAATGCTTTCATACGCTCAAATAAGATCTCACAGGCTGTATCAATTTCTTCTTGGCCTGTCAAGAAGAGCAAAATGTCACCCTGAGGTTCTGTTAAGTGAATTTGCATGACGGTAATAAGCGCGGCATCCAGATAATCAGACTCGGGTTCCTTGGAATACATGACTTCAACAGGGAATGTTCGACCGGGGATGGAGAAAATGGGACAGCCGTCGAAGTATACGGAGAACTTCTCAGCATCCAGAGTAGCAGACGTGATAATCAATCTGAGATCAGGTCTTCGCTTGATTGTCTTTTTCAACAACACAAACAAAATATCCGTGGGGATAGTCCGCTCGTGCGCTTCGTCAAGCATGATCACGGAATATTTCTTGAGATCTGGATCTAGAAGGATTTCTCTCTGAAGCATTCCGTCCGTCATGTATTTGATTTTGGTCTCAGGGCTGGTACAATCCTCAAAACGGATGGTATACCCAACCTCTGCTCCGAGTTTGCAACCTACTTCCTCGGCCACACGTTTAGCCACCGACATGGCAGCAACACGACGAGGCTGGGTGCAGCCAATCATTCCATTGTTCGTATATCCACCCTCGGCCAGGTATTGCGTCAATTGTGTTGTTTTTCCAGAACCTGTATCTCCGACAACGATCAACATTTGGTTGTCCTTGACCGCATCCAGCAATTGCTTCCGGAATTTGTAAACCGGGAGGCTCTCGCGTTGTTGTTTCATGGACATGGTTGTTCGTTTTCCAAAGGATGCATTCTTGCCCATCCCCGCTCTCTTCCACTCTGGCACCGCTTCGTCCTGCTTGGGTTGCCCAGCACTTCGAAGATCGGCGGCAAACTTTCGCTCCTCCGGCGCTACCATGGGGTCCTGCCATTGTGCATTGAGATCGACATTTGCGGCCTTCTGAGCCGCATTGTCCTGTGCTTCCTGCTGCTTCAATTCGCGTCTCTCCTTGGCAAGGGTAGTGCCTGACATCGCAGCACGGTTCATTGAACCATCGGGGGCCTTGACAACACGAATAGGGGAAAGTTCGAGGGATTGCTTTGTTTGACCAGCCAGGAAAGGAGGCTCCTCATCTTTGACCTCGATGTCCACGTCTTCCTCTTCTTCGAATGTGCCTTCACCGGTGAGTGTTGCGTTATATTCCTCGTCAATGTCGGGATAATCTGCTGCAGATGCAACACCTGAGGCAATCAATTGTCTGATTTCCCATCTCTCGGGTGAAGTCATGCGCTTTCGGTTCCTCATCGGCCGACCTCCGGAGCCTTCAACGATAGGAACATCGGAGCTGAGGTTGCCGTATCGGTCATCGACTGATGTATTGTCAAGGCGTTCCATATTCGCACCAGAAGCAAGGCGCTTCTGGGGTACAAGGTCCATGCCTGTCGCCTGATCCACCTCCTTCATGGACAACCCAATGCGAGTGCCTTGGATGCTAGCAACTTTGACTTTGACGGGTTGTCCCCGTGAGACCAAATCCGAGGGGTGATTTACTCGTGCTCCTTCTTGCATTGCCGAGATATGAACAAGCCCGTCCACCTTCCCCTTGACACCCTGCAAGTTCACAAAAGCACCGAAATCTTTCACACCCGTCACGGTTCCATCATAGACCTTGTAAAGAATGGGGTGATCATCCAACTCAACTGGCGGCGGTCGGCGGAAATCGTCATCGTCCTCGCGATCGCGGCGTCTCCGACGATCACCATGGCCATTGCGATAGGTGTCTTCCCGGTCGCCGTATTTGCCAATCGACCTGCCAAACTCGTCCACGTAGTCGTTATTATTGCTATGCCGCGGGGGACTTCGAGATCTTGTTCGCGAACGATATTTGTCTCTGCGCCTCCCACGGTCATAATCGTTGTGTTGGGGACTGCGGCTGCGCTTCCTGCTGCTGCGGTCGTTCCTGTGCACATGTGGTTTGTCCTCCTTCGCTTTTCCTGCCAAGCCCTCCAGCATCGCAAAAGTATCATCCATCGCATCTGCTTGTAGGTCGGCTTCGTCTACCGCTTGGCGGTCCGTGTATTCGTCTTCCTCCCAGCGCTTTTCCGTATCAGGGACAGAAAGACCCTTGAACACCCGGGACTTCTTTGCTAGGGCATCAAGCAAATCCATATCGTCATTGTCCTGAGAAGCTTCATTATTGTTTTCTGCTTTTTTGCTTTTGTATTTCGGGTGCATCGTGAGCACCATGCGGTCGACACTCTCCAGCAGACTTTGCGGGAACTCGCCGCCCATGTCGTCGAAAAATTTCTTAAATTCGGGGAAATTGCCATTGCATTTAACATGCTGATCAATCACGAACTCTGCGAGAGTCTTGTCGGCGATACCCAAGTGGTTCTCGAACTCGTTCGTTACTCGCGACACGAGCGAGAACAGCTCCAGAGACTCAAGATCATCCATGATGGGTGAGATGAAAGTGAAATCCGATCAGAATTCAAAAGCCAAGTCAGCAAAACTGCATGGATGGTAAGTAAAATGGCGAGTGCGCAAAACACTGCTTCACTGTAGCTCTGAGGCCCGTCGCGCAGTTCTGGATCTTGAAGACGGAAAATTAGTCTGACCGAAGTTGCCACTGATAAGATAAGGCGGTATCTATGACCTCCACAGGAGGTCTTTTATAGTAACACTTCGTACACGATCTACAGCTAATTTCCCAGTCTCAAAAATCAAAATAAACAGTCTACATTATTGGGTATTGGAGATTGGTTTGATAAAAAAAATAATATACAAATCCGGTGGTATACATGCCCATCACTCTTTGTGGACTTCTGTGTCATAGTATGACTCGGTTGGTTCAGACGATTCTATGTCCTCCGGGGATGAACTCTCTTTCTCACCCTCCGCCTCTGGTGAAGTCTCGAGTAATGAGAGATCCGAGTCGGACGGTTCGCCCTCTCCGGTCTCCTCAGCTTCTGCAGCCTCTGCAACTTCCGGATTAGCTTCGTCGAGCAGATTGACTTCCATATTTCCTTCTCCATGAGGTTTCATCCAGTCTCCATCAACACCCATACGTTGCTGCTCCAGCAATTGTTTCTGTAGAGCAATCTGGCGCTTCAGCGAAGCACCCTGTCGCAGCCTTTTATTGGCGGAAAATTCAGTCAGTGCTCGAACCATCCGCTCTTCAACAAGTTCTTTCACATGACTCGCGAGAGTTCGGTCAGTGAAAACACCACCGAATCGGAAGCTAAGCCACAGATACAGGATAACTGCCCGGTGAAGACTTTCCAAATCATGCATATAGTCATTGCTCCCTGAGACGGGCTGCTCAAGGACTTCCAGATTGAGATAGTTGATGTCCAAGAGTCGACCATCGTTGTGGTCGGCCACGCAGTCTGCTAGAGCACCGGTGACATCACGCGAGCTTGCACTTTTGCGGTCCATTGGAGAGACCATGAACTTCAACTGGTCCTCGAATGGTAGTCCTTTGACAGTGTCGATGATTTCGGCATTTTCCAATTGACTGGTAGGATCACACAAGAAGAATAACGGATTGACCTGGGCAATATCCAAGGCACGCTTGATCAAATATTCGAAAGGTATACCTGGTGGGAAATAGGCGGCAAATTTCCGGAAAACGGATTCTGGGGGAAAGATGCCCGCCGCACTCAATGGTGGAGGCTCCAACTTCATGGCCTGCTGGATATACGGAAGATCGACCTCTTCGAGACAGGTTATCAACCCTACGTTAGGCTCCTCATTTGTGCTTTCTGTAGCATTGGCAGGGCGATATCGGCCAGCACGTCCACCAATCTGTTTGATCTCGGGTACGGTCAGCCGTTGAAGTCCAGTCGGGACACGCTTGACGAGGGTGTCAAAGATGACACGTTTGCAGCTCCTATCATGGGTTAGTATGAAAGTGCATGCGTAACCACCGAGGGCAGAACTTACAAATTAAGCCCCATGCCAATGGCGTCACTTGCCACGAGAAAGTCGTAGTCATTGTCTGGGTCATTGAATAGATTTGCCTGTTGTGTCCGAATCTCTGCAGGTAAGCCACCATAAACGATGGCTGCACGTCTTCCGGTGGTCTTCTCAATATCTGCTTTCAGAGCGTGTATACCTTTGCGGGAGAAGACGACTACACAATCGCCCTTTTCGAGGTTATTTAGATTGCCTTTTAAGCTGTGTTTCATCACTTCCAAGCCATTCAAACGTTCGTAGCGGTGGATCTCCAAATTATCACCCGTGAGTGCGCATAGCTCCCGGATCAACGGCACTGAACGGGTTTCACCGCACAGGTGCAGTTCGGCCGCCTGGGCACCAAGGAAAGCTCGAGTCCATGCCCACCCTCGTGAGGAATTGGCAATCATTTGGATCTCATCAATTACACCCACATCATATTCCTGTCCTAGAGAGACCATCTCGACAGTGTTGCTCACAATACGTGGAACTTCATCATTTTCGGGAAACTTGACATCATCACCAGTGACAAGACTGCATGGAACCCCATCTGCCTTGAATCGATGATAGACTTCTTGTGCAAGCAATCTCAGTGGACCTGCGTAGAACCCGTTCTTACTTTTTGCCAGTCGTTGCAGGGCATGGTAGGTCTTTCCAGAATTCGTCGGCCCGACATGGAGGTGGATTGTTCGCCGCATTGATCGTGCGCGTGGATACCACTCGGCTGGCCATCGAAGGTCGGCCACTTGTCGCTGCGCTTCCAGGACTGGCTCCGAAAACCTCGCAGTGATGCTATCCGAGTATCTCATATATTCCACCTCCTCCCGCAGGCCCTGAAGTCCGGAGGTGAGGTAGGCCTTTTGCAGCGCTACCTTGATATGCCGAAGCGGTCCCCATTGCGCAGATGCCTTATTATCGTCCACCTTGCAAGCGTTTTTGACTTGACGTTCGAATTTTGTCCATCCTTCTAGCGATTCGCCTGTTTTATTCAGCTTGTGGAACACATCGCGCAGGGTTGCGTCCACCACTTCGTTAAAGTCTCGTGCGGCTGCAATATCTTGTCGAACGGCCTTTGTAGCAGAACCTCCTAAAAGTGTCTTTGATTTTTTCTTGTCGGTGGAAGGGAGGGGTTTGTTTTTCTTCGATCGCTGGAGGATGGAGGTTGTCGTAAACGGTCGTACGGCGATACGAGTCAGAGGTCGCAAAGCGCAAAGGGAACGACTACCGCCAGACCATGGCTGCATTCCTACGCGAGGGCTTCCAATCCCGTAGAGAGGATCAATTGGAAGACAAAAGGAGTCTAACGGTTGTAACAGTGGCGAAGGAGAACCAAATGTCTGCAAGATAGTAAGAATCAAAGGAAGTAGAGGTGACAAAACCCAAAAAAAAGTCCCCTTATCGAGTAGATCCACTTCCCTGAGCTCCAATGGTGGGGAACACCATCTCCTTCATATACCTCAGACGCCCACCTAAACCCCCTCTCGCTGCCACCCTGAGGTTCTCCCTGACATCTCACCAATCTTACTTTCGGTTCTCCGATTTCTATCTTCACAGTAACTGATCCTGAAGCTCCAGGCTGTGGGCTGCCCGCCAGCATGGGCTCCTCCTCGATAATCAACATTCAACGCGATAGTGGGTGATCTCTGCTACCCCTGCTTCTCACCGGAACATGAGCTGACCCAGATCTTTCTTCTAGTTATACTTAACACCATTCGCAATGCCGGTGGCCGCGAGGTGAGCCCGACCCTTCCGATCAATCCCTCTACCGCGGATACTGACGGCATCTTCCCCCCCCTAACAGTGGAAAGTCTTGGTGGTGGATGAGAACAGCAAAAAATTGGTTGACGGCGCCGTGAAGGAGGAAGAAATCCTCAATCTCAATGTTTCGAGTGAGCTCGCCTTGTGCTTTGCGACTGAGATCATCTCACTAAACAACGCCACACCATAGACGTCGAACAGCTCGAACACCGACGGCCGTCCAATCCCGATATGGATGCGTTGTACATCTTGTCTCCAGAATCGTACGTGGTCGACTGTTTGATGGCAGACTTTGAGGTGGGACGATACAGGAAGGCTTTCTTGGTGTGGACTTCGTGTGAGTGGGCTACCAGTGAACCCCGGGTCTTTGCGACGTCCCTTCACTTACACAGCATATAGTTCTCGATCCACAGCAGAGAGCCCGGATTGATCGCTCCCAGATGGCGCGCGAGCGCATTGCGGACTTCCAAACCATGAACATCAGTTTTTATCCCAGGGAATCACGTCTGATCACATTTCGGGATCCATGGAGCTTTCCGGTGCTCTTCCACCCCGGTTGCAACAATTTGATTCGAGGTCATCTGGAGGACTTGGCTCAAAAGGTAAGATATTCATGTATATAACCCCGGAAGAAAGCATGAGCTTCCTTACTGACTCGGAACCAAGGTTGTCTCTCTATGCGCTTCTCTGGGTGAATACCCTATCATTCGTTATTATCGGCCTCGCTCTCCGGCTCACGAGGCTGGAGTCATGTGCTCTCATCTGGCACGTTTCATTCAAAATGAAATGGATCAGTTCGCACAACACCAGCGTGACTTTCCTCCTCAAACAAACCGTCCTCGAGGCGTATTGCTCGTCGTAGACCGTTCCATGGACTTGTTCGCGCCTCTCATTCACGAATTTACATACCAGGCCATGGTCCATGACCTTCTTCCCGTCAAGGAAGGAGACAAGGTTATGTACAAAACGGTCATAAATGAGGGGACCAAAAACGAGGAGATCAAGGAGATGGAGATTGGAGAGCACGATCGAGTCTGGGTTGACTACCGCCATATGCATATGAAGGATGTGCTTGGAAAGCTAGGCGAGGACTTTGCCAAATTCCGAGCAGCCAATCCTCAGTTCGCCGATGAGTGAGTTTTGCCGACCCTCCCCTCTCCTTGAATCGGACTGCTGACTTGGGAACTGTAGTAACGACAAATCTAATGTGAACACCATCAAGGATATGCTGGGTGGCCTGACAGAGTTCCAAGAGGGCAAGAGTGCTTATACGCTGCACCTTAACATGGCACAGGAATGTATGAATTACTTCCAAACCCGCAAGCTCTTGGAAGTGAGCTCCATTGAGCAGTCATTCGCTACCGGTCTTGATGAGAATTACAAAAAGGCAAAGAACCTCGCAGCGCAACTCGTACAGCTTCTCGACGATGACTCGGTTGTGCCACCAGACCGGCTTCGGCTGCTACTTCTGTACATCATCTATCGGGGAGGACTGCTTGGTGGTGACATTCGCAAACTCATGGCGCACGCTGAACTCCCATCGAAGGACGGCGAGATTATTGCTAATCTCGAACTCCTCGGAGTGCGTGTAGAGAAGCCTCTCAAGGACGAAAAACCACCTGTTCAACCTCTGTTTACCCGCCGAAACCCACCACCCGAATCAGATGAGCTAAGCCTAAGCCGCTACGAGGTGGCCGTCAAGCAGATGCTCGAAGATCAGATCCAAGGCACTCTCGACCCGACTCTCTTCCCATTTACACGACCACAAACTGAGACGGACACCGCGCTAGCTGCCCAAGAAATGCAATCGCAGCAGGCATCTTTGCGCAGCGCAAAACCAACCTGGGCACGCACAAGATCTGTAGACCAGCCTCGCCAGCGCATCATTGTCTTCATGGCTGGCGGTGCTACCTACGGCGAGTCACGAGCTTGTTATGAAGTCTCAGCGGCATTGAATCGAGACGTTTACCTCGCCACTACGCATATGCTGACACCAGGTCTCTTCCTCCGCCAGATTGGTGACCTTGGTGTTGACCGGCGTCGTCTTGATCTTCCGTCCGAGCGCCCCAAACCTACTGCCCCAGCCCATCTCTTTGAGCGCGAGGCCCCTCCGGCGCCCACTCCGCAGCCACAGAAGAAGAAGCCTATCTCGACCGCACACCTCAATCCCCCAGCTCCGCCGGAAGCATTGATGGCTGGCATGTCCATCAACTCAAATGGAAGCGGAAGCAGCCCCGCCTCATCTGGCAGCGGAAAGCACGATAAGAAAGACAAGGATAAGAAGGAAAAGAAGGAAAAGAAATATCGTTTCTTCAAGTAACTTGATATTCTGCTTTTCTTTATTCCTTTCCGGCTCCTGTCCTGCTGCATCCAGCGCTTTTGTGATATCATTCTTCTCCTTGTATGTCTTTCTATTGGTCTGGTCTGGTCGGCAAGCATTCAAGGCGCTATTCTCAGCGGATTTTTATTTTACTTTTCCCCTCAGATGAGGCCCCAAAGGCTTCGTATGAGGAATTTCTTTCACTGCACTACAGTTCATGTCAGGTACCATCTGGACTCCGGTCCTAGTTACAGTATCTAGTACAAGTACATACAAATGGATCCAAGTTAAAACTAAAATGAAACACAAAACTAGCAGTGTGTTGGCATCTCCATAAATCTCACAATATAAACATCGAATCATAAAATAACAGGGGTATCACCGAACAAAAGAATATACATGTATGTAGGTAGTCATGAAAAGAGAGCATATCAATCTCCAACCAAGCATCCATCGAAATCAAAACCTATGCGCCTTCCCCAAGATACTTTAAAACCTCATCATTCTGATAAAAAGTCTTCCTCATCCTCTCTGCCCTCTTCTTGTCATCCGCAATCTTCTTGCGCGTCTGCTTAGCATTAAGCTTCTGCACCTTCATTGGCGGCGGTTTAGGCGGCAGCGCATCTCCATCTCGATCAAGCCCAGTTCCTAGACCAGCAGTATCATTCTTGACGCGGGGTTTGATTGGCTCGCGAATACCCTCGCGGCCCGCTGCGCCAATCCCAAGCCGACTATCCGGATCCCAGCCATAGGTAGAGAGGTAGCGGAGACCAGCACGTGTGCGGTCGAGATGCGAGGGTGGGTGGGAGTGTTTGAGGCAGACTTGGTGCGCGAGAGAGGCTTCGTGGGGACGAGGTTTTTGATCTGTTGGTGTAGTTGAGTCTGCTGGGGTTGGCGGTGCAATAGGGATGTTGCATATTTCACAATAGTCGAGGATCTGGTCTGGTGATGGTGCTGGCACGGGATGAGAGATTGCGTCCGCAATTGGGGGCGCAGATTGAGTGCGGATAGGTGGTGAAGGTGCTCTCTGAATTGGAGTACTTGGCGATGTACCTGGGGCTGCTTGTTTCATCACAATAGAGAGGTATCTGTCTGCGATGCTGGTGGCGGAGGAAGAAGATGACGGCGTTGCCGCAGTTGTGGTGTCCAGATCGGAGGAGCGCACGAACTGCACGCGTTTCCGGCGGATGCCAGAGCTGAAGGGGCGCTGCTGCTCCGGTGGGAGAAAGTATTCTTCATCGTCAGAGGCCATGGTTAATCCCAGTGGTGCAAAGGCAAGAAAGAAAGATGCAGAGTCCAAAGCGGAGCGGATTTAGGGTGGCGATAAGATAAGAGATACGTGTACGTGGAGAAAATACTCCCCTTGAGGCTCCTTCCTCCTTTACATCTTCACATTTCACTTGACGATGCCCATTCCCATCATTGCTCAAGGCCTTCGGGAGGGCTTTTCGTCCATTCCATATGCCTTGACATTCTTCCGCGTAGCACCATGGGTGCTACTTCTCGGCGCGCTGAAGTACTGGTTCGAAGGAGCCCGCAATGGCTCCGAGCGAATGATGCGCTCAAAAGTCATCATGGTGACGGTAATACAGCACTCTAGAACTATCAATGATTTAAATGCACAATCTAACATAATTCACTAGGGTGGCACCTCAGGGATAGGGGCAGAAGTGGTCCGCGAGCTCGCAACCCGCGGCGCCCAAGTAATCCTCCTAACCCGCCAACCACCCTCCGACATCTTCCTCTCTGAATACATCGATGACCTCCGTGAAAGCACAAATAACCAGCTCATCTACGCCGAGCAAGCCGACCTCTCCTCCCTCCACTCCGTCCGCACCTTCGCCACAAAATGGATCGACAACATCCCACCCCGCCGAATTGACTGCGTCATCCTCGCCGGCGGTATCACCGAACCCTCCAAGTCACGCAATCTAACAGTTGACGGCATTGACCCAGAATGGCAGACCAACTACCTCGCAAACTTCCACCTCCTCAGCATTCTCAGCCCGGCATTGCGCGCACAGCCAGCACACCGCGACGTGCGGGTCATCTTCGCGACATGCTCAAGCTACATCGGCGCTGATTTCAGCAACCTGGATTCCGTGACTCGTGGAAAGCAACCGGTCACTTCCAAGCGCACAAAGACTTCCCCTGCTCTATACGCGCGGCCGAAGGGCGTCTACGGGCTCAGCAAGCTTGCGCTGACGATCTTCGCGCACTCCTTCCAGCGCCATTTGAGTGCTTATGAGCGGCCGGACGGTCTGCCGTCTTGCACGCGTGTTATTGTGGTTGATCCCGGTCTGACACGGACACCTGGTACGCGGCGCTGGTTGACCCGCGGGACTTTGTGGGGTCTTGTACTGTATGTCCTCACATGGCCTATTTGGTGGCTGTTCCTCAAATCGCCCTTCCAGGGCGCTCAGAGTATCCTGTTTGCGGCGATGGAGCAGAAGTATGGACGTGGTGGAGGCGGTTGGCTGATCAAGGAGTGTCGAGAGATGGACTATGCACGGACAGATGTGCGCAATGACGAGGTTGGGAAGAAGCTGTGGGAGTTTAGCGAGAAGATGGTCGAGGAGGCGGAGAAGGAGAGCGCTGTGCTGAGGGCTTTTGAAAAGAAGGCAATGGAAGAAGAGAAAAAGCAGGCCGAGGCTGACAAGATGAAGAAGCAGAGGGAAGATGTGGCTTCGAAGAAGGGGAAGAGCGATGGATCGAGGAGGAGTCGGAAGGGTCAGAATAAGTGAGATGCATACCTGTTTGTAGGTATGACATTGACCATTGATATATATATAGACTAAGTGAGGTTGTACTCTCCTGTGATTCAGAGACAAGCTCATATTTATAGAACAAGCATCACAAAAAGGAAATTCGTTTCATGTATTCTACCGGCGAGATCGAGATCTTCTAATATCAACAAAGGTAAGATCATTTTGGATCCACATTCCCGTAGTCATCAACCCTTCGAAGTTAATTTACTTCTTGAGCTGAGCGAGCAGCTCAGCAGGGGGCTGCTGACGGTAACCCTGGGGGTTGTTCTTAGTCCAGAGCCAGAGGTCCTCGCAAGCCTGCTCGAGAGTACGCTCGGCCTTCCAGCCGAGCTCGGTGTTGGCGCGGGTGGGGTTGGCAGTGAGGTTGAGCACATCACCAGCACGGCGGGGAGCAACCTCGTAAGGCTGGTCCTTGCCGACGGCGGCGGAGAAGGCACGGATCATCTCAAAGACGGTACTGCCCTTACCAGTACCCAGGTTCCAGGCGCGCACGCCGGGGTTGTTGGCGCGCAGGAAGTTGAGGGCCTTCAGGTGGCCGTCGGCCAAATCCAGGATGTGGATGTAGTCGCGAATAGCGGTACCGTCGTGCGAAGCGTAGTCTAGTGGGGAGTGTCCATGTTAGATTTGGGATCTTCGGTCATAGTTAGGGGGGAATATGTTACATACCATCGCCGAAGACCATCAGCTTCTCGCGCTTGCCGGTGGCGACCTGTGCGAGCAGAGGGAGCAGGTTGTAGGGGACACCCTGGGGGTCCTCGCCCATGATACCGCTGGGGTGGGCACCGGCGGGGTTGAAGTAACGGAGCAGAGCACCGTTCCACTTCTTAGCCTCAGCCTCGTTGCCAGCCTTGATGGCGTTGTTGCGCTGGGCATTGATCACGTCGGTGATGGCGGTCTCGACGGCGAACTTGGTGTTACCGTAAGGGTTGGTGGGGCCGAGAGGGCAGTTCTCCGGGATAGGAATCATGTCGGGGAAGCGGGTGGCATCACCGTAAACGGTGGCGGAGCTGGAGAAGACGATGTTGGTGACATTGTACTTGACCATGGAGCGCAGGAGGTTGATGGCGCCGTAAACGTTGACCATGTAGTAGTCCAAGGGCTTCTCGCCGGACTCGCCGACGGCCTGAATTGAGACAATCAAATTAGCCATTGAATCACATATTGTTTCATAAGCTTCCCTCTCTTTATGTGATACACACCTTGAGGGCAGCGAAGTGGATCACGCTGTCAATGTCGGGGTGAGCCTCGAAGACCTTGTCGAGGGCATTCTCCACGGTGACATCGAGCTCAAAGAACTCGGCCTTCTTGCCGCAGATCAGCTCAACGCGCTTGAGTGCCTCGGGCGACGAGTTGTACAGGTTGTCGACAACGACGACCTTGTAGCCAGCCTCAAGAAGGGCGAGGGTGGTGAACGAGCCAATGTAGCCAGTGCCACTGCGGGGGAATGTTAGTTGCGATTCCAATCTAGAATACCAAGCAATTGAGCGACTGACCCAGCAACAAGAACCGAACCAGTAGGCATGATTATGGTATTTCGTGAAGCAAGTAAAAAAGATGGGGAGAGTAAAAAGCGGACGGAGGGGCAGCTGGCAACTTTTAAGGGGAAATTGGAGGTGGGGGATTATCTCTCACCACATGGCTTTACCATGACGCGGCCCAGACGATCGATGGGGTTTAATGTTGATGATGTTGATGATGTTGATATTGGATTTGCCTGTTCGCTCTATTCTGATTACCTAGGTACTGTATCTCTCTGTCTCTGTGGAATTGATGTCTTCCAAGATTGTCCCCATTCCACTGAGCATCAACGGAACATTATGTACGGAGTATATGCACCTGTATCGGCGGCTAATAGCAGTGAAATCAACCCGAACCCACTATGTTTCTCAAAACGGGAATGATAGGCAGGGAAATGCCCCGAACCTCCTGAATCTCCTGCAAACAAGACTTCGTTTCAGATGTACAAGACACAAAGAGTATTCCCGTCAGGGTTCAGCTGCCGGAAGAGCTCGGCACCCTCTATTCGAGACAACTCCACAGGCCTTACTAGGGATAATTGACATAAAAACATTGAAATTGGTATTGAAAAATAAAATAAACCGGTATGGGAGAAAAATAAAACCGGATATTGGACATGAACCAGGGCCTGTATCCCCTCGTGGTAGATCGTAGATAGTGTGCGTGATTGAGTTGCGTTTCAGCAACTAGATCCGACATGTCATATACGAGAGCCCATTGCTGAGTACTCGAAACCTCAAGACTAATTAAAGTCTGGAGACATGGAAGTCGGACAGGAGGGGACACGAAAATCCTGGTGTGGCGGCAGTGATAGTTAAATGGTCAACGTGCCGGCAGGGGTGTGACCCAAGGAGACTCATAATCAACGTAGCCCAAAAAATAACTGGGCATTATTTTAACCAAGGAGCTCAACATCCAGCCCGATGGCCCGCATGAACAGGTTAACATTGCTCAGACGCTGGCTGCCCATATCGGCAGGGAGAGTCTTGCTGTAGCCCACGGTTTCCATAACGCGATCCCTGTAAGGAATGTATTAGCATTGTTCCTGAAGATCACTGGATCGAGATAAAAACTTACTTAACGGCAATGACCAAGCGCTGCTGCTGCTCGGGACTAGCACCAATGCCCACGGCGGCGAGGAACTGCCACACATACATGTCGTCACCGGAACTAATCGAGCCGGGGAAAATGTCGTTCAACCCGAGTTCCAACGTATCGAACAGCACGTTGAACTTCTCCACCCACTGCTGCCAATCGTGCTCGGAAGCTTGACCGGCCTCCTTAACAATCTCCGCACGGCTGAGCAACATGGTCAAAATGCCCAGCCCGACCTTGGTACGAGCCACTGTCTGCACATGGGTCTGGTTGATAACCAATCCCAAAAGACCAATGATGATATTGAATGGCGCCTCATTCACGTATCCTAACAGGCAGGGCATGACGGCCAGTGAGAACAGATCAATTGCCTCACGTACACCGAGCGACGGCTGGGCCTCACCCGGCACAGGTTGGGCGAGACGAACAACATCCAAGCTATCCAGATGAACGACAATCATAGTGAGGATAGTGACACGCTGTTCTTGGTCAATATGACGGAAGATGCGAGGAATAGCCTTCTTGCCCTTGGGGTATGACAGGAATGCGATGAACGGGTGTGGTGTCGTTGAGTTAGGCACAATAGGTTCCATGACCTTCAATGACCGCCACAGCTTTTGATTGAGCGAGTGAAGCTTCTGTCTCCACTCTAGGTGTTCTTGAATTGCCTCAGCGTCTCCCTCTTCAGGGGGTGGTGGCATCGTGCGCTCCATGTCTTCCATAGCCATCAATGCACTGTAAACCCCCTCGAGGTTGGTAAGAATTGATTTGCGGTCACTGAGACTGAGATCCGACTGCAACTTCTTGGGTTTGGGTCCCTCTGAGCTGTCAGGGCGTTTTATGTTCAGCATCGGCTTAGGCGCCTTGGCATTGCTGAATGAGATCTTGCCCAAGCTGCCTTCGATGATGAGCTGCTTGTTTTTAGGCTTGGCCTTTGCAGCCTCAACTGCGCGCTGGACCTGCTGCTGCATTCGCTGCATGTGGTTATCGGCACTCTGGAAATTGCCACGGCGATGTCCGCCAAGCCGGTTACCTGTCTGGAGGAGATATGTTTGGGCGAAGTGACCCAGAGGCTGGTGGGGATGTTGGCGTGGGGCACCCCGAATCTGGCTGTAGACTTGGTAGTAGAAGTCTTCCGCCAACACGGCCTCAGGGTCCGAATCTGCGACATTTCCAGCAGCAGCAACTAGCTGTTGCAACTGAATCCGAGTAATGAAGTTCTTGTCCTGGGGTGTCATCAGACCGTTGCCTCGAGACAAGAGGAAGATTTTGTGGTTGCGCTTCGCCCGCTTGGCATCTTCCACCAAATAAGCATTGCGCTGCTCTTCCGTCAGGTGCATCAATTGCTGCGGGTTGGTGATCACCGGCATTCCGTTATTGGAGCCCCGGTTGTGGGGTGGCAGTTGTTGATGCTGAGAAGGTTGCACCTGCTGGGGATGCTGAGAGCGCTGGCCCTGGGGCTGGCCCTGTGATGGACCGGCATGACGTGGGCCAGGCGGCGGCATATTTTGCGGAGGAAGATTGGCATTCTGCATCATATGCAGCGGCCCGCTAGGAGGAATATGTCCAGGGCCACCATAGAGCTCTGGCATGCCAGGCGGTGGGTGCTGCATTTGCGGGGGTAGGTGACCTTGCTTCATCTGTGCATGGAGGAACTCCGGAGGCACTGGAGCGAATCCATCCGGAAGGTTCTGAAGGTGCTGGGGTTGAGGGGGGGTACTGAGGCTCCACCATGGACCTCATAAAGGCTTCTGCGGCTGGAGTCGCGGTATTGTGGCCATGGTGACGCATCTGCGCCTCAACCTCTTCCAAGCTCATCATCTTCCGACTCGGGGCAGGAACCACAACAGCAGGTTCAACCTTCTTCTGCGAGACACCCCACACACTAGATTTGGCTTGCAAATCTGGAATATATCCAGGATCCGAGTACTTCTCGTAGCCGGAGCGCTTGGTGGTCTGTGTGGCAGCGGGTTGAACGGGTTGGGCCGCGGGCTGGGGAGCGACTCGAGCTGCATTGGGATTCTGTAGGCTGTAGCGAATCTGTTCTTCGCCAATAGCGTCGGAAACCTGAGCAGTCTTTCCAAAGAAATCAAAGTCTCTTCCAACCGAGGTGTCGGCGCCACTTCCGCCAAACGTGTCATCGTTGAACTCATCCTGGTCGTCGGGAAGCTGGTCTCCTAAACCATCGTAGGTATCCTCGAAGTCAATGCTAGATGGGAATGAGCACAATTCCTGCTTTTCAAGCCAAAATAGGATAAGCTCACACGTCGTCATCCTCCAGCGCATTAGCTCGGGCAATGTCCGCGAAGGGATCTGGATTTTCGAAGAACCCCCTGGCCCCGGAACTATCGCGGTCCCTGGGCAGGGTGGTATCGAAGCCAAAGAAAGCCATCTTTGGCTCGGATGAGAAAGGATGGGAATGAGGTGGGGAGGTGAATAGCTTAGGGGGGGGGGGAGTTGAGGAAAGGTGCGATGGATGACCGGGAAGTTCTGGAGTGTGGATGCCTCAGGCAGCAGCCGTCTGCCAAGCCACAATGTCGATCTCTCTGATGCGCAGCTTCGCGATGATGCCGAATTGGAAAAAAGAATTCATCATTACATGAGGTTCTAAGGAGTCCAAGAGGGATTCCTGATGAGAAACCGAAGGGCTGTTCGAGTCCCTAGAATCTACACCCTACAATGCCCCCTTCTATCCCCATTCCTCGTATAGTCACAATAACACGAGTCAACCAAGATTACCTTAGTATACAAAGTACAATGAGACAGGAGAATCCTTGCCCTTTTGTCTCCTGAGAGTGGGTTTGACATCATCGCGGCTGTCTGGGATCAAATGAAGACGCATCAAGAGAATCCACACGGGCCAAACCTCAGCGTTAATAATATCCCCTGGTCAAATCGAAACTCTGGAATGTCTTAAATTGGGTGACCCCAAGTGGCTGAAAGCGGTTGTCACTGTCTTGCGCGGCCTTTCTTCTCTTTCACCTGTAATCTCCCCCCTAAATCACCTTTGGGATCTCTGAGCCTCTAATCTTTGCTTTGATCCCGTTTCCCATTGATGTCGCTCGCTTTTTAATTTGGATCGGCCCCAACTGCGTTGGCCCTGACCTCTGTTGTTGCCTTGCCACTGAACGGGGACCTCATCCTCCTCTCCCCCCCCCCCCCACATCACCATGTCTGTTTCTATTCGATATGCGCGCTATCTTGTCTTTGCCTTCATGGTAGGTCGTTATCCTCTTGGCTCGGTGGCCATTCGCGAATGCCCAGTGCTAATGATGAATAGGCATTGGCGGTCTTCTTCCTCTTCTCAAAATCCTCCATCCCCATTCCTACCACCAGTTTGACCTCCCCTGCAACGAAGACCCCACCGACTTACGACTCCGTCAAGTCTCAAAAACCCGACGTTATCGGTTCGCACCATGGCGAACGCGTTAATGCCACCTTTGTCACACTAGCGCGCAACTCCGACCTTTGGGAGATGGTCAAATCTATCCGAACCATCGAAGATCGTTTCAACCGCAACTACAACTATGATTGGGTGTTCCTCAACGACGACGAGTTTGATGACGAGTTCAAAAAATTGACCACCGCATTGATCTCGGGCAAAACCCATTACGGTGTTATTCCCAAGGAACACTGGTCGTACCCAGAGTGGATCGACAAGGAAAAGGCCAAGGATGCGCGCGAGGAAATGGACCGCAAGAAGATCATTTACGGTGGTTCCGAGAGTTACCGTCATATGTGCCGTTATGAGTCTGGTTTCTTCTTCCGCCATCCACTCATGATGAACTATGAGTACTACTGGCGCGTCGAACCTAGCGTCGAGCTCTTCTGTGATATCGACTCCGATCCATTCCGCTTCATGAAGGAAAACAAAAAGAAGTACAGCTTCGTTATCAGTCTGTACGAGTACATGGCTACGATTCCTACACTGTGGGATAGTGTGAAGAAGTTCACGAGTAACCACCCCGAGTATGTCTCCGAGGGAAATGCCATGGATTTCATCAGCGACGATGGTGGAGAAACATACAACAAGTGCCATTTCGTAAGTCATTTGAATTGGGTTAGACTTTACCCCTACTAACTTTCACGCCAGTGGTCAAACTTTGAGATCGGCAGTCTAGAATGGCTTCGATCCGACGCATACATTGAGTATTTCACATCTTTGGACAAGGATGGCGGTTTCTTCTATGAGCGATGGGGTGATGCACCAGTTCACTCTATCGCTGCCTCGCTCATGTTGAAGAAAGAGGAGGTCCACTTCTGGGACGATATCGCCTATTACCATGTTCCATTCACGCATTGCCCAACGGATGAGAAGAAGCGACTGGACTTGAGATGTTCTTGCCAGGCGAAAGACAACTTCGACTGGAAGGACTATTCCTGTAAGCTCATAGCCCTGCGATTCAGACATTCAGAGCGATACCAACTAATCATGACATAGGCACCAAGAAGTGGTTCGATATCAACAAAATGCAAAAGCCAAACGGATGGGATAAGAATTATGACTGATTTTCTTCTCATGATCACGGCTTTGGGTCTATCAACGGATGGAAGTCTCCTTGTTAGTGACAATGCGCGCGGGTCGGTAGCCCCTCGTCTGGATCTGAAGAGCCGCGTATCTCGGAAGCTGACAGTGTCACCCATTTGCGCGGCACTTGCAAAACCACTCGGCCAAATCTACGTGTATTTCCCCTGCTGCTCTACTAATGGTGGGTGTCACACCTGAATACACCAAAAGGCTATTCGAGAGTTTACCATGCTGGGACACAAAACTGCAAGGTCCATGGTTTACTAATTTGTTCTGATTCCCGTCACGATGATATTCCCGGGAGCTTTGTCTTCGATGTCTGACATGTGTTACTATGGATTTTGGAGCGTTCGTCCGTGTTTAGGGTTTGTTTCGTTGCATACATCCGGAGTAAAGCTGAGATTCCCAGAACTATTTTCTATACTATCAAAAATTCCAAAGATTTCAAGAACACGATCGAGTCGAAAGGACTTGAAGAGATATATAAAAATAAACAGTCGCAATTCGTAGTGTTACATGCATATATGAACAGAAACAGGTTGCTCATGCGAAGAGCACAAAATGTCAAATCAAAATAGGAGCCCAATGATCTCTTATACAACAGCAGATCCGGTAAGGCCAAAAATTGTATAATCAAACAAGCAGATTAATTATAATCAACCTGCATCCCCGAATCCATTTTAGTTGGCCTTGGGCTTCTTCGCACCGTACTTCGAGCGACTCGTCATGCGGCTTCCAACACCACCCTAGTAACACTGAATTAGCAGATGATCTCAAGATATCATAGTACCCAGGCACGGGGATACAGCGATAAAGGCAGAAAGAAGAACTTACCAAATCCATCGCACCACGAACAAGGGTATACTTCACACCGGGACAATCCTGAGCACGTCCACCACGGACCTGGACAACACTGTGCTGCTGGATATTGTGGCCTACAATTTATCCGAATTAGCCAAAAATCCTCTCTTTAGAACCCAGCACCAGCATAGAAATCAGATCCCAATGCCAATGCTAGTTTTAGTTGTAAATCTTACCTTCACCGGGAATATAAGCAGTGATAACCTTCCCAGAACTCAACCGGACTCTTGCGACCTTCCTCTCACCGGAGTTAGGCTTCTTGGGCTTGGTGATACCGGTCTTAAGACAGACACCCTTGAGACCAGGCGTGTTCTTCAGCGCCGGGGAGCGACCACGGCGAGCCCGCTGGCCGGTACGGATACCGCGGCGGACCTGGTTGTATGTAGCGCGGATGATAGGCGAGCTAGAGAATTGGCGCTTGGACACCGAGGAGAGGCCGAAGGCGGCTGTGGTGCGGAATACAGGTTGGAAGTTGAAGCGGGAGGTGATCGGGGATTGTTTCGAGGCGAAGGAGTTGGCGGGAGATGTGGTGAGGGTGCGGCGGAGGAGAGGGGATGAAGCCGCAGGACGGTGGACGAGAGTCCGCAGGGCCCGGAGGGCAATCGGGGAGAGTAATTGGGGCATTTTGGGTTGGTCTGTTGCGTTCGGTTTTGCGGGTTGAATCTATCGCGATAGAATTGATTTGGCCGGCGGAGGGCACGTGACTGGATTTGGGGGGAGTTGCGCTGGCGGTTCCTGTGCCTTGCCGGAGGAGCTGGACGCGCTGCTTCTCTGCCTGAAGCATCATCGGCGGTGTCATCTTGCATCCTCCCTATTATCTTGTTTTTACTCTTTATCTCCCCTACGAGCTTTAAGCAGACCTCCGGCTGTCCAATTTGTGATTCTGTGCTTGAAACCGAAGACCTAGTATCCTCCATCCCGTCATCATGGTACGTTATCAAGCTACGGACCCCGGGACCTTTGACCCTAGAGTCCAGCCCATAAGGAAGCAGCTCAACCAAATAAGCACCCTCTTCAAAATCCAACTTCGCCCCTTCAGTCTAACTCGAATTCCATCTCTTCATAACCCCCATAAACTAACAACAATAGTCCCTCCGCATCGCCCCCCCAAGCGGTAACGCAACACAGACCAGCAACCTCACAACTCGACAAGCAGGCCTACAAGCCGCCCGCCCATCAAAGGGCGCCCCTTCAGCCCCAGGTCTGCCCGATACTCTCCGCAACAAGCTCACGCAGCCCGCAACCGCCCACGCATCGTCGACAAACGCCGGCGGCGACATCCCGTCATCGACACACCCTCTCGAGGCACGTCTGCTGGCATGGCGGGCAACCCAGGACGCAATGAAGATGGAGGGTCTGCGCCGTGCATACGGAATTGCCGAGCCAGTCCGTCGCGGCATGGAGCTGAAGATCGTGCGGGATGGCACTTTCCGGCCTGCTGTGCTCGGCGGTATGAGGGGTGGTAATATCCACGAGGATATTCTGACTATTGGAGGTCGGGATACGGAGTGCCAGTGGGAGGATATTTATCAGGGTATGTCTCATCTCCTGGAGTTTTGGTTTTCGGGGGTATGTTTGGCTGACTTGCGTTTTCTTTTAGGTGATGACCTCCGTGAGCCGCCTTCCTTCCATGATGAGATGGAGAAGAGGCTCAAGATGGATTTCTAAATGCTTTCTCATGATATGGTGTTCTTATGTTTTCTCTGCGTTTTCTCCGTCGACATGCCCTACTATTCTCCTCTTACGTCCCCTGTCATACTTCTTCCGTATGTCGTCAAATAGAATGATAGATGACTGGATTTGATGCACTATGAATTCCCTGGCTGTCTGTCGTTGAGCAAGACACTGGTGCGTTCGATACATTGAATCAATCCATGATTTATCTCTGCCAACGATTATCTCCATGTGTGACATCATCGAACCCTTCATAGCAACGAACGGCTAGCTATTCGGGGTCATAAATATGTCGACCTAGAATCCTCTAGGACGCAATGCCAACTAAGACTGCAGGAACATACATGCACTTGAGAAGTTATTTAATATGTGACAAAGAAACCTGTCAACTCCACAAACACCCTGTACACTACGACTAACCCGCACAGAGCGGTTAGCAAAGGCAAGCAAAGGAACGAGAGGCGAGGAACGGGAGGGAGAAGAGGTAGAAAAAGGTGGGGGTCAAAGTCGTAAATACACGAGATTCCATGAGCGGAACCATACAGATAATAGGTAAAACAGAAAGAAAGAGAAGGAAAGTCGGATTGGAGGGGGTATATATCGAGAAATTGGGAAGTCGGACAGGCAGAAGGAGGAAGGACAATGGTGAAAACGATGCGGAACAGCAAAGAATGGATCTCGGACCGAACCCCCGTGGAAACATAGTCGACAACACGAAGCACTCTAGCAGAAGGATTCCATGGGATAGATGAATCGTGGCTCGTATGGCGATCCAAATAAAGGGAAAGGCCGAAAATGGCCAGAAATGTGAGAGATATGACAAGCCGGACATGATCTCAGCACGGAGATCCACTCAGAAAGAAATGTCCAAATGCCGGTTCTGGAGCGCACATGTTCAACGACAACAGGAACCAGCCTCGACAGGGCAAGGGCATTGTTCCTGCTTCCAGGCAGGTATTAGGCGAATCGCGGTCATGACTAGCGGATTAAAATAGGGCAAGGTGCTGGCAGAAGATGAGCAAGGCAGGGAAAGCGGGGATATTAGTGTGAAAGGAGTTGGCAGCAGACGGCATGAATTTTGGGAGTATGCCGTCTGCGCTTGAACTTGATGGTTCGAGCGGCGAGATTATAGGATCACACAGCGACATCCAGGGCTGCGCTCGCTGGCTTCGCGCTCCCGGCTGTACTGTGCCTTAGCTCCTTTGGCATCTTCGTCATCGACGACTTCTTGTGGCTTCACAGTCATGTGTACGACATTAGGGTGGTCTTTGCTGAACCTGGAGTCTGTTTGGTGCATTAGAATCAAGATCAACACTCGTCGCAAACAGGAACAATGACGACATACCAGAAATAGGCGATTTATCATCCAACAACTTCCCGAATGAGATAAGTCGAATAGAGCTCGGTGATGTGGGACGAGTTTCCCAATCTGCAACGGTAAAAGTGTCAGCTTAACTGGTCTCGTTGCATATACATATCCCGAGGTGTTCTGGCCATGCCATCACCATGCGGAGGTCGAGATCAAGCTTACCAGATCGCCATTCGCGCCAGATCAGCTCTTTTAGAGTATAAACACTCATCAGGAACGGATCAAAGTTCTCAACATTGACCGATCGCTTTCTTAGATATTTACCATCGATGGTAAAGGGGTGCCGCGATCCAGTCGTCAACAGCAGCGTTATCGCCAATGATGGACCAGCATCCTCCTCGACTTCCTTCCCCGAGCCATCATCAGAGTGCTCGGTTGAGGTTTCGGGCGCGGTCTTTGGCTCGTCGGTATCCATTGAGGGCGGTGTATTAGTTTGTCCCAGCACGACAGCAGGTACGTTGTCTGAAACAGTTTGAGAAGTGGTGGTGGTACTTGGCGATGTCACGGGGGCGGGCTCGCTTTCGCCACTGGGGCCAGTTGCGGGGTGGAGCTGGGTCTGGTTCGCGGCGGCTGTCTGTTCGAATGGCTGGGCGGAAGAAATGGACGTATCAGCGACAGGGTCTGGTCGGGCAGGAAGCTCCGTGGTTGGTGCTGTGGACTGTTGATCATGCGGAGATGCAATGGTCGGGTTTTGGGGATTGGCGTTCGCGTTGGCCCCCGGCTCCGGGTGGTCGGTTGTAGACATGATGAGGATGCCCCGATGGCAGCTGACAATTGACTTTTCCCCAGGAGAAAGGGGAAACAGTGTCAACGGAGATCCGGAGCGGTTTCGAGGGAGCTGGAATGGGGGCAGAGAGGTAGAGAGAGAGGAAGAGACCGGTTCCCAGATGTGAGGAGTCGACTAAGCGGGAGGCGCAATAATGCCTCAACTAGTGGCTGTGGACGAAGTGGCTGTAGAATTCTTCCAAACGATACTCAGGTCTCTCGGTTGGAGGTTGAAGAAGGAGAGAAGGCAAAAGGCAATAGGGGATCGGCAAAGCCTAAAGACAGGGCCAAGTTGACCCTGGTTGAACCTGGGCAATAATAGTCTCAGATTCTTCCCCTATTTTTCAGACTCTCAAAAAGAAACCTCGTTAATTTTGAATGTCAATTGAAGATCTGGGGAGACTAGAGGGTTCTGAGGCCAAGATGAGGCCCATCGAGCTTGTTTGTATGCTATAGTAGTTCTGTGCATCTCTGGATAGTCGCATGGAAAAAGAGACAGGTCACTTTTCTCCACAGAGCTCTGTGCTCTGTGCTCCGTACAACGAAAAGGCCCTCAACACAATTTAGATTTTGCAATGGTACTGTGCATTAGAAGTCATGGATTCTATTCCGTATGTATACATGTATCCCATATCTCATACATGCTAGGTATCGTGAAGCCGAATAGTCTAGTCTGGGAAGTATCGAACACCCTCCATTGCCAGGTTCAAGCAGGTCAGTCCGTATTGGAATGTCTGGCAAACAGACACGGTCGCACACAAGGGGCACCTTGACATCGGGATCAAAGAAAGAGGCACTTCTCAGCCACGCATAAGACTCGTGGTGCATATGCAGGGGAAAGGATTAGTCGGATCATAGAAACGATGCATGCAGATAGGTGGGTACTGGTGGAGCACATGGATATTAAGAGGGAAGGTAAAGATAGGAACATCCGATTCAAAGTCGCTGATGTTGGAGCCGTGCGTGATTCGTGCAATTAATTTTCCTACATGTCTGTGTTTCTGGAGGGCCCGGTCCAGGATGCAATATGGGGAGGGGGTAAGCCGGTAGCCGAAATACGTTGATAGATCATGGGTCTTGGGTTGAGAGGGTTGCCTTGTGCGGGTCTTCAATCCTCACAAGAGCAAGCAACCTAGATCCAACCGGCATACTGGTCTAGCATTTCGTTCTTCGCGCCCTCGGATCCGTGCTGCACACCTAGCAGTCGCACGTTGCCGATCTTGCCTCCAAAGTCATCCTCGATCGTGCTCGTCCAGTTCGCAAGGTGGTCTCTCAGCCGCGCAATTACAGTGGGATCATCCCGGATGAGGAGGGCGATAGCATCGTATCCTCCAGCTCCGGGTACAACGCCTCCAATAACACCCTCGATCTCTGAAACACTGTCTAGCAGCTCGGTCTGCACACTCGGTTCAATGGGGACGCCCGTCCGGCGGGTCAGAGTGCGAATATGCTGGCGTGTTCGCTGAATTAGGCTGCGAACATCGGAGAAGTCACCTGCGGGATTGGCATCGGGATGTTGAGCCTGGCGCTTGAGCTCTTGGCGCAGTCGCTCGTTATTATTCTGGAGGCTAGCCCAGAGAATATCCGCTTCTTTGCGGTTCTCGTTTCGCCAGGCCAGGACTTTCTTAACCATTGAGGGTGTCTGGGACCCACAGTCCACGTCACACAAAACCAACTGCATTCCACGGGGTAGCTGCATGCCAAAGTCAACGCACTCGGTATCCCATGGGTGGTCGGGATTAGAGTCCTCCACAATAGGGAACAGACGTTCCTCGAAACCAGGCGAGCCTACATCGCCGAGGGACTCCAGCATTGATGGGGAGAACCGTCGGTAGAGGCACGAACCGTAGACTGCGCTAGCAACGTCGAATCCAGATCCAACCTTGCCCTGCGCTGCACAATGAGCCGCTTGAGCGAGATTGTGGAGCTTATCACGACCAGCACCGAGGTCCTCGGGCTGCATAGTACGGTGAATGACCAGAGCGGAAACAAGAGCAGTAACCAGCGCAGCTGAAGAGCCCAATCCCGTCTTGTGAGCCTCGAAAAGGGGCACCCCGAAATTGACAAAGCGCCCGCCACGTCCCTGCGCGGCTGGACCCTTGGAAGCGGCAGTCTCCGAGTAATAATCGCTGTCAGCCATGATGGTGACCGACAAGGAGCCAAAGTCCTTGGAGTCGGCAACGTAGCTGATATAGGTCAATGCATAGCTGAGAGAGGTCTCGACAAATGGATTGTGCGGCCTAGCGATGGTAGGATCATATTAGCCATGAGCTTCAGCAAAAGATAGCGACAACCAAACATACCCATCACCCTTCTGGATGACCTTGACACCCCCACCATTCTCGCATCGCTGCACACCATATTCCCACACCGCATCAACAAATTGCGGTGATCGTACGACAATGGTATCCTCGGCATCCTGATCCTCGGCAGCACCGCATCCAGAGAGCGCCTCGGCGCTAACAGCAGGCCCAGAGCTTGATACCCCGCGGCGGTGACCCCTCCTTAGCTGTTGAACAATAACATGAATGCGGGCATCGAGCGCAAAGACGGTACCCGTGTAGCCACGGTCGAGCACAAGATAGCCACCAGTTAGCAGGACCTTGCCGGGCGCAGACAACGCCGTAACGGAAGACGGTAGAGGCGACATTGAGTATTGGGATATGTATTGGAGATTGGGGGGATTGTTGTGGGGGAGAAAAAAAGCCGGGAACTATGGGGCGCTTGGAGAATAGGGATTGCCCCGCGATCACGAGTATTGAAGCAGATATTCTTGGAATCTTGGAGAGTGCGTTGGCTTACGCTTCCGTGCAGATGCAGCTCAGAGATCGAACCTTTCAGGGCTATCAGGAGACAAGGGTGTATGGAATTCTCCTAAAAGGGACTAGTGGGGATTTCCATGTTGCACCACAGGAACCCCAATTGGCCGGCTCGTCGAGATCGAGATGAGGTAAGCAGGCTTGGCATCCTCGCATCACGTGCAGGATGTGGATCCAACGTTTCATTTGGATCAAGGTTTTTGGCTGATGACTAATCACGGTCATGATTTCATGATACCTCATGTCTCTCTGCCAACATGGAAGTAAGAATGTACGCCGTACTAAGGTTGTATGCAGGTGATTTCCTTTCTCTCCCCCTTCGCTGGTTCGTGGATCCAAACCTTTACTCCAAGGTATTTTTGAAAAATATATATTATGGTCAACTATCAAACTGTTGTAGATGCAATCCCATGAAACTCCAACCTGCTCAACAAGAAACCCCTCTGGCCTCTGGGAAATAAATAAAAATGACACCCAAAAATGAAGAATGAAACCCAAACTCCCAAGCTCAAAATTCCAAAGCCTTTTTTCGGCTTTTGATTACTGTAAATGTACAGGGTATGTTAAATGTGGTATCCAATCGATCCAGGAAGCGGGAAGGAAGCGGGAAGGCGGGAAACAGGGTTCAAGCGATGGGGCTTGCTTGACATCCGCGATGATGACCACATGTGGTGTCGGGAATCCCAATTTGCATCGCCAAGCTGCGCAGCTTCACGTCTCGAGTGGGGCTAGTCAGAAACCTTGTTCCGAGTTCAAGCCTTGGGCTTCTGTGCAATGATGCTGTAACTCGTCGTGGCCAGACGCATGTTATCCATCTTGACGAAGGCTTGACCATCCAAACAGAGACGGTTGATCAGGGTCTTGAAGTGGCGTGGTAGCACGTGCACCTTGACGAGGGCAAGGATGGCCTGGCGCAGGGTGCGGAAGTAAATATCGACGGTATCGATCAGTGGGGCCTGGAGACCATCGATACTAGCGTTTTGCGACCGGACAATCTCAAATCCAGCATCCTTCAGCGCTGACTCGAGGCTCTCCTGTGTGGGTGTACCGACGGCGCCGATGAGCGGCTTGACGCGGCGCATGAGCTCGGCGTGCTCGGGGTTGCTGGGGTCGTAGGCGGGAAGACTAATCCAGTCGAGCAGGGAGATCTTGGAGCCTGGCTTGACGACACGGAAGATCTCGCGGAACAGCTTGGGCAGGTCCTTGCACAAGCTCAGTGCTTGGATCTGATAGAAGGCGTCGAAGGTCTCATCGGCGAAGGGCAGCGGGAGGTCGTTGAAATCCTGTGTGACGAAATTGTTGTGGAGTCCACGCTCGGCGTTGAAGGCAGTTGCCTGCTCGACCTGGTTTGGGTCGATGTTGAGACCGGTCACTTGAGCGCCGGTGTGTTGCGCCATGTGGGCAGCGACGCGACCACGTCCACAGCCCAGATCCAACACCTTCATTCCCTTCCCCATACCAACGTCCTGCGCAATGGAGCGCTCGTACAGGAGCTGGTTGTCCAACACGCTAGCCTTGGGGCTCATCCAGGGTGGAATGTACATTTTCTCGACATCGCCGAGTGCGCAAAGGTGGTTCAGCACTCCATAGTACGACTTCAAGCAATCGCCAACCTTTTTTGGTAATCGGGGCCCAGAGACTCGGTCATTTGCTTCTCATCGGACCAGTCAAGGTTGTAGATGACGTATGACGCCATGAAATCGTCGACTTCTTTCGGGGTCAAGTGTGACAGGTGTCGGAATGCCGTCCAGAAACTCTTCCACCGCTTCGGAGATGCCGAATTGTCGAGACCCTTGGCGTTGGGGCCGAGTGAAGTCACCAACGCATTGTGCTTCTCTTGCGCAATCTCGTCGAGCGAGCTATCACTCTCCGAACCGCGGTCGCTGCGCACGGGATGCTGCGGTGTCTCTAAAAGCGTTTGCGACACCATGATGACAGAGCTTGGTCAAAGCTATGATTAATGTAAAAAGGGTATATTAGATATCGTTCAAGATGGGGATGTGTGAAGTGGCCACGGGGGGTCCAGGACAATTTATAAGCACTACGTTCCGAGCAACAGTCAATCCCTTTCTCCACGATCAAGATGAAAAATCATTCGCCAAGAGAGATGTATGGTCAGTAGCCACATAGTGGATTTTGTCACCAGACATGGAAGCTCTTACCGGCTATCCCGGCAGCAATGGCTCGATCCGTCTAAAGCGGCAGAGACCCAGAGAAGGAGATTTTTCTTTCGGATAACCAAGAACCATTTTTCCCAATTGCTTCATTTTTTGCCATCCAGCGACCTAATGGGTCCCGTTCCATCTCCGGATTCCGAAACGTAGCTGTGGCGGCAGCGGTGCGAGGTCGTTAGATGCGACTACGAAATGGCCAGGCACGGATGACGCGGGTGTGGTCTTCAGGGAAATGAGTATCGTCATGGAAACGATGATCTAGGCCCACTCCTATAGTTTGAGTACTGTACGGAGTACTTCGTATATTATTGTATATATTGTATATTATATCCTACGTTGTACGATATATAGGAGTATCCGGATATAGATTGCCAAATTAACATCGTCCATATTGATCGTGCCATACTCCGTCCAAGGGTTGTATAAAGTGTGGCAGATACCATAACTTCCGGAATTCGTTCGCCTCATTTCCTATTAGCCACCTGGCCAACAATCTTGCCTTCGTCACGGATTTTCCTTCCGGTCCGATTGCTGGAGGTTTCATGTACCCTTCATGAAACAAGAACCACACGGTAAGTCGGCATGAAGTGGAAACCTGCCCCATAAGGCGTGAGGCTAAACCAAGTCTATACAGATACCAAACTTCGAGAAGCTTTTTTTTTTCCCAATTATTTTTGTTATTTCTAAGCGGAATAAAGATTAAAAAGAAAATTAGCTAAGATCCACCCGAGGAGTGAGAGCTTGGAACTGGCATCTGATTGAACCAAGTGTGAGGGACTTTATACATCAGACCCACCTCGATCGTCTAGGGCGAAATTTCGACTTTCGGCACCAAATTGCAAAGCTCAAGCTCCCTGGTTCCCGTATTGCCGGGTCACGTGGAGACCGAATGGAGTATTATGCTCCTTGCATTGCTTCTATCTCCGACGCAAGCCGAATTATAGCCTAATAGTTTATGTTAGGTTTCAATAGCATAAGAGGGGATTGTGCTAGTGATGAAGGATGGGAGGTTAGTAGTGCAAGCCACCAAGGGCTAGTGGAGTTCATATGTGTCCTAGGTCTGTGGTATGTACGAAGTGTATACGGAATGAATGTTGTACATCCTAGACCCTGGAAAGAGGAACAGACCTATATGAATCAATGTCTTGTGGGCAAGCGAGGGACCACTCAATACTAATATAACATGCGTGGGTAATGTCGATCGAAGTAGCATTCCATATCTCACTGGCAAAATACCTCGAGAAATCACTTTTTTTTACAGTGGATCCCACCCGGCGTTGATACTCAGTGATGACGTCCAGAGGGGCCTCTTTCCCTTTTAGGCATCGGGTGCATAGCCATCATTCAGAGCTCGTATTTCCACTCTAACGGGAGTCAGTAGCTCGGGATTAAATTGTAGACACCGCTGCGCAAATGAGTCACATTGTCAACTGGATATTGTAGCGCACGGAAGGTTTGCTTTCCGTGTTGACTAGCTCAACACAAAATCCCGGTTGATATATATTGACCATGTTATAGTTCATCTCAACATCGTTATGCATGTACAATATAACGGCTCAAAGCACAAAACGCCTTCTCCATCCTGACTCCATCTAAACCCCCTCTCCCCCTCCCCCCGGACACGGACCTATTCACGGTGTGGAACCCTGCCGTACTTTGTACCTGGGATTCTTACTCGCTCACATGAGCCTCGACAGTCCCAGTTGTACTCCGTACGGTGCACAACGCCTAGTCTGCAATCGATGGGACTGCCCCACGGTGTACGGTGGAGAGCACTGACTGTTTCAAGGTTATTTCAGGCGTATTATTGACACATGGTACATAATCCTGCGCGATCCCGCTACTCCGTACCTAGGTAGGTAGAACACATCGTGTACATAATACAGGTAACCCGTATGATCAGGGAAGTACAATATATATGTTGTCCCCGTTGCCAAGACTGGTGGATATGGGACCTGAAGCTTGTGGTTAATGGTTAATACCGAATGATGGTATGCACCTATCTAGATGTACATAGAGAGAGATGTGTGGTATTGTAGATTTTGGAGACATATCAATTTGTTCCTTACCCAAGGATCAGATCAGTTTTGATGCTTACTTTGTATATTGACGCTCTCCGCGGTTGTGATATATTCTGATATGACCAGCAACCATGCTGACAAATTCAATGAAATTAGGTAAATCTGTATCGGAAAAGCGTGTGCCGCACCTTTCGTTCCTCGGATGATCGTGTTGGGGCAGACGGCACGGAAATCGATCGACAGTGGTTCGTGCTCGAGGATATCTCCGGGTATCTAACCTGCTGACGTCAGATTGGCATTTTGTTACAGTCTTACATGAGGACTAGCGAGACAGAATCGGGATTTTGATATGGTGCATGTTGGAAAGTGTCTATTGGACAGCATGAAGTGAGATATCTCAAGTGTTTGTCGACCTGGCAGTCTTAGTATAGGGGAAATGTACCATCAAAACACAAAAAATAGACTGACCGAGGATTCGCATATAGTTGAAAACTTAGTAATATATTGTTATCAATTTGACGTTTGGAAATACATTGAAACGGTGATAGCTCCATATAACAGAGGTTGAACAACTACAGTTGGTGGGTTCGTCTACTTCATCCTTTGGACAGAGCACATTCGCTGAACGTCTAGCCAATGCCTACCTATCTAGATACCTATACACTGGCGATCTGCAGGATTGGGATTAGGATGAAGACTGATTGATACAAGGACTGAAAATACAAGATACAATTGTGAAGAAGAGAAACCAAAAAAAGCATCGCTCGGAATCGATCGGAGTTGATAGAGGCACCCCGGACTCAAGCAACACGGAAGACAGGAAGACGATTAAACATCTAAAAGAAGCAAATGAGGTGGATACAGATACAATGACCTTCAAAGCAATAGAGCAAACTGTCCGTCTTACCCGGGAGCCGTGGCAAGCAACGATATATTAGTTACCTGGAGAATTTGTATGCAGTTAACTTCCACACCGAGCAGTACCTTAAACCTGCACATAATCTCAAACTTCCTTTCATGACTAGGATGTATCTTCGTATTTTGATTCATGTGTTGGTATAAATGACATTTGTCCTTTCTTTCTCCACCGTCCAACTCCACAAAAAAGAACAACATTCCAAGGTTGAAAGAGATAACATTATGTGTAAGCATGACGTTTTCATATGCTCACTCTAACAAGCTCACTGCTAATTGCGCTATGATAATCCTGGTTGCTAAACCAGACAACCGATTTGCCTTAGCCCCTTTCCACACGACAAGCAGACACAATGAAGTTGATATGTGGCTCACCCTTCTGTGGTACACGGCACCTCGACCCCTGGATAGAAGTCTCACCATGATGGTCGTCATGATGCCTTGGATATAATCAGAAGGCTATGATTGTACCACTCCCTCGTGAGAGCGCTTAGTACCACCTATGTAGTTGATACGAAAAAAATCAAAGGATCACGCGGTGCTCAACGCACTGAAGCTCCTAAACTTCCAAACATCAGGGCTGCAAGATTACCTCATTTTGCCTGGCTCTCTAGTCGTGTTGGACATTTTGGTACACCGTTTCGTGCTGGAAGAATCATTGGATCCACCCTGGGGATCACCCTCAAGGCCCTCCCCACATCGTTCCGTGTAGCTTCAGCAATTCCTACACCGTATGAACATGTTTTTCAGCCATAGCCGCGCAGGAAGGACGTTGGGTGGAGAGTAGTAACTGAAGCGTGAAGCGAGGGTATACTGTAATAGTGCCGCCATCATTCGTCAACTGCCATCAGATGGTATATTTTGTTTACCAATATGACCTTCAAGTATCGATCCAGCGTGGCAATTCGTTGGACGCAACGCCTTATTGTGAGCTTTGAAACCACAGGAACTTTTGGGGCTGCAATTGGTCATCGTATCGCACTCTTACTCGGGCTGGTGCCATGCAACATTGTCAAGCGGGTTTGTGCGGCCCCTGAAGTACAATGGTGGGTCTTCAACAGCCTAGACAACCGGTATAGACTGTCATGCCATGGCCTATATTGTACACCGTTGTTCGTTGGTAGTGGGGAATGGTGGGGCGTGGAGGTGATCTCGAATATCGGTGTGTGTACGGAGTACTTCGTACGAAAATTCTATCTGGGCTCTTCATTGACTGTGCGAGTCAAGTACACTCGACACACGCTCTGCAATGCCATAAATTCTCATCTGAGAACAAGCATCATGCCAAAAACAGAGATTGTTCAATATTAGGTGAATTAGCTCATCGTTTGAGCCTGAAAATCACCCAAAACCGGTCTACCGGGAGCAAGATTTTGACAGTCGAAGTAGTCCGGTTTTGGATATTTCCAGACCCAAACAAGGAGCCAATTCACTTAGGGCCTTGACTATGTCGAATCAGAAATCATGAATAACGATCCATGGCCATAAACAAGATATGTCGGAAAGCCACATGGCGGGTGAGTAAATCCTTGGTCATCTCGGAGAGATCAGGACAGAAGTGCAATTACAAATCCAAAGGCTAGACCAATGCCAGACCGCCTAATATCCGTCCATGGATGGATTCTGCCATGCTTAATCAGCCGAGATGTCCGGGCGGGGCGCCCTGGGCAGGCGACCTCGGGAGGTCTCCGGCTCTAACCGGTTGATGTTCAACAGGCATGACGTACTGTGTATGGTGTATTAGCAAAATGCCCTGAAACAACGCTCATACCGTATGAGACTAAGTTTAATTTCTATTCCAGAGAGTTCATGTAAGGCCTTGTACGGGTGATCTACGGGTCGTTGGTGATTTTCATGCAAACCTAAGCCTGGCATGTTGTATCTTTTTACAAAGGCATTTCGACTCCTGATTTGGTGTATATGTTGTGTGGGATGATAGGGAGGTGAACGACAAGCATATCCCACATATTCTTACTATTTGATTGAGCGGAAGATGCTCATTGATCGATAACGGGTCCAGTGAAGACCGATGGCATCGGTATGGTTTGCCTTGTACTTAGGAACAATGCAAGTTGTAATGGTAGGTTTTGTACTTGTCTAAAATCGCCTGTATTAGAAAACACGTCATTGAACCTGGAGAGTCTCATGAGATTGTGAGAACTTTAATAATCTATTATCGACAGGGCTCTCTGCCTTGGAGGGCTCAGTCCCATGGAGTGGGGTCAGAACGAGCGAGACCGGCTTAGGTCCATTGATATACGCAGTAGAGCACAATATACTATACTCCGTACACACAATATAGACGGGAGGTCGCGAAGACCGCCCTATCTAGAAGGTTGGATGAGACACCTTGATCAAGGAAATAGGGGGCTTGCTTCAATTTCACTTCAAGCGCGCAGTGCATAGCCCGATGCAAACCAAACAAAATAGAGCTGGTACTTGGTCGTAGCCACAGGTCCTTTGTGGCTGATACAGTGGCATGGAATCCAATTTGTTCTGTTTTCCTTCACGATAGAACCCTACCCTCTTGCCATCACTGTCTGTCATCATTCTCTTGTTTCTTGCAACTACAATCACCAGATAACTATGGATTTTGATCATCTTGCCGAGAAGAAACAGGAACAGAAGGCCACTGCTTGGTTGAAGCTTTGGTCAAGCCGGGACCCAGGAATTCTGTCTATGGACCTTGCAAAGAAGCATCGACCTGGTAAAGCCGTATCCGCATGCCTATGGAAAAGTGGTGCTTTCAATATATGCTATCGGGTCAGGTATGATTGATGATCCGGATGTTATTGTTCGCTTCGCTGCCCTTGGAAGGGCTATCCTCCGCAGAGAGAAAGTCCAAATTGAAGTGGCGACAATGAGGTAAATACGCAAGGCTACTTCGATACCTGTTCCTAAAGTGTACGGCTCCGGTATCTGCTGGGCAGACCCCTACATTGTTATGTCATTTCTCGAAGGAGTACCGTTGTCACGACTCCTCAAAGATCCTTCGTCAGAAGGAAGACCAGTTCTGAATCCACAAATAAGCGACCAAAGCTTGAAGAGGGCTTATAACGAAATGGCTGCGCTTATCCTTGAGTTATCCAGACATGAATTTGATTCTATTGGTGCGCTTGAGGAAACCGAGAGGGGGTTCTCCGTTGGCAGGCGACCTCTCACCTTCAACATGAATGAGTTGATGGTGTCTGCAAATTTACCCGAAGAAGCTTTCCCCTCGCACACCTTCAAGTCAGCCATGGACTACTTCAAAGCGCTTGCGGTACAGCATCTCTACCATCTTCGATTACAGCAACGAGATGCTGTTAGCACCGAGGAGGACTGCCGGAAGAAATTCACCGCTCGTTGTTTGTTCCTGGATGTTACAAAGAAAATCTGCGCCGAGCATCCTCAAGGACCGTTTAGGCTATACTGTGACGACTTTCGTCCTTCAAATGTCATAATAAATCTCGATACTTCTTGTCTCTCGGGAGTTATTGACTGGGAGTTCACATATGCCGCGCCTGCTGAATTTACATGGGTAGCTCCTTGGTGGCTCTTGTTGCAAAGCCCGGAGGACTGGGAAGGTGATCTCAACCTATTTATGATTCGTTATCTCCCTAGGCTCCGTGCCTTTCTGGAAGTCCTAAGCGACCATGAAAGCAAGTTGATAGAACAACAGCTTCTTTCTGAGCCACAGCGCCTGTCCCCGCGGATGGAAGACTCTATGGAGACTGGGTTATTTTGGGTCTGCTTAGCAGCAGGATACAGCTCCATGTTCGATGAAATCTATCGGAAATTCATCGACCACTGGTATTATGGAGACTTTACTTCTCTTGAAGACCGTATACAGCTCTTGGATCTAGAACAACAGCAAGAAATGAACGAACTTGTGAGGCTCAAGATTGGCCTGTGCAAGGATAAAGACACTCTTGACGATCACTATCCAATTGATAAGCTACTTGAGCTATGATTGTACTTATCTAGCATCGAGTGGTCCTAGAGTCCGATGAATGGTGACCTCTCAAAAGGATTTTTTCTACTCCGTATATACAGCATATGAGGCTGAGTAATATGCAGTCTGCGCTCAGACAACCGACAGCTTGCTTATCGGGCAATTTAATGGGAGGCTGTTGGTGGAAGGTCTTTCTGTTCAACCACTGGTTAATGCAAGTGCAAGGGTGTGCTGAGTGTCAGCTGGGTTCCCCAATACTTCACTCTTGTTCACCTCGCCCCAACTCACAGGAAAAAAACAAGAAAAGAAATAAAATCTTTTCCGAGGCCGGTATACAAAACCTTTGTAAGGTGGGTGACTTTCAAGGTTGAATTGGAATACAAAGGATGGCCTATGCTTATATCATGAAGGGAATTCCGCCTGCATATCTGAACAGACCTGCTTATCCGAACCATCTTGACCACAAGGGACAAACAGCCTCGCGAGAGCTTCGCGTCCATTCTCAGTTACACCTGCCTTCTGGAAATGCCCTTTGGCATTTTCTTTCCTTGCCCTCATACAATCAATCCACCGCTGGAGAAAAGAACCCCAATCCATTGGCTGCCGTCGTCTTCAAATAATTACGAATGCCGCCGGAGAAAGGCTTTCAGTTCAGCAAACGGCTCTTCGATTGTATTCATAGAAGGGTACGGAGGCAAAGACAGCAATTTAACCCCTGCTTCCGAGCATACTGGCGCTATTGCTTCAGAGAAGTGAAACGAGCTATTGCCCTAGGTACCTTCCACAGTGAAGAAGAATAAGGAGAAGCCCCTTGATCAAATCATCATATGATGAGGGATCGGCCGAGCCCTGGAAATCATGAGAAAGGACAACGGCATCTTGAGTATATGCAGGGAGTATCTGATACCGCTGTTCGCAATGAGATAGAGATTCTGACAGGTGCAACCTTGGAATGCTAGGAGGGTCGTCTAGTCTTCGGAAGCCATGTACATGTACATATAGAGGTACGTACATGTGCCTAAGGTACTCCGTACATGTACATGTACATTATGTACATGTATGTACCTACTGTATATTTGATACACGTAATGTAAAGTATTTTACCTATACCGTAGCCGTCAGGTGCTTGTGTACGTTCCGATACAAGGCTGGTATCATGACCTTGCGAAAATCTACCAAATATGTACCTAGGTACCTGTTTGGTGTTTTTGGCATTTAAGGGTTGAGAAACAAGTGAAGAGTCCTCTGTACTCCTTATGGAATACTCCGTACAGCATACGAGTTCATGCACCGGCATTTGCAAAATCGGGGCATCCAAATTTGATATAGCGCGAGGGAACCTCAGGTATCTAGAGTTGTCTCCGAGGATGTTATTCAATGGGGTTTGGCTCACTCTCATTTTCATTTACTCCCTAATTCATCCCTATGCTCTACCTCGACGGTAAGTGGAGGACAGAATAACAACAGCCTTCTCTCCGGAGTATTTGAAGTCCCTTGAAAAAAAAAAAAAAGTATTATTAATGGTTTCTTACTCTGTAGTCTAAGAAAAAGATCTAGGGCTCAGCTACTTGGGGCCGCAAACACCGGTAACCCCGAGTCGGCCAGTCGGGAGGCCGAATGGCCGGGGAAGGCGCGAGGCAGTTCCGGGAACAAGGAAGAAGAAAAAGAATCGGAGAGAAACGTGACTCACCTCAGGAACACCCCTATTCCAGGGTTCCAACGGGCGGTGTCTGGACGCTGATTGGTGTATATCTACTTCGCACTACTTTTCAGCCACCTGACCTGTTCGACGATGGAGATCTAGAGTCCCTGGTGACTTCATTCGGTGTATCTTCCAGGCTCCCCGCGACAGAACGTACACGCCACAGTGAGGATCTGATATGCAAGATACTTCGCAGCGATGTACCCTGTACTCCGTACAGCATCTAGTGGACACGTAAGAGATCTGAGGAATGAGGCGGCGCAGTCCCAAATATCTCATAGATCACAGGTAAATTCCAGGGTCTGAAGTACGAGGGACTATGTATGTATCCGTATGTACTCCGTACAAGAGGATTCTCCGGAGAAGATCGGCCCTAAGAACCCAGGGCCCACTGTGAAACTCCATCTCTTTCCAGAAGGCATTATTACTACTTGGCCCCCTCGACTGTTTTTTTTCCAGGTTTCCATAATTTCATCTTCACTTAAATTTCTTGGTCCTGTCCACACAGGTCCCTTTTGACATCTTTTTTTTTTAATAAATTGCATTTGCGCGTTCATTGGCGACAGGCAGTCGTCAAATGAACCTGCACTTTCGCTATTATCTTGAGTGCAAGGTATGAACAGAGAGACGCATAATCTTCGACCGGGATCGCTGACTCGTCTAGCATTGCCTCTTTGCACTGAAGAGGTTGCCCATTAGATAAATGGTTTTCAAACCATTCACCCACCTCGCGCGCCAGAGTTTCACTAAAGCCTTCACCCATGGCTATGCTCAGTCCGTAGTCGCCGCCTCGCAGACATACGCGTCGACAACCCCCTTCAACCCTCTCGCCGCCCAACCCGCTAAATTCTCTCGCACTACGCAATTACAAAATGCTTTCTCTAATGCCTCGAGTTCGTCTGGCGCTGGTGCGAAGACCAGCCAGGGCGGGTCAGGAAATGGTGATCTCGGTCTAGCCGCCTATTATGCGGCCTGGCAGAATGCTCAACAGAACGGCGACGACAGCGATTGGACTCAGTTCGAGTTCAAGCGCCGTATTGGCTGGAAGCCATCGGCGGACGAAGCTATTCCTGAGGATCGAGCTGCGTCTGAGTCCCCTCCGCCCCATCCTACGAAGGCTGCGGCGAACGAAGATGTTAGTGCGCAGGTGGAGGAGGCTGTAGCCCGTGAGATTCAAATACAGGAGGAGCAAGCACAGGCTGAAGAGGCCGCGCTAGGTGCGGAGGCCAGCGCTGAGCCCGCTCACGAGGATTTCGCCGTTTCGCAAGAGGTGTCTGAGGCTGCCCGGGTTGCCTCGGATCGTATCGTACAACTGGCAATTTCCAAAAATTATGCTGAGATTCCTGCTGCATTTGAAGTCTTGCTGCGAGATGGACTTACCCCGACTGTCGAGGCATATAATGCCTTGCTGGTCGCCGCCATCCGTCTTCACCCTGATGCAGCCCAGGCCATTCCAAAGGCGCTCGATGTCTACTCTGATATGCTTCGTCGTAGGGTAATTCCCGATGAAGATACCTATGAGACTCTTGTTCAGCTTCTGGTCACCCGGGCTCACGACATCATCAAGGCTAAGGAGGCGTTAGAGCAGGAACGTGTTCGATTCGGTGGAATGGAAGAGCCTGGCAAGTTCATGCTTCACTCAAGTGAATTGGAGCGGGACCTCCTCGCCGAAGATACTTCCCTGTCCATTGCCATCACGCTCTTTGCCACTGCGACGACCCGACACAGTCGATTTGTCTTCCCACTTGACTTGTACCGTCAACTTATCATTGCCTGTGCTAAGGAAGGTAAGGTGGAGGATATGATCCGGATTTACGGCCATATGGAATCTCAGAAGATGATCCCACATGCCACGATTTTCGCGCCCATGATCACTGCTTTCGCCTCCACTGGCGATCTTCGCAGCGCTGTTGAATGCTATAATGAGTACCGAGGCCTTGCTGTTTCTGATGATAATGGTGTTTTCAGCATTGTTCAACGTCAGGACGGCCAGGTCTATGCTGCTTTGATCCGTGCTTATCTGTCTTGTGGTAAAGAGGAGGGTGCCATGCAGTTCCTCGATCGGATTCGCTCCTCTTTCGACGGAGTCACTGAAAATCGCCAGGACCGATGGTCTGCAGTGGAGGCTGTAATTGTCGAGGAAGCATTTGTGCAACAATCACTCAATGCTGGAGACCACATTAAAGCATTGGACCAAGCCAAGTCTTTGTTGTCAGATGCCGCTCGGGATCAGGCCATCTCTCGCATCTGCATTGCTGCGGCCGATGCGGGCGATCTCCCCACTGCTTCTGAAGCATATGATAGTCTGCCCACCGCGCCAGATGTACGACAGAACCCCGCCATCTCACTGCTCGCCCTCCATGTCCGCCGTGGCAATGTCTCGGCGGCTCGTGCTTTGTGGATCATGCTCAACACAGTGGGTCAGGCAACCCCGGATCTGGTCCAACCGACAGCTATGTATGCGGTCGCTCTGCTCAAGAGTGGAAATGTTGAGGAAGGTCTTCACCAGGCCCGTAGCATGTTCAAGCGTATTCGCAAGGCAACCCAAGATCAACACGCCGCTGTCCCTAACCTCATCCAAGAACAAATTACTGAGTCGCTCCATCTCTTTGGTCGAGTCCTTATGCAGTCAGCCGCTGTTCTTTCCCCTCAATCCTCGATGACACTGTTGTGGTCCATGCTCGACAACGGCGGTTTGGTATCCCCTCTAGCCGAGCACGCTGTCGCCAACCTTGGCCCGATCGGCATATCCCAGCTCAAGCCTGTCGACCTCACCCTCGCGCTCCAAGTCCAGGCTGGCATGCTGGTCAGCAGTGGTTCCATGCTCTTCGATGTCGCCCATCCCGTTCGCTTCGCACACATGCTTGACGTCGCCCTTTCCTCGTCCCTTCCCATGGATCTCTACACCATTGGTCTGGTCGATCAGGCTGTTGGCAAGCTTTTCGTCAGCCGTCCCGATGTCGTGAAGAAGTGGCAGGAATATCTGGAGTCTAACTCCCAGACCTCGGCTTCTCCTTCCCAGGTGTTCCTCTCGTCTAACCGTCAAAGTCCCGTTTCTATGACAGAGACTTCGATCACCGCTCCGTCTGCAACCGCCGAATCGTTTGACCCCTATGCCCACGCGACCGACTTCCGCGGATCCGCTGTTATTGCAGAGGAGCTTGAGAAGACCGGCGGACGGGCCGAGACTCACCTCAACGATGCTTTGACTCGTCTCAACAACATGCGCCGTATTGGTCGTCACCCTCGCTACATTACCTATGCCAAGTTGATTACTGCCGCTGCTAAGGCTGGTCGTATGACCCTGGCTCACGACATTCACAACATGGCACGCGCCGATGTTCCCCTCGATATGAACTTCAGCGTTGTTAAATACGGCTGGGTCTCTATCCTCGATGCCATGGTTGCTGCTTGTCTCACGCTTGGTGACCGCCAGCTGGCCGCACAGTATCACCAGGAGCTTCTCACCCTTGGTTCTGCGCCCTCGGCCAATACGTTCGGTTTGTACATCACCACCCTGAAGGAGTCTACCAAGACCTTCGACGAGGCCACCGAGGCTCTCAAGGTCTTCCACCGTGCAGTCGCCGAAGGTGTCGAGCCCACTTCCTTCCTGTACAATGCGCTGATCGGCAAGCTGGGTAAGGCTCGCCGCATTGACGACTGCCTTGCATACTTCGCTGAGATGCGTGCCAACAACGTGCGCCCGACAAGTGTTACCTATGGAACCATTGTGAATGCGCTTTGCCGTGTGAGCGACGAGCGGTTTGCCGAGGAGATGTTCGAGGAGATGGAGTCCATGCCTAACTACAAGCCACGTCCCGCACCCTACAATTCTATGATCCAGTACTTCCTCAACACCAAGCGCGACATTAGCAAGGTCCTGGCATACTATGAGCGCATGAAGGCACGCAACATCCAGCCTACATTGCACACCTACAAGCTTCTCATCGACGCACATGCCTCTCTGGAGCCAGTGAATATGGCGGCGGCTGAGGCGGTCCTTGACTCCATGAAGGCCGCCGGCCAACAGCCCGATGCTGTACACTATGCTTCGCTCGTCCACGCCAAGGGATGTGTCCTGCACGATCTCGAGGGTGCCCGCAAGGTGTTCGATTCCGTGATCTCGGATCGCCGCGTGCGCCTCCAGCCGTGCCTTTACCAAGCCCTCTTCGAGTCGATGGTTGCTAACCACCGCGTCGCTGATACCGAAGAAGTTGTTCAAAACATGTTCACTCGCAAGGTGGAGATGACCGCCTACATTGCCAATACGCTGATTCACGGCTGGGCCGCCGCGGGCAACGTTTCCAAGGCCAAGTCCATCTACGATAGCCTCGGCATGCAAAAGCGAGAGCCTAGCACCTACGAGGTGATGACCCGCGCTTTCTTGAGCGCGGATGATCGCCTCAGCGCCGCCAGCATTGTCCAGGAGATGATGTCGCGCGGATACCCGTCTGCGGTGGCCGGCAAGATCCACGATCTCGTCGGGGGTGTTTCCTCTTCCCTTTAAATTCTCTTGCCAATCTTTGTGACCAGGTGATACCCATTTAATGTTTATGTTGCACTCCTACGATCTCTCTGCCAGGGCTGGATCCCTGTGTTGGGATATTCCCGGTTCGGCGTCTGCAATGGCGGCAGTGGTTGGATATACCTGGTGGATTATGTGTTTGTTTGTTGATTTTCGATACATTTTCATGGCATTCAGCGAAGGTTCGGCGTTTATTTTGGCGATCAAAAAAAGGGCGTCGTGTATCAAAGCACTGTATACCATTGTGACTTTTCTGTTTATAGGCACATCCCAGCTCTATCACCGCGCTTAAGCGCAGAGATTAAAATGAAAAAAAGTGAAAGAGTCAAAATATCTTCTCCATGGGCTTTACATAATTACAGGTTAGACGATTTCATCATAACCCGAGAGAAAAAAGTGGCATGACGTCGTGGAAGTTTCCGCTGAGACGGTGTAGTTCGGGTTCCAATTGCGGCGCTCCCAGCTTCCAGGTCTCCCTAAGTTTTCTTCAATTCTCTACCACTCGGGATATTTAGGCATTGCACTTCTTCTATCTACTCCGTACTTAGCACTCCAATTAATGCAGGCCCGTTTCATTTTCACTGTCCATTCAGCTGTTGAGTCATTCCTCCGCATCCGAGTTATTCCCCGCCAGCCCCGCCTACAACTTCGATATTCCACCAACCGACCAAGTAATCGCGAACCAACAATGGGCGAACGAGAACCCCAGACAGACGCCTACCGGCGCCCGAAGAAGCTCATCTGTACGTGTACATGTCAAGCTATGTCTCCTTCAATCCCAATCATCAGATACCACCAAATAAGAACTCCCCGCAGTCATAGAAACCTCGAGCTGACACTCTCAAAGTCGCACCTGGCGATATTGCACCAACCTCCGAGCCCATCCCAGAACCTCAAACTAAGTTTACACCTGCACCAACCACCCAAACTGCAGCCGAAGCCCTGCGCACTGCAACCTCGACCCCGACCTCAGCGACTGAAACCGAAGTTCTCTCCAACGCAGCCCGCGCCCACCAATTCGGCACCAACCCACCCTTGACCATCTCCCAAATCCACGGCACAAGCCCCCTCCACCAGTTCAACACCTGGTTCCACGACCCCCGTCTCCCGGCCTCCTCCGCACCAGAAACATGCACCCTAGCAACAGCATCGATGCCCTCCGGCCGCGTCAGCGCACGCGTAGTCTACCTTAAGGAACTCGACGAGCGCGGATGGGTCGTATACAGCAACTGGGGCAGCCGGGAAGGCAAAGGCGCACAAGTTTTCGGACTCGGCGATGGAAGCGATGAACTCGGCCCCATGCCAGAACCCGGCGAAGCAACCATCACCGCCGAGGTCGGCACGGGCAACAAATGGGGCGCACTGACATTCAGCTGGGCCGCCGTCGAGCGCCAGGTTCGTATTGAGGGCTTGCTCGAGCCGCTCAGCCGCGAGGAGAGCGAGCTATACTGGCGCACGCGTGAGCGCGGCAGTCGTATTGGGGGCTGGGCGAGCTGGCAGAGTAAGGTTCTGTGGTCCGCGGAGCCGGATCAACTGGCAGAAAACCAGCGCAAGAAGAGTGTGGAGCAGTTGCAGACCGTGGAAGGGATGCAGCAGGTTCCGGCTGATATTGATCAGACGGATGATGAGGATGGGCGTGCACTGCTTGAGTTGAGGGTTAAGGAGATGGAGGAGAGGTTTGCGGGCGTTGAAGACATCCCGCTGCCGCCTTTCTGGGGTGGTGTGAGACTTGTCCCAGAGTCTGTGGAATTCTGGCAGGGACGACGCAGTCGTTTGCATGATCGATTCCGGTATGTGCGCGTCGAGGGCGAGCCGGAGGATGCTAAGTGGCGGCTGCAGAGGCTGTCGCCGTAGATAGATATAGACCCGCATATCTATGGTAATACTGTATTCTGGATCCCTACAAAACAACTGCTACTGGCACCACAGCATGCATTTAGTACATAATGTATGTATGTTTCGCGTCGATCATCCATATCAGCCTATCTTATCATTATCAGCCTTGGCATGCGGACTGCCTCAACGTCACTCTAAAACACCCCGGTCTCGATACCTACACAGCTTGGATCTATAGCTTGGATCTATATAGCAATAGCCCGGACCACCACAGCGCATCCAATCCCAATTCAGCTGCAGCCATGTCCACCTCAACGCCCCAACCAAAGCCCCAATCCTCTACATCCCCCTGGATCATCCTCGCAATCACGAGTGGCACCTTCGCAGCATTGAACGGCGTGTTCGCAAAATTGTACGTGAATCATCCCCGTCCTTCGGGATCGGACCAATGCTTTATATGTATATGTATACACAAATATAAGCTTAACCCAGACCCCGGAACCCGTGTAACGAACCACGTTAACCCCGTCGCACAGAACCACGGACAACCACACAACGGCCTTCGCCCAATCCCTCGCCCACCTCTTTGGCCTGGACTCATCGCCCATAATCGAGATGCTCACTCGCGGTGTATGTTTCCACATCTCGCTTTTTTCTTTCACGGAGATCCGAACACTATATCCCACACTGCATACATCCCATTATACTATCTCCCAGACTAATATTCCTTACAGGCTTGTCTCGGTCTAAACGTCGTCTGCAACATCATAATGTGGGCTTTGTTTACACGCGCGCTAACAGCCGGCCCGTCGACGACGAAAGTCTCGATCACCAATACGGCGTCGAATTTCTTGGCTACCGCGCTGTTGGGTATGATTGTTTTCCAGGAGGCTGTTGGGGGGCTTTGGTGGCTTGGGGCTGGGATGATGGGGGCGGGTTGTATTTTGGTGGGTATGCGGGAGGGAGCTTGAGTCTGCTTTTTGGGTTTATGTCGGTAGATTTTGGGTTATATAGCGAAGTAGATACGTTTTCTAATTGGATGCAACTGTTTTGGATAGGTTGAGAGAGTTTAGTTGGCGAGAATGGGGGGGATGTAGAGATGAGTATATGGTTTAGTAGACGTAGAGATCCCCCATCTATGGAGATTGAAGGATTAGCAAGATTTGAATGTGAGACCTCAGACCGTAAGGTCTTCTCGCTAGTCAAGATCTATATCTTCGGCCTGGGGCAATTTTGATATGCCTGTAGAGGTACTCGAGCAGTGTCAAGGTTGCAAGATAGCTACTTATGTAGATAGGAATTGCGCGGTGAGGTATTGACGGCACCTGCATCGGTCTCTGGCCGGTTTTTTAACAAGATATCGTAGATATTGGTGGACAGAAAACATCATATGATGCCGATGTTTCCTTCACTAAGTTGTAGCTTAGAATGGGACTGGTGGACTTTTTACATAGTGCTCTCGTCTGTAAGAAATATAGACTGCCCTACAATCTACACTGTCCCACGGGGCAATCTAGTACATGATCGGAGCGTTTTGAACGGGGAATTATAATAATGAATTAGAAGAACCATCCTACATCCTAATAGCAATATCGTGATGATAATGCGGTTTACTTTCTTATAATTAGACGAATATGATCAAGAGCGAACCTCTTCTTAAGATGATCCAAATAGAGATTGATCCCAATCGCATTCTCGAGTATAAAGCTTCTTAAGCCTAGGATCAGCAAGATTTGTATAATATAGCAGTACTTTTGAGGGGCGAAGCAGGTTATAGGAGCGTAGGAAGCGAACTGAGAGCTGCAAGGTTGGTAAGTGCAAGGCAGGGGTGATGGACGAGACAGATGAGAGCATGGACAGAAAGACACTCAGAGAAGGAACTAACCTGAGACGAGAAACTATCAGATTGATCCCGCGTAATTTGAGCTCTCAAAATAGGAATAAGAAAGAAACAACAGCAGTTGGTGGCCAAGCCGCTCCTGCTTGATCATGAATGTGTTAACATGCCTTCGATATACCGAAGATGTTTACCATTTTGTTTCAGTTTCAACCACCTAAAAGGGCTAATGCTGTAGCGGTCTCGATGCTTCGGGGTTCTTGTTACTCTTCTCGCTCTTCTCCTCTTCTGCTCTTTCTTCATATCCTTCCCACCAACGCCTGTTCCAACTCAGACTTCTTCACCCCAAACTATCTTTGCAACCACTCTTCACAATGCCGCGAGTAATGACATCTACCTCCCTCCTTATCTACTACACTGACACGCCTTTTCTATCCAGGAAGACATAGAAGATGACGACCTTTTGCACCCGGAGATTCGTCAAGCTCTCCGTGCTCTACGCCATGCCATCAACATCCAGACCTCCGTCAAAACAATCCATCGATTCCAAGAATCAATCCAAAACCCCTCCCTCCCCATGCTAGACAGACATGTTCGAGACCTGATATCCATCCTAGACCAGCGAGGCGACGATCTCCGCGAGGAGAGCCTCCAAGCCATGAACAAGGCCCAACAGGCCTTCCACCAACTGTCAGCCCGCAACCGACGCAAGGTACGCGCCTACTACCGCGACGACCTGCGTACCTATCTGGACATCCAGAATTTCGACGGCCCCCTCGAGATCTTCGGAGAACAGTTCCAGGACACACAAGGCGCCCTGTTCCGCGCCGTCGATCTGCGTCGCAAGCTTCTGCATTTACGACGGGTAAGGCTCACTGTCCCGTGCCACATGCGCTCTATGCAGCATCCCGTGATTGATCGGTTGATGCAAGATAATCAGCGGGAGGCGATGAGTCTAGAGCATGATCAGATCGTGGGTGAGCGGTTGCTGAATGTGCGCTTTCAGGGATTGTCGGAGGATGAGCAGAACCTTTTCTGGCTGTGGTATGAGAGCGATATGAAGGCTTGTGGATTTCAGAAGATTACTGGGACTCGGTACTTTCGGTTTACGGCTATGAGACCGACTATCGTCGTTACGGAACATGAGTGAGTGATATTCGGGTCTCATGGCTAGATTCTCGGGGCACGCGAATCTATGATTCAATCCAGGCAAGGGGGAGTTTGAAATATCAGCGAACAAAAGCATGGCAGAAAATCAAGCAAGACTATCTTTTACATCTTATGGTTTACAGCATTGACATTGTCAACTTTAGCCAATTTTGCATATCAGGTGAGCTATGGTATAACATTAGGTTCATTGCCTCGGAAGTTAGGGTAGCATAGATGTTTTTGTGGGCTCTTTGATTGGAGCAGGCAGTTTAGCTTGAGTTTGAACACGGTCTTTTGACCAGCCAGAACTATTCTTGAAGGGGTAGGGTTGGGTCCTATGAGGGTCCATCAGTATCTGCTCAGTTCTGTCTTAGGACCAGTCGATTAATATGAAATGCTGGTATAGACAAAGCCATGGAAATAGGACAGTCTCACATCAATTCTCCAATTTCCTCATAAGAAATCCTCGACATACTCCTCGTATTGTCGCATAAAGTCATCCAGGCTGAACTTCTCTTCCAATCCTTTCTCCGTCAGTATGGTTTTTCCCGCTTCCATATATCCCTTCTTGAACATTGCAAATATCGCCGGTGTGACGTGATGATGTGGTATAAACAGCTGGTTGTCGCCGGTGACCATTGCACCTTTGAAGGCTTGGTAGACCACCTCTGGTTCTTCGGTCAGATCGACCATTTCGCACTGCCCAAAATCAAGTAGATAAAGGCCAACCACACGATTCTGAAGTCCTGCAAGGGCTTCATCTGGGTCATTCATCGGGAAAGTTGACGTTCCAAGCACAAACTCCACATCATCTCCATTGACAGCGGCGCCCCAGTGCATAATCGCGTATGCTTTACCCATAGCATGTGCAAGCCGTGTTACATCCATGCCAAGGTCTAGCATGGGGTTCAAGAAGAGGGGGAAGTTTCGAAGTGCGGATTCTGTTTGGGGTATCTCTCCGATTTCCTTGCCTAGATAGACTCGCGCTAGACAGTGTTTGTTCTCAGGATTGCGAAGGATATTCTCAATATCGCTGGCGCTGTGCCGATGTTGGCCGCTGTAGAAATGTGTGACCAATGCTTCGCGAGTAACTTTGGGAAGAGGGAGGATTCGCTCCATCTTGAAAGCGTCACCGGGGGTACGGTAGCGTGCTGGGATCCGAGGAAGAGCATCGTCCCAGAACTCACAACTCGCTGTTTTCGGGATGAATTCCAAGGGATACGGAACGTGGACATCACTGCGATTCAAAGAGCCGTATAGTCTGAATGCAGCAGACACATCTTGGTGAATCTTGTACTCATGTCGTATGTTGGATGGCAAGGATTCGTTTCCAGGTCGCTCTTTCTTTAGCACTGGGGACTGACCGATCTGTTCAAAGATGACACCTTGGAGACCTTCTCCAATTTGGTTGAATGTCTGTGTTTTGGGGTTCTCGTGGGCAGGATGTGAGCGCAACGCAAAGGAAGAGACTGTGGTCACCACGGAACCTAAGCTGAGAGCACGCCCGAGAAGCGTGGATTCTGGCACCCGTTCGAGGTCTATCGTGTGAAGGGATTGCCGGGCACATTGAGTATCTGCCATGATCAAGGGCTTGCAGAAGAGATTAAAGATGACTGGCTCTTGGTTTCGTTTTTCGTCTGGTGTGCTTTGTGGTGTTTTCCTTATTTTCCCTCGCAATTTGTGATCATCCTAGGTCCTGGCAAAAGTTATCAAGAAGATGCTCAGGGCAAACGAGGTGGTCAACCCGGTCGACTTTTGTAATCCTTCTGCCTACAAATGTACATAGTAGAGTTGGAAGGCGCATCAAGGCTTTCTAGTGTTCTTGTCGCAGTGCTTAGAGGTAATGCGTTTCAACCCTTTCTCTCTAAACCGACCTAGCGAACCAGCTGAAGCTGGTTCTTGTCCGCGTATCTTCGATAATAACTGGGCTCACACAATCTACAATTCGGATCAGCACTTTGAGGAGCAATTGATGCCTCTAGCTACTGAAGAACGGCAAGAAGCCTGGTCACTGAGGCAACCACCTGGGTGTCTCAGAAGTGTCTTTTCATGGCTGCCATCACACCAATCGATGCCTAGGCAGGTTATCGGCTTTATTTCAGGACATAAGTTCAAATGACAATTTCCAGTCTTCAAATACCCTTTCACAGTCTTCCAGCACATCTACACCAAGGGTTTGCCTCTGTCGAAACGAGGACAGCCAGGTCCAGTCACTCTTCCGGATGACTCCTGCATATCCCAATACAAAGTCCCGTATCATTTGTAACAAGCCATCATGAATATGAAAGAGTTTTCGATTCATGATTGCTCCTTGAACATTTCGTGTGGTTCGTGCTTTTCGGGTTTTCTCATAGAGAGCCAACACTGCGGCTGTGAGATCCTGAGCTGAAGATCGTGTCGATATTGAAGGGTCGTTTCCAGTGTTTTCAGCCTCTAGATTATGAGCCTGCAATAATCCAAGAAGCCTACCAATGACTGCCCCATCTTCGACTGCCATTGCTGCCCCTTGTGCCTGATACGGCAAAGTAGGGTGACATGCATCACCAAGAAGAGCAACCGACCCCTAGCAATTATTTATTAGTGACTTCTCAGTAGATGGGGGTGCTGTTCAAACCTTGGTCCACGATTCCAGCTCAGGAAGATGGGTCAATTTCCACTTATATACCGATGGCACACAAGAAACCAGCTTTTGCAATCTGGGAAACGTAATCAGCGAGAGCTTAATGTTAAACATTTCAAGCAACCTTACACCTCATCCCAGTCGGCATAGCTAGCTCGCATTTCCTCAATATCACCCTCCTCTTTACGAAGACCTGACAACAAGTTATCAGGTCGTATGAGAACAAGATTATACTCCTTCCCACCACGGACGGGATAGAAAATGGTGTGCTTCTCTGGGCCCAGCCAGCTAGTCACAGCCATTTCCCTGCACAGATCGTTTATTTTGTCGTCCTCCAAGGCCTCTAGCTGCTCCCGTGAGAAAGTTGCTCGGTAAGCCATATCGCCTGTCGGTATTGGCGAGTGAGGTGCTCCGAGAACGGCTCTCCTGGCCGTAGACATTTGCCCTTTTCCCGTCAGATCGGGTCCTCAGAGGTACCACAAAGTAAGGATCTATCGAACATACCATCGGCACCAATCACAACATCTACCGATATGCGTCTCCCATCAGCAAGAAGAATGGCCGGTTCATCTGTGGAGATGTCCACTACCTCTGCCCCCAATTTAAGGACAGCCCCAAGTCGGATTGCTTCATCGAGCAGAATACGATGATAATCCACGCGATGAATAATTCTGTAAAGGGGTAAGAGTCTTCGTAAATATCGGTGCCAGATCAGACCATCACATACATCCACGGCGCTCCGAACTCCTCCGTAATATCATCCCCGAATGGCATTGATCGCAGAATATGTCCATCTTTGTATCTCCGAAAATGCACTTGTTGTACCTGACTCCCTTTCTCAAGTAATTGGGAAAGTAGGCCAAAATGGCGCATTATCCTGGTGCCATTAGGCGGGATTTGTATGCCAGCTCCAACTTCGTGGACTTCGGTGGATCGCTCAAACACTTCCACCTCAATACCTCCACGGCGACAAGCAATTGCACACGCCAGACCACCCAGGCCTCCACCGATGATAGCGACCTTCATGTTGGTCAAATGTATGGGATGATGTTCCTCGTTGCTGTCTACAGAGTTGTTGGCATCCGAATGTGGTTTAGTGGGGGTGGGGCATGGGGATGTCGTCCAACCGCCTTCGCCCAGCCGAGCTCCTTGCTCCTCGCCAATATCTCGAAGTAATGCAACTCTTCTCATGGCCTCGATCGCAGTTATTGGAGATTGGTGATCAGCCATGGTGTCCTTCATGGCTTCACCACCATGAACAGCTGGTTCTCACTCAACTATGGAATCTTAGAATCCCCGGGTGGAGCCGTGGAAGTCTCGCGACCCAGGCATGTTCAGTATTCAGAGAATATCTGAAGGATCTTTCATCATACACGGTGCTTGATATCTGTGCTGGTGCCGGTGGGCCTAGTCCGGTTCTTGAAGCACAGCTCAATCAGCAGCTCGAGGCCGAGGGTAAAGATCCTGTGCAATTTATCTTGAGCGATCTCTATCCCCATGTCGAAGAGTGGGAGCGAATCTCGAAGAAACAACAAAATGTCTTGTACATCGACCTGCCAGTCGATGCACGGGCTGTTCCTCGATTTGCGGGGAAATCAAAGAAAGAGTGTCGGATATTCAATATTTGTTTCCACCACTTCGGGGATGAAGATGCAGCGGGAATTCTGAAGAGTGCGATCGAGTCCGCCGACTCGTTCATGTAAGCATATATTTCATTGTATTAATATTTCTCTCAAAGCTAATATAATCCCCTGCAGCATATTTGAAATCACAGCACGCGATCTTTGGACTTGTCTCTGCTCGCCTTTAGTGTACTTTTGGACCTTTTTTGTGACTCTTGTCTGGTACTGGGATTCACCAGCCCACCTCCTTTATACATTCATTCTGCCTATAGCGCCTCTGGCACTCTGGATCGACGGACTCATCTCCTGCCTCCGCACCCGTACCGCAGAGGAAACGTGGAAACTGCTGGACCAGCCTGATCTGGATCTCCACGACTGGACTTTTCACAGCGGGCAAAAAACTGTTCAGTTCCCTTTCATCACTTTGTATTACCATATTGGTATCAAGTCATGATATAGATAGCTTTCTACTTATCTGTCCTATGTCATAAACTTATGCAGAATCCGCTATCCAACTACTGAGATGTCTCATCCCTCCTGTCCAATTGCTAGGCCTCTTTATTTGCGGGTTAGACATTTACGTATCTTTTAAGGATAGTTCTACGAATATAAACGCCCTGGCTCCCCAATTCATTCGTTTTTACGCTCCGTATGCCTCGTAGGTAATGCTTCTCATTCATCTAGTGGCGATATAATTTGAGTTATTGAATATTAATTTGGCTCACGTTAACATGATTATCAACCTCATAGTTACGTTGCTAAAACATGTCTGATGACTTGGTGTTCTATGTCCCGATTTAATACTATCCTTAACTAAGCCTTTTTCGTCGACCGAAGCCCTAAACAACACCGGGAGGTTTGGCTTCCTTCATCCTGTATCTGTTACTTCAACTTATTTCTTTCTATTCTCCCTCTCTTTTCTTTGCGTAACTGAATATCGTCTTCTCCTATCTTATATCATCTACTCTCCTCTAACTCGCCTCACTCTGACCTTACTGTCCCTTTAGTCCCTTATTATAAAAGCCCTTTATGGCTCTTTCCACTATGGACACGCCTATATCTCAGATATCACTCCTCACCAGTCTGCCAGTTGAGTTAGTGATGAAAATCATCGACGAGATGGGACCTCTCGATATATGTGCCCTGCGCCGCACATGTCGCGCAATATACCAAATCAGCCTTCGCCAGTTTGCAAAAATATTCTTATATTCCTTAAAGATGAACTTTTCACAAGAGTCGCTTGACCGGGTCAAAGAAGTAGCCGAGGATGATATACTCTGCCCTTATGTCCACAAGCTAGAGATCATCCATCCCTCCTCCGCTGGCATCTTAACACAGAGGAGTGGAATCAAAGAATGGCACGATGTAATCAAACGTCTGGTGAACTGTCGATCTTTCGAGCTGCGCAATTCCAAAAACAAAGAACCGATCTTTCGCGAAATCGGCGTCTTTCCTTCCCAGGCCGTCTCTCTGATCCTCGGGGTTCTAGCCGCTGAAGACATTCCGATGGAATCATTCTCGATGGATATTTTATCCAATAGGGCTAGAGGCCAATGGGAAACGCGGACACAATGGAACTCAAGATCCCTTCAAATGGGCCCTTTTTCCCATCTCAAGGAATTAACCATTGTATCCTCGTGTACCGAGGTTGGATTCACTGATTGGACAGTGAAAGTGATCCGAGCTGCCAAATCTCTCAGGAAGTTGCGCCTCCATTCTGACTGGCCTCGCGAATCAAGTTCACTTCTAACGCAGCTTTGGGTTGACTGCTTGCCGGAAATACAGGACTTGGAATTCTCGTGTATGTCATTTGGCTCTTCAGCCGCGTTGGCAGCATTTCTTTATAGTCATCGAAATACAATTCGCTCTCTGACTTTCCATCTCGTGGAATTGGAGCTAGGGGGCTGGAGAACGCTTCTCCAGGAGTTAGGGTCTGAGGCGTTTTGTCTTGAGAGTTTGACCCTTCGCCGTCTGGTGGAATGTGGGAGGCATATGAGCTTCAAGGAAATTCAAGGTGATGCAGTTGGGGAAGAGTACCTGGACAGAAGATGGAGGACTTCTTCGTCTACTTTGTTTTCTTGTCCGAGTCATGTGGACTTCACCTACTCGGGTCCAATGTTGAATGAAGTTATACAAAAGGTCGCCGTCCTTATACGCCGACTCAATCTGAGAGGAGAGTTGTCGGCCTAAGTGCCAGTTTTGGATCTGGTTGCAAGCAAGATCTGGAAATATGTGTACGTTGTAGAGTTGTCAAAGTTGTCTTCGTTCAATATCACTTCAGTGGTGATGTGCATTGTGATTACAGCATGTCAGTAGCATAAATCCCAGGATCCATAGCCACACTGGTACTCTGATCTCCTAGAATCAATGATTCTGGGGTTAATAACACACATAGTATGCTCACCTTCAAATGTCGATGACAATCTCTTGTCGCCCGTCCAACAATAAGCTAGATTGGAATTACATAGGAAGATGAATTGGTGACCAAAGCTTCTGATTTAGCAAACACCTCTATCATCATAAAAACATTGCTATTCTGTTCATGGAATCATAGGTCGATCGTCTCTATCCTCCAGTTCAACCACGGCGTCATCCTCCGTGCCATTCAAAACATCCGACCGTTCTGATTGCCTGGATGCATTGCGATCACGCAGCCGGACCGGCCGGCGAGAGATCTTACCAGACACAAACCCAGCCACGTTTTGAATGAGTCGCCACAGGCGGTCTTCTAGCGTTTCAGGTGGTGTGCCGTTCAAGTGACCGCCAAGCGCAGCTAATTCAGACGAACTCGCTGCTGCCAGTGTATGTTCCTCGGCTTCAACCTTGAACTGGTACTTCAAACAATCCTTAACAGTTACTAGGCCAGTGAGTTTGCCACGATGTTCGACGAGAATGACTCGAGGCCCCATCTTCTTGAAAATCTCCATGACGGTTTCGAGCGGATGCCGTGGGTGGACGGTCAGCGGTGTGTGATCTACATACCGCGAGAAATCAACAAAAGCTGCTCCTGCGCTGCTTTCAATTGCATCAAATGTATCCGATGATCGTGAACCATGCGAAACGGACGCCCTCCGCGCGATGGCGGCGTTAGCGGCCTCCTTGGTGAAGACACACCGGGCGTTCGGGGCGACCATGCCTTCGTTGCGGGCACGGTCGATAGCGTATCGGAGCTCTGTTCGTCCGATATAGCCGACCAATACCTTTGAAGTGCGGTCCTCCACGACAGGGAAGCCTTGGAATCTGTTGTCATTCAGAAGGTGCTCTGCTTCGCGCACGGGGAAGTCCGATGCTGGCAGCGAGAGTGGGCCTGTGGTCATTGCATGGGATACAGGCACATTGAAGACGTGATCCTCCTTATTGTCGAGGAAAGGGAATCCATTGAACCAGATCATTCGGTCGGCAATACCGCCACTACCGAATCGATCGCCAACGGCTTTTGTGATGCCAACCACAATCTTGTAGGTATTAGTATGGTTGGATAAATGAGGGCAATTTGAGAATAAACACATACCATAGTGGGCAAAATATAGGTCAGTGCACCAGTCAGCTCGAACATTATGACCGTCACAGAGATAGTCAGATGCATAATTCCACTGAGAGCTGCGCCAGCTCCTAGAAACGCATATGTTCCCGGTGTGATACAAGGGACATCGGGATCACAAGAGGCGAAAAATGCAGAGTTGGGGAATGTTTCATATAATGCCTGCACCATGATCCCAACCATGCGGCCAAATGAAGCCCCGACGGCCATCGAGGGTACGAAAATACCGGCTGGCACCTTGCAACCGTAAGAGATAATCACCAAGCCAGTGCGTAGGATGGTTGCAATAGCTAGTGAGAAAACCATTGACCATCGGTTCTTAGATCTGTGATATGTCAGTCGTGTGTTCTCACGCAAGGATAGAAGGAAATGTTCGTACTCGCATAGTCCAGCGTAGTCATGGCCACCCTCGCATTCGCGGAATAAAATTTCCATCATTGCAGTCATGTTGATTTTCAGAAACATGTTGGGATAGCACAGTACTGCAGTAAGTCCAGCGAGAACAACGGACTCGGTTATAGGCCACTGTGATAGATACTTCTTGCGGAACCCGGCCATCCGAAGATTCCATTTCATTACGAATGCGCCGTAGAGACCACCGAAAATACCAAGGAAAATAAAGAAAAGGAACTCGAAGAAATGCCATGTGCGATCATACTCCACTTGGAACATGACCAATTGGCCGGTTCTGAATGGATTGACAGCCTAAAACAGATCAGCAATAGTCCAGAATTGATGTATCATTCGGAAAACCTACTGCCAGCACGCTAGTGGCGACCAATGCACAAAAGTAGCTGCGCCAAAGAGTCTTGAGAGGGAAATAATTTGCCATTTCCTATCGACGGTCAGCATTCATCCCATGAACTCGTACGCAATCGAACTGACTTCCAGAGAGAACAGCACGCCTCCAATTGGACTTCCAAAAGCAACAGCCACACCAGCTGCCGCCGAGGCAGTCAGGATTTCCCTCGTTTTCGAGGCATTCCGTTTGTATTTACCAAAGAAGCGCGAGATCACATTTCCGGTACACACAGCAAAATGCACACTAGGCCCCTCCTTTCCAACAGAGAGACCCGACGCAATTGCTAGTGGTAAGGCAATTGATTTGATGAGAAGAGTCCAGGCGCCTAGAAACCCCTTCATGACGAAGCCAGCAATAATGCATTTGATCTCTGAGATGCCAGAGCCCGCGGCATACGGTGCAAATGACTTGACTAGGACTGCCGCGATAGACGAAAGCAACAGCTGGATCCAAAATTAGCCTACAAGCCCGTGTCTCGTCAAGAATAGTGAGAAATTCATCTTACCGCGCCAAAGAAATAGAAAACATAATTCAACACCCAGAATGATGTCCAAGGTTTCCACTCTGGGCAGCCTATCAAGAGAAAGAATCAGTTAATGCATAATTCAGGTGGATCGCACTGCCAATCCAACATACCATTCTCAGAACCCCAGCAGCAAAAGGACTCGTTGAGGTAAAATGCAGTAGTACAATGTCCCAACTTAATATCAGAGAGCCATTCGGTAATAATGTTGAGCACAGCTGAGTTTAACCCAATTGCCAAACCCACGAGTGTAACGACAAGCCATGCCTGGCCTGCATCGTAGGATTCGTACACTTTGCGCCTCCAGCCAAGGATGCCTTCTTGATCCCAAAACCTAGTGCCACTGCGCCGTTTCGCGCGCCGCCGCGACTGTTCATATACTGCATCTTGAACCCAGTCTATGGTGGTAAAATCTTCATATCGCTTGATCTCATTGATCTCTTCTGGGATGGCGGGAGCTTCTTGGTTATCGAAAGCATTTTGTGGGATCGGGGAGGGAATAGAGCGAGCAGATAGCCTTCGAGAATTGCGGCGCTCTGTTGAAACTGAAAGAGACCTAGAGATGGTCGGGGAGGGGCGTGGAGAGGTCATAACATAGATTGAGGGGGTGAGGTCAGCATAGTCGGTTGAAACTCGACTCGATAATATGTCAGTGTCCGCGGTGGACACCGCGAATCGGCGCACGAGGACGAATTCTCGCAGTCAAAATCAAATTCGCAGCCTGAGGACGCTGGCGGTTGAGACTCGGGCTATAAGCAATAATCCAAGTAATTTGAAGGGGGTGAACGGAGCTCGTCAAGGTAGATGATGTGACGAAGCGAAGTCGCCAAGTATCGATAACGAAGCCTCCTCAGATAACGTCGCGGCCACGCGTTCTACTTTCTCGACTCCACGCTCGCGCCCACTTGCTTCTACAACAGATTGAACCGACGGGCGCATGCTGCAAATCGTGTACCTTTGTTTTGACGGCATTTTAATTCACTAAATTCAACAATATGGCCCCCAAGGCTATAGCAGACCCGGATGAGATCACCGGACAAAGCGCACTTCCCAGTATGTCACATACACTGTTTTCGCTATAGATCAACATACTCATCTATTCCTACAGTTGCTCGGGTTAAGAAGATCATCCAGTTAGACGAGGATATTGTACAATGCTCGAACAATGCAACCTTTGTTATTGCAATGGCTACCGTACGCTATACTCTTGGCTTGAATACCTCGGCCGCCAATTAACACTGGATCTAGGAGATGTTCATCAAATACCTTGCTGAGCAAGGACACAATGTGGTCAAATCCGAGCGAAAACCACGTAAGACGGTCCAGTACAAAGATCTCGGTTAGTCGCGCTTATCCTGCCCACGGTCAGCATGGGGTTGGACGACATGCTAACATGCAATAGCTTCGGCGGTCTCACACACAGACAACCTCGAATTCCTTGCGGATGTGATTCCTAAGACTACGACCTACAAACAATTCAAGGAGAAGAAAGCCAAGGATGCGGCCAACCAAGGTGCCATGGAGAAGGGCCAGCGTACTCTCAACGGTGCCAGCGCACCCTCCGCACCGGCAAATGGCACAGGCATGGGAGATGCCACTCCACAAAGAGAAGACTCAAAGACAACATCGCCCTCGGTTCCTCGGCCAATGGTCCCTGTGAGCGCGCTGATTGCGGACCGGACAGTCGAGCCTATGGCAACCCGTGACAATGATGTGGAAATGCAAGATTGATTGCGCTATATTATCCCTTTTTTTTCCTTTTCATCCCTCATCTAGTTATTTGCATAGGAGTCTGGTGATGGGTTTGCCTGCGCATTGGTTTTGGCTTTGTATGGTCGCATTGGGTCGGGTTAGATATTAACCCCAAAAGAAAACACATGAGATAGGATGCAATTGACGAGTCAAATTTGACGAAAACATCAATAATAATGAATTATAATTCAAGAACCATTGAAATAAGGATATCAATCAATACTCGTAGTTGTAGAAGAATGTTCTTGTTAGGGAGTGAACGGGAATCGACCAGCCAATGACAGGCCCCGTGATTCCGATCGCTAGCGAAAGCTCTGGCTCCAACTTCAACTTCCGACTTCATCCACCCTCATATCCTCACCTCGACCTCCACACTCGCGGCTCAATTCCACCCGTGGTCAATTGCCCTCACAATGTCGCTCTCCTCCGCTTCCAGCACTCTGCTGCGCACCGTCGCCCGGCAGCAGCTGTCCACTTCCCGCGCCGCCGTCACCTCCTGCCAGCAGCGGAGGGGAGTTGCCGATGCGAAGTCGTCCTTCGAGTCCCCCTTCGCCAGCGCTAACGAGGCTGGCTCGACCCTGAAGATCCCCAACTTCAGCAAGTACAAGTCTAAGAACTCGCCCCGCTCCAACCAGGTCTTCTCCTACTTCATGGCCGGCTCCCTCGGTCTGGCAAGTGCTGTCGGTGCCAAGGCTACTGTCCAGGGTAGGTTTTTCTTATACATTCGAATCAGAAAGAGATGGGAACAGCATTGGCATGAGCTCAAGCGATTGAACAATCTCATCGCATGATCGGGGAAATTCGGACAACTTTAAAGCAACTCATGGCTGATGTTATTCTTTCTCTCCAGACTTCCTGGTCAACATGTCCGCCTCCGCCGATGTCCTGGCCCAGGCCAAGGTCGAGATCGCTCTCGGTGCCATCCCTGAGGGCAAGAACGTACGTTTTCAATCCACCACCTCATCCGGCAAATTCCAATATCCACGATCCCTATCTAACACCCTATAACAGGTCATCATCAAGTGGCGTGGAAAGCCCGTCTTCATCCGTCACCGTACCGAAGCCGAGATCACTGAGGCCCGTGAGGCCAAGTGGGAGGGTCTCCGTGATCCCCAGCCCGATGAGGACCGTGTCCAGCGTCCTGAGTGGCTCGTCATGCTCGGTAAGTGAACAGTCATGCAATCCACAAATAGTCCATAAATCTAACCCCCATCCTCCTTCAGGTGTCTGCACCCACTTGGGTTGTGTCCCCATCGGTGAGGCCGGTGACTACGGCGGCTGGTTCTGCCCCTGCCACGGTTCCCACTACGATATCTCCGGCCGTATTCGGAAGGGCCCTGCCCCTCTGAACCTCGAGGTTCCCGCCTACAGCTTCCCCGAGGACGAGACCCTGGTTATCGGTTAAGCGAATTTTGAATACACCCCTTTTTTGATCATCGCCACCGGGCGGATTGTCTCATTAGAAGTGTGGATGAGATAAAAGATGGTTGGGACCATGTCTCCTATCCATCTGTGTATGTGCTTGTGTTGTGTTTTTTTCCCTTTTTTTAGACAGAGCGGCCGTGTGTCTTGTCAAGATTAAGAGACCTGTGTTTTAATATGGACAAAAAAATGAGCCTCTTTCTTCCCTTTGTTGTCCCTATCCTCCTGGCTCTTGGTCTTTCTCCATGGCGAACATGAGCTGTGGAGTTGGAGAGGCTCAAGCCGGGACGTTTCCTGGCAGTGCAGAGGATGTCCTATGGTCTCCTTGAGTACATACTTATGTTCTTTATTTAGTGTATCACCTAGTCATGTTATTTCCTTTGTTTTAGACCCACGCTCTTTTGGTGTCTGACGTAAAACCATCAATTGCCTTGGTAACATCGATGCCTCGCTATGTCGCCATGTACTCGGTTTCAAGATATAACTCTTCAACAATCATACAGCAGACTTTGTCTCTATCCAACTGAGTATCTATTTTCCCTTCAATAGTATGTACAGATATACCCGCCCAGCCAACAGGGGCAAGTTATTATCAAATTGACAAACCCATATATGACCTCATACATCCTGAGTTCCTTCTGGTATGGCAATTTGATATGCTCGAATGCGATGGTCTTTACCGAGATCCGATAAGGGCGAACAGTAGGCCCGTCACAGCTGCACCAGCTGCAGCACTCTGGAGAGCCACAGTGGTGACGTCGCGCTGCGAGACAGAAATGCTGCGTTCACTGAAGAACTCGTCGGCAACTTGCTTCCAATACTCCACCGACATAACCGGAGGTGGAATGTTCAAGAGACGGCTCTGAAGAGACTGTGACGCCACGGCGTCGCTCGCCGTAATAATAGTTCCAGTAGCGGAAGCATCATTCTGTACTGCAGTAAGCTTCGGTTCCGCCGAAAGAGAAGCAGTGGGCTCCAGGTTCTCATTGGTAGAATCAATTACCTCGGGGAGGACAGTGATATTCGGCGATGCGGAGATTGAGACAGCGCTCTCAGCCAGAATAGCCCGACTCAGCTCCTTCTCCTTCTCCAATGCTTCAACGACCTTATCCTCGAAGCCCTTGACGAGACGCTTCCGGCGCCACGGCTCCACGAGGATTTGGAAGACAAGGAATAGCAGGACGTTCATGCCCATCAAACCCCAGGTTCCCCATGTTGACATGCGGCGGATCTTGTCGGACCAGACTTGCTCCTCGTGGTATCGCGAGAGAATGCTCTTGCTCAGTTGAGCGGCTGCCTCTTCGGCTTCGCGCTCTGAGGCTGACAGGGCTTGGGAAGTCTCGGTCTCGGCGACCTCGTTGGTGTGATCGTTGCGGTAGAGGAGGGTGAAACGCTCCAGGTCTGTTGAGGACCAGGCGTGCTTGCGTTGGAGGAGCTCGTTTACTTCGCGTTGGGAGGTGGAGCGGCGATTGATTGCTGCAGCATATTCTTCTTTCGCACGTTTAACATTCGCTCGGGCGGTGCGGAGTCGGCCCTCTGTACAATTGAGCAGAATCAGTATCCGAGGATTTCGCGGGAGCGGGTTTGGGCTGTGCTATGCATACCGTGGAACTGGATGTCATTCTTCAGAGCTTCGATGCTGGAGTATCCAGTCAAGTCATTTAGCCGTTGGCCTGCTACAAAGACGTTGGATTGCACATTGTCCATCATTGTAGTGAACTGCTTGGACCATTTTGACCGACGGCTTTCCAAGTACGACGGCAGGCCCCCGCTCCTTGTACCAGTAGCACTGGCATCTTCCTCCTGGGAAGCTGACTGCTCCTGGTCGCTCTTCTTTGTTTGTGGTTGTGTGGTGGCCTGGTCGGGCTCTTGGGGAGGAGGTACCGAATCCACAGAACTGCCCGCCTCCACACCCGGGATCGGGGCGGGATCGCGCGCGGCGAGCTCCTGTGCCGCGAGTTCCTTCTCCTTTTCTCTGATCAATCTCTCGGTATCAGCTGCGAACCTCTCTCTGTCATCGAAGGCGGCATATTTGCCCTGGTGTAGGCGGAATTGGCATTGTACACAGGCGGAGAAGCTCCGCGGAGTCGGTCTGGTGAGGGAGAATGCAGTAGGGCGGAATTGTGTTCGCACCGAGGAAGTGCTTGTAAGTTGAAGGCTTGACCGAAGCGATTGCCTTAGCAGTTGTGGCATAGACTGCATGGCCAAAATAAGGGCCACAATCGTGTGGCGGGACGTGATATGCAAGAGTTTAGAGACGAACGAGGATCATCTCGGGACGGGACTTGGCCTCGGATAGCCTTATCAGATTGCTACACTAAGGATGTATACGGAGTAAGCTCCCTCTGAATAATCTTCGACATCTGCATTGTTTTACAGTTGATGTATGCATAGGCATTTGATTTTGTATTCATTCTCATCTAGTGAAATTCCAGGATTGTTGGTCCTCTTCCTCGAATCTCGGCTTTGGCATACCACCGTGACATCCATAGCTCCGAGTAAAGAACTCCACGCACCAGAAAAGCACCCAAGGAAGCCAAGCTCCATGATATTTTATAACCAAATGGTCTCTCTGGGCCAGATATGTTTACCATCGGCTCGTCAGTTAGAGGTAAGATTTCATGCACATTATCTAGTTCGCTGTTGTGTTTACACTATCTCGTTTTGAAGCATGTCTTTGATATACTCCATATTTGACTTCATGTTGACTGGTATAATACAGAAGAACTTATCGAGAAATCAAAGAAATACGATATATACTGGCACCAACCGAGCGATACGTGAAATGTTCGATGACAATCCCTTTGTCTTCTCTGCTACTCTACCAATTGACAGAGTTTACCTGGATACATTGACACAAGAGTCTGTTTTACATGAAACACTCGTCGTATACCTATTAAAATCAATGATTTCCCACACGCTAGAGACTTGTTTTTTCTTGAGGACATGCGAGAATCTTCTAATGGATATATTCATATGGCTAATCGAATAAGATCGGGATCAGAAGGGATATATATTTCATAGGGCCACACATGGCGTCTCTTAGAAAATATGTGTTTAAAAGGTTTAAGTTACCAAGATGAGGATGCAATTTGATAATACATAAACTATCCAAGTAAAGATATCAACAATGATTTATATCTAGGGCTGGTTGAACCAAATGCCCAATTCGTGCAGGGGACCCGAAGACTAAGATAAAGAAGATTGACACGGCATCTTGAGTTCAATGCGACGCGCATCCAGACAGAGCCTTAGGGGGGAAAAATAGAATTGAAACAGGGAGGAAGACATAGCCCTGACCGAAAACAGTGAATAAAATCAGAATCTCAGAATTACATAGAACATTCCGTCGTCAGAGTCATAGCAGAACGATGCAGTTCTTCAAGAGTGCGTTTACAAGAACGGCAAAACAGAGGACATGGAGAGTACAGCCGGCTGGGAATCAAAAGATCGATGATACAATGACAGGGTTTGGACGCCACCCACAAGCACTGTCAGCGAGTCCAGCCTCGATCTTAATCTTGATTTTGCACCTTGTTATCACCTCTCACAGCCTCAGCATAGGTAGGCGGTGGGTGCGCACTGCTGCTACCACCATTCCCACCTTCTTCATTTTGGTTGTGTGGTTTGTTCGCCGGGTTAGGCGCCTGCTGACCCTGGGGGCTGACTGTGCCATATCCGCGCTGGGAGGGGTTCTGAGGGGGCTGGTGTGAGACATAATAGTAGGTAACGTTTCCGTTCTCCAGATCACGTCGCCGACTCCCACCACCAGGGATAGGCTCATAGGATGCGTCGTCGTAATCTTGTTCCGGATACTTGAGGATAATATACCACGCATGAATGAGACCAGGGAAGAAACACAGGAGTGTAAGGGTTATGTTGATGATGGAGTCTGCAGTGCAGAAGCCAGACTTGACCCAGACTAGTGATAGACGTGTTGATCAGCGGTAGAAGTGCTAAGATAGGTGGGTTTCACTTACCTGCGATAGGTGGGAAGAAGATAGCGAGTACCGCAAGGAAAATGTCGGAGCTACACATGGCTCACGGTTGTTCTCTGAGTTGTGATAGTAGATGCGAGCTGTAACTAGTGGCTTGAGGGTGTCGCAATGATTAGACGTTTGCACTGTTAGACTGCTGGACGAGTCGCGGACGGCAGCCTGCCCACAGACAGTCCCGATCAGATGATGTCAACGGTCACATGACTATGATTCACCAGTCATGAGCCCTATGTTATACTCCATCTTTTCCCATGGCTCTATTTACTCTTTACTTTGACATAAGGTATCCAATCATCTTTGATCATTCAATGAAACCCAGACTTGTCAAGTGCCTGCCCAAAGCGGGGCGGTTTGCAACTTCTCTATGATAGCCATAGGTACCATATAAGTACCCGGTACATACAGTTGCCGAGTCCCTACTTATTGCGACCGGGTACCTTGGACTTGCAGTTGGAGTGCCCCTCGCTTCCGATAGCTCACACAACTGTGTATGCTACAGCCCAACTTTTTGTTTTGCAGGAAGTATGTAAGGGAGGTCTTTCGGAAGATAATCCCAAGGATTCGAGCCCATGCTGTCCTATCCTTCTGACCTTTGGAGACGGCATGTTATAGCGATCGTCGTGTCTGAGCCGCTAACGAGAGCCTAGCGAGGCTGGTGAGTGGAGGATACACGCCAGGAACCAAAGAGGGATTGACAGGAATTTCTCGATGGAGACAGGAACAACTGGCCGTGCAGTCGCCAATCAAAGCTCCGATCGTCATCGTTGTGAAGGTGCCCTATCTTTACACCTCCGTATTGCGCTGTTGTATAGCCGGAGTTGACCAAACGAGACAAGGCGTCAACAAAGCGGAGCAACACCCCTTTTCCCACTCGACTCTTTCTACCAAACACCCAGAAGACCCGAAGTTTCTATTCTATTATTGTACTATTGTAGAATGTTGGCAAGATTGAGTTTAGCGTGACTTGTACAGATTATGCCTACTCTCCGTGTTCCATAATTTCCTTTTTCCCAGCAGTTCGTCTTTAGTACCCAGCCCCTGTTACCCACAAGCCCAGACCATCCTTCCGATCTTGATTCTCTTCAATCCTAGAACTTAGTCTTGTCATCCTCTCCTCACTCTTTGTCCCTTTTCGATTCGATCGAGAGTGCCTACGGGGCTCGGTTGACCTTACCTACCGGGCGTTGAGAACCCGAGTCACTCGTTTACCTTTCTTACGCGCGCTTTTCTTCTCCCTCGAGATTGGGACAGTTTCGGTGGCCTGGAGTCGACCATTCTAATTCCCGCGTTCGAATATCGGTCTGCCCATGCGATTCGTACCCAATTACTCTTTGAACATTCTCGATCGCGATTGACACATTCCACGCCGATATCATCTAAAGCGTTCCAGATATAAGGCGGCACCGCCAGGTTCGCCCGGCATGTCCGACTCCTGCATTTCCCTTTCGGGGTCAACTGCCTGCCCTGCCTGGAGTAGCTCGTCTATTACGACCAGCTCCAGCCTGTATTCAACCTTGTGAGTGGGAGTGCGCCCAATTAGGCACCAAAATGGGTACTGACACTGCACTGCTAGTCCATTTCTTAGAAACGTATCGAACCTCACGGAATTCGATAATTCATTAGAGGACTATGTCCGAGGATCATATATCTCATCGAAGTACGTATTGAAATTCACCAATGGACCAGGAGAGTGACTAATAGGCGCTCGTAGGTATGATGACTTGCTGGGATGTCAAGGGCTCAATTCTAGCGCCCCCAATGACTACTATGCTCAGTATACAATCAGTGTCCTGTGCAGTAGTGTCGTACAAAGCTCCATATCCGATTGCAAACTCTCGACAAATGACTCTCTACCAATTTGCGTCGACACATGCGCACTTTGGGCCCGGAGCGAGCAGGAGACTATGGCAAATACAGAGTTATGTCCCAAAACCGACAAGGATTATACTGATCTGATCTACGCCGAATTGACCATCTGTGAAAAACCATCTGATGCACTCTCCGGAGATTGTGTCAGGGGATCTGCGAATGAGCCTGACAACTGTGGCTTTGCATCGAATACCATTGGTCTCTGCACTTTTTGTACGAGCAGCACCGATAGCTGCTGCACGGAATCCCATGCTGCGACTCGCTGTGAGGGTGTCTCGGTGCCGACTGTCACTCTGCCGCCTCTCACGCCCTCGCCTTCCGCTACTGCATCTACTAGCCATGGTTTGTCCGGTGGCGCAATTGCTGGGATCGTCATTGGCTCCCTTGTAGGAGCTGCCATTCTAGCTGCCCTCCTCGCGTTCTTTTGCATCTTCATGCGTCGACGCCGCCGTGAAACCCATAACGAGGCTGCACTTAACCAACCAAATCCGCAAAGAAAGGGTGGATCGCCATCGATGCAGCAGCCCACAAGCCCAACATCGTATAACATGGTCCCAGGAGGCCGAGTTACACGGATGTCCGCTCTACGTGAAATGCCTAGTTCTTCGCCCGCCTATTCTCGTACTTCTGCAGCAATGTATGGCAGTGGGCCCAAGTACAGCGACACATCAGACTCAGAAGGCATGGGTGCCAGTCCAGGAACCATGTCCAAGAAGATTCCCCCTGTGACTGGGAGACGTCACGGCTCACTTTCGAGCAACTCCGTTCTAGCTGGACTGGACAGCGACAGCTCGCCTCTCTCCGCGCCCACGAACCAATATTCTTCCCCTGAAAACATAACCAGTGGTCGATCAGAGCAGTTGTCGTATTTCCGCGACTACTACTCCCAGGATGAGATTCACGCGGGAGACAAGGTCGCCGTCCTTTGGGCATATTCGCCACGGGCAGGTGACGAGTTTGAGCTCGACCGAGGCGAGGTGCTGAAAGTCATTGGCATTTGGGATGATGGCTGGGCCACGGGTGTGCGACTTCCCGAGCGTGCCGAGGACTTTGGCGTGACCTACCGCGAGCAGCGTGACAGCGGCGTCTCGAATGGCTCGCGCATGCTTGGGGCCTCGTCGCCCTTGCCGTCGGGTGAGATCAAGGCCTTCCCATTGGTCTGTATCTGTCTACCGCAGCACTGGCACAAGATAATCGACGGCAGCCAGGAAGACGAAGAAGTTTGAGCACGGTTCTCAATTCTCAGTTTTCATGCAAAATTACGTCTTGATGACAGCGTGTTGAGGCTTCTGCCCTATCTTCCAGCTTTCGCGATTTGAATCTGCGCTTTTTTTTTATACACCCAGGCTGGCCATCCCCCTCTGCGAACGACCTAAACGGTCGTCCCAACTCGTTTTATACTCGTATTCGATATACCCCCCATTTTGTGACGGTGTCATCTCGTCCTTCCCTATTTTTGACACTTTCTATATTCTTCTTCACACGACAAGTGTGGAGCCGGTCGCTGGCGCATCGGACTCGGTCAATGTGCTCTTTGATCCTAGAACACATCTCGCCCTGTCTTCTTACGTACTATATATCGGTTTGTCACTTGAGACCATTTCTATACCCTGATGGATGAGCGCCACTGTAGGTGGCTTGATCAGAAGATATCGGACACATATAGTGCAAGCTATAATGTATGTACATAATTAGACCAATTTTATCCAAGCTGGACCTTATTTAAGGTGCAATATCTGTTCCGGTGTTTCTCGTTTACGTCGCCGTAATGCCCTCGTGGAGGACTGTTCCCTACGAGATATCGTCGGGCGTGGAGGTCCCCCACATCTGCTCAGTCTCCAGAGCTGTGGGGTACGGAGTTTGCGGAATCAAGCCCTCGATTTCGCAATTTGATTTCCAATTTGATTTACTAATCCAACTTGCCCCTCATTTCGTAATGTTTTTCTTAAATGGCGTGTATTCGGCTATATCACGTCCACTCCTTCCTCTCCTCTCACCTAACCTGATCAAACCATAATGGCCTCTCCCAAGATCATCCTGTACACCAGCCGCCTCTGCCCCTGGGCCCACCGCGCGCACATCGCGCTCAAGGAGTCAGGCCTCGACTATGAGGAAGTTTCAATCGACTTGAACACGCCGCGCGAGCCGTGGTACCTAGAGATCAACCCTGTGAGTCCCAATCGCTCTCTTTCCCCCCGTGTAATGCATGTCATATACTGACGCCGATCGTCCCAACAGCGCGGTCTCGTCCCTAGCATCTCCTATAACGGAGAAATCATCACCGAATCCGGTATCGTCGCCCAATTCCTCGCAGACGCACACCCAACCCATCTCCTGCCAGCCTCAACAACAGTCGAATCCGCTCTCTACCGCGCACGCCTAGCCTTCTTCGTCGATGCCTTCTTCAGCAAGGTCGTACCGCATCTCTTCGCCAGTATTCGCGCCGCCAGTGAGGCCGAGCGTGATGCTGCCGCTGAGCAGCTGGCTGCCGCTGTTGTGAAGGAGATTGAACCCTTGCTGGAAGGAGCGGAGCGTGGACCGTTCTTCGGTGGTAGTGAGAAGTTGACCCTAGCCGAGGTTCAATCGGGTTCTTTCTTGCTTCGAATTCGGTCTTGGGCGAAGCCCGAACATGGCCTTGTTTCTGCCAAGTTGCCTGCTTTGCTGGAGCAGGCTCCGCGCTTCAATCGCTGGGTGGAGGCTACCATTTCGCATGAGAGTGTTAACTCCATTTATGATGAGAAGGCTGTTGCTGATAAGATGAGGGCCAAGTTTGCGCCGAAGGTTTAGGGTACCGTTCTGCCCTTGCTGTGTTAAGAATAGACTGGAACTAGTATCGATGCTATAATAATGCAATTTTATGAGGTTAAGAATGAGAAATAAATAGTTGGGTATGAAGTTTCCAAGGTTGTGGAAATACTATGTGGTATATCCCTAGCTCGCAAGGGCCTTTATATTTCGTACGGGGGGTTTATATATTTTGACTCGGCATGAAGTTGCCTTGTCCGCCAAGTGAAATACTCCCGTTTAGTGGTTGATCTTTCTCAAGCCACAAAATGATACATGTAGCAGGTAAATCATCCCACAGCCTTGAAACCCCATGCATACACGCACGTCAGTGCCGCAGTGGGCCTGGGACAAAAATAGCCGGCATTGACGTGTCCCATGGTTGAAGGTCGGAGGCCAATTTTAGCTTGCAGACACCCACATTGTCAGTGTACGGAGGAGAGGCTCAAATGTTGACTCCTGTGCATCAGGAATGTTATGCAGGTAGATCGAGTTGGGGGGGTTGTCATTTCACTCCGAGCGTTGTACTCCGTACTATGTACTTCGTGGGTCTTCTGAAAAGAAAACATCGAAGTACAAGAGAGCATAACGGTCATCTCAAGCGGGTTAATGGGGTATATACGGACATTATATGATCTTTTCCGAGTAATTAAGTCCTCAAAGATTCGAGCTTCCTCAAGATAAACCAATCTATATCAACTCTGTGCACGACACTCGAGTTATAAACAGGTACCGAGTACTTTAATATCCAAAAGTCTGATATCACGTGCAGCCACCCCCACCATGGCCATGGCAACACCTGGGCAACAATTCACCCCTCAAACTCCATCTTCCCCGTCTCATCCGTCTCCGTTGCTTGACCTCCGCCTCCTCCAATCCCTGTAAGTCATTCAAGTGCATGTCACTTTGGCTTCTCATGACAGACCGAGAAGCTCGACGGAACCCCTGAGTTTGGCCATCTCAGCCACTGACATCGTGTACTAGCCTAGACATCTTTTTTTTATCTCCCCCAAACACATAAGCAATCATGTCGGTTAGTATTGACCTCAACACCATGTTCTAGAGCATTCAGTACTGACTGTTATTCTGTGAAGCTTGCATCGGGGTGAGTTTGTCGTTTCCCGCACTCGAAACCGGTTTCCCCTCATTGCGACCATTTATTGACATTTACCCCCTATAGTGTCCAGATCCAGGATGACTGCATCACTGCCTTCCAAGAATTCAGCCGCAGCCACGGCAAGACCAAGTACATCATCTACAAGATCGCCGACGACAAGAAGTCGGTTGTCGTAGACTCCGTCGGCAAGGACCAGGACTACGAGGTCTTCCGCAACGAGCTCGCCGACGCCAAGGACAGCCTCGGCCGCGCCTCCCCCCGCTATGCCGTGTACGATGTTGAGTACGAGCTTGCTGGAGAGGGCAAGAGGTGCGCATTCCCCTGACCGCAATTGTTCTTCGGCCTAGCCGCTAACCTGACTGTTCGCACAGAAGCAAGATCGTCTTCATCTCCTGGGTGCCCAGCGACACCCCCACTCTCGTAAGTAACGCACCACCTTCGGGCCCTGGACCAATGGCTAATTTTCTTCTCTTCCAGTGGTCTATGATCTACGCCAGCACTCGCGAGGTCCTCAAGAACGCCCTCAACGTCGTCACTTCCATCCACGCCGATGACAAGTCCGATATCGAGTGGAAGACAGTCCTGAAGGAGGCCAGCGGTGGTAAGGCATAAATGAAAGCGCCGGCTGGATCCGGGCTGCGCGACCGATAGGGGTGCGCCCCTGATGGCGCCGCGGAACGATCAATTCATAACCTTCTCTGCACCCCGTTCTCCCGTTTTCTTCTTAGTTGCAATGCAAGACCGTTACGACTTGGCCCGTGTTTTATTCATTTTGCGCGAGGTCTCAAGAGTTTTGATTTCATTTTCAGCCCATTCCAAGATTGTCGATGATATCCATCTCAGGCCGAGTTCCATCTTTTATCTTGGGATCGAGGGTATTGGGGGGCTAACTGGCAACAAATCTTGTTGCCTGGTGGTTAGACTGCATATGGTGGGCGCAGATATCTTGGGCTGGATCTTGTCAAGTGTAGAATAGTCGAATAACCAACAACTCCTGGCTTTTCCTACAAAGTTACTCCTTAACTGGGTGGTGCGTACGGAGCACTGGGGCGGCTAAAGATTCCGAGGGTGATCAAAAGACGTGAGCGACTGGCTGAAATCGGGAAGCTTGGAGAAAATAAGCCATAATGCCAATCGGATAGAAAACAGAGGCCATAAGCCACTTAAAACAACCAACATCAGGCCATATGCTGAGAATGATGATGTTGCTCACTGGCAGATAGCCGGGTTGGGTCAGGAGCCAATGAGGAGGCGGCCAAACCCAAACCGCGCTAGTCCCGACCGGATCCTCGCCTTTCCACCTCAAACCACAAGAAACGTCTTCAAGTCATTCTCCATCCACGATCCCCCTCCACTCTCTGCTCAGCCGTGTCCTGGCGTGCTCTCTGGCTCTTGTACTAACGGCCTCCCTTTAATCCACCCAATTGAACCCGATTTCGACGTGGTGCTTCCACCTCCCGCCTGCCGCACAATGTTTCTTCGCACCGTCTCTCGCGCTGTTCCTCGCAGCACCGCAGCCATCCGTGCTGCCCCGACTGCCTCTGTGAATGCTTTGCAGACTCGCGCTTCCTCGGACCATGCCATTCCCAACCCCACCCTCGCCAACATCGAGAAGCGCTGGGAGGGCATGCCCCCTCAGGAGCAGGCCGAGCTCTGGATGCAGCTCCGTGACCGCATGAAGGTCGACTGGCACAAGATGACCCTGCAGGAGAAGAAGGCTGGTATGTGCTGTCCCTAGAACATATACACTTGAATCATAGCCTATTTTCTCGACTACCCTAGGGCTTCCGAGGTTATACGCTTTGGATGCCCGAGTCATCGAACTTCCATGATTCTGGTTCCAATTGGGCATTTCCCGCTAACATGCATTCTTCCTCTGATATAGCTTACTACATTGCCTTCGGTGCCCACGGTCCCCGTGCCCAGTCCCCCAAGGGTGAGGGCTGGCGCGTCGCCGCCAAGGTGATCCAGCTCACCGCCGTCTCCGTTGCCCTCTTCTACGGCATTCACGCCTTTGCTGGCAAGCAGCCCGCTACCATGTCCAAGGAGTGGCAGGAGGCCTCCAACGAATATGCTCTGGTACGTATTGCCTCATCCCTCGGTGACTGTAGTCAGGAGAAGTCTCTGCCACTGGCATCCAAATTGGACGATGCTAACCTATCCCGCTACAGAGAGAGAAGATCAACCCCATCCACGGCATCAGCAAAGAGGGTTACGAGGGCAAGGGCTTCGTCCAGAGCCCCCCTCTCGAGAAGTCATAGGCGTGCCGATTTCCCGACCGGGAATAATTTGATATCTACGCAGGACGGACGGCGGTACCCATCGCACGACCTAGAAGTCGTTTTGAATCCAAGCTGTTCTTTCCATAGCCATGTCCGGCATGTCTGTGAATCGGAGGATGGACCTCCGCCCGTGCGCGTGGCCGTCGACTGTTCCCTCATTCTATCCTTTTTGGCAAGCATCCGAAAATGCGTGTATTCCGTACTGTGCTATAATCAATGTATCTCTTTTGTAGCCATAGAGAGAATGTGTTTTGGTGATTCGCTGTGTAAAATCTATGGGGTGTGTGTACTCCGTCTATGACTGTAGATATCCCAAGATGTGCGATGTATCTGTATCTGCGTGGCTCCGGCATGGCGTGGCCTACGGAGTGATTCGGAACCAAGGCGAGAGTGCGGAGAATCCCTGTTTGAGCGGCACACGGTTTCGAGGGTTAGAGAATGCATCTTATACAAAGTTGGGCGCTTTTCATTGTATGGAGAGCCACCCAGGACACCGTAAAGTGAATGCAGTCCATCGATCTTGACTACTATCATACTAGCTTCGTGTATTTATATATATAAGTTTGCCGTAGTTGCTCTTATATAAAGTTGGCCCGGAACTGGTTGACCCCCCAACACGTCAGAGATTTTCCGAGCTGCGCTACTTCGGACCAAAGGGCCATTGATCTCTAGATATTCCACTCCAACGCTTCCCCTACCGGTCTCAGTTCTCATTCCAACATCATGACCTTTTTTGGGTCTGGGGAACGATGTCATTTCTTCATGGAAAAAGCGCTGTGGCTCCCTGCACCCGGCCGCCAAGCCCCGGTGTGTGTGCGTGAATTCCAGGGCAACGGGCTGAGCTTCCTCGGCCACCACTTCACCACACGATTTGAGAGACAATGGAGGATTAAAAAACAAATAGAATGTTCCTCGGGATCTAAAAAAACAAATTCAGTTAATTACATTCAACTCCTATCCCTTGTAGAAAGCTCAAGTTGGTGCTCGGTTCATCACGGGATCGTCGGCAAAACCGCCCCGGAAAGGCTAAGGGCGACCAGTCCCCATCCACCAACCTCTTCCCTTCCTCTTCTTCCCTCTTTTCCCGTTCCAACCTCACCTCTCCCCTTCATCACATCTCGCTCTTCAACACCGTCATCATGTTCAAGAGGTAAGATTTTAAGATTGATACAATCTTGACTTTCTCTTCTCCATTTGGATACTAATTTTAATCCCTTTAGCGGTCTCGCCCGGTCCTTTGGGAGGGCTGCTTTTGCCCGGACGACCCCCGTCGCCCGCGCCTTCCAGCCCATCCGCTCCAATGCTCTCCCTGCTCTCACTGCCCGCTTCGCTAGCTCCGATGCTAGCCTCGTCGGCAAGGTTCACCAGGTCATTGGTGCCGTCGTTGACGGTACGTGTTGTCGACTCCTGACGGAAATGGGAACCTCGCGAAAATCTTTTCCCTGGACCCAATCCATCACCAAAACCATCGCAATCAATCTCAAAATCATCAACGGAATCGTATCTGACTTTGTATTCGCCATTTCACAGTGAAGTTCGACGGCGACAAGCTCCCTGCCATTTACAACGCCATTACCACCACCAACAACGGCCAGAAGCTCGTTCTGGAGGTTGCCGTACGTGATCTGATTGGCTGAACCTTGATTCAATCGGATCCAAGCTAACAAATATCTTATAGCAACACTTGGGTGAGAATGTCGTCCGTACTATTGCCATGGACGGTAAGCTTGCATTCCTTTCCCCCTTTCCTGGCCACCGTGTCGTCCTCTACCCGATTGGGAGACCCACCGAGTGCGCCCTCCCGATATCGAAGAGCTTCAACTAACGTCAATTCAAGGTACCGAGGGTCTCTCCCGTGGTGTCGCCGCCGAGGACACTGGTGCTCCCATCACCATCCCCGTCGGTCCCGCCACTCTTGGCCGTATTATCAACGTCACTGGTGACCCCATTGATGAGCGTGGTCCCGTCAAGGCCACCAAGTTCGCTCCCATCCACGCCGAGCCCCCTGCTTTCATCGACCAGTCCACCTCTGCCGAGATTCTCGTCACTGGTATCAAGGTCGTCGATCTGCTCGCCCCCTACGCCCGTGGTGGTAAGATTGGTCTCTTCGGTGGTGCCGGTGTCGGTAAGACCGTGTTCATTCAGGAGCTGATTGTAAGGATTCCCTTCCCCCCGATGAAATTGTATATTTCGCTGACCCTTTGTCCTGTAGAACAACATTGCCAAGGCCCACGGTGGTTACTCCGTGTTCTGTGGTGTCGGTGAGCGTACCCGTGAGGGTAACGATCTGTACCACGAGATGCAGGAGACTGGTGTCATCCAGCTTGAGGGTGACTCCAAGGTCGCTCTCGTCTTCGGTCAGATGAACGAGCCCCCCGGTGCCCGTGCCCGTGTCGCTCTTACTGGTCTGACCATTGCCGAGTACTTCCGTGATGAGGAGGGTCAGGATGTGCTGCTCTTCATTGACAACATTTTCCGTTTCACCCAGGCCGGTTCCGAGGTGTCTGCCCTTCTGGGCCGTATCCCCTCTGCCGTCGGTTACCAGCCTACCCTGGCTGTTGACATGGGTGTCATGCAGGAGCGTATTACCACCACCCAGAAGGGTTCCATTACCTCCGTCCAGGCCGTTTACGTGCCCGCTGACGATCTTACTGATCCCGCCCCCGCTACCACCTTCGCTCACTTGGACGCCACCACTGTGTTGTCCCGTGGTATCTCCGAGTTGGGTATCTACCCCGCTGTCGACCCTCTCGACTCCAAGTCCCGTATGCTCGACCCCCGTATCATCGGTGACGAGCACTACAACACTGCCACCCGTGTCCAGCAGATGCTCCAGGAGTACAAGTCCCTCCAGGATATCATTGCTATTCTCGGTATGGACGAGTTGTCTGAGGCTGATAAGCTCACCGTCGAGCGTGCCCGTAAGCTCCAGCGTTTCCTGTCCCAGCCCTTCGCTGTCGCCCAGGTTTTCACTGGTATCGAGGGTGCTCTCGTTGACCTCAAGGACACCATCGCCTCCTTCAAGGCCATCATTGCCGGTGAGGCTGATGACCTTCCTGAGGCCGCCTTCTACATGGTTGGCGACATCCAGGCCGCTCGCGCCAAGGGTGAGAAGATTCTGGCTGAGCTTGAGGGCAGCGCCTAAATGTAATTTTGTCATTTGCTAGCTAGCGCCGTCATAACTTCCCCTCCATCTTCAAGCCCTTCCTCTCCTTCCTCTCTCTCCCCACCTATTTTCTTACAGTTCTCCCAGTTTCATTTAATTCCCTTTGTCAGAACACTCAAGTGTTCCAACGTTGTACGCGACAACACCATTTCCCCCTTTTTGAGGCGTGTATATTACCCGATCTAAGAGAGAAAACCAAAAATGCAACCGGAAAGGGATTTGATTTTCTTTTCATTCCATCTCGCTGCATGGTGATCGTCGCGTGCGCATCGTTGAGAGCTCTTGTGTTGTCCTCTTTCTAGACTCGCTCCGAAAGGAACCCGAGCAAGGGAATATGAAGTGTTTACTGGCCTCTTACTGTGAGCTGGATTCGTGGTGCTTGGGATTGAGGTCTAGATTTGGTCTGGGCTTGGAGGGGTCTGGGAGTTTCCGATGCGTTCGTCTATCTTAGCGAGTTGATGAGATTTTAAAGCCGGTCTGGATTGGAGATACCTTACACAAACCTCTTGACCGGCGTGTTTCATTATTTTGTGTATTTAGAGTTCAAACCCTGATTCTCGACATCTTTTCCTTTGTCATGGTGCTCTGGTTCTTGTATAGGTTGGTTGTAGATGTAGATGCATACGAAGCCGGATGTAGTTGGCTGAGAGAGTTATGTTCATTCCTCTCTAGCCTGGCAGTCTAATCCTTTAGACTAATACTAATTTGTCTGTAGCGTGTTTCTTTTATCATTTTCTGGGCTGATATAGTCGATTGATTCTGGATTGGACATCCACCTAGATAGAGGCACGCCTATATGCAATCTCGTCTTGATATCATATGCATGCCCATTCTACAATGGCTACTTCCATGAAAACAATGTATATGATATGAGACATGGCCAGACATAGATAGTTATGAGAAATATAATGCAAGACATTAGATACGAAGAAACGAGGTCAAAGCACGCCAAACACATTATAGCGACCCGCACCTGGAGCTAGGACTCGCACACCGATGGCTCGATCTAGACTGCGTGCGAGCGGACACACCAAGTACGCATTACAAAGTATTTTCCAGAGCCAGGACCTGTGAGCGAGATGTCAGTCAATTCGTCTTGAAAAGGGAGGGGAAAAGAAACATACCAAGGCAGTCCGGGTAGGGATGTAAACCTGGACGAAATTCGCCCGCCCGTTCCATTCCATATCGGTGGTGAAGAAGCGTGTCTCTTTGACGTTTCGTCCGAGTCCACCGAATGCTACGTCGTCGGTATCTAGCACGATGCGATATGTGCCGGCGACGTCAACGCCGACACGGTAGTCTGTGAAGCTCTGCGAGGAGTTGAAGTTGAAGATCCATAGTAGACCTGCGCGCTCGAAGACGAGGACTTTGTCGCTTTCGTTCTTCAGACTGATGTATGCCTGTGGCGAGGATAGCCATCCGTATTTCTCTTCGGTCAGTTGCATGCCGCGGTCGAACTCGTTTAGGAACTGATAGCGCAGCAGCTTGTCTTCGGTTAGGTTTAGCTGTCGACGGGCGTACCAGAAGGAGTTGTCGTTGCCGGCACGTGGGAAATCCAGCCATTCGGGGTGTCCGAATTCGTTGCCTTCGAAGTTGAGGTAGCCCTCGCCGCCGAGGGCGTGGGTTACTAGACGGATCATCTTGTGCAGGGCCATGCCGCGCTCGATGACCGGGGTGAATTCGGTTAGTGTGGACATGTGAGTGTACATTTCCTTGTCGCAGAGCCACATCATTAGGGTTTTGTCGCCGACGAGGCTGGGAGGTGTGTTAATTGTTATATGCATAGCTGAAATGGGGAGGAGATTGGGCTTACGCTTGATCGTGGCTCTCGGCGTAGGCAATGGTTTTCTCGCCATGGCGTCGGTTGGTCAGGGTGAAGGAGAGATTGCCCATGTCCCACTCGTCGTCGGTGCTTTCCTTTAGCAGCTTGATGTACATGTCTGGGATTGCCATTGCCAGGCGGTAGTCGAAGCCGACACCTCCTAGTGCGTGGGGAAGACACAGGGCAGGCATGCCGGAGACATCTTCTGCGACTGTGATGCAGTCGGGGTAGAGCTCGTGTAGCATCTCATTGGCCAGGGTTAGGTATGTGACGCCCTCCTCGTCAACGGCAGGTCCGAAGTACTCATGGTAGCCGCCGGAGAAGCCACTTTTGTTTCAGTCAGTATGAGATTCTATATCGCAAGCAAAGACCGTACGTACGTTCCGATACCATGGTGTGAATAGAGCATGCTGGTCACTCCATCAAAGCGATATCCATCAAATTTATACTCCTCCATCCAGAAGCGCAGGTTACTCAAAAGGAAGCGTAGCACCTCGTGGTTTCCATAGTTGAACAACCGGCTGTCCCAAAGCTCATGTCGGCCCTTTGCACCCCCATGGAAGTAGAGGTGGTCAGTTCCATCGAACTCGTTGAGTCCGTCAATGACGTTCTTGGAGGCATGACTGTGAACAACATCAAGCAGCACAATCAACCCGAGCTCGTGGGCGGTATCAACAAGCTCCTTCAGATCCTCAGGGGATCCATAGCGGCTGCTTGCCGCGAAGAAATTGTTAACCTGGTAGCCGAAGCTAGCATAGTAGGCATGCTCCATGATGGCCATAAGCTGAATTGCGTTGTATCCCAGATACTTGATACGGGGCAGCATATTCTTCGTAAACTCCTTGTATGTAGCGACCCTAGTCTCGGGTGACGAGATACCGACGTGCGCTTCATAGATGCGCAGGCTTGCGGGCTTCTTGGGCCGCGCATGCTGGAATTTATATACCTCATCTGCTGGCGGGTTCCAGAAAACAGCATCATATGCCGGCGATACGCTCAGGTCTTGGACCACACGCTTGATCCACGCGGGGATTCGGTAGATGCGCTCGCCGCTGGGTAACACCATTGTGATCTACAGCGCTGGTTAGCGGAGTTTGTTCTTCCCCCGATGTTCAAGGATTGATGATGAAGCCTGCCTTGATCTTGCTGTCGTGAGGAATAGCGGGAGCGCCGTCCTTCGCCGGGACCGTTACATCCCAGACGCCGAAGTCGTTCTTGGTCATGGGATTGGCATTGGCGTCCCAGTTGTCTACCAGTTTCAGTCAGGAGTGCCTCAAATATCTGTAGTTCACAACATACTGAACTCGCCGACCAAAGAAGCCTCCACTGCGTTGGGTGCCCATTCCCGGTATGTGATTTCGCCGTTCGGTTGCGCATGAAGACCGAAGGTTTCGTAGCCCTGATAAGCAAATTAGTATGGAAAATAGCAATCGGTGAAGATCAATTCACCTTGCTGAACTTGTCCAAGCCCCCCTCCGACTCATTAATCGTCTTAGCCCAAGTTTCAACGACTTGGTATCTGTGCTTCAGGACCTCGCGATGCGGTTCCAGCCAAGGATCTAGCTGGATAACACCTGTTTTTTTTTGTTAAAATCAAAATAACGTTTGAAGGTGATGAATGTAGAAGCTCACCTGTGCCATCCGTGGGAACTTTAGAGGTGTCAATGGTCGAAGACATGTCTGGGAGATGATAGCTTTGGAGAGGTGGAGAGAAGATTGGGGAGGTCCAGATCAAGGAAATCCAGCGGGGGCCCAACATGTGACATCAACCCCTCAACGCTTGGTCCCTTTTTTTTTTTTTGCGCGCATTTAAGTGGGTTTTTTCGTTCTAGGCCTTTGTGTTATCTGTGAGTGGCAATTGCAGGTGTGTACAGAGTATGCATTCAAGCTACAGTGGAGATGTGGAGAGCTCATCGACGGGAACGGATCCGCAGGTCCATTTTCAGACACCCGGCTCTACAGTAAGTATACATCCACATATGGTCCTGATATCTACAGAAGGTATGGGCCTTACCTCGTTTCCCAGAGCCATTGATCAAAAATCCAAGAGTTTGGATTTCATACCTTGCCTCCGAACGTGCACTTCGGAGATTTCGTACTTTGTGCCACGATGCAAATTCCCGTACATTGCACTGAAGCTCCGAATATCAGACTCAGAGACATGGTATAAGGTCAATTGCTCTCTTGTGGATTCTCTGATCATTCGATTATAGAGTAGCACCAGAAAGCGCCACCCAAGTATTAATTTTACACAGTGAGCAGGTACGCGTTCAGGCACAAGGCTCTAAATGATCACACACACCTACCATGTACTACATAGGAGCTGGTTCTAACTCGAACTTAAGCGCTCAATGTCTCTGCTGGGCAACCGTGAATCGCCTAGTTCGCTGATCTTTCTTTTGGTCTGTCAAATAAGAACAGTGTCGGTTGTAGTGGTCTATAAGCTGTTAAAAGACCGGAAGTCCATCGACCTGTAATAAAATGAGCCATATACCTCAGTAGCCAGAAGATCCTAAGGTATACCATGTATGAATATATGATAAAGCCAGTATTGAACTCGATGCAAGAAACCAAACAGTGGGACTTAGGCCTACGACCAAATGTTGAGATTACCCTCTACTGACTCCTTTAGACCCTATTTCCTTTGTATAGTCCCCCTCTTCGGTGTCTATCCTTTTAGTAGCTACAGGACTAATATACTAGACTGTCACTTACCACTTCTCTCACTTCACCTTCACTTATCGCGTAAACATATATTGAGAAAGACCTATAGATTGAATCAATACTTATACTATTCTATCAGCACATTTGCCCCTTTGGATCCTCGCGAGATCATTTTCGAGTATATGTTCATGCAAAATGGTCAAATCTGACTGCAAACATGAGCAGTCCTCCTTCGAGCAGCTAGGTCCCTACCTTACGAAGCGGAAGCTCCGGTGAAACATGGAAACAGAAGCATTGAGCTAGGTCTCAGCGACCAAAACTGTCCTGTAACTCGCCGCAGGAAGATCATCACCAAACTACCTCCCATTGCAATCAATATGGTGACTGCTGGAATACAAAGCTTTTGTGTTAGTCGAGGAGTGGACTACAAGCTAGACATTATGATGGCATTGGAGCGTGATAGAAAAATGGCAATCTGGTTTCAGTCTGGTCCTATACCGCTAGATTGATCCCTCGTCTTGGTTACTATATATCGATCCTCCTGTATCTGGATCAATCGTATCATTCTTTACGGGGTGCGGAGTAGTCACTAGTTTGTTATGCGAACAGGCGGCTAGCTGAATCAAGAAGTGTGCTATGCAACTAATCTCTGACCTCGCATGGGCTAATGTGGAAGGAGATCAACTATAGACACATCTAGGCCTGGAAGGATGCGAAGAGCCAAGACATCCGATCGAGGTATCCGCAAATAATGATCCTTTGTCTCTCCTGCAATGATGGACTCCAGCCATTTTCGTAGACAGCTCAATCATACATCTCTTTCATGTCTGAAACCATTCATTTTTTCGGGCGATTGCTCTGATCATTAACTTCATGGATGAAGGAGATGGTGTCCGAACAAAGTGAAAATCACCTGAGTATTGAGATACACTATACGCATCTTGGCTAGATCGAAGTACGAAGTAGTGCGCAATGGGTTTCCACATCACTCCGCATAACATAGGAGACCGACTTGGCGGATCGACTGGCCAGGTTCCAATTGGACCAAATATTGCTTAATGGACCTGTGTCTTCTCATTAATTGGAACTCTCTCGCCTCTCAAAAAGCAAATGTATGATAGAGTGAGAAGCCGTCTTCCGGCGGCGAAGACCCCCTGAGGTCATTGAGCATGGCTGTGGCTGAAGATTAGGACTAACACTGTAACTACATGCGGAAGGAGAATCAAATGATGTAAGATAAAAGAATGTCTTGATTATCAATAAGAAATAAATCGTGCGTGTATATATGTACACTGTATATGTGTGTGTGGGTATCCCGAATATTATATCCAACCAAACGACCAAGTATGTACAATCCTCGACAAGCGTAGGAGTACCCAAAAAAAAGAAAGAAAACAAAAAGCCGTAAAGTGTACAAAAAAAAAGAAAGGCTCAACTCATATCTTAGAACGACTTAAACTCGTTTCGCATGCCGTGCACAAAAAGGAAATCAGAAAACGCGTAGCTAAACTTCAACCCCGAACTTCAGACCCTCAATCGAGTCGGTCGAGTTCCTGCGGTCCTTGATGAACTTAGGCCAGGTGTTCGTGAGAACGAGGTATTTGATACTAGCCTCTGCAGCATCGAAGATCGAAGCGTCGAAGTCGGCAGGGATATCACCCCAGTACTGCACGCGGTCCTTGATCGATCCAGTCGTGGAGTTTTGCATGGTTTTCTCGGAATCCACGGAAGCCGGGGACGGGAGATCGAAGGTGAATTTGTCAAAAGGACTGGTGGGATCGCATTCGCGCTCCTCGCCATATACAAGACGCGTCGGCTTTTCGAAGACGTCTTCCAGTTTGCGCAGTTCCTGGTGCGAGATGTTGACGGGGAACTCGGCATGGTGGACACTGATAAACTCGGCGTAGATATGTAGAGCGCGGTTGAAGTGTTCGCGGACGACATCCCGGTTGTTCTTTGATTGCTGTCTGGTGCTGCTCTTCATCGCTTCCGGTAGTCTGTTACGCCATTCTGCGACGCTAGTGAGGAAGACGATGTTCTCGCCGGAGAATTCGCGCAGTGCAGAGAATTCTTGGAGAGGTGCTGGATTGCGTTCTAGTACGTGTTCGAGGGCGCCCATGGTGAGGATGCTGTCGCGCGAGTTGAGTGTGCAGGTTGAGGTGTTGGACTTCCAGCCTGAGATCATGGATGCAACTACTGTTGTGTCGGAGTTGAGGGACTTGTCTTCCGAGCTGACGGATTTGACATTCGTTTCCCAGCGCGCGATCGAGTCGAGGGTCTCTTGGCGGAGTGATTGGTGACGCATGACCTCCCAGCAGGGGAGGAAGATTGTGAAGATTTCGATGATCATGATAGATAGGCACATCCTGTAACAAGGTCTTTGTTAGAACAATTGATGATCCTTGCGCATATGTTTTTGGGAGACTTACCATTGGGAAGGAACCCAGACAGCGTTGACTGGGGCCATGGCAGGGACGTAGAGACCGATGAGCCACATTGGGGTAGCATGAAGACTGTGTGGGATGTTAATAAAAAGTAAAATATCGCTTGAGTAGTTGCACCTACCTAGCAATAGCACAGCCGATGGTCTGGACTCGCCAGCCGTGAGTATCATGGATCTTTCGAGACTTCCATAAAACGACGGGGGCAACAACCCAAGACCAGAAAAACTGTGAAACGACACCGGGCCACCATTCCCACCCGGCACCTTGTGCTGCCAGTATCTCTGCAGGGGTACCGTGAACTCCAGTGCCAGGAATACCCCAAGAGTCGTGGTACTTGCGAGAGATCAACCACATCAGGATAGTGAGGAAGACCTACATGATATCACGAGTTAGACAAAGTATAGAAAAAATATGGATGAGATATGTCATCGTACCTGAAAAAACATTGCGATAGCAACGTAAATGAGGATTTTGGTAGTATAACGGAGTTGACGGAATCGGTTGATCAACCCATCCTTCTGCTCCGTGGGAGGCGAGTCGACAAAACGATGGCCATCCAGAGCATACTTCCTCTGGAGCTTAGCAACATGCTGAAAACGAGTGTTGGAGCCATGGAACAGAGCCATTCCACAGGGCAACAGGGTACCCATCAGCCAGTAACCGCAGTCACCAGGCATGATTGCACCTATCATAGTCCCGAACTGGGTCGGAGTCCAGTATAAATGAAGGACAACGATCGAAGTTAACGACAGAGCAAGGCCTCGAATGCGCAAAGTCGGCATGTCCCGATGCGCGATGAGATAGGCCATACCGGCCAGGACAGCCGAAGTCCAGACACATGCCCAAACCGCCCACCAGATAGTGACGGGGCTGAGATCGATCTCGGGCTTGGACTCAGCGGTGGCACCAAACTCGGACCCCATGGCTGCAAAGATGTGCTTAAGGAATGTAAGTGAAGTTGGATAGCGCTTGACGGTCCAAAGTGCCGGGTCGTGATCTTTTTATCTGGGGGCCACGGGGCAGCACATGCACGAGGCAGTGGACCCCTAACCAGGTTTTCGGCGTCACGACGGTGTCGATCATGACTGCGATACCTATTTTGCACTCCGTAGATTCGCTCTGGGATATTGCGTTGCGGGTCAGTCCACCGATCGGAGTATAGCCTGCGGCCTTGATCCCGTCGTGGCCCCGTGGCGATGGGGGCGCACACGCCCGCATGGTATTTGTCACTTGAAACAGGACGGTGATTGGCTGATTCAGAGGGGATTGGAGATCAAGATCTCTTGGCAGGGCCAGGTTCCTGGAGCTTTTATTGAGTCCGCCCTTTGCACTATCGATTCCCAAGAGTTTGCTGGGTTCTGTGAAGACAGGCGATCATAGCCCTAACCGGTAGGCCTCATTTTACTTCTCTCCGCCTCTTTCCTGTGCTCTGCTTTTGCGAGATATTTTCGGGGGTCGGGATCGAGTCTGGTACTCTGTTATCCAGGCCAGGCATAAAGGGGCATTCTACGGAGTACGCATTCTCATTATACGCAACGTCTCCTGGAGGCTCAAGGGGCCTGTGTTTCAGATATCCGAGCACTCCGCGCTATGATCCTATCTACGGAGTACTTAGGTAGGTAATTTACGAATACCCCTGCGAACGATCGAGAAATACAAATCGGACCAAAGAGCACATTTGGGGGCGAAACCCGAGTCTAGGATCTAAGATACTAGCTTGGCCGACTTTCTTTGGTGTCGAATAGCCACAAAAAGAGGTATGCAGTTCCCACATTTCGCTTAGCAGAGAATTCTCCAGCGACTATCGTTTTCCGAACTGACGATCAGTTAGTTCATTTGGTTTATTTCCGATCTCAAAGAAAGGTGATAACAATCAGACAAATCAATTCTCTATTGAGGTAGTCCGGGAATACTCCGTACTCCATACTCCATACTCCATACAATATGCGACAGAATCAAAAGGAGAGAAACAAGCAAATCTCAAGAATCCAAACAGAACAGAATCAAAGACTCCCCAACAGGAATCCCTCAGGAAGGCGCGAATTGCCACTCCACTCCATACGCGAGGGCTCAAACAACCCCATGGCCTTGGCCTCCTCCTCAGAGCCCGCCCGGAGATATCCAGAATATTTGATATCGAACCCCGGAACGAGCAAAGCATCCTTGAGGCCCCTATTCACCACCTCCTCCTCGTCGCGCGCGTACATGTAGCCGTAATAAATGTATTGCCCCGCGTCAGGGATCGACAAGCAATTCCCAACCTCGGTCTTGGCACAACAATCATCAGCATGCGCAGCCTCCATCAGGCCCATCTCAAAAGCATCAGATTCGTTGTATGCCTCCACATACCCGAAATAGATGCCCCCGTAGTACTCGCCACACTCACCAGGAACCGGCTCCGCCTCACAGAGGCCCATCTTGGTAACCTCATCCAGCGAGACCGCGCCCATGAATCCGGTGTAGACATGTCGCTCCCGATCCGGCATAGTGAAAACCCCGTCCTTACAACATCCCCAGGGGTGCTGGATCTCGGTTAGTCCCATTGCCCGCGCATGTCGTAGATCGTCTGCCCGGAGCAGTCCGTAGAACTTGCCGTCTTCGCCGGGAACGCGCCGGATATCGTCTAGCCAGCGTCGTTCGGCTTCTTGCTCTGATGCTGCGTGCATTAGCCCGTAGAAAAGGTGGAAATTGGCGGGCCGCTCGTCGCAGCACCCGCGCGCATGCTCTGCGTCCAATAGACCCATTCGGTTGGCGTCGTCGACCGAAAATGCACGCATGAATCCTTCCCACTCGCCTTGGTGCTTACCGTATGGCCGGACATCCCGTAGTCCTTTCTTTTGGGCGTCTTCTGCGGTCGCGGCGAACAGGTTGCCCTGGTAGAGGTGCATCCGTGGTTGCGGGCCTGGGATCCGTGAGTCCGGTCGGCTCTTGGGTGGCGTGCAGGTGCATGGAGAGATGCCACTGGTGCTCGCGTCGGCGGGGATGTCATTGGTAGGCTTCGGGTCCCAGATGTTGGTGATGGACTCTGTGTCCCAGAGATTCGGGTCTTCTTCGATGCCTAATCCGATATTTCGTTCGCGTCGATCGTTCTTGTCTTTCTGTAGAAGTGCGTGATCAAACAACTTGGAGATGGCTTCTTGTCGGGCTTGCTTTGTGTTGTTTTCTTCAATGCGCTTGTGGACGGTCGCTTCAATACGCCGCTGCATATGGTCAATGTCAATAAAAGGCAGATTACACAAGTCATCCTGAACCGAGGGGCTATCTGGCGATTCCTGAAGCATTTCTTCTAGGGTAAGAAGCTCGTTATCTGGATCAGCAGAATCAATATTCTCGTCGATACCGAAAGTGTCAGCGTTGTACTTGTCATAGTCAGTTTCAATCGCTTCCCGGTCCTGCTCTCCCTGCTGGATATAGTTTCCAAGTCTTAGTCTCAGTAGGGTTTCTCTCAATTTAGATCCGTGAAGTGATCCACAGCTGCTTGATTCATAGCTGCTGTCATAGCTGGAGGTTGAGTATGCAGTCTCATGGTTCAGCGAGTCAATTTGAGCACTGTCATTTGTATAGCCACCATAAGCGCCAAAACCGGCTGGAATAGACTCAGAGACAGATACAGACCAGTCATAGATCCTAGCAGTAATCTCCGGCTTGGTCGGCTTTTTCTGAGCAAAGTCAGCGAATTTCGCCTTCTTCTCCGAACGCCGACATCCACGAGAATCCGATTCGTGGACAACAGCAGGATTAACCTGAGAAACGTCAGAGAAGACTGGGGCGCTCTTAGTGAGCACACATCCCCCAGGAGAGTCCAATTCGTCGGCAACAGCCTTCGAGCCTGGATTCATCTGAGCAAAATTAGAGAGCTTGGTCTTGCTCTTAGGACACAAACATTCACAATGAGGACCCGATCCATCGGTAACAGCACACAGGCAGATCAACTGACCATTGTCGCTGTGGTCAGCACTGCCCATGTCCCCATTACCCGACTCCCCAACGACAGCACCCAAGCAGATCGACTGACCATTGTCGCTGTGGCCAGCACTGCTCGAGTCCCCATCGCCAGATTGCCCAACAACAGCACCCAGGCAGATCGACTGACCATTGTCGCTGTGGTCAGCACTGCCCATGTCCCCATTACCCGACTCCCCAACGACAGCACCCAAGCAGATCGACTGACCATTGTCGCTGTGGCCAGCACTGCCTGAGTCCCCATTGCCGTCGGAATCACTCACCATGCGTGCTTTAATTTCAATAGTTTGGCGTGTACCATCCAGGCCTTCAATTTTCAGGTAAGAATTGGATGATTGAGGCCGGTGGTTGTCTTCAGAGAGGCTGGCCATCCACTCACTCACACACTGCATGCACCTGCTGGGTTGGGGGGAGGAGAGGAGGTTGTGGGAGGTTTCAATCAGGGTGCAGGGTATGCTTTGCTCTGGACTGGCCAGGCGAAGCCTGTTGGTGTATTCTTGACAGCTGGTGATGCTCCAGTTGGAGATATGTCCACAGTTGGGATAGTGGTGGTAGGTGTAGTTACACATTGTAAATGATAGACCCTAACGAGTCAGAAAAAAGGTCTGTTGGTAAGATGGTAGATGAGGAATGAAGATGAGAGAATTGATCTGGTAGCAAGTTAGATTTCCTCTGGGCTATGGGGGGTTATATAACTTGTTCGGGGGAGGAGTGTCCGTGATGAAGTATAAAGCCGAGTCGAAGAACAAAGCCCTAGGTTAACAAAGATGGCTCAAGGCTATTCTTTTGGTCTCAACGCAAAACTCTTTGACGTTCACAAAGGCTATTGATTGGCAAAGAAGTTCAAGGGTAATTCGCTTGTTAGACGCGCTCTGCTAACAAAGAAGAATATGCCAACCCCCATTGTATCTCAAACATATCCAGTGCTCGAGCAAACTCCCAGTCGTTCTAATAATATCATTCATTGTACTTGGATATCACAAACACATTGTATCAAAGACCCAGTTCACACTCTAAGCCAAACAAGACGAAGCGTGTGAGACCGATCACTCAACTCTCCAAATCCATGAGATACCTAACCCCGGACTCAAGCAACCACCACGCGGCAGTCTCATGCATCCATCGTAGAAGAGGTCTCTCCAACGGCATTTTCCTAACCTCATCCGCTCTTCTCCACATAACGGTCTCGCTACAGAACACGACCGGTCCCTCTCCCCGCTTGCCATCCCTATTTAGACCCTGATTCCCACTGTAACTAATAGCCAATCTCCCCTGCACAAAATCCATCGCATCCATTTTAATCTCAAACTCAACCCGATTCTTCTTCCGCAGCGTAACCCGATAAACTCCACAAACCACATCCCCAACCTCAAAATCCAGCGCACTAAGATACCCAGCCTTAAAACTCCTTTTCTCCTGTGGGGTTTTACTAGCCATAGCCAGTACCAGTGCCTGCGGGAACCGCGAGAAGGCGATCATATTGCGACACACGAGTCTTTGAAAGAGATCCGTCATCTCGCTGCTGGGAAGGGAGCTCCGCGGCACAGATTGGGAGGAGTAGTCATAGACCATGAAGTACTCATTGCTGAATACGGAGTCTGGAATGGACTCTATAGTTGTTGGGTTTGACGCGGCGGAAAGGGTTCCGCGATGGGAAGTGTGCTTTATGCGTTTTGATAACCGCTCGTGGAAAATGTAGAAATAGATTGCCGAGGAGCTGGTGATTATTGCTGTTGCGGTAAAGATGAGACGGAGCATTTTGGTGTTTTTTGGAGTCGTGAAATTTCTACGATTGGGATGTTTGGGTGTTGTTTTGGGAGACAGGGATGGTCGTCAAGTGACGGCATCATCGGATACGAGGTGGCTTGGCGAGTTCAGCTGGGCTTCTATTCGCCTTACCGGTTTTTATGACAATCGAACGAAATATGAAACGAAAATTATGCATTTCACAATCGCGTACTAGTGGAAAATGAGTGTAATGTGTTCGATTTTGCAACGAGGAGAGACACATGGACGGATATACTCCAAACTCCCCTTCCGCAACAAAGGTCTATATTTAGAGCTGCTTCACTCCGTAACTGGGTATAGAGATTTAGGCGAGAAAGATTTAAGCGAGACGAGATTGTTGGGAACACGAAGAGCGGTGAGGCTAGACTTCTATCGAGCAGTGAAGTTTGTGTCATCTAGTACGTGTCTACGATAGACAAATGAAAGAAATGCTTTGATTCGCTCAAGGCTCTGACAACTAAGCTGGTCTCCCCATCGTGACTGTTGACTTCACCCGAGCAGCTACAGACAAGGTCCCTAATACCCAAATGATTAGCCCGATCTTATTTCACATCCCTTTCCATTCACAACATTCATACCCAGACAAATTGACTCGCCAGAAACCATCAACTACAGATATTCCTCCACTTGGATCATGGAAACCCGAATGAATTATGATGACGTTGCATGGGAGCAGTCCGATGATGTCTCCGACAATTGGCTGCGTCAGTTCCTTGATATCAATGTCAAAAGAGCGATTGCGAAATTTATCCTGAAGTAGGATTCTGGAGATGATCCAGAGTTTGCAATCCTCCAAAAGGGTTCTTTCAACCTCACGTTGCAAATGAAGTACACATATAGCGCGACTAATATTCGCTTCTCCCAGCCTGGAGCTGTTATGTTTCCCGAGGAGAAGGTCACGAATGAAGTTGCTGTGATGCGATACATCTCGGATCAGGCATCAATTCCTGTTCCGTTCGTTATTCATTCGGGTGCAAAAGAAGAGCCCCCTCAACTTGAGCCCTTTTATCATGATGGGCCACATTATGCATACCACGACCATGTATGACGCTCTCAACACTCCAGGATGTCCAAATGAGGAACGGGGGGTCCTTGATCCGAACATCGAGGAAGCCCAACTTGAAATGCTATACAAAGAACTAGCAAAAACCTTGCTTCGGCTTTCTAAGTTAGAATTCCCGAAGATAGGGTCCCTTAGTCAGGTGGATGATTTTGCCTGGGAAGTGACGAACCGGCCACTATCCATGAATATAAATGAGCTCGTGCGTTTAGGCACACTGTCTCGATCAAAACTCCCACCTTTAGAGGCTACTTTTGAAACAGCATCTTCATATATCGAAGCCCTAGCGCAGCTTAATATCCAACACCTACTTCATCAAAGGAGCGATGCGGTACAGTCTGCAGACGATTGCCGCCGAAAGTTTATTGCAAGGCAGCTGTTTCATAAGCTTGCTCGGGAAAAGAAATTATTCCAGCCGTGTAATGAACATGGGCCATTCCCACTCTGGTGTGATGATTTCCGGCCTGCCAATGTTCTTCTCAATAGAGAGTTGCATATTACCGGCGTGGTAGATTGGGAGTTCACATACGCAGCACCAGTGGAGTTTTCATACGCTCCACCTTGGTGGCTCCTGATCGAGAAACCCGAGTACTGGTCTGAAGGCATCGAGGACTGGACTCGAGTGTTCGATCATCGCCTAAAGACGTTCCTCACAGCAATGAGGTATTGTGAAGATATGGACGTTCAGAGCGGTCAGAGCTTGAGTGGCCGGCACCGACTCTCAGACCATATGCAACAGAGCTGGGAGAGTGGGGACTTCTGGGTGGTGTATGCAATTTTGCACAGTTTTGCGTTTGATGCGATATATTGGCAAAAGATCGACCAGCGGTTCTTTGGACCTACGGAGACTGACAATCCCAGCGAGGCGTGGAAAGAGCGATTGGACTTGCTCGATGAAACTCAAAGGAGTGAGATGGAACGACTAGTGACAAAGAAGCTCGAGGAAATGGAAGACAGAGCCCTGGCGTGGGATCCGGATGGATATACTGAAACATCTTACCAGGAGCTCAGGGGGAGAGCGGATAAATCCAAGGCGGAAGAGGCCCGAAATTGAGAGTGATAGATGGCCAAAATGTTGTATAGATGTTTAGCTAGAAGATATCTCTGGTATTTGAGCTGAAATCCGACCACAGTACGGGGTAGGACTTGTGGTCATTACGCAGATAAGCATAGTTTGTCCCCAGAGACATACGTGGGTGCCAAACCCCGACAAAGCTGACTTGAGACCCAATCTACCACAGTCCTGGAGATAAGGTCACTTCTACCGATGTCCCGAGTGCTGAGTAGGGAGTCACTCGTAGATTTATTCATGGAGGAGGACAAGCACGAAAGCAAAAACGAATTACTCAATCTGTATCTCGATAGGAAACAGAGACCTTGCGTCCCTCGCCTGACTCCTTGTAGCGCTTGGTCTGCAAACATACAATCCTGAGAATCCAGGCAGCGAGAGAGATATCAGCAATGGCCTCAGAGCCAACATTATTCCTAACTTGTATCTCTTACCTGCAGTGGAGAATATTACTGTGGGATCACAAAGAGAAGATATTAAAAAAATGTCAATCGTAAAGATATGTCTAAGGCTATATCATGATCAGCCCCCAAATAATGACATCGAACACAAGGTGGTATCAATTCCAAACAAAGAAAAGGCAAAAGAAAAGGCAAAAGAAATCCAAAACCCTCACTTCCTCCCATTCTGCAAGACATGCACACGTCCACTGTTATGCCACTTCGCAAGCTTGGCACCGCATTTCCCGCAGGAATGCTCGACATCCTTGAGCGAAGACATCAAGTAAGGGACACACCCAAGACAACAACAGAAGCAGAGAATAGCAGCCCAGCCACTATCCAAGGGTTAGTCTCTGCGACCCATTCCACACCTTTGCAACATCTATGGGAATTCCAACTTACTGCGTAGTCCCTCCGCTCACAGGCTGAATACTGGTCATCTCACGCTTTCCACAAACAGGGCAATCAACCGGTGTAGGCGCTGACTGGACACCATGTAGCGGGACAGCCGTTGCATACCCGCTGGGATGGCCATAGGGAGTGTAGTACTGCCGTGGATGGCCCTGGGGCTGGGGCTGGGGCTGGGGTTGACCTTGATATACCTTCTCTGGCGGACCCAGTGATGTCGGGGCCTCGTATTCTGGTGCCTCACCGATTAAGTCTGGTTGGTTGGGGTTTTGCTTCTCCGAAGCGCCGTTGGTGGGTGTTAGCGCGCTGACGGTGCTCCGCGTGGTATCGGTGATGGACTGGCCGGTGTGTGAACGAGTGACGTGGTATGGGCTCACGGGGCCATGATTTAAGTGTGAAGGGGATATGACTTCTGGCGCTTCGCTGTATGTGGGAGCTGGTGCTGAGGGGTTCGTTAGCTTGAGTATGAATATAGTAATGCGAGTGACGTACTAGAAGTCGGCTCCGGGTGAGTGATTTGTTCAGGCATGTTAGTTTCTGAGTCTGGGAATTCGAGAATAGGTGATCTGTGGTGGGAAATGCGAAACCAAGGCCTTCAATCGAGCCCGGGGGCCGGAGGGGCTTTAAGTCAAATGGACAGAGCCTCGTAGGTAATACACCGTACGTTAATATGAAAATAGCGCGATCAATACGCTCGTCAGATATAACAGGCAAGAATACACCGTTGTATGGTGAATACGTAGATATTTCTCTCATGCACTGCCTGGAATACGCGGGGAGATAGAATATGAGCCACATCCTTGCATATTACGACGCAGAGCCTTGTCAGGTTGGAAGTGATCGAAAGAACTCACTGAACCTTTCGATCGTTTTTGATGTGCATCCAATATCAACCGGACTTATAAACGAAGCAAGTATCTGAATTGTAGTTGAAGCCTCTGAACAGGAATGCGGCTCATTTTGCGACCAATTTCAAATTGAGACAGCTCATATTAGATAGCAGCTCCTCTCTGATACCTTGAACTTCTGTCGATTGCTAATAGTGAGTATCTACTCCGTATGCAGTATAAAGTCGTCTAATTTGAAATCTGACACTCTCCGCTCCATGCTTTATATCATAGTTTGTTCCTCACAGCTCCCTTAAAAGATCCGAATCCCCGGAAACCGTGCATTTTGGCCCCCTGGGGCGCTTTAAGATTCTTACGCCCGAGGTAGACGACGATCCTCGACGCCAACCCAATCACACGGCGGCTTGCGGCTCCGCAGCCGATCCATGCCCCTCTGAGGAGTCCCTCTACCAAAAGCTCACGGCTGAGTGGTAGGCTGAGGCAGAAAATCCCCTGTGACTGCGTAATTCATGTAGGAGGATACGCGAGGCACAAGCCTCGGGGTAGTTGGCCCCCAAACTCGGTGCTAAACACGCTCGTACCGTTTTGATACCATTTGGACGCGACGTCATGCCAATGTGGAAACAAGGAATGACAGCAGACGTTTGATCCGTAGATAGGTGTTTGCAGAACTCCCGACTATCTATGTTGTAGTCGACGAGGCACGATGCCTGAGGAACCAAGGCACCACTGTCTCAACAGGAAGTCGAGGGAGAGACTGATGAAATAATCACTATTCTGTCATGATGGAAATGAACATGCGTTTGTTCCTCGATCAGGATTCTACACCATTGAATCACTCTTGGGGGCACCCTCAAGCCCGATTCAACTCCATCTTATCACATCATGGCACCTAGAAAACGCCCTATGGCTCATAAAGTCTGAAGTAGTCTCGAGCATTCCAAATTGATATTGATCAAGCTAGTATGAAGGCGCGTGATCTATAATCGCTTCAGATGCGGTCCCAAGCGGCGTTTAGGGCCCACAGATATCAACCATACTGATAGGGAACGAAATCCACATAATGATGTCCATACTGCGCAAAAACCCTCAGAATCGCACTCCTGCGCATCCTCATTGCATAAGCCAGCACCGTCTCATTCCGTCGAAGACCCCCCTTAAGAAGCGGGTCCGCACGCCGCTCCATCAAAAGCTGAACCATGGGTTCATCGTCAGCGGTAACAGCCTTATATAACGGCGTCTGCCAGGGACATCGCATGTGATCAACCAGCGCGCCCCGATCCAGCAACAGCCTCGCAACCTTGATATTCCCATGGCCTGCCGCCTGCGCCAGCGCCGTCTCGCCATTCGAGCCGACAGCGTCGATCTTCGCCCCGCAATCTAGCAACAGTTGCACAACCTTGTCCTGCCCGTACGCGGCAGCTTGCGAAAGTGGCGTCTTGACGACCACCATCTGACGGCCTAGATCTATGTTCGCGCCGGAGGCGATAAGTATCCGCACGATGCGCTCGAAGCCCCGCGATGCGGCGGTGCTGAGTGCCGACTCGCCTTTCAAGGTGAGCTTATTCATGTCCGCGCCGTACTCAATGAGGAGGCGGACTATGGCTTCGTGGCCGAAGGAGACGGCGGCCATGAGGGCGGTTTGACCTTCGTTGTTTTGGGCGTCCACGTCGGCGCCTTTCTGGAGGAGGATTTGCACGGTTGGGGAATGGCCGTTCATTATGGCGGTTATAAAGGTGGTTTTGGAGCTGGTAATTTCCCATAGAATGCGGCTCACGCGGTGGGACTTGTGTGATCTTGAGACTTTGAAGGCTCGTAGGTCTGGTGTGGGATTGCGCTTGATGGGTGGGTATACGGGTATTGGGAGGTTGTTTTCTCGTAGTATAGTCTGTTGCTCCTGCTTGGATAAACTGGGAGCCACTGGTATTGGGAGATCGTGGTCCCGGAATATGCTCTGTTTCTCCGATTTGCATGGACTGGGAATCACTGGTATAGGGAGATTCTCCTCCAGTGTTACTTTCAATGTATCACCAGGATGGTGGTAGTCCAACAAAACCGGTATTGGGAAGTTTTCCTCCGGTATGACCTGTGTTTCTGGGTGTTGCTGATATTGCTCTCGAGGTGAACGAGGTCTATCTGAGTACGAGAAGCCTTTTGGTGGGAGCGGAAGGAATGGAAGACCGGTCGGTTCGTCTGCTAATAAGTCCTCGTTGTCCCAGTCTTTCCAGGGTTCCGATTTCTGCGCTGGTTCTTGTGCTGGGGACTCAGGGACCACGACCACTTGAGCATTTTGCGCCTCGGTGATGGACGGCAGATCGGCTGCCTCTACTATCTTCCGAAGATTCGAGATAATAAACTCATGATTCTCGTTCGACAGTTTAGAAGAAATACCCGCAGCCGCCAACGCTTCTTGTAGCCGTGCCCATGATTTATCTTCCCCGGGATTTGAAGAACCATTCAAAATATCCCAAACAAGGTCAGTCTCTCGCTTGCCTGCACGAATATCATCGAGAACACATTTTAGCGCCCGATCAATATTCCTCTGGGATGATCTGTATCGATGTTAAAAACTCCTCTTCAATTCACGCAGATCTTCAACACACATCATCATATTCGTATTGACCTCACTAAGCCCAAAAATCAGTGACGAGAATCGCGCTCTGATATCGGAAATGAGACTCTGGGCCCCAAAGGTGTCTGGATGCAGCTGCAGCTCCTGCAATTCCAAGAGGACGGCATGGCAGCTCTGGAGCCTTTTGTTCAGAACCCCAAGATGCGTGCAATCTGTACCCAGCGAGCTAGCATAAACTTCGGTTGTGGATAGCACGGCCTGCAACAGACCGAGCTCGTTATGAGCTTGGTTAGTCAAGGCTGTTGACCAGCGTGTTGACTCATACAGAGAGTTGGTCAACAGGTGGACTGCTGCAGTTTGATGCAATAATGGCCCACTACCTGCTTGCTGCAGGGACATGGTGCTTTCGGGGACTCTGTGGGGAGACGATAGGCCTGGAGTGTCAAAATGCGAAATTTGGAGATCGGGGGCTGCGAGGGCCCGTGCAACCCTGGCTTTTTGGCCCCCAGGCTTGTTTTGGAGGTTTTTAGTTTGCTTTCATGATTATGTCAGAATGCGAGAATAAGGAGATCGAGTACGCAGATTCGATTAGGAAGACAAAAATATATAGGGTGGTGAATGTGATTTAGGCTTGATTTGGGATCAAAGATGGGGATGGCAAGGTACCTAGATCGGATTGAGCCAAACATTCATGTTCCTTCAAGTACTTAGCTATCCATAGTATTAGTATTTAGAGGAGTTATGATAATGTATTTACTTTTTCTACGAGCCCTATAACATAACATCATGTCAAAGTAATTATTTCATTCTTAATAAAAGCTAAAGAAACGCAATCTGGCGGCTGCCGAATGCAGGCAGTCTATAACAGAAAATAGGACAAATAAAACGAGCTTATTTCAGTTGGAAGCCAAAGCAATCCAAACACACTGTCGACAGTAGGGAATTACTGGAAATGGACGCGTTTGCGATAGCAAATCGCGTCCAGCTCGCAAGCGATGCGGAAGTCAACGGACGGGTCCGGGTGCGGCGAGCGATCATTAGCCTCGAGATCAGCAACAGCCTGGAGCAAAGGCCCCTTGAGTTCCTCGTAGACGACTGCTTCGAATGGGCCAAAGAAGTGGCCCTTTGGTTTACTAAGGACAATCTCACACCACGGGTAGGCCTCCGCCATTTTCTTTGCGAGATCAACGATAACTTCCGAGTCGGCTGCAAGTGCACGGAGGTTCACGATACAGTCTCGGCGAGATTGATTACCGCCGAGGCTCAAGAACTCTTGCTCTCTTCGCAGGCTTTCATACATGTCGAAAACAGCCAGACGGTACTCGTATTCCCAATCCGTGTTACCTTGGCTGTGACCTTGGCCGTGACCTGGGCCGTGACCTGAGCAATTGCACGACATGATGTCTGTTTACAGTGGGTAATAAGTTGATTGATTGAATGATTGCGTGGCTGCTAATCTAGAGCTTGCAGGATTGTGAGATTTGTTGGTAGATTGTGGAGTTGAATATCGAAGTAGGTTGATTGGATGTAGATTTCCTGATGAGAATAGTGAGAAAAGATGGAAGAACCCGTGCTATTTATGCACTTCCCCTCGGGGTTGGCTGCAACTGTCAGACAAAGTCAATGTTCACGATTAAAGAAGACCATCAAAGCCATTAGCCATTGAGATATTCTTTATCGAGTCTCCACTCCGTGCACAAGGGAACAAAGGTCTGCCAGAAATTCCCGGAGAGAGAGAGAGCAGGAGAGACTTATTTTAGAAAGGAGTATGTAATGATAACAAAGCTCCTTATTTTGATCTTCTATTTATGGTGAATCGCTAGAGTAATGTTTATCTATTTCTGCGAACACCCCTTTTTTGGGATATTCAAAGAGACAGAACAAGGCGACCCTATTAAATTGACAAAGAACCGCACTATTCAACCCCCTTTACCTGGCACATATGATTGGGAGTTGGTCTAGAGTCTTTGTCTCTGCAGCAAGGTGATATGTTTAGCCTCGCTAACGGAGAACAATCATTTTGACGATGATAACATAGTCGAAGAGGTCTCATGCCTGGTGGAGACTTGTTGAAGTCGCGGCGGAATGAGCAACCTGTGAGACGGAAGTGTGCCCTCAGTAGATTTTTTATTCCTCCAATATCATCTAGCTCGAAGGCAAGGGCATCGAAAACCCTATACCTGGCTTTGATCTCCCTGGAAATCATTCGTCAGTTCATCAAATAGCTTGGTAGTAGCAGAGTTCAAACCCTTTGGAGCGTGTAAAAAATGGTATTATAAAGGCGACAAACTTCAGAGCCGTCTATACCCACATCAAAACTGAAAAGAATGATGACTTAAAATCACCGAAACAGTATCGCGAGGATAATATTTATCAGTAGACGGGCAGAACTCCTATCGCAGTATCCCGAGGAGCTCAACTTCCCTAGGGTTACTCAGTCGTTGCAGTATCATTAGGAAATCATCAAGACGTTTATTCATTGTCCGTTCCAACTTGCTTTCTGTCAGGGCTGCCATATAACTGATAAAAATCAAATACACGGAACCGTAGCCAGTAGGAAGGCTGCAGACCTCCCGGGAAAGGAATAACTAGGGAGGCTGTTGTCAGGAACCACTTAGGCTCCATATCAGTATTCCCTCCACGGTGGTTCCGATGTCAATAGTAATAATTGCAAAGTTTCCAAGGGGTTGAAGCAGATTCTCTCGCTCGAAATGTACATATCAATCTGTACACTTGCCTTTTCCCACTCATCATGTGGTGTCTCGTCTTGTTTGATCTTGGGTTTGCTACCAACTTCGGTTGTATGATGCGTTCTCGTACTGCATGCTGAATGCGATGACAACATGTGTCGATATCCATTCTCTTGGCACCTTTTGTATGATTGTGTGTCCGCGTGATCGCCACCTCATTTTGCTAGCATATGTTTCAGCTACCAGCTCCATATGATGACCTGTGCTTTTCCTGATAAGGGCCATTTGTTTCGAGTGCAGCTGTTCTATATCCTTCTGTTGTCTCCCTAGCACGAGCGTCGAACTAATGATGCTTCACATGGCTGACATACATGTGAGTATAGGATACTGCGTTGTGATTAAACTCGCAAAGGGAAGGGTCTTGTCAATATGTGTCAGCGTTTCTGCTTTCTTTCGGAACGTGTCGTGGAAGTGGCCAAGACTTGATATGATTGTACCTATTGAGTAGTCAATGACCAACTCTTGGTGTGCCAGAGAAATGAATGAGACTGAAAGCCTTAAATCCGCATCGCGGAGGAGTCGTGCAATGTGTGAGAGATGAGTAAACCACGAGAGAAGATTTATCGCATTCTGTGGAAAGGGCTCTCGGCAGATATATGGAGGCTCGGCAGATGGAGGGAAGCCTTGTGTATAAGACCTTTTGATGGTGCTGAGTGCCGTCAGGGAAAATTATATATTGAGAGATAAGAAGTGTAGTGAGACAACCTTGGAAGATGCGTCAATGAGGATTTTATATAATTCTTATGAGGCAGACAGATCAGGCAGAAAGTGTTTGCATCAAAGCCCAACAACTAACAAAAGGAAGGGCGTCTAAGACACTATTTGTACCATACAAGTTTACAAGAAAATGTGTCTTAAAGTAGGTAGATCTGTCTTAGGGGCTATATTTGCGAAAACAAAATCATCTTACAAGACTAGAATACAGACATCTCGGAGTGAGCATCGAAGGGCTTGAAACATACAAATCTAAAGATTAAACTGCCTAATACCAGAACAGAAGCTATGGAGAATTTTGGATTTGTGCTGTGAATAATCAGGAGCAAGATCAATAGAAAATGCAATCCGAAATCTATAATTCCTCATGTTCGCTAAGTTGAATTATTTCTCAAAAACCTTCACCACGTGGGCACTACCCTCAGCCCCTAACCCCGACTTCTTGGCCATGAACAACACGCTCAAAGCAGCATTGCCTAGATTTAAAGGACAATGCAGATCGCGTGCCTTTTGCACAGCCCTTGCCAGACGAGCACTAGCAGCATCAATGGTTTCAGAGGCTACATTCGCCCCTTGTCCACGCCCCTCAATAATCTCCAATCCTTTCGTCATAAACTGGCGACTTGCACCAGCAGCATCACTGACAAGAGTGTAGAACTGCTTCAAATCGACATTGAGGTAGCGCGCAAATGAGATCGCCTCCGCTGTCGCAACAAGATTAGTCACCTCCATCAAATCCAGGACCAGCTGGAGAGCCTCAGCCGCCTCCTCAGCAGACTTAGTGCAAGAAACCTTCATGATAGGCTCAGCAAAGTACTGCCGCACCATCGACGAATCATCAACAGCGCCATATCCCTGCAACAAAGCAGACAGATAAACCTGCTCAGCTGTGGAGCAGAGCGGGATAGGGAATTGATTTTGACGCGCCGAGGTGGTGATAATCCCCTGTCGAAAAATCAATTAGCAAAAGCCGCACAGCTCGAAACCCAAATCAGTCATCCTTACCACATCCTTAAGAATAATAGTCAAAGCACTAGCGCCGGGGTGCCAGTCTTCTTCCAACATACGTTGTAGTCGGTTCTCATGCATCCAAGTCCAGGAGGCACTCGACTTAATCGCCTCCGCTGTCTGAACTGCATCGAGTCCTAACTGCGCAGCAAAGCCCTGCGCCTCACTGGCACCCAGAATATGGATACCTGCTAGAACCTGGTGCACCATCTTCATATTGCTGCCCGCGCCAATACCGCCGGGAACAAGGTACAGCTTGTCTATATCCGACATCTCCTGTAGCAAGAAGCGGCCTTTCTCCAGCGCGGCATCGGGCGCACCGGCCATGATCGATAATGTACCCGCAGCGGCACGGAGGGCGCCACCTGAGACTGGAGCATCAATGAAACTTATATCACCGCGGCCAAGGGAGGCTAGCTCAGCGGCGACGGATTGGGCGTATGATGCAGGGACGGTGGAGCAGAGGAGGAGGGTTGCATTCTGGGGAAGAGCTGGAATAAAAAAGCCATGTGAGTTTAACCAAACTATTACAACGCGGTGGATATTTTCATGGATTTATTACCTGCAACTATGCCCTCATCCCCGAAAAGGACGCTTTGCACCTGTGGAGCCGAGGCTACCATGCAAACATAGAAATCTTTTTCCTTGGCCGAGTCCTGTAGTGATGAAGCTGCAATTCCGCCTGCAGCTGTAAACCGCTCTACTGATGCAGGGAATACGTCGTAACCGTGTACTGCATAGCCCTCTTTCACGAGATGAGTGGCCATGCCGAAGCCCATGGCGCCGAGGCCAACAAAGCCGATGGCCGGTTTAGACATTGTGGATATATGGAAGTAAACGGATATACAATTGGCAAATTAAGACTGGGAAAATGCCCGTATATATGTACTCTGTACAAAATGAAATAATCGTATTTCGACCCGCGTGGGGGTTCAATGAGGGGAAAGTGTCCGGGGAAGCTGGGTATGGGGGTGGGATGATTCGGGACAACTCCGAAGACCCTTGGCTTTTGCTGTGGGCCGAGTTAGAGTGGTTCTGCCAGATATTCTGGATATGAAGAGCGTGATAAGTTTCCGGTTAAATATATTGGCCCGAGAATATCGTTGTGCTGTGGTTGTTGATGCATACTTGCTCAAAGTTCGGGGGTTTGCCGAACAGCTCATTTAGACTAAACATGAGTTTATACTTAGATGGTATACGCCCGATGGTCAATTATGTAGGAAAAGATATTACAACAAACAAAAAAAGGCCTAATATCCATTTAGTTTTCTTGAAGAAAAAAAACCATTTTACTTCACTTCCCGAGAGATATATATGGGAGCATGTATCATTCCATCACCTCAGATGTCATGCCTGTATGTAGCCGAACTTCATTTGCCTGAGATCTCCAATGTGATACCTACATATATTCCCTCAAAATCTATGGTATACAACTTAACACCCCCAAATACCCCATATCCGCGGGATGCCCCTTGGTACCTGAGCAGACAGCTCAAAATGACGTAGCCGGAGCAACTCCGAGGCTCGGATGCGCAGCGACTCGAACAACCCCACGACTTTGGCTATATAACAGCGTGAAAGACATATTTCCGGCTCATTTATTGATCCAAAAACAGTTACCATATATCATTCCCACCCTCCCAACCTACCAAACAACCATGCCTCTCCAAGAAAACCGCGCCCTGCGCATCCTGGATCATGCCTCCGCAAACCACTACGGCGTCCCCGCAATGTGCTGCTACAACGTAGAAGGCATCCTCGCGACCGTCCGCGCTGCGGAGGCCAAGCGCTCCGCCGCCATGATCCTCCTCTTCCCATGGGCCATCCACTACGCCGACGGCCTCCTCGTGCACGCCGCCGCCGAAGCCGCGCGCAAAGCCTCCGTCCCGATCACAGTGCACATGGACCACGCACAGACACCCGAAATCATCCGGTACGCGGCGGACATGGGCGGGTTCGACAGCATCATGGTGGACATGTCGCACTACGAGAAAGAGGAGAACCTAGCGCTGACGCGCGAGCTGGTGGCGTACTGCCACGAGCGGGGGATTGCGACGGAGGCAGAGCCTGGGCGGATTGAGGGTGGGGAAGACGGCGTTGCTGATACCGTTGATTTGGAGGGGTTGCTGACGACGCCTGAGGAGAGTCGGGAGTTTGTGGATACGGGGATTGATTGGCTGGCGCCGGCGTTTGGGAATGTTCATGGGGAGTATGGACCGCGTGGAATTCAGTTGGAGTATGAGCGGTTGCAGTCTATTAATGAGGCTGTTGGGAAGGAGGTTAGGCTTGTGCTTCATGGGGCGGATCCGTTTACGGAGGAGATCTTTCAGAAGTGTATTGATTGTGGCGTGAGCAAGGTCAACATTAATAAGGTGTTGAATAATGAGTATGTGAGGGTTCAGGCGGAGAAGGCTGGGAAGGTGCCGTTGACGACTTTGTTGGAGGAGGCGACGAATGCGATGCAGAAGGCTGTGGAGGGATGCATTGATCGGTTGGGGTCTGGAGGTAGATACCCATCTACTTAGGGTTCATGTGGGATAGATGTGTTCCTTATGGGAAGATATGAATTCAATGTTTGTGATGCCATGAATTGAATGTGTAAGATTGAAACCAATACTGGTTGTCAGCTACTTGAGACTAAGGTCTTGGGATATATGAATGATTGCCAGAAAGGAAAAGCGCCGCCAATCCATTGCCAGATAAATCGAAAAACAAAGCGAGCGAGATTTACCAACATGGTAGTTTGGTACGAGCAATAAACAACATTGCACGTGAGAGGATATCATTTAATGAAGGACTTAACGACGGAGACCAAGGCCAGCAACGGGACCGCCGACGAGATCTCCAACGACGGGGAGACCGTGGACAATGCCGCCAAGACGGCCCGAAGGAGCGGATACGGTAGGAGCAGGAGCAAGGGCAGCGCTAGAGGAAGGAGTGGCGGAGCTCGGCCTGGCAGAGTGAATAACGGCGTGCGATGGAGTAGCGACGGGAGTCCCGGAAATCATGGGAATGTGAGAGAACTTGGGGGCCTTCGAGGTAGCTGCCTGTGAGGCGACAGGAGCAGGGAAGCTAGGAGCATTCTGCGTGGAGGCAGCCATGTTGGAGGCCATGGCAGCGTGGATAGGAGGGGCATCAGGCTTGCCCGCACCCTGAGTGGGAGATGGGTGACCGGATTGCTTTGAAGATTGGGCTTGCTCAAGGGCGTGCATAACGACAGGGAAGGGACTGTCGAATCCATCATCACTGTCCTGGACAGTAGAGGAGCCGCTGGGGTTGAAAGGGAAGCCGGTGGTCATGTCGCCGTCAGGCTTGGGAGCAGCAGGCGCGGCGATGGCGCCGACGGCGAAGAGGGCCAGGGAAATGTACGAGACGTGCATCTTGATAATTGGGTAATAAAGGAGAGTATAGATGGTCAGATGGAGAAATGAAAGACTGGGATGGGATCGGGCAAACGGCATACGATGGCGTTCGTTTATGTAGGGGAACTCAGGGCACTGGACGGACTGTTGTTATTTGCAATGCGCGTCCTCCATACCTCGCGCTCTTCTTGACAACGATCAACATGGCTGGGCGGGATGACGACAACATAGCAGCGGGGCGCCTATGCCTAGGTATGAGAGCGCGGGCTAAAGGACTGAATTGCCGCGTATGGCTGTGGAATGATCGTCCAGGAACATGCCTAGCAAAGCTTATCCGATGATGAAAGCTTACCTTAGTGTCAATCCAGTGGTGTGCAACAAATAGGGAGTAGGCAAAGCATGCAATTAATTCCCCAAGGGGGGGCTATGGATCTCGGAGGTACTGGATGAGGTTGACATGGTGGCGCACATCTGGCTGATTTCATTGCCCTCGTGGGTCTTTGTCAAACACAGAATCTACTAATTGACGAACCGTCTGTGGATCGTCCCTTACCTGGCCGCTGTTCAGATTCTTCTAGGGGCAGATGGGCTTACTCCGTATAGGGAATATTGATCAGTCCTATCGGGAGATCAGCGGTATACAACATTGTGGGATGGATACGATCAATCCTTTAGCCAAAGAGCACCAGACCTATAGTGTAAACAGGGAATATTTTCTTATGTAAATTCAAAGGGCTGATCTGGTGAATGTATAGGGGATTTGCTGGCACGCGGGACGTGTCTCCCTGGCATCCCTTATACCCCCTTGCTCCACGATATGTGCCAGCTTACTTTGGGTTCGGGTTGATTGGGCTGTCAGTACTCCGTACGGAGTACTCCGTATGTATCTTTGAATCTGATCACATACTTCCAGAGTTGCATCAGATCCGATCTGATCTCACGTTTTGGCTTGATCTATCACTGTCATATTGTGATCCACCTATACGCAGCCCTAGTTTGATATCTTGGTCATGAGAGGTGTAATAGGGCTGAGATGGCTAGAAACTTTTATTTGCGAGAATTGTCTAGGAGAAGCGGCCATAAGAAGCATCCCAGCTCAGGGATAACCCCTGACATGTCATTTTTAATGACTCCTTCACATCTGACTCTTGGTATACTTGCTTGTCGCCTCAGATATAGACACTCTCACCGCCTATTTCTGCTGCATTAGCTTCAGTTTCAATGTCTCTTCCTTCTCCCACTAACACTTCTCTTCTCTTCTTTTCTTTTTTGAATGAAGATTCAACGCTCCAACATGATTTCTAATGCGTTGTTTTTAGCCCATTTATCTTCATCAAGTTCTGTGGAGGTATATGAGGTGTATATCATGATCCACTCAAGTGGCCGTTTACATGTATTCCAAGGTTCTTGGACATGATTACTTTCGCAATGCCATTCATTAATTCGTAACTGAAACCTGCACATACCTAGATATTCCAGAAGTCATAGCTGTAAATCATCAAAGCATTTTGAACTTACCCACATGCCACAAATACCCAGCACCAGCCAGCAAAATGCCAGCCCTCCCAAATCATGCCGGTGAAAACTTACAGATCGCACCGATGACGTTATTCCTCCACTAGGCCCTTGACCGTAGCCCTAACACTAAACATACCAACCTCGGGACAGCCAATTCCCAGTTCACGATAAACACAGACATCATCAATCGTAGTTTCATACAGCTCAAAGTCAATGCGACGAGCAATATGCGCTAGTGCGAGATAGATTTCCGCATACGCAAGACTAAAAGAAAAATAGTTAGTGACTGTGGTCAAATGTGGGGTGTAGGACCGACTCACTTCATCCCCAGACACTGTCTGCTGCCCTTGGTAAAGGCAACAATATATCGTCCCAGATGCTCATCATCCTCCGCGGCACGGATCCAACGATCAGGGTCGAATTTATTCGGCTCGGGGAATAGTGTGGGGTCCATATGGACAAAATAGTTCGATTGACTGACGGGGGTCTGCAATACGGGATGGTCAGCATCTTCGCCAGGCCTAGCTAGAATTCAATTCGGTATGATGTGCGTCGTCTAACTGCCACGTCGAGAGGTTTGCACCCCGTAAGCCAGAATTATTCACTCACCCCTGCAGGGATAACCCAATCGCGGTATATCATAGGTTCGGTCGGCGAGACACGGGCTAACCGTGCTGTCATCCCATGACTGAGACGGAGACCCTCATTGACGACGCCCGTCTATAGCCCAAAGACAACAGAGATCAGCAACTCACATAACAAGCAAGAAGACAGAGATCCCAAAACTTACCAAATAAGGCAACTTCTCCAAATCCACCCACGCAGCCTTAGACAGCGGCGTCGGCAGCACAGTCTTCAACTCCGCACGCAACTTCGCCATAATGTCCTTTTCTCTGATAAGATAGAACATCGACATCGCAATAGCTCTAGCCGTCGTCTCAGTACCAGCACCAAGAAGCAATGCAGACTCATCCTCCAACCGGTCCAGCGTCCTCTCCTCCTCCGGCAAATCCAAACTAGTCAAGGAATCAAAAATGTTCGGCCTCGTCTCCGAGTCCAGCTTCCTCAGACTCTGTTTCTCCAAAGCATCCCCGGCCTGCTGTCTAAGCCGCACTTTCAAATCAAACAAATCACCCATCGCCGGCTGTAGCCAGCGCACCAAACTAGGTGGCACATTGCGAAAAATGGTAAGGAGGAAAGGGAAGAATCGGTTGATGTGGAACATTACCATCAGTCCATTGACTGCGTCGACGAGGTCATTATTTCGCGATCCCTTTTCGCCATCGAGATATCCATAGCTCCAGCCGTAGCAGTAGTCTGTGATGACATCTGCGGTCAGCGCAGCGAAGCTTAGATGCAGATGCAGCACATCACCCGCTCGGTAGGCTTGCTCGAACAGGGCGACTAGTTTATCGACTTTTTCTTGGATAGAAGGGTTCAGGTTGATAACCGAGCGCTTGGAGAAGTAGTTGCTTAACAGGCTGCGACGAAAGCGGTGGTGATCGTGTGTTATTGTTCCCACGAGCGAACAGGGCGCGCCGAACGAGATAGCGTATTTAGGGTCTTTGGAGCGTTTCCGGGAAGCGCCGGCATGGATCTCATCGTAGTAAGATGGGTCTTTGATATGGATTTCTCGTGGATTGATGCGCACGATTGGGCCTAGGGAATTACATCCGGTGTGTTGTTAGTGACATGTGAATTTCAGTTATGGTTAGGGTTGGTTCGGATATTTAGATGGGCTCTTTTATAAACTCACCATATTTCTCGTGCATGCGCTCAACCTCCCAGATATACATGCCGCTTTTGATCACATCGTAATAGAACTCGTAGAGAAAGGTTGCAGCAGCAATTTTTGGACCGGGGAATTTGGCCAGCGGATGGAAGTACAAATGGTACACAGTGCGCAAGATCAGTAGTCCCAACGGTAACGTCACCAAGGCCGCGTAGATAGTTGCGGAGTCCATTCTAGATAAGCTCGGTTAATGGACAAAAGAGGAAGGAAAAGCAAGGCCCAGGCCTGTGTTATATGAGGGGAAAACGCATTACAAGAAAAAGAAGGGAAAAGGAGGAGATGCAAACCCCCACGAGGGAGCTAGTGTATCGTGATTTTAGTGTCCACAGGAATGTTGGAACTCCTTCCTGATTCAACCCGGCTAATTAGAAAGTGCAGAGATACCTAGAAGCCATCACGTTCTGCGCCGCCGCTAGGGTGCTATATAGAGCTGTCATTCGTCGAGTATCATCCGACCTCGCCCACCATGCAGATGCAGGCGTATTTAACGCTAGGCTCGGCTTGAGAACAATGCTTTTGTCCCTACGGAGTACACCGTACATCATAAAAGCGATACTAATAGGTGATCCTTGGTCAATCAATGTGATATGTCGGGGTGAGGTACAGTCTGCATTTGATATACTTCCAGAGACCCAATAAGACCCCTGATCACTATGTTGGGATTTTAATTTGCTGCAGTCTGCTTTTGATTATGGCTAGAAGAGCATAAAGCAAACAAGGTGAGAATGTGACCCGACAGAGTAGGAGGCAGTGAAAAAAAAGATAAAAAAAAGATGACACAATGGACTATCTGGTAATCGAAACCAGGACCTCCCGCACGCTCGCAGTGATGCGAAGCGGGCGCACTACCAACTGTGCTAACAGCCCAGCTGAGTAATCGATCAATGGCTATAACGATTTGTGGAGGCACAGGTTAGCGTGGGCATGTAGCCGAATTAGCCTAATCCCTACAAGGATAAGTGTCCTGGGGTTCGCTTAGTGTCCGTGTATGGGGAGAGACATACGGAGTACGGAGTCTGGAGTAGATAGATGGGTAGTATGGATTGATATATTTATATATTAGATCACTTGAGACATCAACTTAGAAAATCAGACGTTTATATTGATACAGTACAAAGGTATAGGTTGCGCTATCATCATGCAGCCGAATGGACTACCAGTGCATTCCTGTAAGAAACAAAGGTCCACAATTTACACCTATGAAAACATCCAAGTAGTCGGGGGAAAAAAGTAAAAAGGAAAGAGGAAATAGGAAATAGAGAAACAGAGGAAAGACGACTGGAAAGACATTGGACAGAAAAAGAAAATTCCGCAGTACTCCGTTTTATATCCACAAATCTAGACAGCCAACATCTTCTTGATCTCGGCAATGGCGCGACCGGGGTTGAGACCCTTGGGGCAAGTCCGTGTGCAGTTGAGAATGGTGTGGCAACGGTACACGCTCATGCTGTTGTCGAGAGCGGCCTTGCGCTCGAGGGTCTTCTCGTCACGGGAATCGGCCAACCAACGGAAAGACTGGAGCAGAATGGCGGGACCGAGGTACTCCTCGCTGTTCCACCAGTAAGAGGGGCAGGAGGTCGAGCAGCAGGCGCACAGAATACATTCGTAGAGACCATCGAGCTTCTTGCGGTCCTCGGGAGATTGACGGTGTTCGAGACCCTGATGGCATATGTTAGTGATTTCAACTATGATACTTGAATGAAACCAAACTCACATCCTCGGTGGGAGTATCGCGCTGGAGGTAGGGCTTGATGGACTTGTATTGCTTGTAGAAGTGGGTCATATCAGGGACCAAATCCTTGACGACGTAGGTGTGAGGCAGAGGGTAGATGCGAGACTCGGCCTTGGTATCGGTGGGGATGCGGCCTATACAAACAGGAGATTAGCCTTGGCCGGGAGCTGTCGGATGTCTAGATCTACATACACAAGCAAGCAAGAGTGTTAACACCGTCGATGTTCATGGCGCAAGAACCGCAGATACCCTCACGGCAGGATCGGCGGAAAGTGAGGGTAGGGTCGAGCTCGTTCTTTATCCGGATGAGCGCATCGAGCATCATGGGTCCAGTCTTGTTCAGGTCGAGGTCGTAGGACTGCATCTGGGGCTTCTCGGTGGGCTGGTCCGGGTTCCAGCGGTAGACCTTGAAGGTCTTCATCTTGGGCTCCTGGGAGGGAGTGGGCTCAACGGTCGCATAGGTGCGAGCGAAGGCAGGGCGGAACATCGGCCGCGCTGCTGTGAGCAGTCGCGAAGTGGTGCGGAGGGAGGCCATGGCGGGTGATCGGAAGTCGAAAAATATCGAGGTGATGAGGTCAGAGAAGATGGGAGATTGGGATTGAAGACAGCGATCAAAGAAAGCAGGGAGGGGAGAGTTTCAAGTGGAAGTTAGCGACCACGGAGTCCAGTCACGGTCCAAGTCCAAAGAATCCAATTGCCAACAAAATGAAGTCCAAGGAGTCTCGCTAGTAACCTCGGGTTTGACGGGTCGGGTGTGTAGATGCTGACATCAGCGACTCCTGGCCAATCAGAACGAGGGTGTTTGCAAGCCTCGGGCGGACACGGCGGTCGACTTGAGAAGCTGGGATTTGTCTATTGCCGATTTGACCCTTCAACATGGAGATATTCAGCGGATTTACTGGTCAATGGGAATGCCAATGATCTGTGATTGCTCAACCGTATCAATCTGTCTCCTTGGCAATCCCAATGCTCGATTGATCAGTGGTTCTCCAGTCAAACCCACAAAATGATGTGCCTCAGGCTCTAAGGCCACTACCGATCTGCTTGCCGGTAGCATCGCGGCTTGTCCGGCCGAGCAGACATGTGCCAGTGGAAACAGGGAACATTGGAACATCGGGCATCATCACTCATATTCAATATCTGACCATCACAACTGATCTACAACGCTAGCCACTAACCGCGATCAACATAATTCTGATGCCACTCATAGTCCCGATTCTCCGTCAAAAAAGCCCGAAGAGCCTCATGCGGCGGTACGGGTTGCCGTTCCAGCACATCCGCCATGAGTGGATCAATAGTGCTCGTTTCCCCCTTTGAGATAGCGTCATACCACGAAACCAGCGCTCGAAAGAATCCCTCGGGTTTCCCACCCTCATCTTCGGCCGCTTTCAACTGCACGAACTCCTCCGGGGAAACAAGCTTGAACTGCACGTGGCGACCAGTCGTCTCGTTGATTAAATTCACGATCTCGGAGAATGTGATGGTCTGCTGTGCAGTGAGGAGTACCGTCTCCCGTTCATGCCCACCGCGAATCATCAGTCGTGCATTGGCCTCGCCTAGCTCTGATCGCAGTGTAAAGGCCACCGGTCCGTCGGAAGGGAGATAAACGGTCGATGTGCTCGGATACCAACCCATGAATACTGGGAAGGCGTCCGTGTATAGACCCTCGCGAATGGAGGTGAAGTTAATATCAGCTCTGGGTGGTGTTAGCGAGGCTGGATGGACTATCACGGTCGGGCTTCAGCTTACTGTCTCATCATGTTCTCTGTCATGAGATGGGCTTGTTGGACATCTGCTTTGGAATCCGAACCATAGCCACCAAAGGCCAGGGATGTATACCACACCTGCGAGGCGGATGTTAGCTATGGCAGTTGTCTGGGGATACCGATGACTTACGTGTTTCACGTTCATCTTCTTCGCTGCGTCCACGAAGTTCTGGTGTTGTTTTCGCCGCTTCTCAACATCGAATGTGTTGGTGCTTACGAAGAAGAGGTTCTCCACGTCCTCGAATGCGGTTTCTAAGGTCTGAGGGTCGTCATAGCTTGTTACTCGGAATGCGATTCCTTGGTCTTCGAATCGTTTGCGATTTTCCTCTTTCGAGGACGCTGCTGCATATTCTGAGGCGGGGACATTTGCAACTAGGTAGGATAGAACTCCTGCTCCAAGGCCTCCAGTCGCTCCTGTGATGAGGTATTTGAGAGTCATTATGAAGAGCCGTAGAAATTAAAGAGCTTTGCTAAGGATCACAAGCCAAATTGTAATAATCGAAGTAGATATCTTATTTTGAATGATTTCTAGGTCAAGCAGTATTCTTTTGTATAAGTTTCAGTGATCAACAGCCTTGCACCAGAGCTTTGTAAATACCACGAATGTTGGTAAGCACCAGTATTGATAATCAATTGGGACTACACCGAAATGAGACTAGGTCGTGTATCTGGACAAATGACAGTGCTTCGAACGTTCATTTGGGGGCCGAATTGGAGATTAAAAGACCGAGAGCTCGCGTTTTGTTCTGTCCGAAGCCCGCCTCCAGGGGTTGTGTGGTTTGAAGCTGGATATTCCGTTAATCGTAGCCAACTAAAGGTAAAATCAGATGGAACTGAGCACCGGGGGTAAGAAATTTCCTATCTCTCCCCTCCTTAAGAACATATCCAGCGCAATCTCTTTTTTTTGATTAAAAAACTTATGCACATTATAATAAACCAGACCCTTGGGAAATCCCCTTGTCTTCAACGAAATTACCCACCCAGAACTCATTTCAGTATCGTATCCACTATAGATTAGACAGAATACTCGAGTGCCTATCACGATCCGACAGAATATAAGAGAAATATTCTTGTTTCACAGTGAAGCAACTACGCGCCGCACTATTTAACGCCTCCAATAGTATGTAACGGCCCCCAAAAAGTCCTACGACTCCAATTCTCTAGGTAGAGTTATCGACCAATAACCAAAGCAGGCAATTATTCCCTGCGAGTTATGGCGTGTTTTTTTTTCACTAGCATCCACAGCGGGGTTGTCGTTGACAGGCCCATATTACTCGTTTGGTGATCTATGAGATAGATGTGCCGGATCTGCCGCGCTTAATTTTGATGTTGAGAAATGGATCCTCATGGATAAACCATGATGGAAATAGAGTGAGAACTGGAATTGTATCAAAAATTGTCCATTATATGTAAAGAATAGTCGCGTGTATATCCTTTCGCTGCACAGATTGATCTGATTGCGCGAGTTCTAGTTACAGAGAGGAATTTTCATCTGAATAGAAAGCCCAGGCGTACCTAGGTAGTCAATAGTAAGTACGTGACTAAGGCATAGAATGCTATAGCAGAGTAAAAAGGTCTTTGACATCTATGTTGTGTCTCTATTCTATTATAAGAAGAAAAATGAACCGTCTAGCTATCTCTAGAGCCGGGCTTTTCAAACCTCACGGCCTGCTCATGATCACGGCTAATATTGACCTCATTCGTAACCCGAATTCCAGGACTATCGGAATCGTCTTTCCCATCGCCACTGCGATCGCTCCCCCTGGAATTACCTCTGATATCCCGGGAAACCAAGACCTCAGAAGCCATCATCTCATAATCATCTTTCCCAACTTTGGACCAATTGAGAAGTCGCTTGTTATCGGCGGTGCTGGAGACAGCACCGCTACACAAGTTTTTTGAATTCCCACGACTTTGCAATTTGGCCGAGCGCGAGAGGGTGTGACTGGACGTGTACTCGGTCAGGTGGGCGAAGAGATTACCGCAGACGGGCTTCAAGGCAGGCACCGAGAGCGCGATAAGTGTTGCTGCGAGTTCGGCGTTCTCGACGCACATCAGAGGGTTATAAAACCAACTGCCGTCGGCCTTCCATTGGCCAGCTACTACGAGCCAAACGCGGACTGCGGAGATCACGATTACGCTGGTTGGAGTGTTAGTGGTGGTTTCTGGGGGGAGTGGTGCGCTTTTAGAGTTACTCACAAGACACCTGGGAACATCACGATCGATAACTTGATCTTCTTCTCCATCGAGATATGCAGTCCCTTAATGAGCACCGCTGGAATGCCGAACATCAGCAAGTCGCAGGCGAGCGAAAGAGCTGAGTTGACGGAGTATACAAGTCCCCATGTAAGGCATTGATACTCCCTAGGCTCCTCCTGCCATTCGTAGGGCCAGAGGCCGGTCACCGGCTTGCAGTGGAAAATGAGCAGGAATAGTTGGGGCAGGTATGCAGCCGTGAGGAGTGGTGCCGCAGCGATGATGGTCATGTGCAGTTTTGTTGAGCGAGCCGTGAGCCGGTAGTAGAAGGCTAGACCGGAGAGACGGCATAGGAAAAGAGCCGTGGTGTAGAGGATGTGGGCCACAAGGTCTAGGACTTCAGTTTCGCGGACCTTGGGCATTGGTACCACATATTGGATATATTCGATGTGCCGGCCACTTCCGATATTGATTAGGATGATAGAAAGAACCACAAAAGCAATATAGAGCATCTATAATAGGAATTGCTGTTAGTGGCTAATCTAGCTTGATTTCAAGTATGCATTGATATCCATTTCATCAACGTATGCATGGCAACTTAATTGCCATGTGTTGGTGTGCAGATCTGGGGTGAAAAGTGGATGGTCTTACCAACGTCGCGATGGCCAATGCATCGTCCCAGCCGATCTTCTTTACAATGAATGCACGGGCATAAAGTCGTAGAAGCATCAAAAGACCAGTAAAACATATCATGAAAATGATTCCCACAATGGCGGAACGATCGGAGGTCTCCGCTAGATATTCTAGCGAAATGTCGCTGGGGATTCTCCCTGCTGCCTGTGCAGCAAGGATGTCGGCGGGAATGGTCATTGTAGGCTATGTAAGAGAGTAAACATGACCAGGAGGATTCTGATATAAGTTGAAGATAGATCAACCAGACATGATCAGGGATAAATAAAATGGCGATCCCCCGGTGGGATAAGACGATCTTGAGGGGATATTACCGAACCGCGAAAAGAAAGACGAAGTTTGGATGAGAAAGTGGAAGCAGCGGGGCTTATGCTGCGTTCCAAATAACTGCACCAGGGCAAGACTTCGGTGGCCAACGACGTGCTGTACCAGACTCACGGTGCTCCAGACCCAAAATCTTGGAAGGCATAGTTCCTCCCAGTGGAGTTGGATTCAAACTTTGATGCAGTCCAACCCACCAGCAGCCCTGGAGGCTTGGAATGTCATTTTACGTGAAATTAGTGACAATAGCCGGGTTAAGCCCACGAGGTATGCACCACTGACAACAAGCATCAGACCATGTCAAACTAAAAAAAGGTATTAATTAAACACGCATTTAAGGCCCTGGTCCTGCAGAATCCTGAGCTGCCACGTGGGAAGACCGGTTGGAGGCGAGGTTGCCCTAAGCGGGTGGTTTTTCCATTGGCATCCGGCCATCCCATTGGCTCTGTTGCTATCTTACGCCTTGTATCAATCCCAATTGACTTCTCTAACTACGTAATGACCGAGCTTAAGATGGGGCCAAGCCAACGTTGTCTCGGATGCGGTGACACAAAAGCGCACAACCGGATATCTTCAGAGACGACAGCCAATCACAAGCGGGAACCAGAGGAACGGAGTGGATCTGGATCGATCGCGCGGAACGCAATTCGGTTCCGAGGGACGCGATGGGGCCCGCAGATTCTTCCACAGCCAAACGTGCCAATTAGGCAGGTCGACCGTTTCCGTCTTCTAGCCGAGCACTGCTTCTGGGACCATATAGATTAATTAAGACCCAAAGTAGATTGAACTGCCAATTTTTCATGTACAAAGATAGTGGCCAACGCCACCAATCCGAAATGATCCGGTGGAAATGGATACCACCGTTGTTGAGACTGGAGCAAGAATTGTCAAAGAAAGCGAAAAAAGGCAAAAAGAGGTAAAAGGATTGAGAAATATGGACCACGCGCTGGATCAGGATGTACATTTCCGGTAGATTGGCCAGGTGATTGGTGATTAGTCACAACGTGGGAACGACCAGGGGGAGGGGGCTGGATCCACGGTCCATCGTATATTGCTTGGGCCGGGAGTATAACAACGCGAACACCCCCCAAAAGATTGGCTTTCCTGCCACATGGTTTTTTTTGGGGTTTATCAATCTAGTTTCACCATGGCACCCCTCTTTCAGACTTTGGTCAGCGGTCTCGCTTTGGTGAGCTCCGTTGTTGCTCAGGAATCCGACTCTTTGATCGAATCCCAGGTTGTGTCTGATCCCTATCTCTATGACTTCCCTCGTCTGAACGGCGACGGCGCTAGCCAGTTTCCCATGCGCCCCTGCCATGGCTTTACCCTGGCCGAGGCAACTGTGGATGAGATTCAGGCCCAGCTTGAGAAGGGTACCTTCACCACCGTTCAGCTGCTGGAGTGCTACATGGATCGTGTCCACCAGACTCAACCTTACTTGAAGTATGTTCCTATCTTAATCTTCAGTCTTCAGCATCATAGAATAATCAACTAACAAATTTTCCAGCGCTATTCTGCAAGTGAACCCCGATGCTTTCACCATTGCTCAGAAGCTTGATGCTGAACGTGCCGCGGGCAATGTCCGTGGTCCGCTCCACGGTATTCCTTTCATTGTTAAGGATAACATTGCCACCAAGGATCGCATGGAGACCACTGCCGGTAGCTGGGCTCTGCTCGGCAGCGTTGTGCCCCGTGATTCTTTCGTTGTTAACGGTCTCCGCAATGCCGGTGCTTTGCTGCTCGGAAAGGCTGCTCTGAGCGAGTGGGCCGATATGCGTTCCAACGACTACTCTGAGGGCTTCAGTGCCCGTGGCGGCCAGTGCCGCAGTGCTTACAACTTGAACGTCAACCCTGGTGGTAGCAGCACTGGCTCCGGTGTCGCTGTCGGTGCCAACCTTGTGCCTATCGCTCTTGGAACTGAGACTGATGGCAGTGGTATGTACAAAACCTCATTGCATGGATTTTGAATATTCGCTAATGAAAACTAGTTATCAACCCCGCTCAGCGCAACGGCATCGTTGGCATCAAGCCTACTGTTGGTCTGACCTCCCGTGCCGGTGTCATCCCCGAGTCTGCTCACCAGGACACCATTGGCACCTTCGGTAAGACCGTTCGTGATGCCGTCTATGCTCTCGATGCCATCTACGGCGTTGACTCCCGCGACAACTACACTTCCGCCCAGGAGGGTCTTACTCCTACTGGTGGCTATGCCCAATTCCTGACCGACCAGACCGCCCTCAAGGGTGCCGTTTTCGGTATCCCCTGGGAGTCCTTCTGGGCCCTTGCTGACCCCGATCAAGTCACCCGTCTCCTCGACCTGGTTGAGCTGATCGAGTCCGCTGGTGCCACCGTTATCAACGGTACCGAGCTGCCCCACTACAAGGAGATCGTCTCGCCCGACGGCTGGAACTGGGATTACGGTACCGCCCGCGGTTTCGCCAACGAGTCATCCTACTCTTACATCAAGGTCGACTTCTACAACAACTTGCGCGACTACCTCTCCGAGGTCGAGAACACCAACGTCCGCTCCGTCGAGGACCTCGTCCAGTACAACATTGACAACTCCGGCTCCGAGGGTGGTCTCCCCGGTGTCCACCCTGCCTTCGCCTCCGGCCAGGACGGTCTCCTCGCCTCCCTTGAGAGCAAGGGGTGTCATGGACGAGACCTACTTCCAGGCTCTCGAGTTCTGCCAGCGCACTACCCGTGAGGAGGGTATTGATGCTGCCCTGAAGCAAGGCAGCGTTACCCTGGACGGTCTCCTCGTGCCCCCCGATATGGCTCAGAGCATTCAGATCGCTGCCCAGGCTGGATACCCCGTCATCACTCTGCCTGGCGGTGTTAGCGATGTCACGGGCATGCCTTTCGGTTTTGCTATCATGAACACTGCCTTCTCCGAGGCTAGCTTGATCAAGTATGCCAGTGCTATTGAGGATCTGCAGAAGAACTCTGGCGCCGAGTGGCAGCGTCCCCTCCCCCAGTGGCGCGGCTACCTGGAGCGCAACTTGCCTGTTCCCTTCTAAGTCAAGAGGAGGGAACAACCATTTGAAATGGTTGTCGAGGTCTGATCATTGTCATTTCTTGTTGTATACCACACATCGTTTTCTACGTAGACTAGATTTCTCTAATGGATAGAGTTCCTTGAAAACTTCCCATTAATTTTTACCGTTCTACTGTCCACTTCTCGGTGGAACCCGAGTCTCTAATTGAACTAACCTAAATGCTCTAGATGAAGCGGTATCCTTAGAATCTAGACCGCTGAAGATGAAACAGCCCACTTGACAGGCTATGGACTAGCATGGACTATAATTAGCCCACAGCTGATTCCGCGAAATGAGGAGTGTCCTTCTAGAACACAAAAAAGGCCTTCAGAGCAGTGGGTTACATCTGATAGCTCTGAGACTGTGGAGAACACTAACGCCCGTCCGGCAGGACCAGCTACCTGTTTAGGTGGTCTTCACATGGATCATAGCTCCAGTACAGAGCTGTCCTGATTGATGCGAAATCAATCTCACATATCAATTCTCCGTGGATCGACACAGGAAATTACCTCGACACTACTTTCGCCAAGACGGAGGAATTGTTCCCAAACCAACATCACACCTGACCCCATAAGCCCACCATAGGAGAAACCAGAACACAGGGGTGCTGCCGAATTAGACCGCGATAAACAACACCGCTGACTGGATCATACGCCCAAATCCACCCGCAACACCAATCCCATCTGAGTAAAAGGGCCATAGAGTTGGTACTATGCAGTTTCAACGTGGGGACCATCCCAGGGATGAGACATCTTCACGCACCAGACCGGATCCTCTAACGCTGGCATAATTTAGCGCCCCGTGGCGTTGAATAACTTTACTTTAATTCCTGGAATTGTTCTGCAAGGCCTTTTTCGGCCACGGAGGACGTTATATACCAATTACCTCCTAAGAGGGGCTTATGCACCCCCTATTGGTGTATCTCCCGTACATCGTCCTGGACACACACAATGAAATTCCTCCAGTGCCGAAGCTCTCTCAGGAAACTCTCTTCTGCATAGACAAACTAGTCGGTTTCAGCTACCTTTCTCCGCAAAATTGTGGACTGCATACACATGGGTCACCACGCTAATACCCGGTCAAAGCATGGGGCCCATGTCACGCCAAACCTCAGAGTTAGGTCAACGCACACTTCATGTCGGAGTTTAACCGCATGCGGAGAGAACTGAGATCTCAAACATGCTTGTTTTACCGTGTCTATCCCTCCCAGCTTGGATGTTCTATATCCTTATATAAGAGACACACACTCGACATGTTTTCTCTTAGGTTTTTATCCCAACCAACCCATCATACCTAGGTACCATTACCAGGTCTCGAAATGAAACTCGCAGCCATAATCACCACACTCGCAGCCCAAGCTGCCGCCGTCGGAGTCTCCGGCGCAGCAGAGGGATTCGCTAAAGGCGTGACTGGCGGTGGCTCTGCCACTCCCGTCTACCCTAGTACGACAGCGGAGCTAGTCTCATACCTAGGCGACTCTTCAGCGCGAGTGATCGTCCTAACCAAGACCTTCGATTTCACCGGTACAGAGGGAACAACCACCGGCACCGGCTGCGCTCCATGGGGCACCGCATCTGCCTGCCAAGTGGCCATTAACAAGGACAACTGGTGTACAAACTACCAATCATCAGCACCATCAGTTTCTGTCAGCTAGTACGCGTGACCCTAACCCTATCTAATCCACCATACTAATATATCGCAGCGACAACGCCGGGGTCCTCGGTATAACCGTCAAATCCAACAAATCCCTCATCGGCTCCGGCTCCGCGGGTATAATCAAAGGCAAAGGTCTACGCATGGTCAGCGGCGCCAGCAACATCATCATCCAGTAAGAAAGCAAACACCAAGACGAAACCCACCAAAACTAACAACCCAGAAACGTGGCCATCACCGACCTAAACCCTAAATACGTATGGGGCGGCGACGCAATCACAATCAACAACGCCGATATGGTCTGGATCGACCACGTCACGACAGCACGTATCGGCAGACAACACATCGTGCTGGGCGAAGACGCTTCCAAGCGCGTTACCATCTCTAACAGCTACATCAACGGGGTGAGCGATTATTCCGCTACCTGCGACGGATACCATTACTGGGGAATTTACTTCGCTGGATCAAGCGATCTGGTCACCATGAAGGGCAACTATATCTACCGCACGAGCGGACGTGCGCCCAAGGTGCAGGGTAATACGCTTCTGCATGCTGTGAGTACCAATACTTTCTTCATGAGCATGATCATTGAAAAAGACTATGTACCCTAATACATTCCCAGGTCAATAACTACTGGTACTCCAGCTCGGGCCATGCCTTCGAGATCGGTTCCGGCGGGTATGTTCTAGCAGAGGGGAATGTGTTCCAGAATATTCCGACGGTGGTTGAATCGCCGATTTCGGGACAGTTGTTTTCATCGCCTGATACGAATACCAATGCCGTCTGCAGTACGTATTTGGGTCGGGTGTGTGAGAATAATGGGTTTGGGTCGTCGGGGGCGTTTAAGCAGGCTGATACGGCGTTTTTGACGAATTTCTCGGGCAAGAATATTGCTGCTGCGACGGCTTATACTTCTGTGGTTTCTAGCGTTACGGCGAATGCTGGGCAAGGAAAACTGTAAGACGGGACTTGGGAACGGGGACTGATCGGGGGTGGATTGGGCTCAGAGCCATTATAGGTACTGCTGGCAGTGGTTTTATGCAAACTTGATATGGAAGTATTGGGGTGGTGTTTGTATGTCGATTGTTGGCTCATACAACTATTTCTCTGTCATTTGAACAACTGGTTGGTTATGTGATCAGTATTATTTAGTAGACCCTTGAGAGCAAGTGATGAATTTTGTTTATTAACAAGAAGAACAACGGTAAACAGAGATGGTATGTACACTTCGAATTCAAGACATAGGGCAGCTAATGATAGTGATGTGTGTATATCGCGAAGTCATCTGAGACAAGCAGTTGACGACGCGTTCCAATCAGTTGATGATGATAAGGCCAGGTCCGGCGAGAGTATCCTTGGCTACACTGTACGCATTGGGGAATGGCCCATCCGTAGAAGTCACCGCAGCAATAGTCAGTCCATTCATCTCATGTGCATCGTAGGGGAACAAAGCCTCCGCAATAATATCGTCATCGTCCTTTGAGAGCACTCGAAGAGGTTCCACAATCGGCAGATTCTGCTGGTTGATATAGGTAATCCATAATATGGTCTCATTCGTATGGTGGTGATCAGTAAAGGAAACCTTGATGGTTTTGGTTTTCGCAGTCGGAACATTAACGAAGGTGAGAGGTTCGAACGTTTGAAGTGGAATCGTGTCAATGTTAGGGCAAGTGCCAGGCACAACAAAGCTCTGAATGGCAGTGAAGGCAAAGTTGAGATCACTGGTTGTCAAGAAGGGAAGTTCACTGGGAACCTTGCCCTGCATGACGCGGAACCAGCCCTGCTGTTCTCCCTCCTGACCAATAATAGACGCAACCTCGCGAGAAAGCCCAAAGTCACCACTGATAGCAAATCTCTCTACAACATCCTGTAGGGTTCCCAAAACCACATCTGTGAAGGTGCTAGCGAGTACGATGGCTGCATCAAAGTTGTCAACGGGGAAGGTATAGTGGCAAGGTTCGATAGGATCAATAGCAAAATGGGACAGGGCATTGTTCGCGTCCAGGGCATGGAGCTCCTCTTGCTACAGCGTAGAATCAGTAAATATCACTTGCCAATGATGATAGAAAGTGGATTACATACAGCCAGAATCACCTTCAAACCATTTAAAACAAAGTCATAATCACGTTCCTCTGAAAAGCGATATCCCGGAACCTTTTCAGTGATGTTTGTGATCAATTGGTGGAAGAATGCAACTTCGAACAATTCATTGAATGCGATCAGCTTGAGGTTGGTGATTCCTGCTTCGCTCAGGGCAGGAGGAGGCGGTCCGTTCGGCAAAGTTCCATGCGCTTTTTCTTCAATCATCTCTAGCTCACTGGGTCCTGGATAAGGCATCCCATCCGGCAGGCCCTGATCACTTGATACGTTCAAAACGGGCAGGGCGAATACCCAGTGGGCTACGCCCAGGAGGACGGCCGCAACGCGGATGCGCATTCTGGGGGTAAATAAGAAAATTTCAGAATTGATAGAAGGAAAGAAGCTGATATCGATGTTTTGTGATGACAGAGTGGATAGTGTGTAAAGGACTGGAAGTATGAAGAGAGAAACGATGGAAGTTGAGTCGAGTCCATAGTGCAGATCGTAAGGAACGATTGAGGAAGGTGCTCTCGACGGGAGTTAAGACTTATATAGATGAGGCCTTACTACTTAGGCAGCGACACACCCTACTGTCGCGGAGGATGGAGAGTTTATTACACTTCAGCCGGTCATGGTTCATTATCCATCGGTTAACAACATTTCTCGTTGCCCAGCGGACGAGTTCCGGACTCTTCATCCAACATCCATCTCTCTGTCCATTTTGATTTTATATTGCACTGCACACCCGTTGTAGCAACATGCCTATCAGCCTCTCCATGTTGAGACCCGGTGAGAGCCAACGGGTCGCAGCCTACCTCCAAACTCGCAGTCAAGTCCTTGCCGCTATGGACGAGATCTACAAGCGGGTCGAAATCTACAGCTCCGCCCAGATCGACCCAGCATCCTACAAGTTGCTCGGTATTAATTGTCGATTGCTTGAGTTGGATGATGATGGTAAACATCTTCATCCCCCGAATTCCGATCCATCCGGCCCTGTTTTCTTTGAACCGCGAGGAGCCGCCTGGGTTCCCCCTGTTGTTACCAACTCCGAATATATGAAACAACTGAAAGGGATTACTGATGGGTGGGGGAACACCAAAAATGATCGACTCCTTCGGAGCCTTCATAGCCAAGCATCCTATGTGTTTTCATGTGTAGAGTGGATGTTCTTCCAGTTCCGCCGTCAGTTCTACCCTCCAGAAGATGATAGAGACCCACCAAACCTCAGGCAGATGTCGAAATGGCTGGAGAGGTAAGAGACCAACATCCTTTGTGACTTGACGAGTACGCTAAATTTACAGCGGCGAGGTTGTACCTTCGGTTGTTGCTGAGAGGTTCTACCCAGCTATTTGGGGATCAATTCGATCATCGCCAGCCGCTGTGTTTGTGCCGAAGTCACTTCTGTATCCCTTAGGAGCACCCCCGCACATTATGATCTCAATTTTGATTGCAGAGGAGCCCAGCGAAGAGCTGTTGCGATTGGAGGTGATGGCCCTTGCCGCAGTTATGATCACACGGCTAGAAGGCGAGGAATCCTCAGAGTATAATACCATTCCCGTGAGTACAGGCTCAAAACACCACTATATAACTCATGCTAAAGTAAATAAATCACGACATAGGTCATGGTCATCACATTCTTCGGCCGAATGAAAGTACGAGTACTGGAAGCCCATACCAGCCAGCAAGAGCTAGTCATCAAGAAGACCCGGCTTCTTGACTTCTCTACCAATGAACTCGCCAACAAGAATATGAATATTCTACTTGGATTCATGGCCGGAGACCTAGTCGGAGATCCTAAAGGACCCACAATCCCTACATATATTCCAAAGGCTTGTACTAAAGATGCAATGGATTCAGAAAGCACTCTAACCATCCATTAGAGTTCATCGGCGGCCGCGAACGTGGACATGGCAAAAGAAGGAACCCTTCAAAAGATGTTCCAGAAAATGTGCCCATGCGTCGGGCCAGATACAGAGTCAGAACACCTAGAGGAAGTTGCCAAATAACAAAATTGCAAATCTAGTCTTCTTGTCTAACAGCTACAGATAATGAAGTGTCTATTCCGGAGCCACATACCACTGGTACATTGTACCCTTTGGCATTATGAGAAATATAACAGAAAAAGAAGTCGTAAAATAGAATATTATCAAATTAGTCCAAGCTGAGTATAACAAGCAAGTATAGGTTTGTCCAATAATGAACGTCAAAGCGTGTCCTGCGTAAAGGTTTCGTAACAACACAAAATCAAGCACGTTCCTTATGATCAGGCGACTCTTTCTGGGTGATCTCAATCTCCTTCTCGACCTGTTGCAGATCAACACGTGCCACAACAGCATCTTCGCCATCGAAGATCTTAGCCAACTCCTCAAGAGTAGGGCCACGGGTCTCAACGTAAAAGAAGTAGACGAAGAGGAGCTCGACGAAGATCCAAATCTATAGAAGGGCAACCGTAGATTAGCACCTCGAAAGCACGTAGCGTAAGGGGTACCCGACACGTGGTGAGTTCAAAATACGTACAGTGTAAATGAGGGACAGATGCCAGTGGTGAGGGAGTTCCTCCCATGCAATCGGGTTAGTGTAGCTGGCAGACAGGTCAGTTTTGTCAAAAGGCAGAGTAGTTGAAGGTGGGGACACGTACTTTCCAAGAACCAGCGCTGCCTGCACCGTCAAGTTCATGATCATCATACCCTTAGCACGCAGACGGTAGGGCAGGATCTCCAGCGCGTAGGAGACAAGGAGACCGGACCAGGCGATGGAGTAAAATACGGCGTACAGCCACACAAAGGCGACCTGTGGGTAGCCTGTCTTCTTGACATCTCCGGTACGTTCGAATTCAGATGAGACAATGGTCCATCCGAGGAAGATGAGGACCATGCCTAAGGAGGGAAATTTAGTACTCAGTCCTTTCAAGGCCGGGGGCAACTGGCACGTACCAACTGTGGAAACAAGGAATAGAGGTCTTCGGCCAAACCGGTCAACGAAGAATGCACATCCAACGCTGACAATCAGACTGAGCAAAGTCTTTCCACCATTGATCTATACAAGGTCAGCATGGCTTCATTTGAGAATGAGATGGACAGGGAAAACAAACCGGAATCTTCTTGTTCTGTTCGGTGATACCCATGCTGTTGTAAATCAAATTCGTGTAGTTGCTAAACAAGGCGTTGCCGCTGTATTGCGAGATAATGCCCAGAGAGATCAAAATTGCCAGACGGTAACGGTTACCTCTGGTCTTCATGAAGTCCAGGTAGCTGCTGTTGGTCTGGTATTGCATCTCCAAGCTGATCGTCTCCTTGATCTCACGGTACTCAAATTGAACAGTAGTATTGTTTTTGTCTCCATTTCCGTGGTAATAGGAAAGTGTATCCAGTGCTTCCTCATACCGCTCCTTGGAGACGAGCCAACGCGGAGATTCCGGGACCCCTAATCACGGTCAGCCACTAAGATCCAAACCAGGCCAAAAGATGGGGGGAAACCTTACACCAGATGAAAACAATCTGAATGGCCGCGGGCAATATTTGGAGCAGAGTCAAACTGCGCCATGACCAATCGTTGGTAATATACATAGTTCCCCATGCGATCCATGCGACAACTATACTCAGTCAGCTCCTCAGCACCCGGCAAGCGGTATTGGAAAGAAACCTACGTAGTGCACCCAAGTTCCACAAGCAATTGTAAATAGTGGTGACTATCCCGCGGTGTTGAGGGTGGCAGATTTCGACGAGGAGGACTGGGGATGCCATTTGGGCCAGACTGTTACCGCAGCCAAGTAGCAATCTGCCGGCGACGTACACTAGATAGAATTGGTCAATACCATGGTCTCCGGAGCCAGGGAGCTCAGACTTACTGCCGTAGTTTGTGGAGAATGCACCGAGTAAGCCACCGAATATCATCAAGACACATCCAATGGCGATGGGAAGCTTGCGACCCCATCGATCGGCGATGAAGGGACTAATCGAGTCAGCGAAATCCAATCCCAGCGAGCAGAGAACCACCTACACAATAGGATAGCTGACCAGACTGCCAATCTGGTAGATCGCGTTCATCAATCCCAGCTTAGAGCCGCCTGGTGTGTTGAAATACGTTTGCCACTCATCCAAATTCTGGGAAGTGTCAAGTAACATTCTGTAGAGTGCTCTCTTAGCTTTGCATTCAATAACAAGGATTCTTGACTTACCCATCGTAACCAGTAGTTGCAGATGCGACGCAAAGAATGGCAGCCCAGAAATAGAGCTTGCGAAGACCAGGATCCTGATACCAGGTAACCTCCTCCAGCTCAGGCTGCTCAGCCTGAGCTGCCTCGGTTTGTAGAGTCGACGCTCCGACAGCGATACCCATGTTGTCTGTGTAGTGTGCTTATATAAACACAAGATGTCAAGCATGCAATTATCTTGATTGGAAGTTGAAAGTTCCACTGAGCTAGCACAGCACAACACGAGGGTAAAGCAGAGCTAAGGGGGGCTTCCCAACCCTTTTAAAGAATTGAAATTTGCCATCTTGGATTGTGTAGCATTGTGATATTAGCCGGGTACGCTGACTTAGTGCCTGAACTAGGCTGATTGAGTCAAGAGCTCCCCCCCGTCTTCGCGATCGAGAGTCATTCTGCTGGAAAAAAAGAAAAAGGCGAATATGGCTGCAAAAGACGCTAGAGCCGATTTCGTGCAGAGCTGGGACTAGCAATGTCTATTCATGCGCAGACTAGCTTGATTCAGTAGTCAGTCAGACTGCAAGTCCACCAGCAACGTTCCATCCCCGGCTTTTAGGGCCACAAGGTGTCGGACCCAGTCCAATCCCTTGGACTTTTGCCGGCGGGTCAACCCCTGTAAAGCCATGATTGGTATGGATGAATGGGCCATAGCAGTCGAGTCGCGTGGTAAGAGCTAGCCTCGCTTACAACCTTAGGGAAAGGTGAAACCATAACTTCTTTCTCCAACGTTCCCCTGGAGAATGCCCGCTCTCCCCACAGATTCAGTCGGTTGGGCGGGCCGAGGCCCACAGTACAATGGGCCCTGGAGAGGGCAAGGTGCTTACAGTGAGTCCTCAGCCTTGCGTAGCCTTGTTCAGCTGGGTCAGATCTTACTCCGGTCCAAAGGATGCTTCGTGTTGCAAGTGCGCTGTACGGCGAGCACATTCACGGTTTTCGTACCATTCTCCGTGGCCAATTGAGCGATCAAGCTAGCCTGGGCGCCACCTGAAGGCCATTGGGTGATTTGACTAGTGATGCCAAGCGCGGTGGGGGAAAGCTGGAGCTGTATCTGCGGGGACAGGCACGAGGCCTGGACAGTGTTTAGCCGGAATCCTTCCTTGGCACCGCCATTTATTAGTTCGCTTCGGGAGGATTTTTGGCACAAATCTTATTCTGTTCCAAGCTAACGCCATCTTAAAGAACAGAGAGTGCAGGGTAAGTGATACGAGTAAGAATAGCCTAACTTGCATCTTGAGCCTGTATATCCGATTCCACCGCTTCCTTCTTTGGGCTGAGATAGTGACCGCCCCTCTATCTTGGTTGGGAAGGAACAGCGTCTCATTGGTCAGATTAGAATTGCCGGCAGAATAGTGACCCCATCGAGCAAGCCACCTTCCCGAAGTAAGTAACTGCCATTGTTTTGATCGCATTTGGGAAGATGGGCTCATTCTATAGTTCCGCTGCTCAGTCAGAGAATACATTAAGAAGAAACAATGGCAGCCAAACCAAATCACAAGCTCTCACAAGAGCAGATCGATCATTTCATGCGATATGGTTACGTGCGTCTACCAGGCTGTTTCTCACAAGAGAAAGCAAACGAATGGGCCGGAGATGTGTGGACTAGACTAGGAATGTCATCCTCCGACAAATCAACCTGGACAACTGAAGTCACCCACATGGGGGACACCAAGGAAGAACCGGTGAGGACCTTTGCCCCTAAGGCATGGGCGGCCATCTGTGAGCTTCTCGGCGGCGAAGACCGTGTAGCACCGGACTCGGCTACTTGGAACGATGCCTTGATCGTCAATCTCGGCTCCCCCGAGACCGAGGGTACATGGCCCCATCCTGCTGATCTGCCGGGATGGCATGTGGATGGCGACTTTTTTACCCATTACTTGGATTCGCCTGAACAGGCTCTACTGGTTATCCCGCTATTTACCGACATCCAGGATCGTGCAGGTGGCACTATGACCTGTCCGGATGCGATGAAATCCATTGCGCAGCATTTGGTATGCGATCAAGCCTCTCGTTCCACTTTTACCGGATTCTAACCAGTAGTGAATATAGTACAACCATCCCGAGGGCGTGACACCCTATATGTATCCACGTGGCGAAATACCTGATGGGAGTCCTACTGATACACCATTTTACTCGGATATTGTCAAGAATTGCCACGAATTCCATGAGATGACTGGCAAAGTGGGCGATGTGGTTCTTCTTCATCCTTTGATGTGTCACTCCATTTCGGTCAACAGCCTGAGACATCCACGAGTAATCACCAACCCGCCAGTGGCTTTGAAACAGCCGTTCCAGTTTGACCGGGACGATCCCTCGAAATACAGCATCGTCGAGAGAAAGACGCTAGAGATGCTTGGCAAGGAGAGGCTATCAGGCTGGAAAATCACGGGAAAGAGAGAATTCATTTGCCCTGACAGGCTGAAAGGAGAAAATCGCAAGAGTGATGGCGAGATGGAAAGACTCGAAAGGATCACTGGACAACGCTTGTCCGCTTAATTACCATGATACGACCTATTCCTTAGCCGAGAAATGTTTTATTGTTAAGTCAAGTTAGCCTTTAGCCGGAATCCAAGTTATTATTACCAACTTGTAGTCCATGCGTCGAAGGCTTGCCTTCTCATTGCCTCTATCAGGCTAGCTCGCTGTATTAATTCGAGGCATTCGCTAACATCCTTGATGTCTAACACTTTCCACTCATTGGTACTTCCGCCACAAAAATGCAGAAGATATGCCTCCGAGCCCAGCAACGCCCGTGATGACCCCCCATAACACCTGAAACGCTGCGACCGTGGCAAATGTCACTGCGTCTCTCTGTTCGACTGTCATGCTCACGTCTTTCATCAACAGAAGATACCCATTGGCAGTTGTTACCAACTCCCGGTTCATTCCCACACTTTCCAGCCTATAACCGAAGAAATTAAACAGCACGACTCCCCCGACAGGAACCGCAGCTGCCATCCCCCAAGCTCTTATATAGTAGGACATGGTCGTTGGCAAGATAGAAGGGGAGCTATCCCCATCCTCATCCTTGGGCAAGTTCTGAACGCGAACATTGTAACTTGAAAGCAACAGACCGTGTCCAAGACCAGCCGTGAACAACAAGAACACCCACGCTACAGTCGGCGTGGTATGATCCAAAAGAATAGAACAACCACTCGCAAGGACAGTCAGAATCCAGCCTCCGGAGATGGTCCACTGAGTACATCTCAATTCTCGCGCAAGAATGACACCAACCACTGCCGTAGGGGCAATCGCAAACCCAATCAGGGCTAGCAAGCTGATACCGGACAGACTGACCGACATATAATGAGCGGAAATGAAGTACAAAGGGAAGAATTGCAAATGCGCAAAAAACTAGGTGATGTCAGACAAATCACATAAGTTCGCAACAAAGACAAGGACTAACCACAAAGCCATGTAAAAAGCACCCTAGATGCGTCATAGTCATCATCTTCGACCGGAATACCCTCCCAAACTGCGGATGCGCAGCCCATTTGGTCCGATACAAGACAAGCGCAAGAAGAACCACCGCACCCACCGCAATAGGCACAACAGTCTGCCACTGTCCCCACCGATACAAACTCCCACCCCAAGAGAGACCGACCAAGATACTCCCAAGCCCCAAAAAGGCCATCGCAACACCCAGCCAATCCAAAACCTGCTCCTTGCGCGACAGGAAATACTTCGAAGCGCGCAGATCCACAGCAAACGGAATGGCCAGCAAGCCGAGAGCACAGAAAATGAAGTTGAAATAGAACGCCCATCTCCATTCTGCATTATCGACAAACAAGCCGCCGACGATGGGGCCTAGGATCGCGCCGCACATGCGCGTAAGCAGGATGTAGCATGAATAACGAGAATGGATGGCCTTTGGCGCGGACTCGGTCATTAGCACGGAACACAGACTCATCGCGCCGCCGCTGCCGATACCCTGGATCATGCGTCCGACGATCAACTCAATGAGAGACATCGAGCCACAGCAGATTCCTGTACCGACTGTTGCCAGAACGACGGCGATGATCCAGACGGGTCCGTGGCTGAAGACCTCGCTGATCATGGTGAAGTATAGTTGGCTAGTTGTGCCGAAGAGGAGGTAGACTGTGTTAACCCAGAATGTGCTTGCTAATGGCTTTCCAAATTTATTGGCCAGATCCTAGATCGAGTGTGTGTTTAGTTTTGTATCTGGGGATACAGAAGGCATTCGCGGGTGTGGACATACAGGTAACGCTGGTATCAACACGGTAGCATTGAAGGAATCCATTATAGCCAAAATGACGATGCAGATGAAGACCAGCCATCCTCTGATTCCGAGGCGTCTTTTTTCTTCTTCGGTTGAGGACTCGCTCTCAAATAACTGGATTGAGCTTCCTAGCGCTGGATTGGGAGTCCTATCGCCCATGCTTCGGACGCTGTCCGGTACGCCGAAGTTGATTTTGGTCTCATTTTCGTATATTTCTTCGGCTATTGAGTGACGTCTCATTTGTTTTGATGTGGGCAGCTGAATTATCTCAAGGTATATCCGGTTGTACTGCCGTTCCTCATGGGGAGATGGTTGCTGTTGTGGAGGTTACCTGGGACATTGAACAGAACAGAACAGCGTTTCTCGGAGAAAACTTCATATCTAGCGTGTGTTACGCACATCAACGTGGGACAGAAGAATTGCAGTCCTTGTGGGTAATAGGAGCTCTCCACTGCCCCTTAGTCGTCGACGAACCTGTCAAGGAGCCCGTTTAGGAGGATTCCACAAGACAAGGGAGACCCATCTGTGCATCGCGATTGGCCCCTGATCGCAGTAGAGTTGACATCTAAAGTTCCGTGAATGGCCCTTCTACTATAGCGGGGGAGAATGGCAGCCAAACAAACCCCTAGGAATGATGGGTTACAGGCCTCAATATGTCCGGCATTCCAGCCACCTCATCCCTTGTTGTATATTATGATATGAGCATGAACATTCCGTTATGCAAGGTATTCTTACTTTTCTACTCCGTACTTGAAACAGCATTGATAATTGTGTGATTGCATCATTGAATTGCAACATCCATGTGAAGACTATCGCCGCGCGTAATTATGGAGTATCAATATCAAACCACCGACTAAGTTATGCATTTGGTTTCGCATAGCAGCAGCTCAGTTCATACCTTGTGTATCGAAACGTGCATTCAATCACTCCGGCTCATCCCTCTTGGGCAAAACATACCCCCCAATATTAGCAAGGAATTGCATAGCATAGCCCATAAACCCACCAAGGTCTTCCCCCAACCACAACGGCAAGAGCCTTACCATAGCCTTCTCAAGCTCTAGACGATATCTTCCAGCGACCTATACCTCGTAAATCGGGAATTAGCATTTCAGCCCGAATGCAGCATTTATAATATGACGCTCTCACCAGGACACAATCCCCCTGCCTCGCTGTGTCCAAAGCAACAAGCGCAATAGTCTCAGCAACCCGCTCCAGTGTATTCGTCTCCAGACCGGACTCAATCCATAAATCTGAAAAGCCAGCCGTGATGTGCGTCGGTGTCAGGAACGGCGCGACACCATTCACACGGATACCGTGCCCACACGCCACACGCTGGCACGCGCGCAAAAGCCCTAGCATGGCATGTTTTGAGGCGATGTACGCGGTAACTGCTGTTCCGCCAAAGTAGCTCGAAGTGGATCCAACGAGCAAGATCGACTTGTTTGGCTTAGGTTCTGTATTTGGGGGGGATTTCATGTAGTGGAGTCCCAAGCGGAGCGCTGTTTCATGCTTGTTAGTATGTCCATGATCTGGGAATTGCAGGAAGGTATAGAAGGAAAGATTACTGTTCAATGTTCCTTTGATGTTGACATCGATTACCCTTCCAGCCTCTTCATTCTCAAGAAGATGACCATCTTCATCCACGTCCAGATCAAGGACAGTTTTAGATTCCATGATCCCCGCATTAGCGACGACGATGTCGAGGTTTCCAAATTTAGAGATTGCGGCTTCGAAACATGCTGTCAGCTGTGCCCAGTTGACTATATCGGCAGCCACGAATATGGCTCGCTCTGGGAACTGTATCTGCTTGTTGATTACTTCTTCGGCGCTGTCTTGGAGATGAGGGAGATCGGCAAGGATGACATTCGCGCCGTGGTCGTTAAAGAAGATGGCCGTTGCGGCTCCGATACCGCGCGCAGCACCAGTTATCAGGACTGTTTTACCGGCGGATTTCGCGAAGACGGCTGGGTCGACATGAACTTCAGCCATCCTGGTGGGTCTATAGTAGCCAATATGCCCATCGACGGGGACAGACGAAGCGGAAGCGTAGATTACAAGGCTTTTGTATATAGACAGGGTGCGAAAAGGTATACTGCGGGGTTTTGTTGGTGATAACGTCTACTGCGCGAGGAAGGTACGATGTCGCAATGGGCCAAGGGAATCACCGGGCAATAATGATCAATAACGGCCGTTTCCTCGTTATATTCAATGCATGTCCTATGTACGCAAAGGGTGTCACCCAATTCTAGAGAGAGAAGGAGTAGAAGATCAATCTTTCTTATCTCGACCATCAGGTTGGAATGTTGGCATATCGCTCAAATCCACTCTTGAACCGGCTCGAGACGTCTTTCGAGACGCAGCCATCGATTCTCCAGTGCCGACTGCGTGGAAAGAGAAGTCTAATTCTCCGACCAAAGTTTTGACAAGACTAGGACAAAAAAGGCATGTTAGCAAAGGTACGCTCTCGCCTCGGAGTTTCTACTGAAACACACCGGAGTAATCTTTCCACATCACCGACAATGCACCGAGTCGAGATCTGCAAGACTGCAAATGCTGCAAATCCCGGCTCAGCAATGTGCCGAAGGCTCAGAAGGTCAGCATCAAGATCTTCCAAACGCTTAGTGAAGCTGTATGGACGGGGTGCTCTGAGGTATGGTGGGAGAGGTTGGCGGTTCGTAATGCTGGCAGAGAGAAGACAAAGCAAAGATGTGACCTCGTGTGTCGTGACTTTCGCAGTATTGAACAGGCGTCGGAAATCGATCATCCAGGCTGTATCTGTAGGATCTTCGCCGTCACTCAGGTACATAAGAGTGTCGGATGCATAACCTAGCAAACTGAGGTAGTTGACGATGCTGAAGAGACAGAAAGATTAATATGAAGAATGGAAAACATGAATCAGAACATACTTTTCTACACAGAGGATAATCGAATCATACTGCTTCGTGGGGAATCGGCCACCAACCGGGACCTCCCACTGCAGGAACTCGGAGTATGTTCGTAGGCCAGCTAGCATAAGCATTTGCTTTGAGAATACTTTGTGCCGTGCTTTCTCAAGCTTGCGACCCGCTGCACTCTTCAATAAATAGTGACCCCCGTCACCACGCATGCGACCAGAGAGTGTCTCATGGATAATTGAGTAGTAGTTAGCCAGCAGATACAGTGATGCTCCCAGGCTTTGACGGAGGACTGAGTGCTCAGAGATTGGATATGGGAAAAACGTCCAGAAAAATGCCACGGCGATACCGCCTGTCACAGCAGCTAATCGATAAGGCGCCAAAAGATAGATGGGGTAGAAAGGTTGTCCATTGGATGTCGCGACGGCCTCTCCAACTCGACGAACCTGAAGCTCATAACTGATGATCATGGTCGTAGTCACGATGCTGATTATGCCAACGACTCGGAAACGGAACAACTTGATCGGGATGTAGAAGGCAATGGTAACAAAGACGAATAGGAAAACCAATATTCCCGGTGTCTTTTGGCCTGGGATATACCATATCAATAGACTTGCTACCATTGCAATGATTGTACCAACGATCCTCAACACAAAGCTGAAAATGCTCTGTCCCGAGGTGGGGGACATGCTGAGGTTGACCATAATCATGGCCCACACCAATCGCTGCGCGGTGAAGAACGTTTGTGTATCGTGGAGGAACGCGATAATTGCAATATTCATGGTGGCACAGGCAACGCGAAAGCCGTAGGTTGACTCAAACGAGCGCAAAAACCACGGGAAAACTCGAATTTTGTCCCCAATCTTCTCAAAAACAGTAGTTGGTGGCAGGTGCTCGGGGTCTTTGCGAAGCCTATATGCCTCACCAAGGTGAAGGATATTGTTTTGGGTGTGAATGTCGCCCATGTTATCATCTTCGTGAGATTCCTCGGCATCCAAGAAGGACTTGGCCCACTTCCACAATCGTTTACCACCAGGAATGACAAGCCTAGTCTTCAGTAGCTTTCCCTTGGCCTCGATATGGTCGGCATATCGGACAAAATCTAGCACAGTTTGACCGGTTGAGTACAGCAATTGTTCCATCTGAGCTGGTGTTAGCTTGCACGCACTATATTGATATGGTTGAGAGATGAAAACTTACGTATAGAAATAGATACAATTGCCGTCGGCTGCGGTCTTTTTGCGTGGCTGAGTTATCCAGAAAGTCCGTTTTTAAGATCTCAGGCGTGGTAGGATGATCAAAAAAGTCGGGCGGGAGTATGATGCCCTTCTCCTCCGCCCAAATCTGCAAAGCGAGGCGCTTTGCATTTCGGAATTCGCCAAGTCTCTTTTCAAAATGCTCGGTGAAGTGCTTTTCTCCAGGACCAGTGTCTTCGGCTGCGGCCTCCACGTCTTTGTTTTCCCCTGGTGAATTCCTTTGTGGGGACTTCCCGGTACGTGTTCGCTTAGGTGGCTTTGTTAATCTGAAAACGTAGGATGTGTGCAACAACCCCTCGTCAATAGTCTGGATCATCATCGCGAAGGGATCATGTACTGCTTTCATGATATCGTTCCACTCGTGCACAACACGCTGTCGTACTTCTTCTGGGACCACCACCATATTGAGATCGATCGGTTTGTTCCATCGGTTATAGTCTGACAGTCGTTCGAAAATGTCCACCACAAAGCTCAATCCCACAACAGGAATCATGATCTGGCGGAGATGACGAAATATCGTTTGAAGGTCATCAGGTCCCAATTTCCCGAGGGCGATCTCACGCTTCGCGAATGTGAGGTCACTGTGGAGTTTGGCGTGGAGGTCCGTGATCGCTCGGATCGCACCGCGGATGGCTTCTGCCTCGGGGCTGTAGACCTTTCCCTTCTTGCCGAATTTCTCACGGGCATCATCAAAAGTCTCCGTGCGACCAAACATATCATCTTTCTCCAATGCCTCAAAGTATACAGCGTGGGCATGCAAGGCAGAGCGAAGTCCACCAATGTACCCAGCCATCTGCTTGAAGACGATCTGGCGCGATGTTCTCGGGAGGATCAGAAGGGACGTAGCGGTTGAAATCCCCAGACCAGTTAGAAATGATTTGAGCATCTTTGTCACCATATTGATCGCAGCCGGCATATCCTGCGTTTGCGGAGCATAAACCGAGGAGACGTTCGCAAAAATAGCATAGATAATCACGGGGAATTGCAACTGCGGATATTTGGCGCGGAAGGTGTGAACCATCCAGATCTGGAAGAACAGCCAAACACCACTGACTGCCGACGCTGAGGAATTGTACGTATCAGCGGCATTTTTGGCAGTGTGCTGGCGTGCCTTCACACTGGAAAACATCGTCAACAGTGCAAAACATGAAGCTATGCAGACAGACAAAACATCAAAGATCATCATCTGAATAAACTTTGCGCGGGGCATGATCGCGAAGCCCATGATAGATATAATGGCGACAAGATAGCCCAAGGTCGTGTACTCATCAGCAACAGCCTTGGATTGGTAACTAGACTAGAAGTTAGCATGTGTTGATAAAAGGAAAGGTCTTCCAGTGGCAACTCACATGGCCACAGCTATGGTTGGCGCAAGACCACCTCTGAATTCAACGTTAGAAATAGCTTACTCCATAAGACCGAAGTTCGATAACTTACTTCATCATCAGCAGAATAGTGGATGAATCCAGATCAGCTTTCTTCCAGATCCTTTTCACTGAATCCATGTACGAAGATTTCTCCTTTTGGGTGTCATTTTGCGCATCTTGTGTATCGCGCTGGGAATGCGACGAGTTGGAGGATGGGCCTGATTGATGAGATCGCGGTCGCGACGCCATATTTACAAGGGGTCGCATAACAATGCGCCTTTCAGCCACAGCAGATCCAGATCTTCAGGAACTCCCCTGCAGCCATGTGATTCGAAGCCGTGAAAAGGAAGGCAACATGCGACGAGTCCTCTGGTGAGATGTGAAAGGGCAAACAAAAACTCGGGTTGGAGTCCCGCGTCGATCCACGTTCTGGGCCCCGCCTTCACGTTTTTGGGGACCTCCACTCCAGACTGACGAAGAAGAGAAACATCTATTTTGTTTTGGCTGAAGTGTGGTGCAAGGTATATAAACAGATGTGCATGGACAGGTATGCCCCGGATATATGCGACCAGCCACGGTATATCTTCGATTGCCTCTATATATACCGTAACGAGAGTGCGGAGTATGTACCTGGGTACTTTTGCTAAATGGAGACAGTACTTTGTTTGTCAGCGCCCGTTGCACATGTTGCATACTACATCCTAGCCAGTATCTGGAGTTATATCAGTACTCTGTACTCTGTAGCGAGGTAGCTCATAGAGGCATCGGAGAGCCCGTTCTCCACGGAAAGTGGCTGCCTATCGTGTTTTAGTCCCGGGAACCGAGCCGAATGCCGAAAGAACGCCAGTTAGCGTATTGGACCTCGAACATCATTGGATTTGTGATTCCCTGCTATTGAAAGAGATGTTGGGTCCGCTGGTGGAGGCTTCTAGAACTTGTGGGCCAAGACTGAGCTGCCGATCTTGACAGAAATTTCTAACCCTAGGAGAAACGCCCATAGTGCACAAGTTTGAGGGCTCGATCGGTATGTGTGATACTCAAACAAGATCTAGAACTGCAGGGTGTAGAATATGCTTAAGTTCAGCCGATATTGCTATCTCCCCGAAGACATCCGACGTTGTGCTAGGTTGAGCCTGCGTGCGCTTATTGGCTGTTGATTGACTGGAGAAAACTGCGTGGGGATTAGTTTCATTTGAGGAACGATTAAATCTAGCACACCAATCATGAGGCTTTTCATATTGCTAATGCCCCATAATTGTAAATCTGGCTCACGATAGCTCGGTCTGGTGGCAGGTCGCAGGTGGGCTCAGCTACGACGTAAAAGCTGACCTCATCTATGATCCACTTTTGATCCACTTCCGGTGGATCCGTAGTTGAGGTCTACTCAGAAAACATTTATAAGTAGTATTGATATGACGAAGAAAATAATATTCCGTAATAACTCATTATTTATTTATTATTTCTCCTTTTTCTCACCTACTTCGCTAACAATGCCTAACGTTAATAAGTACGTATAGGTCGCAGAGAGTGATACTCTACTCTCTGAAATCCTCCTACCTATAGCTCCTCTCTCCGAACCTGAAATTAACGGGCTTTCCGACCTATATAATAGATCTGACTATAGGCCTACGAGTCCTAAAACTATATAGGCGGATAACGACGGAATTGATATAAGCTAATATATTTAGAATATATTAATAAATTCTAAATGTATTAATAAGTTATTAATATTATTCTAGCCTACCCGACTCCTAACTCCTCTCTCGACTAATAGATATAACCTAGTCTAGGCGATCGTATTTAAGTATATAGTTATACTCCCTAACTACCCTCGCTCTTATAATAGTGGTTACGTATATATCGTTAACACTAGGGGGATACTATTAGATCGGATATCTACTCGAATACACTTAGTAAAGTTAATCTATTATCGAGTATAATTAATAACTTACTAATACCTTATTAAACTAGTTTAAGTATAGTCACTACCTAAGAAGGAATAAGATAGTAGTCTAGAATACCTATCTTAACTATTTTATAGTTAAAACCTGATCCCTTTACTCCGGGATAAAGGTTTACTAATATATTAATCCGCTATATTATAGTATCCGTTATTACTACTAAGATCTAGCCCTTATTAGTTAGATAACTATAAGGTAAGATCTAATTATATAGTAAACGTTACTATCGGACTACTAACGGAATATAGTTAGGTAACTAATAACTTATAAGCTACTTTATAATAAATTTAGTATACTAACCTATCCTAGTTATTTCTAAGCGTAGTAGTTACTATTTAATAATAAAATAGTACGCCCTAAGGTAAAAAGAGGGTATAAGAACTACTTAACTTTATATAAGCTTACGAGGAAATAGCGAGAGTTAGTAAGTTAATTCGCGATATAATAACTTTATAATATATTACTAAGTTATTAAGCTCTCTAGTTATCCTCTAACTCTATATTTCGTATATAGTAATCGAATATATCTTAATAGAAGCGAATATTAGCTTTTAAATCTACGCCTAAAGCTAGGCCGCCTAGATCTTATAATACTCGAAGAGTTATATAGAAATAGGGGCCGCTTACTAATCGAAGATAAATACTATATAATAGTAGAGTAAGTAATAACTAGACGTATAGATTACGGTAAGTATTAAGTTAATATATTTTAAATATATTAATTTCCTCTTTAATTATTTTCTAATATATTTATTATAGATCGATAATATCCTTAAGGCCGTAGGATACTCTAATCTAGCTCTAAATATAGCGTAGAATACTTCGTTTATATACCTATAGAGCCCGAGCTATATCACTTCGCACTATTAGTCTCCTATAGAGAGTACTCTTATCTACCTCTACCTCCTACTAAAGCTCTAATTTATTATATTAACGAACTAGTTAATATAATAACCCGAGTTAGGAGAGGGGACCTTAGGATATATAGGTTATAAACTAATTTATTAAAGATATATTACTAATATTTTAACTAGCACGATTTAAGATAAATCCCTTAGTGTAAGAGTTCCTTCGGAAGAACTAAGCGAAAACACTCGCTAATATATACGCTAGCTTTATTAATACTAATATTATATTAGCTTTACTATAAAAGTAGTAAGCGCTTACCTATCGAAAAGGATAGGACTTCGCTAGCCTATATTATAAGTATAGTTCTAATATCGAACTCCGGGTAGGAAATAATATTTTATTAATAACTTAATACTAATTATACTAATATAATTTTCTATAGAAATACGTACGCGCGTTATAGGTAGATAAGGGCGGTATTATAGTAATATATAGATATAATATATAGATCGAGTATCTCGCTATATTAGACTTTTTCGAGATCGATATATCCTTTAAATATATCCGGGGATCTATAAATAAAGTAGTATTTACGAAGTGGTATCCGGGGTATAATAAAGGTATTTAATATATTATAAATAAATATTTAAGTTATTAATAGAGTTAGTTATTACGCTTTTACGAGTTTTCACTAATTAAGATATAATACTCGGGTATATATTACTTTTCTAACATATATTTAACCTAGTAGCTACTATTATAGGGTAGCCCTTCTACTTTTACTACTTATACGGCCGTAGCCTATAGGCTTTAGTAGTAGATATAGATCCTAAATAGATATTAGGTAAGTGATCTAATATTTACTAAATATAATATTAATAAATTACTAATATATTAATAGGGTTTAGATATTATCTATAGACGCTTAATTATTAGATCTATCTATACTCTTAAAGAACTTAGTAGGATATAGTAGTTTATATCCTAGTATTCTACTAGATATACTTTTATCGTATACTTAGCGAGCTCCTTACTCCTCGGTATTATAGGGATATACCTAAGATTATAAAGAAGATAAGGAGTATTACCGACTACTTCTCTAAGGAGGAATAGGATATAATCCTTACTAAGGTAATAGGTAAGTATTAAATAATAACTTATAAAATTATTACTAAGTTATATATAGTAGTAGATACTACCTTTATAGGGTAGGCTCGATATAAAAAGTACCCTATTATCGCTATTAGGTTATATAGAGGTTACTCGATAATAGACCCGCTAATTTTCTAAGAAGTCCGTAACTTAACTAACGCGGCCGAGTAAACCTATTAGAAGTCCTATAGATAGGGAATACGGTATACGTTAGTCGATATAATATAATAGTAAGTTATTAAGACCTATATACTAATTACTTATATACTAACTACCGTTTAGCTTAAGCGTCCTAGATTAGAGAGATATAACTTAGTATAGAATACGTAACGAGCTATAAATCCGATCTATATACTATTTAATAAATCTAATAGTACGCGAGCTAGTAAATATTAGACGAAATAGTAAGTATAAGGTATTAAAAATATATAAATAATATATTAATATTATATCTAGAGGTATATAAATAGAGTCTTACTATTAGCGACTCTTTAAATTAAGGTTTTAAGATAGAGGATAGTAAGGCTCTTCTTTAGGAAGGTAACTTATTAGGGAGGGTAACCTAGCCCTAATCGAGAGGGAGAGGAAGGACTATGGGTAGAGGTAGAAGTATTAGTAGTCGATAAGGGTAAGTTAATATATTACGAAGTCATTAGGCTTAATATATTACGAAGTTATTAGGCTTTATATATTACGAAGTTATTAGGCTTAATATATTATAAAGTTATTAATTTATTACTAATATTAATACTCGATAGAACCCTATTATCTCGTACTCGCTCGAGTTAGCTAAGGTTATTATCACTAGCTCTTCCTTCCTTATAAGTTAAAATCGTATATTAAGTAATTATAAATAAATTACTAATATATAGTAGTCCACCTAATCTATAGAGGGTAGTAGTATATAACTCCTATACCTAAGTAGACGATAAGAGGTAACTCGCCTATAAAGAAAGGCGGATCGCTATATATATCGTAGAAGCTAATACGAAGCTTAAGGAGTAGGAGGTAGAGCGAGGAGAGTTAGAATTACTAGAAAGAAGGAAAGCCCTAGCTTCTTAAGACTAAGAATAAAATATCTAGAACGGAGTATATTAAGGGATTTAATACATTTATAATAACTTAATATAATGTTATTCCTTAGGGATAGTCTATAATATTCCTAATTTAAAAGTACACGTAGAAATATATTAAAGATATAGAGGTATAATATAGTATATAGGGTTTCAATAATAGGTTTAAATGATACTAGGAATAGGATCTCTTATAGAAGTATTAAATTATCTAAAGATCTAGATAATATCT